CATCTTTTCAGAGATTGAGTGTATGCAACCCCCTCCCACAAGATGTTCTACAAACTTCAACTTCTTCATATCAAACATATATTTTGATGATTTAGTGTAGAGCTTGTGCTCTGTCAGAGTTATGAGCATCTGATCTATATATTGTAGATACTCTTCATACAAATTCAAGAAGATCAAGATATTATTAAAGTATATGAGACACAATCAGTCATTCTGCTTAGCAAGAATCATATTCATTATCATTTGAAAGATTGCAGAGGTGTTTGTAAGCTTCATTGACATCACAAAAAATTCAAATTTCCTTCATTGAGTGTTAAATGCTGTTTTGAGCACTGACAGTTCACCTACACAAATCTGTCAATATTCTGCAAGTAAGTCAATCTTCATCAGATATCAGACATTTTCTACTGTATCTAGTTGTTGCTGAATTCACAGCAGTGAATATTCATTCTTTACAGTGAGCTTATTGAGCATCTGATAGTCAATGCATATATGCCATTCTCCATTCAGTTTCTTAATGAATAGAACTGGGAAGCCTCACACACTAGAGAATGATTGTATGAGACCCCTCTTCAACAATTCTTCTATCTGCCACTGTAGTTTCTTGAGATGTATTTGCAATAGAGAATATATGTTGTGATTTATTGATTTCATATCCTCTATATCAATTTTGTGAACAAATTCTCTTTCAGACAGCAGAGAAGATGAAAGATTCATTTAAAAGATCTTCTTATGCTTTTCAAGCAGTGCCTTCATATGCTTTTTATTTTTAGAGTCTTTCACAGACAGCAATTCCTCTGTCTTAGATTCTCTTATAATATATAGAATACTCTGAGTTGAAGGTTTACACAGTGCTCACTTTACTTGATATTAAGTGATGAGATTCAAGCCTTCTGTCTCTGACGCGCAGAATCTGCACCTCATATTCATAAATAGTATTATATAAACTTGGTTCTTACAATCTGTCAACTGTATGTGATATGTACATCAATGAATTCTGAGATCATACTTCTAAAATCAATCAAGTCTCAAAATCAGATTGTATTCTACATCTGAGAGTATATGTACTCAGATGCAGCAAGACCATCTCTCAAAGTGCAAGAGTATCTTTATTCTCACAGATAAGATAAGATATCAATTGTTTAGAAGCTTTACTCATTTAGATTCCTCCATCTATTATATATCAGACAATCTTATTAGCATATGATCACTGATATACTTTGTTGAAGCACTCATATTCAATAACACTTTCACTGCCACTTCTCTTTTCTGCCTCAGATACTCTTTATACATCAGTATATACAGTTCTATAATATTCAGATGCTCATCCACTTCTTCTTCTACACTCATCTCTTCATCAATCTTATCTTCAGCTCTTATAGAATTCAGAGAGTCATCTAGTGTAGACAACTCATTCACTTTGAAGATCTTCAGCAGTTAATCAACAAGCATCTTCAGCTCTGTTGATCTGTCTAGTTTTTTGATTTTTTGTTCTACAGACAACTTTGACAATCTCTTGTATTATGATTCTGTCAGCCACAATGAAAGTATGCTCTGTGCTCACAACACCATGCCATTCACTCTGATGAGTTCTTCTTGAAAGGTTTTGAAGCTTTCATAATAGTGTTGAAATCAATATTCATTACATCTGAGTGTCTCAGTGGTGGTGCTGTGGGTGTAGGCATGAATCTTCTTGCATTCATCAATATCTTCTCTATTTGTCTTCACAGCTTGCTCACTTGTTCTCTTGTGAGTAGAGTCTCATACACTTGCTCTACTGTCAGTAGTTGTGAGGTAAGACACTTTCATTCAGTGTATAGCTCAGACATCAAATTATATACAAATATCTGCAAATAGAAAGATGTCAGAAGCTTCTGATTCATTGCAAGATAACACAAGCTGAAATAAATATAGTACAATACAAGATCCTCTTCTTGCTTGCATTTTACAAAGCATTCATAACACTTATCTTTAGCATTCAACTCCTTGAAGTTATGCAGAATTCATCTTATGAAATCATCTCACATCTGCAGTAGTCTATACTTGTCAGACATCTTCACATTCATTTTCTCAGCTGTCATTCAAAAGGATCTAGCTGTTTCTCTAAGAATAGATGCTGTGTATAAGATCTGCTGTAATTCAGTGGGTTGTCATCTTATAAGCTCATACTTCATATGATAATGAGAATATATATGACTCAATCAGTTAAGAACAGCATCATTTTTACATTCATTATCAAAGTATGATGAATTAGATAGATCATCTGATTTGATATATTTTATGATGAGTGATGTATCCTCTGGGAGCACTGTTTGTGTTGTGTACACTGAGTCAGAGTCATTTACTGAAGTGTTAATATTGAGTGAGCTAGTTAAACTACACAGTGGAATCTCAAGAGTTGCTGAACATTCAGTCTCATAATATATATATTTCAGTTCTTGACAAAGGTCAGCCATCTGAGCATCTCATTCATTTTTGATATTTACTAAACTATCTGCAAAGTTCACAGCATCTGCCATTTATTGCTAAGTAACTTCTGCATACTGATGTTTCTTCTGCACTTTGAGCTTCATCTGATAAAGATTACACATCACTAGAATCTCTTTCAATAAGATATTACAGATGAGAAGCTTGTTGTTCTCAGATGTAAGAGCTGCTACTCTACATACTGCTTTATATAGATCTTCAGAGACTAGTTGCATTTCCTGTGGTTTGAGTACAAGAGATGAATGTTGGTTGTAGATGTTTATGATAATTATCATCAATTGTACACTTTTCTCTGTGTCTTAAGAATATTATTCTTATGAAGTGATTTCTTGATGATATTCTCTTGATTGTATGACTGGCTGACATCTTCTTCTTAAGCTTGTAAGTAAAGTGGTTTTTTGAACCATCATCCACCTCTACACCACTTTTCTACACTCTTGACTCACTTTATATTTTGAGATGAGTTATCTGCTACTGACATTGCAATCAGAAGTGTTTCAACTTCACTGCTTGTTTGTATGATTGAGTTCTTGAGTGTAGAGATGACCACACTGACATGATAACTATAACTTATATTGTAGATGGAATTATCACACCTTCAGAAGTGTATACTCTCTTCAGTTTAGACATACTATCAGATGTAATTCAAAGATTGCTTGAGCTTCTCAAAGCTTCTAAGCTTTGCAGCTTCTCTTATACAAAATAACTAGCACAGTAGTGTACACCATTCTTGATAATAGAGAGTGGTGTACACCACAGAAGAATAATAAGCTGAAATTACTACAGTATGAGTTTATTTATACTTATCAGATTCACTTCTAATTTCAGAATATAGTGAATACTGATTAGTAGTATATTTATCTTTTCAATGATAATCTTTGTATTGTCTATTACTGCAGCAGATATTATTGTTTCATCTATTATTTTCAGTTTAATAGTGTATTTTTGAAACTTTGCTATAATAAAATCTTTATAAGATATTGTATGAATATCTGCATCTGAGTCTAGAATTCAGATATTTCTTGTGAGTCTTTGATCATTTATATAGATTTTATCTATTATATAGAATACTTGTTTTATAATATTATGAATAGAAGCAGTGTCAGCATTGATATCACTTTTATTTTTATTTTTATTGATATTATTGAAATTGAAGAAATGTTTTTCTGAGTATTTCTTTCAGCAATTATTCTGAATATAATCAGTTCTCTGACAGTAAAAACAGATCTGTATCTCACTGCTCTTTTTATCAGATCTGAGATTCTTTTTCTTATTTTTATTTTTATTTTTATTTTTATTTTTATCTTTTTTATTCTTTTTGTCAGATTTGAAGTTCTGTGTGTTGTTGATAAAGTTTTTAGATATATCAGTATTGAATTCATCAGTTATTGAGAGCTGTAAGAGAATATTATAGTAAAAAGTTATAAAATCATTCTCTAAAAGTTGAGTGTTATCTTTCTCAATCTGATTCATACAGTTCTTGATAAATAAGACTCATTCTTTGCTTATCTCAGTAAGTAAGCAGTCAAAAAACATGAAATCTTTAACTCTATATTCTAGATAAATATAGTCAGTTTTTATAATAATCAAATATTTGATAAATATATAATCAGAATCTTTTAACTTGACTGTTATATTTATTATTTTTTTATATAATTTTATTCTTAGAATAGCAGATTTTTCAGTGAAATTATTTTCTATAATAAATTATAGAAAATATACAGATAGTTTGAAATTCTTGAATATAGTAAAATAAGATTTTATCTATAAGACAATTGATAATCATATGTAATTATATAATTATATATTATATTCTTTTTAAAATCACTGTATATCAGTGCTGATATTATCATCAGAGTCTACTTACTTCTTATTAAGAATATCATTGATCTCAGATTATCTCACTGTAAGAAGAATTTCTTTTTTTTATATAAGATAGTTCTCAGATTCAGTCAGTACAACTGACTTTCTTATAAATTTTATTTGATTATAAAACTTATTAAGAATTTTTATAATAGCAGATGTTCTGTCTTTTCTCTGCAGATAGTTCACTAGATTTATACTAATATTATTATCACTTATAGAGATCTGATCTCTATCAGTTCTCATTTGTTGAACTTCATATTGAAATCTTATAATCTTCAATTTTATATGAGTTTCTTCATTTATATTATGACTACTAGAGCCACTCATGTTATCTGACATCTTATTGTTGTTAACTAAGTCTTTGTATTCAATATTCAACTTGTTTGATTCTTTTTTGATTGTGTTGTCAGATTCAAATGCCTCTGAGACAATCATCTATTAATTAATTGCAGATGTTGACAAATCTGCATTCAATCCCTGTTGTGTCTCTAGTGTTTGAGGATTTCTTCTTCTACACATTGTCATGTATTCTTTTGTTAAATCAGGCATTCCACCCAATCTCAAATTAACCATTAGGTTCAAAATAACTTATCAAGGTGTCTAGGCATGCTTTTAACAATGCATGGAGATGTAGTTAGCATGTTATTTCAGTGGTTCTGTTGCTTCTTAGGGCCATAACCTGTGGGAGGATAATGTTGTTGTTATTACTAAACTAACTACATGAGAGCAACACAATATGTTGGGGGGCACGTGATAGGGTAGCCGTAGTACCCACTAACAACGCTTCAACCGCCGATGAGTTCGCCAAAGTCGGTGTGGGTTGGTCTGTATATAAGTACGAGTGGATCCCAAGAGGATTTTATTAAGTAAATGAGGATGCAATCAGGGTAAATAAGGAGAAATATATGTTTATTTAAACGTGTATGTGTATATAGATATAGATATATACGCAAGGACAAGCAAAAAATGCGTTAACATACATGCATAAAGATCGTTCCGCATCTAGATCTCAAGTCTAAAGTATACAACTCGCCCGTCCCTCCCTCAGCTCGCTCAAAAATTAAAGAACCAAAAAATAAATAATCCTCATCCCCAATCTAGCTCCTCCTCGCTACCTCCCTTGCCACAAGCGCCCCGAGCGCCGCCCCAACTCCACTCCCATCCTTCGCAACACCCAACGTAATTCTCTTCTCCCCTTCCTCCCCAATTTCCGCAATCTCCCTAAACGCCTGACGCATATACTCCTCAAAGCCAGGATAATGCTCCACAACGCTGCCATCGACCCCGATGTCCGCCAGCACATCGGGACCCTCCCGCAATTTCCCCGTGGAAATAATAACTGCAGCGAGCGCGACGGCGCTCAGCCGCGCCGCCCGCTTGCCGATCGCGTGTACTAGGATCTTTACCGCCTGACAGTCGTCGGTGCTGGCGTTGTCGATTTGGAGTTCCTGTTTCAGCTGCGCGCGCGTCGCGTCGAGGTTTGGGAGCTCGTCTGCCTTGACGGTACTTAGGAAGCTGGTGTCGATGCCCCAGGCGCGGCATAAGCCGGAGTCCGGCGGGATGGTCATAGCGGCGTCGTCGTTTGTGGTGCGGAAGAGGCTGACGGCCGGATTCTCGCTCATGGCCAGCAGGGCACGGCGCAGGATCTCGCCGAGGAACATGCCCGAGACGCGCTTCTCGAACATCTGGATTCCCGGGTTGACGCTGTCGGCGTCCAGGGCGGCGTCGAAGCGCGTGTTGGGCAGCACGGAGAGGTGGTTATCGAAACTGCCCCACTCGACATTGATGACCATCTCGCCGGTGGTGCGGTCGTATTGCGTGTCTGGGTTGACCTTGTCCATCTTTGTGATGCGTGCGAGCTTCTCGACGTAGGCGCCGTTGGTGCCAGTGCCGAAGATGGCGCCTATCAGCGCCTTGCTGTGCTGGCCGGAGCAGTACGATCGCGCCATCAGCGTGCCGACGGTGTCGTTGACCAGCGCCGCGACGCGCACGGGCAGCTGGCGCTGGTCTATGGCGTCCTGTAGCAGTTTGCAAACGTCCTGCCCAATGACTTCGTCGATGTCGAACCCTTTCGTCCAGCGGATTAGTTTGCCCTTGTTGATTCCCTGTTGGTCGACGGGGAAGCTGAAGGTGAAGCCCATGTCGAAAATTTGTTCATCGACATACGGGTCTGTGACTTCGCCGGTCTGCCTCCGCTCGACGTGCGCCGCGAAGTGGTCTGATAGATGCGTCCTGAGGAACTCTTCGATCTGCCGCGCCAGGAACGAAAAGAGCTCCCTCCCATGCCTCGTCACCATGAGCTCTGGTGGGATCGCGACCTTGGATTGCGAGATGGAGAAGGTGGAGTCTCCGTGTAGATCTACGCAACAGACGCGGAAGTTGGTCCCTCCTAGATCTACCGCTAGATAGACGCCCTACATATTTATAAAAAGTTAAAACATCTCCCCCAACTTAACATGATATTTGGATAAACGGTTTTTGGCCGTGGTGTCGCGAGTTACATGGAGTTTAAGAAGAGAAAGTGCCCACCTTTTCCGTCCCATCGGGCACTGCAGTTACATACGACGGAATCTGGCGCAATGTAGCTCCGTCCTGCTCCAGGCCTTCGTCCATCTGCCGTATGAACTCCTTAACACCGCGATGGACATCTTCCGTGGGGTATTCAAACAGTTCGGCGATGCGGCGGGCCTCATCGATGACGGGCGAGGACGACATGGTGTAACGGCGTAGAGGTATGTTATGGAGGAAATTGAGCCTTAGGCAGGCCCGAGAGTTAGGTTTGTGGAAGGTTATTGGAATGAAAATGCAGGAAGAAGCTCTTTGTATATTCCAGATCCTCGTTCCTTGGTATGGTCGAAACCGCCTTTTTGGACCACGCAGGTGGGGTAGAACGTAGGGGTAGTGATATTGCAGAATGGCCCGCTGTCCCTTATAGTGTTGGGGCCAGCTGCCAGCTATATACAGAGTCGTATCGTAGGTAGGTAGGTCGGATCTTGATGCTGTCCTTGATATAATCCTCATAGCGTCATAGTAGCAAATCTATCCGGAAGCTAGCCCTAACCCTATATTCTCCTATTTAGGCCAAGCACGGCGTCTTAGAGGAGGGGAAGGTCCCAAGCTAAAACCCCCACCTTGCTTAGCGTTCAGCCGGGACGGTAATAAAAGGTTCCATTGAATCGTTTTGAAGCCATACAAAGTATCAGCATTTCCTCATTACAGCTGCTGCAACACAGAGATATGAGTATCCATATGTATCGTCGATGTCACTCTCAGAGAGAGTATGTATACTAGTATATACAGTGCCTTAAGGTAGAGGGATAATACACATCACACAGCGTAGAAATAGCCGATGCCCAGCTTCAGCTTCACCAGCAGCTTTTGTGGATTTTTTCTTTTTTCTTTGCTTTTTTTCTTTTGTAACCTTCTGAGGCGACCTTCTTTTTTCTTCAAATCAAGGTTCCCATTCAAAAACTCAAAGTATTCCCGAATCCCGAGTCTAAATCATGCATGCATGCATGTGGAGAGCGATGGCCCTTTTCCAATTTGCGGAAATCATATACAAGGCTCTGAGGGCGGTGCTTCGAACTCTTCCACTTAGCCAACTATCGTAAGGGAACTTCATCAGCGGCTGTTGTTCTATAGCTTGGATTTAACAATGATGGACATATTTACAAACGATACAAGCATACGTTTGATAGCTACTTTCCCCGTTTTGGGTTTCGCTATCTGCGCTTCAACGCTAACCACCGCAAGGGTATGTCGCCATTCTACCTACTACCACAAAACCAATATCACATTATGAATAACGAACTACACATTCATTTCAATTAAAAGGATCACACATAATAACGGCTGCCACTTGTCATTGAAGATCACACTCTATATGACTATTGTGCGACAACCTAGGATCGTAGAAGGATGGGTTCAAATTCACAGGGCGCCTGCATCGTCCATCCATTTGATTTTCCCTTTCCGCCTCCCCCATCTGTGTTCGGTGTTGCGAATTAATACGTCAGTAATGTTTTGTGTTCGGTGGGAGACCCCGTTTCTGGTCATATGCCCGTGAATCTGTCAGTGATCAAAAAGAACTCGCAAGTCATTCAAGGCACGAACACGCTCCAGCCTTCGGCTCATGTAGCGGTCCCAATGTGACAGGGCATAATGGGCGAAGGAGAGACATGCGCCCTAGGTTCCTTGGATTCTAAGGGCATTGAAGTGGTTGAGAAAGTAAGAAGTCCCATTCACAGGCCATCAGCTTAGTCAGTTGGCGGTACCGGCGCCGGAATTAGGATGTTCCAGCCATTGCTCTTCTACCCGCCATCTCCTCCATTCTCCTTCAGCTATCTGCATCCACATCTTCATCTCTACCTTGCAAATCATGTCATCCCGCCCTTTCAACCCACTGCCTGTATGCCCCATCCCCATTCAGTGGGATGTGCCAGGGCGTATTGCAGAGCTGCAGGCCAAGATTGATGATCCTGCCACCAGTGAAGCTCAGAAGATAAATCTCCAGACTGCAATCAAACTATATCATGACAAAGAGCTCCCAGGACGGCTTAAATGGATTCAGGATGGCAAAGTTGTCCAACTTAAGGATATTGATTTCCACCGGCCGCACTGGACTGAGGTACTTTCCTTCACCCCCACCCCATCAAATGACCCATCAATTTCTTGCGCTTACCTTTGTTTCAACCTAGGGTCATCTTCAGCAAATATCCACACAGGCTATGATTCCAGCTACGAAGCCAGACCCATCTTCCGAACCTCCTTAGTCTGTGTCAGCGAGTATAGGTGCTAGTCTAGTCCATTCGTCTGAAGACGGACTGGCTAGCGTCCATTTCAACCTCTTTTTAGCCGTTCAATTACCACCAGCGTCATGCTGGTAGCAGCGGGGATGAGCCATCCAATCAAATCCCTTCAACATGATATTCGCACGAGCTGGCCGGTTCCATACCTGTTATCATCGCCCACATTATTCCCGATCGAAATTACAATGCTCAATGATATTGGAAGTAATGCTTTAGACAGTCTTTGATACAGATCTAATCGCTTGTGCCATCCCTCCATCCTATGGGGGACTTGGCTCAAACATCTCAATAGCGACGGCTGGTGGAACGGTGTGGGGAACGGTCTGGCGACAGTAAACCACTGTTGAGGTACAGCTGCTAGATTTGCAAGGCAGTGCTGTGTCTGGCTGGATTTTGCAGCATCATTGTTACTCCAGCAGCCACTCTGGTGCGGGTATCGGACAATCTCTGTACTTTGCAACCGCACCAGGAAACCAACATTCATATGTTACTGAGAAGAAGAATGGCATTATTAAGCAGCTTCCAGTTGTCTAGCAGTTACCTGGCCTATCTACTTATTTCATGACTTGAGGTGGTGGGTGGGGCTTGTATGTAGCGTCAACAATCAAACCGCTGAATAGCTAGCTGCATGCAAATTCTTCGCACATTTTCTAATGATTGTTAGTATTTTCCAATCCGGATATCTATCAACCCTTCGATGAGATTATCACTTTGATCATATGGTTATGGTAGAGTAGTGATTATATCAAATGAACTGACCAGCTCACTGGTTAAAGCAAGCAAGAAGACCGAGATACTTCCCTTCGATGATATAAACAGAGTGAGATACACTTCAACAATAGAAACAGGGAGAAACAACAAGATGGGGGGGAGGGGCGGGTCATCATTTTTGGCATACACTCAGTGGAACGACGACAGATACATTGGATATATGCACAACTGCTCGAAAATGGTTATTGGTCAATAATAAATCTCCCACCATGCATTGGAAGGTTCCCCCGATAGAAAATATTCATCTCTTCGATATATGCAGTGGTTACCTCTCTGTATATAATAGATATAAAGTCGCTAAAAGCCAATGTTGATATAAAAGCACAACGCAAAAATAAACATATTTCAAGCGGCCACCTTCTAATGCTGGCGTACATGTATATATGCACTTCATCCCATCTGTCCATCCATCCGTGCCTCCATCTACATTTCAGTTCCCACCTCCTCTCCCCGCTCACTGCCAAACCCATACAGTCCCCCGTCCAGAATCCACCTCTCATTATCCCCATCATCATCCTGCACCCTCCGCCACGTCTGCTTCTTCTGCCTTGGCTCCCGCTCCTTCCCTCCCCCTTCCCCATTCCCATCAACAACCTGCCCTTTTGGCTTCCACACAGGCCTCACCAAACCCCCACCTGCAAGCAGCGGGTTCCGCCCGAAGCCCCCCTTCCGCTCTCCATTCTCCTCCTCCACCTCCTCCACTTGCTCCTCCTCCCGTTCCTCCTCCTGCTCCCCCTCCTCAACCACCCCCCTCTCCACCCTCCTCAACACCCCTTTCCTCCCCCCGTCAAAACTCAAACTAACCACCACTGACCCCCTCTCCCTCTCCCTCTCCTTCTCCTCCATCTCCCTCAGCACCCGCTGCTGCCGCTTCAGCGCCAGCGCCCGCTGCCCCGCACTCATCCACAGCGTGCTCGCCGCATGCACGTCCGGCGTCTCAAACTCCGCAACCTCGTCCACGACCCTCGTGCGCCGCGCGTTCTGCGCCTGGAAGCGAAGCAGCTTGTCGCGGTGCGCCTGTGCCGCGGCGAGGTCGTGCGCTGTATTATCGTTTGTGTCGGTACCGGGGCCGCGGCCGTGGCCGCTGTTGTCGCTGGAGATCTCCCCGTGCCGTTGCTGCTGCTGCTGCTGCTGCCGGTGCCGGTCCCCCTTGGACCCGGCCGCAAGGTTATGTGCGCGCATCTTCTCGTTTCCGCGCTCTGCGCGCAGCTCGCGGATCATCTCCTGCACCTGGCGCGGCGAGAGTGGCGGGTGCTGGCAGAAGGAGCAGGGCTGGAGGCCCTCGAGGGCGCAGATGATCTTGCCGCAGTTCAGGCAGTTGGGGGCCGGGGTGAAGAGGGGGTGCAGGGTTGCTTGGCAGGAGCATTTCCTTTTCTGGCGCGGGTTGTTGGTGGTGGTGCTGCTGCTGGTGGTGGTGGAGAGGGAGGGGTTGGTGGTTTGTTCGAGCTGGGCGATGGCGGCGGTTAGGTCGGCTATGTCGGATGTTGTAGATGTAGTTGTAAATGCAGTGGTAGACATGTTGCGGTTTCGCGAAGGGGAGGCCTCTGTCGAGGGCGATGATGCGGCATGATGCTGCTGATGTCGCCGCGCAACAGCCGCCCTCGCAGTCTTCGACCGTACATTCGGCAGATACTCAGATATCAACGGCCCGGCCGCCGAGGGAGGCTTCCTCTCTGCCTGCGCTTGCGCTTGCGCGCCTCCCGCCTTCCCGGTCTTCTTCCCACCATCTCCTCCTCCAGCACCAGCACCAGCACCAGCACCAGCAGCACCCCTCCCCCTCCTCTCCCCAAACCCAACAATAAACTCCAGCGCCCGCGCCGAATCGCCCAGGATCCCGCGCAGATGCTCCGCGGCGCGCGCGGCGTCCAGCGAGCAGGTGTATTCGAGCAGTTGGGTGAGGGAGGCGTCGTCGAGGTCTGGGAGGAGTGCGGAGAGGCGCGGGCGGGCCCAGGACGATAGCTGGGTGGAGGGTGGGGGCATTGTCGGGGCGCGGGCCTTTTTTGCTTCTTCTTTTTTTTTTTTTTTTTTTTCCCTTTCTTTCTTTTATTGCTGGATTTGTGGGGTTTTGAGAGAGGGGTTCCGGGTTCCGTCCTTCTCTATGCAGAGTTCTGCAGACAACAGTTGTCAGTTGTATGCTGTGGGCAAACGTCTTAGTGAACGACCATCGTTCCCCCTTTCGGGTTAAGGCGCTGGGATGAACTCTCTGGATTTTGTCGATCGCCCGAACCTCAACTTTTTATGTTTATAGACTCACGGCCCCCCACCCATTCTTCCCACCATATCGACGACAACAACCAGTAAAACCCGCGAGTTGCCAAACGCAGCATTCTCACCTCAAAAAACGACGAGCACGAACATAACATTCACGATACAATTTAGTAAGTTACTAGCAACTAGCAACTAGCATAAGGCTCAGGGTAACTTAACTAGTTCCTCGTCAACGGTAACTAGTTCGGAGTAGAGCAACTAGTTATACAGTTATATGTTATATAGGTATTCCCGTCGAAAGCTTGGGCTTTATAAAGGTTGATAATTTGAACCATAATAAGTTCTTTCGTTGATACCATTGGGGGTGAGCTACAGTCCAGGTACACAAGTATAGTACATGCATGCATGCATACATACATATACATACGTGGATGGATGGGATGGGAATGGACACTGCTGGCAAGAATGGAGTGGACTTTATACAACGACCAGAATATAACTATTATATATATTGTGTTTTAAACAAAACATACGCAATGGAACCGAAGAAAGACAGCAAGCAAGGAAGCAAGCAAGGAAGAAATAAACTAACTACAGAAATCTAAAAAAGAACGTAATATATAAACAGCAATCCTCTAGTTAGCTAACTTACTGTACAGATAGACAGATGACCGGAGGGGTGGGAAAAAATATGAACAATCAACATGAAGATTGAAAACACCATCCCGAATCCGAAAGTCGACAAGAACACCAAACCAACCAGCGAACCCAAATCGGCAACATCAAGAAGGAAGGGGGAAACAGCAAAGGGCAGTGAGAAAGGTATAATAAGACAAAGAAGATCTTTCACGCTTTTGTGTACCCCGCAGCGAGAACGCCTCAAGGAATCGATCAGAAACGAAGGCAGAAAAAGATGAAAATGATAAAAGAAAAATTAAAATTGACGGGACATACATACACGGACTCTGCATGCTTGGAAATAAAGTTTAGAAAGAAATTAAAAAAAAATACAATAAAATAAATAAAGTCACAAACAGCCGCCAGTGAGAGAAAGAAATAAAGAACAAAAAGATAAAAAAAGTCTAAAAACTTGACCTGGGAAATATAGAAGAAGAAAAGAAACAAAAAGCAAGACGATGTCAAAAGGCACCACCACCGCCGGCGGGCCCCAGCCATACAAGCTCGATGACGCTATGCACGCCATCCGCATCATTGACGTAGGTCTGGTGCACGTTATCGCCCACGACGACGGAGTCGGCCAACATCCACCTCTCCTTCCGAATGCCTGGCTGATCCTTGGGCCGCAAGGGACCCAGGCGCTTCTCGTAGCCGCGCTGGTCCTCATCCCAGGTCTTTTCGGTGTGGTTAAAGTTCACCGCGTGCGACGGCAGCCTGGCGTCCATGGTGTAGCGGACCAGCGAGTAGCCGTTGGTCAGGACCCAGAAGCTGCGCATGGAGGCACCGGTGGCGCTGTCGAGGGTGGTGAACTCGTCGAAGCGGAAGCGGCGCAGGACGGACTGGCGGCCGGCGGCGGCGGCGACGGTGGACATTTTCACGACATCCTTTTTGTACCAGCTGCCCCAGTGGTGAAGGGAGTGGATCTGGCGGCCGGACTCGTAGACGCCGTCGACGGCGCCTTTCATGTCCATCTGGTACAGGGTGTCCCAGAGGGTGAGCGGGGTGTCTCCGAACTTGTCGATGCACTGGGCTAGTTTTTGGTCGCCCGGCTGCTCGCCCCAGGACTGGCAGGTGTCATAGGCGCCGTGCAGCCTTTCGAGGAGGGGGACGGAGACGAAGACACCGGCGCCGCCAAAGCCAATCTGGCCAAAGGTGTCGACCTGCCAGCTGGCCTCGGAGAGGGCGCCGATGTACACTCGCTCGGAGGCGTTGAAGGTGGAGAGCTGCTTGGCGATGGAGGCAAGGGAGAGGAAGAAGGTGTCGTCGTCCACGAAGCTGACCCAGGTGGTATTGGGGCGCGTGGTCTTGATGAAATCGGTGAAGCCCTCGACAAGGCCGAAGTACCGCGCGGTGAAAGGCAGCGGAGATTTCTGCAAGGTAATATCCAAGCCAGCATTTCTGAAATAGGCCTCGTGCTCCTCGATATCCTTGGTGTCGCCAGGCACGAGCACGAGCAGGCTGGCCTTGGATCTGCCGTAGGAGTAAAGGAGGGCGGGCAGGAGACGGCGCAGGCGGTCAACCGTGGTTGCGAGGCCGAAGAGGAGGTTGGATGTCTCGTCGATGGCGTGGTCAGCGGCGACGTCCACATCGACGACGTGGGGGCAGGGCCAGGGATCGGAATCGGAATCGGAATCGGGATCGCGGGGGTCTACAGGGGGTGAGAGCTGGACCCTCATTCCACGGCCCAAGGGGCGGAATGGCTGCAGGACTGGGTGGTCGATAGTCTCCATGGAGCTGAATGTGGTGTCCGGGGAGACATGGCGGGGGCGGAAGTAGGCGCGAGTGTAGTTCTTCCCGATGAGCCACTCGGAGAAGGTCAGGGAGGGAGGCGGGGAATGGGGAGGATTGGGATGACGAGCGGAAGCACAGAGCTGGTGGGGGGTGTTCGGTTTCCGGAGGTTCTGGAAGTTCAGCTGGGCAGGGCCGGTATTGTCGCTGTTCTTGTTCTTGCCCTTGCCCTTGCCATTGCTGCTGTCGCTGCCGTGGCCCTGGCCCCTCAGCGACGAGGGGGAGAGTCTGTCGAGGGGGTGGGTGAAGCGAGTGAGGGCAGCGCGATCGTAGCGGTCGACCGCCCAAAAGAAGAAGGCGATGAGGGCGATGGCGATGACAGGAGTTAACGCCTTGAGCCTGACGGGAGGCATTGGAGGGGTGTTTTTGTGTTTGTTTTGGAGAGAGGGAGAGGGGATGAAGGGAGGAAAGGGGACGGGCTGAGTGCAGCTTCAGGATGCGCAACCAGAGCCGTGGGAGGTGATTGCACACATTGGACGAGTAGAAGAGAAGTAGTAGTAGCAGTAGTAGTAGAGGAGGTAGAGGAAAAGAAGAAGAAGGAGAAGAAGAAGAAGCAGTAGTACTAGTAGTCGTAGACGAAGCAGAGAACGCGAGTCCAGAGAGAGTCCAGCTGGCCGTGGACAGGTTGTAGAACCAAGGAGCGACGAGAATCAATGAACGAACAGATGAATGAATGGATGAACGAATGGATGATGATGGGGTGATGGAAGGGATTGTGGGATGATGATGGAAGAGATGGTGGAAGAGATGGTGGATGGGATGGTGGATGGGATGGTGGATGGTGGAGGTGGAAGAAGGGTTGGGGTTGGGAGGAGGGAGAGCGGTGGGGGACACGCGGCTTGGCTGACAAGTCCCTCCCCGCGGCCCAAGTCGAGACGACGGCGGAGAGTCAGAGCAGCAGACAGGGCCAGGGCCAGGGGTATGGGTATGGGTATGTTCGCAGGATGTGCTGCTGCTGCTGCTGCTGCTGCTGGTGGTGGTCCCCCAACGCACCCACCAGCCCGTGTAGATATAGATAGAGAGAGCGATAGACAGACAGACAGATAGACCTAGGAGTATCATCTCTTCGTCGTTGCTCAGTTCACACAGAATCCATCCCCCTCCACACACCCCCCTGGCATCGACGGGCGGATCAGATTCAATCTGAAACGAGGTTTCCGCTCCACAGAGCTCCACAACACTCCACGCAGGACCCGTCGTTCCCTGTATGCGGCTACTGCAGCCCGATGATCGCCCGCTAAGCAGCGCCAATGCCAGCCATCCAGCCATCCAGGCACGGTGGCGGGGACTCAAGGACGATCATGACACACACACATATAAGTATATATACTTCCAGGTTATGGCCTGTATCACCCATTGCCAGGTTCTCTGCCGGAGAGGGCTGTGACTCGACGAGGACAGATAACACCCGCGTTCATGTCAGTATGTGCAGTACATCCAGACTGCATACGTACAGACTCGGTGCATCAATCCATCCATCCATCCATCCATCCAGACATATGTGCTGCCCGCGTGGGACGATCTGGCTGATCGCTATCTACGTGCTGCACCCGGCACCGTGTACCGCCCAGCAGTGGCACGGTGCAAGTGAGAACTGCAATCTGGAACAAAAAGGGGGGAAAAGCAGTCCAGTCAGTCGCTCCTCCGTCCTTTTATGACTTGCAGCAGCAGCAGCAGAGGAGGAGGCCTGATGTAGCGAGATATCCAGGCATCATGACCATACTCCGTACTGTCTCTATGATCCATCACGCACACTCATCTACGCTCCAAAAGCAAAAATAAACTAAAAAAAGAAAAAGAAAACATCCCGCGTCAAGCTTTTGCTCCCCCGGCCTAGTGCCATGCTTGGCCGTAGCCACCGGCCCATGATGGCTTGATCCTTGGCCCCGCAACCAACCAGCCCAAAGCAACGTCCTCCATGGAACGAGTGGGATGTATGTACATGTATGTATGTACATGTCCTGTATCCTGTGTCCTGTGTCCCGTGTGTCCCTTGTCCTGTCCTGTCCTGTCCTGTCCTGTCTTCCCTGTCCTGTCTTCCCTGTATCGAACCCCCCCGTACCCTGTATCCCGCCTGCGCGGCAACCGACCTGGACGCGTGTCGCCGCCGCCGATCATCGCCCGTCGTGGCCAGTTGGGGCCCAGCGGTATAACCTGCCATCGCCATCGCCATCGCCATCGTCATCCGTTCAGGGGGTTGGGGTAGGGGTTGGGGTTGGGGTCCACCACAGCAGTGTGGGCCCACTTGGTTCGTTCCGCGATCCTTGCATTTTGTGTGGTCTGCAACGGAGAACCTGCTATTTGTCCGTGGATATATTCGGATATGGGTATACACATGGATGTACATATGTATGTATATATATAATATTATATATATATATATATACTGGTAACTGGTAGTTGCTGGTACCGATTGTATTACGTAGTTCATATGGCATCCATTCGTCATGGAGGCGCGGGTAGACAGACAAGGGAAAGGAGAGGAGTGGAGATGAGAGGAGAGGAGAGGAGAGCCAACAATGGGTGCGTGGAGAAGTGGATTGGTGGATTGCTTCTCCTTCCTCTCCCTCTCTCGCTTTTCCCTTCCCCCCGTTTGTTGTCGGGACTTACTTCCTTTACCCCCTAACCCCTTTCTTCTCCCCTCTCCTCTCCCCTCTCTCCGTTCATTTTCATTTCTCATTTCTCATTTCTCATTTCCATTTTCCATCTTCCATTGCTCGGAGATAGGATTTAAACCAACCACCCCCCAAAAACAAAAAACCCGCCCTCGAAGCGCAGGCTAGAGCTGGCGTTTCATTCCATCATTAGCGTGTTGCGAAAAAAGCGCTCCCCCCCACTTGGGCGGGTGGCCACTCGGGACCGGAAATGCAGACTAACTGCGCGTGGAATGGAAGCTGAGTGGATCCTTTTTTTTTAAGGGGGGAAGAAAAAAGGAAAATGGAAAATGGAAAAAGGAAGAAATGGAATTCGGAAATTCGAAAACAATAGCGTTTGCGTTCGGGGATGGGGGAGTTCATTTATATATATATATATACGAGTAGCATAGATCGAGCGGGTGTGGATAGAGGATACGTTGATCGATCGATCGATACAGGATTACAAATTTGGTTGTCATGTGTAGCTTATTACATGTTATGCCTTATGTATATTCAAACACCAATTAATTTAAGCCAGAAAGGGACAATGATACTGACACAGGTGGGACGCCGTGTCGAACAATGGCGATTTACCACAGGCAGGAGGCGGCCGGATTGGAACGGCGACGGGCTGGAATACTGACATAGAGCGAAAGGGTTCGTTCAACTGACTCCGGAGAGAGATATATATATCTATATATATCTATCTATATTACTCATTACACGGTTCCATCCCTCCTAGTTAGTTAAGACCCGCTTCATCCCCCTCCCCCTCATCCATCGACTCCCGATCCTCGAACTGGCAAAACTGGCCCCTCTCCTCCGCCGCGTCCCCCCCGGTCACAGCCTCCCAGACCGCGCGCACCTGCGCGAGCATGCCCTCATCGAATGCCAGATCGAGGTTGAGGGGCGCAAACGAGAATACGCGTCCCGATAAGCTGCTGCTGGAAACCGCGGGTGCTTTTACATGAGACGATGCCGGTGGTGATGCCGATGGTGATGGCGCTCGGCTCAACAGGCCCTGTTGGGTATATTGGGCGCTCCACAGGATTTTCGCATCGGCATCTGCCGCTCGGAGAAGATTTGTGGCTGCAGAACGAATGAGGGACTGTGACTCTGACTGCCGGCTATCGTCGTCTGCCAGCGTGCTGCCGTATATTATGCCTTTAGGTTTTCATGGGTATGTCATGTTAGTCCTGCGCATCGATATATACACAAATATAACAACGTGGGGCAAAAGGAATAGTAGTAACAACAGATGGCTGGCTCTCTTCAGGCTGTCAGAGGAAAAGTTTATCATCAATGGAATTGCAGACAATGTAGATAAGTATTCGGAAAACGTGGAATCATCATCTGAGAGCATGTGGTTTTCGTTCGCTTTAAAATGCGGAAATGGAGAAAAAGAAAATACTAGTAAAGGAACGTACATTGGCCAGTAGGGCATTCCCCGGTATCGCTGGAGTGCACGATTAGGTACACTGGAGCACGAGTCGTTCCAGGTGATCCGGGAACAAATACAACTGCTCCGGCTGGGATGACGCCCCCTTCCGAGGTGAGAGGGAAGAGGCTCTCGAGCGGAGATGATACGATCATGATCGAGCGAGCAACTTTCGTGTACTTGGGTGATGTTGGACTTTGAATTTCGGCGGGCAAATCCCATGGCGAACCCACAACAAACTTGCTCCGTACCGTCCCTCCGTCCGAGAGTTGAACCCGCAGTCGTCGGGCATCATCGTTTTGTGAACCCGCCGCTGGTGCCTCTATATGACTTACACCCCTATTCAAGACATAAACACCGCCACCGACTGCACATGCCCGACACCCTACCTGTGATATTTCCGCACCACCGCCCCATTTCGCAAGAAGAGCGCCGAAACCGACGCCGAAGACACCAATTGATCCCAGATGCCTTTTTATCCTCTCAACAGCATATCGCGCACTCGTCTCATCCCACGAACGAGGAGAGAGAGATAAAGATGTAAACGGGCCATGAAGGTCTGATGGAATATGAAACTTTGATTCCAGGTATTGCGTAAAGGGGACGACATCCAGGTCACTGTCCTCTCCACCATCCGCATCCCCATCATCCAGCGATTGTTGGGCAAGATGTCGGAGGAGCTTAATCAGGGCTCTTTTTGACTTATTCGACATGCTGTCGTTAGCGAAGACGTCTTCTCGGCTTCCGGGCACTCGATTTAAAGAAGCAGCACTTCCATGTTCCATTACCCACCAACTCCCCACCGCCTGGAACTCCAGCTGTCGAAATATCCTAGATGAAACGAGAGTTGGGATAAGTCCGGATCGGGAGTAAATGAGTTGTGGTGATAATGACAGTGTATATGCTCTTGAAGGAGAAAGCTTGCCGCTTCCTCCATCTTCTGATGAAGCGGGGGAAGTAAAGATTGAGGCAGACTCAAAGGGAGTAGAGCCCGGAGCTGGTTAGCAGCACCACCCGATCAGCATCCGTTGTGAGTCAAGGGACTCGCGATTTTGTTGGCCACGGGAGCCCATAATAGCTAATGCTAAGTGTCTCACCCTCGTTGATCCTTGTTACCCAGTCTTCGGCCTCGTGGAGGCTGAGGGCAGCATCCGAACCTCCGTAATAGCCATGTTTGTCAACATGGAGCACCTTTTTACCTGAGCGGGAGAGAGCCCTGATCCAACATTTTCAGTATTAGATTGATTGGCGAATTCGGGCTACCAGAATGACAATAGAGTGAGAGACAGCCCATGACTTACAGCGCAAGTATGGACTGGGGCAGGCCAGTCCCGGAGATTAGCACGTCCCAGTCAACATCAGTGAGCGGTTCCATTCCGGCAGCATACACATTACAGGATCAGCTGCTTAGTCCATGGGATAGCATTAGACCATTGGGAACGCCCTATGCAGTACGGAAACTGACAGATCTGAGTGTTTTATATTCAAACCATCGGTGTGTGCGTTTGTTGTGGGAAAAATTAAAAGAGATGAGGGAGTTGAAGTGAGAAAATTACTACAATCACCTGATGGGCTAACCCAATGGGGGCTGGCGGCTTGAAAAGCTATCAAAATTTGAGATTATCAACCTCTTCTTGCTTCTTTTTCCTTCTCAACAACTCACTCCAAGTGCTTCTGCGCAGACTAGGCCGCTCTCTACTATGTAATAATTGCTATGGCGCGCTTGTCTTTCGGATATGCCTTCATTGGCCGTGTCCCTTTTGGAGTGTAGATCACCTATTTCACCCTGTATCTGCTGCTCTGGAGATATTATCGTGTGATGGAAGCGGTTCGTTTTGTGGTGATACATACTTTTTTCATACTAGTATTTGTTATTTAGTTTTAGTTATTCTACTCATTTGTGATGGTGTACATCCAAAATCGTATCCCCCGGGAGGGGAAGTCTCTTGAATATCTTTCTTTCCATCATTTCCATGGTGGCTGTGGATAGAATCCTTTCACGGGAGTGAGGTTAGCCTGTCATCCCTCGCGCCTAGAAGTGGCAGGCTTTCTGTTCAGGATGTGTAGAATATAGCAATACCTAAGCCGTTTCTTCTAGTCATAATGGCAGAATAAGGCAGGCTTTCCTGTCCTTCGCATACTACCTTGTTCAAGGTACTGCTAGTACTGATAATCATTCTTCTCCCGTTTCCTCCACAACCCTCGCCCTCACAATCTTGACCTGATCAACAGGCCTATCTTCCGCCCCTGTCTTCACCAGTCCCATGCGCTGCACGACTCTCATCCCACTCTTCACCCGGCCGAATATCGTATGCTTCCCGTCCAACCACGGTGTCGGAGCCAGGGTGATGAAAAATTGGCTGCCATTGGTGTTGGGTCCGCTATTCGCCATGCTCAAGACCCCTGCACCCGTATGTTTCAATGCCGGGCTGATTTCATCCTCGAACTTTTCGCCGTAGATCGAGCTGCCCCCTCGACCTGTGCCGGTGGGGTCGCCGCCTTGGATCATGAAATTGGGGATGATGCGGTGGAAGATAACGTTGTTGTAGTAGCCGCGCTGTGCGAGGGTTGCAAAGTTCTTGCAGGTCTGTATATCCCAATGGAATAGAGCGGATGTCAGTGAATAGGGGTGTTTTGCAAAATTTGAGGTAGGGGAGGATGAAAGATGAGGAAAGGGGTGGGGTTGTGCAATCGTGCCTTGGGCGCATGGTCGTTGTAGAGCTCGAGCGTGATGGAGCCCTGGGGAATGTTAGCAAATCTAATCTTTCGAACAGCACGTAGCATATTAGATATACTCATCCGTACCATGGAAGTGTCAAGCACCACATCGGTAGCCATTGGTGCTGTTCTGCGCTGAATGAATCCTGAAAGAGAGACAGATCTCAGTTGAAAGACTGGATGAACTCAGTCAGCAGCATGGCTTGGCACCTTGAGCTTCCGTTCCACGATGCTCATTTGCAAGATAGAAACATGAACAAATGACAAGCGTGACAGCTGCATTTCCAAGGATGGTATTGTTACGTCAATCATCTCCCTCACACACGGGTCGATAGTAATCTTTCATCTTTAATCTCTTTATCCAACACTGGGCCTTAGCTCTTGAAGTGAAGATTCAATTTCCATCTCAGAATAATTGTGTTACACTGGTAAATATCCTTTTCTTCGAAGAGAGCAAGACAAAGATACTATTACTATACAACTCCATATCTTCGTATTTGCGACCCGTCCACGTAAATATCTCATTGGAGCTGAACCATTATGGCATTGTATTTATCGCCACACTCTTATATCGTATGATACCCACCTAACTACCTCGAGATCTTTAAACGGGTGTTTGTCATGTTTGTACAACTTTACTTGAGCGACGGGGGATTCTCATACGCTGCATGTGCTGTATATTTAATTTTCTTGAGTCTCGAAATGCTATAAGCTCGGATTGATCAACGCTCTCTCGGTATTTTGGTTAACCAACATAGACCTTGGGGAAAAAAAGGAAAAAAAAGAAAAAAAAATCAATCCCTGGACAAATTACCAGTGATCCAAATCCGTATGCACAATTCCTCAACTACAAACACCCCTTCACCTACCCACCAACAACTTCTCATGACATCGCAGTACCGGGCAGCAGGATGGTGATCTCTCCTGTCTAGGATTCCCAGAGACCGGCTCAGGAAGTCTCCCTAGATCCAGCTATTTTATCACATAATGTTCCAAACAAAGCCCAAGTTTGTTGCACTTGACAGGCGATACATGAGGCGTATAGTAAAATAAATGGTACCCGATAATTGCCTGATATCAATAGCAACCCATTTTTTTGTAAAATATATATATAACTAGTGGTTATATGAAGGTGGATTTGCCTGTGTTCGAACATGTGTTCCTATGGTGTTCAGCCAAGGCCTCTGAATAACCCATACATGTTCTGTACAGTGAGCTATCTTCTTTGATCATATAAAAGAGGTAACTTTTCTGTAATATTATATATGATGACTGTATCAGCTTCTCTCTGAATGTGTATTTAATAATTATCATTCCACTACTGTATTCTTCTCTCTCTGCTTTTGTATTGATTTCTATTCTTAACTATTCTTGTTCTTATCCATCTACTTTGAAATTCTTGTATTTCTATATGAGTGAGAAAGACTGATAATAATCTCTACTGCTGATACTGTTGTTGAAGCAGCTGCTGTATGAAAACAGCTATAGTATAATCTTATTGTAGAGATGACAGTACAGAGAGAGAATGCACTGAGAATCAGCAGACAAAGCAGATCAAAGAATACACAGATAGTGTATACAGAGAAGCAGAATGAATAAGTGATAATATATAGATTTATTTTATTTCTATTTCTTCTTTATTTCTGTGTATGAAGAGAGATGAAATTTGATAGACTAATTTCTCACTGCTGCTCAATCTTCACTATCTATATAATAGAAATAATATAATAAAAAGAAGTTTTCAGATAATCAGATTGTCTCTGAGTAGAAGATAATCTGATTCTTTAGTGAGAGAGTTCTCAATTGTTCATTCAGAGAGAATCATTTTAAAAGAAAGTGTATGAATACTGAGAAAGAAGAAATTGTGTAGACAATAAAAGAGAATCTGATTAAATAGTATTGAACAGCTTTTGTTGATCTGTATTGTATACAGCAGAGTAGATAGAAGAACTTTCATTCTCACTTAGTTAATCAGATCTTAAATAGTATGTTAAAGACTTACAGATTTATAAAGTATGTATAAAGATATATGAAGTTTATAAACAGAGATGCAGACACTCTGATGAACAGCTATACTGAGCTGAATATAATAAACTTTATACATCAGTACTGAAAGAGATGATAGAGAGATGAAAGATATACAGTTGAGCCTCTTCTCTGTACAGCAGCTGACTTTTTTATAAATCATTATATACTACTGAGAGAACAGTTCAGATGAGAGATGCAGTTAACTGATCTGTTTACAATTGAGCTATTAAATAAGAGATTAATACTCTGCTGACCTCTTATTCAGATCATAAATAATAACAAGATAAATCAGAACAATAGACTTGAATATTCAACTGTTGTATAGTATAAAAATTATATTCTTTATTCAATATCACAGATTGCATTCTATCTGTTCTATAGATGAAATATTGTATAAAAGTCTCTGTCTCAGTTCCACTATCATCAGCTCTGATACAATATTCACTTATTCAAGAATAAGAATCTATACAAGCAGATCTTCTACAGAACTCATCTTGAGTGAATAAACAAACTCTTTATATATACAGATATATCAGAGATAATAAAAAAGACTCATATCAGATAATTCACAGATGTATAGAAGACAGAGTTTAATGAAATAAATAAGAGCAGCATCTGCAGAGCTGAGTGATGAAATAATGACTTTTTAATCAGCTACTATCTCAGTCAGATCAATTGAGAGTTTGTATGAGGGATTACAGAGTTCAATTCTAGCTTATCAAATAATTATCATCTTTTATAAACTACAGTCACTTCATCAGAGCTGTTGAAGAAATCTCTCTAATTATAAGTGAATGAATGATTTATCTGATTTCATTCTGAGAATAAATTCTCTTATATCACTTCTTCTGAGATCTCTGATGTGAGTCTGAAGCTGCTTGATAGTGGAAGTTTATTTGACTCAGATAATCTTGCAGCTCAGAGGTTTTTATAGCTGTTAGATTATCTTTATACAGTGATACTATAAAACTCTGCTTTTCTTCAGAGAAAATTTTCAACTCATTCACTGTGAACTAACTCAGTGTTTCAGTATGCAGAGTATAAGCAGTTTGCAGATGCTGTATAGACTGCAGAGTCAGTTCTCATTTCTTCACAGAAGATAATATTTCAATAATCAGTGTTATAGATTTCTGAAAGTCTAAACACTGTACAGAGACAGATCAATGTGATGATAGATCAGATAAAAATCAGAAATGTATGAATAAAGAAGAAGATTGATAGAATTCAGTATGAAATTGATACAATAACAACTGAATTCTAAATCTTTCAGTCTATCTCTGTTTCTGTCTGTGTATAGAAAGATACTGTTAAAATTCTTTTCATCTCTGTATCTATATTTTCATTCTTCTCTTTATCAACTGCTGCTGCTGCTGTCACCACTTCTACTACAGCATTATCAATTGAGAATAATATTTGAATATATCAGCTCTTCTGTATAATTCAATTGATCAATGATTTCTGAAAGAAATAAAAACAGAAATTGAATGAACAGCTCTCTGTACAGCATCTAAAGTCATTATACAGATTTAGCTGAAGAAAGAAGAATAGTGAATGTATATTCTTTTTTCAGCAGAAGATAATCATCAATAAAATACTCAGTCATCACTGTATAATGAAATCAAGATCTGTTCTAGAGATTGTAGAAGAGCTTGAGTTGATATATGTACAATTAAAAATAAGTCTGAATAAACTCTCTGTCTTTCTCAGAAGAGCAAGAAGATAATCTGTATATATTAACTATACTATATTGTATATCTTTTAATCTTGAGTATTTATTTATTTATACATGCAGGCTGTCTCAGCAGAATTTATAAGAGTGAATATTCTCTCTTTCTCTCTTTTCTTTTTTATACACAAGATATTTCTGCTTTTCTCTTTCATTCACAATGACAACAACAATAAGTTGATTATAAAATCCTCTCTTTCTCTGTCTCTCTTCTCAATTTCTTTTCTCTTTCTCTCTTCAGCTTTTTCATCATCATTCATCAGTATATACAATCTCTTTTGTATCAGAATTCATCATTCTTTTGTTGAAATTCATTAAAATCACTCATTCACTGTTCACTCTGTCTTTTTTTCATTTCATATACTGTATGAAATATTCATTTTATTATATCAAAAAAGAAGAACACTGACAGAGACTTGTATATATAGTCAAAGAAGATTTTCAATTTTTTTTTTCCATAAAAAAAAAGATCAGCTCTCTTCTGCTCTTCAATAGTATTCTCTTTCTCTCTTCTTTCTGTGAACAATATGAGTATTTCTCTGCTTCTCTATTATACAGTATAGAAAGCTGATTATAATATAAGAGCTCTTATTCTGTATAATTCTGTCACTGTTCAGTGAAATCTGACTCAGGCTGAGTTAATTAACTTATATTATTCAGCTGCTGAATATCAAGATAAGTAACAGAAATGATCAGAGTATAATACAATATATATCAGCAATTCTCAGCTGAGTATATTTTATTATAGTTCTCAATTCTGTGCTCTGCTTGCTGTTTCTGACTTTGATATATTATATATCTGTACATATATCAGAGCTGATCAAGTATTGTTTCATCATCTATTATATATCAATATCATTCTGATTCAATTCTATGATAGAACTCTTGTCACAGACTGTACACAGTGTCATATATTCTCTGGGTTTAAACTATTTCCATTGTGTCATTATGTGTATGATTACTTTGAAGAAGTATATATCAACTGTAAATGATGTGATTATACAGTGTGCTGCTTTCTTCATAACTCTGTGGATCAGTCTGATATATATGATAATTTTTATAATAGACAGTTATCACAGCTACAAGTATCAGCAGCAGATGATGTGAATTATAATACTCAGTCTGATGCACAGAATAATCTCATTTTCATTGAATAGAGTATATATGAAGCTTTCATTTTTCTGTTCTATTCTGTTCTGTTCTCTCTTTTTGATCTCCATTTCTCCATTATTATTATAGATGTATATATATTATTATTATAGAGTTAGATCTAGTTATATGAGCTGTGTATGACACTCAGACAGTTGACTTGCACTTCTATACAGTGCCTGAGATCAGTAGCTCTTTAGTAGAAATGAAGTCAAGCAGATTATTTAGCTAGTGATTATATAACTTTCTGTGTGCAAAGTCACATGTATCTGAATTTAATAGTATTTCTCTTACTAAATACAAGTATTCTGTACATATGAACATGAAATTGAACACACACCAGCAATAACTAGATTATATACAGTGGTGTTGATGGCTGAGTGACTGTGCCTCCGCATATAACCTGGTTATTGTGAGGGTCGGGTTTGAACACACTGTAACCCGACCCATCTATAACTATATTTATTTTATTGATTAATCCAAGAGCTAGTTAACTAACATAGTTAACTAAGTTCCGCTTAAATAAGTTCCGAAAGTGAAGAGTCCCCATATTTTCCTTCGTTGATCGTTCTGGTTTCATCATACAAAATCAAAAAGTTAATAACCAATAAGTCAACTCCTGCTTACGACTTTCAAACTTAAGAACATCGTATCAGCCTTGTCACTCCTTAGAGCTCTGTTTGAGTTTTCCTACAGCTAGCATGCCAACGGCGGCTTAAGCGCGTTATCGTTTTCCAGAAAACGTTAACAAAAGTAAAAAACTCACCGACTCTCAGTCAACACAGATTCAAGAACCATTCGGAAAATACAATCATCCACATCTAATTACTAACTACTCCTGCGGGGGGGCAATATAGGAATCGAAAAACAGTTGATCGTCGAAGGTCGAATTTATTACAAACTCAGGGAGGTTGTTTAAATCATCTTGCTCCACACTAGCAGCACCCTGGTGGATCAAGCTGGGATCTATGAATTGGATGGCCGCGTCATCCAGCGCTTGCGGGCTTGAGCGCTCCCGGCCTTGGCGGACCGATTCTCTCAGCGCTCGTGTGCTTGAGCGACCCGAACGTTGGTGGGCAGATTCGCCCAGGGCTCGCGGGCGGGACAGAGGGGTAAAAGTATTATCTGAGGCAATTGATATCGGCGGCTCTGGCGTTTCTGGCATTTCGCTTGAAGAGTCGAGTTGTTGGAGGTCAGCAATGAGATTCTTAAGGTCCGGACGAGAGCTTCTTAGAAACGCTAGAGCACAGGATATGCTAACGTAGGTGCCTCTAAGAAGTTTCTTCCTCGGAGTTGTGGGCATGACGTAGGACGCGTGCCCTTCCTTCTTCAAGTAGGACCTCATGGCGTCTCTTGATAGGCAAAGGGCCCAACATATTCTGGTCAAATTTATCGCCCTGGGAGGGTCTTTGCTTTGATCGTATTGGACCCAGCTCTTGAGGTCGTCTGCAGTGATATCTTTGGGAACGTACGGGGCTGGAGTAGAAGGCATATTACGCTTTCTATCGCGAAATGAAACACTAGTCGCTTCGCCTCTACGGATCTTGTTGATCTCGGTCAAGCAGACTTGAGCTATCGGACGTTTGTCTGGGTCTGGTTCTAGCAGAGTATTTGCGAAGTCTCGTAAGGTTTTCCAGCACGGCTCAATTTTTGGAGTGAACGCAGAAAGCGACTTAAACCACTGATCGTTGTCCCACGGCGTTGGAAGTGCTGGAAGCCCAGCAGTGTACTTGAGAATGACTGTACCAATTGCCCAGATGTCCACCATAGCTGTATATGGTTGATGGTTATAGATTTCAGGGGCGGCATACATATTGGAACCGCAAAATGTCTGTAAAGGATCCCGCGACGTAAGCCCAAAATCAGAGAGTACGAAAGAAAAAGGCTCCACTGATTTGACGAGGATATTTGCGGGTTTGATATCACGATGAGCATAGCCATTAGTGTGAAGGTATAGCACGGCATCAAGAACCTGAGAGGCCAACAACATGATATCTTGAGGAGTGAGATCTTCAAGTTGTTCAAGAGTTCCATTGCTAATATACTCCATCACTAGGAAAGCATCTTGATATCCCGAAATATCCATGTCCTTGATTATGGACACAATGTGCTCCTAGGAGGTTTTAGTAAGATTCCAGATATTTTCACTGTTAAGGCATGAACATACATGATCCAAATCATGAAGAACTTTTGTCTCCCTTTCAAATCTCTCCATCACCTTACTGTTCTCGGCCGGATCACTCAACGTCTTGGGAAACTTCACCGCGTAGATGTTTCCGACAGCATCAACCGCCTTGTGGACCGTTCCATATGTTCCACTTCCGAGAACCTCAAATGTAGAAATCCTGCCAGGGTCCAAATATGTCAGGGTTTTCTGGCTAATCAAAAGTGTCTCGATTTGTGGAGCCTGGTTTTTCCACTTATTGTAATAGTTCAGCCGATTCTGGTCGAAAATCCAACGATTATTTCCTCGGTCTGGTATTATTAACTTAAACATGGCTGTTCCTGCTTGTATAGTATCCCCGGAAAAAATCGGAATTTTGCGTTGCAGAAGAGGAACGCTGGGGAGTCTGCCAATACTGGAGGTCAAATTCGTGCCCAATGAGGATGTATCCGTGATAAGCAGTGCTCCTGACTCCCAGTTGAGACTTAAACGGAAATGAACACGACTGACACCTTCAGACCGCCCGTCAAGGAGAACATCGCAACGGTCTTTGTCATTTCCAAAAACAAATCCCCGAAGTGGATCAGTCGGTTTGTGTTCGTCCAAAAGTGATAGGACGAGCTGTGGCGCTAGAGTTTCCTGGCCTAGCTGTGGTGCTGTGGTTTCCGAATTGACAGATCTCCGTTGTCTTTTCCGTAAATCTTGGGTTTCTAGCGCGGGAGTGATACTTATGACACGGTTCCTGTTGTGTGGAAGTTCCAGCGCCATGTGAGCTGACCGTGATAACGGCCTGAGGAAACCTATCACCATTCCAGGGTCAACTGCCATGTTAGAGGTCAAACAAAGGATAATTGCATTAGAAGCTATGGAAAAGAAAGGAAGGGAGACACCTAATTTATATAGGCAGACTATGAGGAGGGACAAGGAGGATGACAATGCGGCTCTGTTCTATTTTGAAATAGGAGTGGGTGGGGCCCCATGACAAAAAATGTCGTTTGAAACCAAACAAGCCTTGCATTAGCACAGTCAGGCTCGCTATGATGTCCACCAATCAACTAGAAGATTTTCTCTTCTTGTTGGTTGTGGCAGTCTGTTGGTCTTTTTTCCTTTTCTTCGTACGACCTTCGTCGGTTGGGACAGTCGTTACATATTGTGGTGCGGCATCCTTCGCTGCAACTTTTTGATGCAATTTCACAAGTCGAGCGCTTCTGCGAGGCGGGGTTTTCGAAGAGTCGTCGGCGCCGTCGGAGTCGTATATGAAGCCATTGGCCCGCAACAGGGTTTCGTGATAACTTGGCTTTTGAAAGTCAGGATCGATGAGGGGTCGCAAAAGCTCCTCATAAAACATATTCTCGCACTCCCAATATTTTGGGTCGTCGATGCCGTCATAACGGGCATCCTCGTGGATTTTTCGGCAAGTAGATTTCCAAAACCCGCTTTCGCATTTCCAGTATTCGGGATCTTGTATATTCATGCGATTGGCTTGATCTTCCTCCAAAGTACATGTACAATTGTCTCTCCAAAAATCAGCCTCGCATCTCCAATAATTTGGATCCGAAATTTTCCGGCGCCTTCCCTCCTTGTATCGCGATTTTGACAACCAGAACATGGCCTCACACCTCCAGTAGTACGTATCCTTAATGGAAGACCGACGATCGTCAACATCCGACGTTCCAGACTTAAGACTCATCAGATATATGCATGTTTCGCGTTTTGTGGTTGCGAAAGTCTTCCAGTATTCCAAAGGATACAGGGGATGTGGAAAGCAACGGGTTTGAGGGGTGGGCGGAGTTGGGGCCTTGTCTGGTATAGAAGAGTAATCACGGATGGTAGGATTCTTAGTCAACCTCTTATTGACAAGAGACATAGGCAGGCCATAGACACCATAGATATTGAACGCGTTAACTGGGCCCCTAACGGGGCTAGACATGCCCCGAAACATTATAGCGACGAAAAAAAATTGGCACTGAGTTTTGAAGAGAGTAGGATTTGAAGCTGCATCTGCTCTTATATATCGTATACAGATAGATGTAGATGATTTTGTGATCACAATATCATGTGATATCGCGAAGTTTTTATTAGGCCACTAGGTAGGGCAAAAGAGCTCAATCACCACCAGCGCCGTGGTGGTATAGAGGGTACGAATCACCCAATCCAATCCCCCCAACAGTTTTGTGATGAGAATATCACATGATGTTGTGAAATTGAGATTCATCTTCAGCGTGTGAAACCATGTAAGGATTGACGATAATACCCGGAGGTGGGTGGAAATAGCCTGTCTCCAGGCCGGGCCGTCAATGGTGGATGAAGAAAGGGGAAAAAAACTTTTTGACCAAACGTGTTGTTGCATGCGCTCTTTGTCTGGATGTGGCTGCCCTGTTTGCAAGCTGCAAACAAGAGCCCCAGCATTCCGGACGGTTCCATCCACTCGTATACATGTAACATAACTGCTGACCACAGCTTGTTGGTGCAGGGTTGCCGTACGCAGATAAGAAGAGTGTACGCAGTATTCTAGCCGTAATTCTGTGTCGCTGAGCTGGCAATCCTCTGCAATCAACCAAGCTTGCCATCCGTCAGCCTCCTCACATTATGCGTAGTCGCCTTCCCATGCACCTGAGCTTGTGGCAACACCCCCCTGACTGAAGACGTGTCAAAGAAGGACTGGCAACATTTGTGAACAATGAGTTTCATCCTTGAAGTGCTGATTGGGACCCATGTATACATAATTTGATCCTGACATTTATTTTTAGGTTTGAAGTACTGAACTTGTTGGAGTTCCTTCACAAGTCCTATCCCACGTGACCCACCCACACATATCCACTAGATATTAGCTGCCGCTAGATAGAGGTAGATAATAACAACCGAGCAAGTTAAACCTCTCTTCTAGGTTATGAAGCCCTTGCACTTCTACGAAGCGTTATATCATACAATAATCTCTTCAAAAATAACCTCATCTTTTCATTGATAACCTCGATAACTTGATAATCAAATGCCTGTCATTGCCCTTCCGTTCACTTTATTCTAACTTTCACCACCCTCTATTCGGACAGAGGAATCATCTCATTTCAAAGATGTAAATGGAATGCTTCCGTGCTTTTACTCCTCGGAGAGGTATTGAGTGTGGGGAACAACAACAGGAAGCGCTGCGGTTCACTCCCAGTTGATTTCTCAAAAGTTGCTGGGAATCATCAGCTCAAGAAAGCCTAGTCAATTGGAAAAAAAAAATATTTTTTTTTTGAAAGAAATCACGCGTGCCCCGACATTCGCGACTTCTTTGTGTAGGAGAGCCAAATGGGATTGCGGGCAAAATTGGATGGCATGTAAGGGATTGTACTGTAGGTACGGAATCGTCGTAGATCTCATTCAGGTCAAGGAATAATGATTGCTAGTAAGGAGACACCGTGCAAAGAGAGAGAGGTAGAAAGAAGGAAACTAGGTCTGAGCATCTGAGTAAAATATATGGGGACAGATCAATCCAGTCGCCCGTCTGGGCATCAAGATGAACCAATGGAGATGGCGATGGCGATGGAGATGAAGAACGGCAATAGAACGAAACTCAAAAACTTCAGGGCTAGGTAGGGTTTAGTGCTCTCCTGATTGGATTTAGCGCAGAATCACAGTATCTTACATGAAACTCTAGCTTTTAAATAAGATTCATGTTTAAAAACTTTCTGCTTTTTAACCTCACCAGATGATGTAATTTTTTTAAGTTCTCTCTTCTAAGTTAGAGCCGCTGTGCGACTCTGCATTTTCTCAATACGACATTGGTCAGAAACCTACAGTAAAGAAAAGTTATATATCATGAGTAGTGAGTCTCTTTCTCCGTCTTGTCTGTCTATCTTTCTATCTAACCGACCTGGTTATCTCTTCTTTCATCTCTTCTATCCAACTCCTCAATATTGCATACACAACGTTTTACTCCGTCTGTACCTTGCTCTACATAGCACTCGTCATACTCGCAACCAGTTCATATTTCCCCAACATCAGTGGGACGGGGTTTGAAGAGAAAAAAAAAAAAATGCTCAGCTCCTCTTCCAGGCTCGCGCCTGGCGTGATTCATCAACAGACCCCCATACCTCCAGCAGTGCGGAGTATTCGCAAACACTACAGGAGATTTGTGAACTGGTTGAATAAAGCAGCCCTCCCACTCTCACATAAAAAAGTGGGAAACCAAGGTCAACTACGTCAAATTTCTTTCCAGGAGACAAAGACCTCACCTTTATTGAACCTTCCACTTGAACTCGTCCTCATTATCAACAGCCTTCTGCCTTTGGAATCCCAAGTCTGCCTTGCTCTCACCTGCAAGACACTTCTCAGGCTTAACAAGCAAGCCCTGGCTGCCCCCCAATTCAAGTTCTTGCCCAACGATGTCTACGATCGTGAATTTATGAAAAACTGTGATAATTTCAACACAGAGAGATGGCGGTTGCTTCGCCTGTTAGAGAATGATCAATGGCATTGCTGTTCAACATGTCTCAAATTGCATCCAGCCAGTCAGTTTTCTCGCTGGGGAATTCTAGCTCGAGCCACGCACAGAGTGTGTTATCTAGGGAAAGTTGGCATTGTTAATCTTTGCCCTTGCATGAATCTGACTTTCCGGGATAAAATCAAATTAATTAAGCTGCTGGAGGCTGAGAATATGGTCGATTGCTCATATCTATTGCATAAGTGTTTCTTCAGCTTTGGGTTGACAGACGTTGTTACAAAAATCTCTGCGCTTATCAGTGGAGATGGCGAGTTATTCATTTGCACACAATACGCAGTGTTTGCACGTGCGCTTCGTGTTAGCGAATCCATTGCACCTCTGCGTCGGGTTTTCTGCCCCCATTTATCTTTCTATGATTACCTTCTATTATTTTCGGGCTCAAGGAGTGAACTCGATTTACAGGCCAGAAGGTTATGGAGGAAACACCCGTTTAATATACCATCTGAGGCATTCCAAAGAGGGCTGTATTGCCAGTATTGTGACACCACAATCTACGTCGTTAGGTCCAATCTCAACATCGGAGGGTATCGCCGGAATTTATTTTTTGAAGTTATGACAGTTAGGAATCTGGGACGGCGTACATATGTCGATGACACTTGGCGGTATCAAACTGTATATCCATCCTCGTGGAGTGGGTTTGGGAATACGCCATTTAAAATACGATATCCACGCTCCTTACGTGAAATTAGGGATTCGCGGAAACATAGTCCTTGGGCTTTTAATTTTTGTTTCCACCGCATTCTCACCCCAACGGAGAACAAATCCCACCGATGGCCCGCAGTTCTAGAAAATCCGCTCACGTCCAACGATATTCCTCCCGTAAACGAACATCTTCATGACTCAGACATCAATATCGACGGCAGTTATGGTTTCATTGTCAAAGTGGAGACTATTAATCGGCGCAGGTAGGGAGCCGCCATCGCAGCGGCTGCCTCGTAGTCTCCACCAACTACGGCCCAAACCTGACACTTGCACCCATTTGCGTATTTTTTTTTTTTCTATTCAGATATTCTCCTATTTCTACAATTTGGACTATTGCATTATTTGTAATGCAGTTGAATGGAAGATTCGTGGTATAAAAAATCAGGGATAACCCGTTGATATTTCGCGAGCGTCAGAGCTCCGTCAGAGCAGCTAATCTTAATCTATTCCTACTTCCGAAAACATTACTTATTCCCCTATCCATAAAGCCATATTGAGTTCGTCTTAGCGTCACCCCGAAGGGCTACCAGTCACCAGCACTGCGTAGAAGTGCGAACTCGTCGCTGGTGCCCAACCTCCCTCCCACCCGTGATCAGTTCTCATCAGCGTTGGCCGCGCCGAAGGGAACTGCGGGCCCCTCATGCTGTGCCGACTGTGACCCACTAGGAGCCACAGCCGCCGTGGTCGTCGAAGAGAGGGGGGATTGAGTATTTGGCAAAGCAGAGTTTGAGCACTGCTGAGGCCGCGGTGCGACCTCCTCCAAAACTCTAGTCTCGCTCTCTCCGAACGGCCACGTTCCTCATGTCTTCGGGATCAGCGCCTGAGCCCGACTGCGGCCACAGCCATGGGCAAAGCCGTTGAACCCAGACCAGCAACGTAGGATGCTGGAGGAACAGAAGCATGAGGGTAAGTAGACCTGTGATCTCGGTCAGCTCCATCATGGAAAAAAAAAAAATTTTTATATTGGGAAAGCTTTGGAAAGAGGTTTGGGGACGTTACGTTCTTTTTAGTATGAGCCAATTGGTGAGGGGAGAAAAGAAAAGAAGAAGAAGAGAAGAAGAAGAGGAGGGGATCCGGACAGGAATTTATAGGGAAAAAACAACAAACATTGAGAAGGATAGGGAAGGAGACATTCGTGAAAGCGGAAACCACAGTTGACCTCAAAAAGGAAGTCGTGAGCTCCTTGGACAACCTGCAGTTTCCTAGATGGTAGGATATGGTCACTCTACGGGAAATGAACGGCATATCCGGTGGACCCGTTCCTTCCTGAACCGCCGCAGATTCCCAACTAGCAGGATCACATCTGATGTCTGACCTCTGGCTGCGTAGGGTGCCGCCATTCTTTACGGACGGGATCTGAATGCCTCGAGGAGCCTTTTCTGTCTGCAGCAGGTGAAACTGGCTTTGTAGCTATTTCCGCTCCCTTTGAAGTCTCTCAGATATCATTATTTAGAGAATAAACGGTGAGCGAAAGTCCACACAGTTGTAGGCTTGCGGCTATTATTTTCCTTCCTTCCTTCCTTCCTTCCTTCCATCTTGGGAGGCTTCGTGGCAACTGGGAGGGGGTACGTAATTCTCAGCCTCATATTTCAAGCGGAAGGTGCTAACAAGTTGCATATCCGGGAAACGCTCAACAGCAAAAGCGACCACAGCGGGCAGGGGCAAGGAGCTGACAATGTTGTTTACACTGATTTGATTGTCGCCAGTGGTAGTGGTTCCTAGAGAATGTTCCCCTTGCTGTTTGATGCCAAGCGAAGCCATGGAAAATATGCATTGCGGAACGGTCCCTAGCCATACATATATATACAATTATAATTACCACACATGTGTGAAAATCTCAGACAAGATTCTGGAAAAGACAAAGTTGTAAATGATCAATCTCTGAGCTCACAACAGTTATCTTGTGAGATACAGCTCAAGGAACATATTTAGAATTTGAATTTCCCATGTAAAGTGCGTGATAAGAGCAAGAGATGTTTGCAAGAGCGCCTACAGAGCACAGCTACTAGTTGTACCGTGATATAATGAGTGCCGGTAATACGGGTAGTGTGAGGTATGCATATAGAGCAAAGGATATAGGAATTTTATATTCAAAGTTTATTGCTGATCTTCTGAATCATACAGATCTCAACGGGCCTTATATAGCTGTCATTGCCACTGTGTTGCATTAATTCCATTGATTTCCATTATCTCCTCGTTCCATAACACCAACGCGGGAGAAGCGATCGGGCCGTTGTCACTCAATGGCGCCCCCCGGGTTCGTCTTAGGAGGGATTAAAAAAAAAGGGTGATTTGTGAAAAGAATTGAGTGGACTTCCATGGGAATTTCCCTCGCCCTGGGGACAATGAATTGAAAGCTACTTGAATATGCACCAATTATTAGGAAGACCACACTTTTCTCGGAATGACACCAATTCATGAACATTTTATAGCTACTGGGGCATTTTTGATAGTTTGTTTATTTTCTTTGATAAAAGAAGGGTTGGGGAGGGGGGGAGATCCTGCTCTTTTGTTTCTTTCTTCTTTTAACAGACAACAATCGATGTAACTAGATTGAAAAAAAGAATAATAACATCAATCTGTTCTTATTTCTCATCCTTCAGATCTTAGTTGGTTAATCCCTGGGCCACCTATCGCCCGGAATTCTAGCACATCACGCCAAGACTCGAAAATCCCCCACTGTTCGGGTTGAGAAGTCGGTAGCTCACCTGTGTTTTCAATTTACACGGCGGTTCTGCTTTCGGTATGGCCCCCGCATAGGTGCTAATCTGTAATTCCAATCTGCTGCATCGGGTGTGCCAATTCCTCCGCCAGTCATCATACCCTTAGCATATATCTGCCACATTCAGGGGTTTTTTAATATGGATGCTTGATTTACATATCACGTGATCACTGCTTGTCAGCTCTGCAGGTTGGCTGTCTGTCCCTTTCTATACGAGTAAGCTTCTTAAGGACAATTCTCACTACATTGGTTCGATGTGTACCATTGCCCGCAGCTCGCGAAATCGAACAGTGTACAAAAACGAAATCAACAGCTCCCAGTCCCAGAACGCCGTCCCATATTCCCTTTGCCAGTCCGCGTCAGATCCCGGAAATAGATGCTATTTGACAATCCTCTGGACAAACAAGAAAACGATATCCAACGCTTGTGTTCACATCTTGTAAGGCCCGCGCCAAGTAGTGACTCTGCCAGGTGTCCTCCGTCGCGAGGCCCACAAGGCCCTCGAGGCCCTCCACAAGATGGACGCTTCCGGCGTCCTCATGAAGTTACTGGACCGAGTCCAGCTCGAGCTTGACATCTGCAAACCTCTCATACCGACCTACACCCATCTTCTATTATCTACGCTCTTCCCCATCTACATCGGAGCCCATGCGTCCTTGACACGACCCGCCTCGGCAGCCAAGCCAACCAGACTCAAACGCAAACGTGGAGATGATGAATCTGCTATTGATGGGGAAAACCAAGAAGACAGCGACCAGGAAGATGAAGAGGAGGAAACCAGCGTGAAGAAAATGGAAGGCCTCGAGCCATCTGACGCCATCATGTTTCCCGTAATGGCCGGCCTCACCCTGGCTGGTCTATATTTCCTGATCAATTGGCTGAAGGACCCAGCTATCCTCAACAAATTCCTGGGTTTTTACTTCACGCAGGCAGGAACCGTCTTCGCGATTGCATTTCTGCGCGACGGATTCTCGCTGTTCCGATCCTTGATTTTCCCATCCCACTACGCTCTGGATGGGTTTCTGTGGAAAGCAAACCATCGTAGAAGGATTTTTGTACCTGTGGGACATGACGATTTACCTCTAGCAGTGGTAGAGGACGAGGAGCATCGCAGGTCACCGTTACCGGGCTATCTAGGAAACATTCCTTTGCCCCCCTCATTTTTGAATACCCTCTGGCACTTACGCGACTTCACATATAAGAAAGCCTCGGTACGCGCCTACATCCACGCCATCGTCGAAGTCAAAAGTCGCATCACGATCTTTGACGTCATAAGTACCATTCTTGCGCTCGTGGCCGTGTATTTTTTCACTTTCGTGACGAAGCCGTGGTGGTTAACCAATTTCTTTGGCTTCAGTGTCTCCTACGGAGCCATGCAGTTCATGTCGCCTACGACGTTCTGGACAGCCTCGCTGATTCTTGGTGCCTTGTTTTTTTATGATATTTATTTCGTCTTTTTCACCCCGCTGATGGTTACGGTTGCTCAGAGCCTGGATATACCAATCAAGTTGGTTTTCCCGCGCCCTGCAGCGCCGGGGGAGGATCCTGATCTGAGCCGCATGGCTATGCTAGGGTTGGGCGATATTGTGATCCCGGGCATGGTTATCGGTTTAGCGCTGCGGTTTGATCTTTTCCTTCATTACAAGTCAAAGGCCGCTTTATTGAAGCAACCTGCCAAGATCCCATATGTCAGTGCAACGGGCCGTTGGGGCGAGCGTTTCTGGACAACGTGGTTCGCATCTGCATCCAGGTATTCGCCGATCGTTCATCCTCAGCTCCTGGATGGAAGACTCACGTCCCACGAAGCGAAGAACTTTCCCAAGACATACTTCCATGCTAGCCTTGTCGGGTATGTAGTTGGCATGCTGGTTACGCTGTTAGCAATGCAGATATCCAACCATGCCCAACCCGCTCTTCTCTATCTTGTCCCAGGTGTGCTTGGATCTCTGTGGATAACTGCCCTCATCAGAGGCGATATCAAAGAGATGTGGAATTTCTCCGATGCGATTGAGGAGGAAGAAGACAAAGATGCGGATATAGGGGGAAATAATACCGGTGACAAGGACAACGATAAGGAGAGGGAGAAGGAGAAAGAAACGTTTCCTTCACCTTTCGGAGTCGTCCGCAAGCTGTTTTGCAAAGAGGATACCTTCAAAACCCCGGCGCCCTTATCTAAGAAATTGGATCGCAATGATAAGGATAAGGACCAGACTGATAACCGCGCAGCACAAGAAACTTCCACGTCTATAGACCTAGTATTATTCTCCATTTCCTTCCCCAAGTCAAAGCGGCAGTATAGGAAAATCACCACCACCAATGGCAATGACCGACGAGAAGACGAAGACATAAATCTGCCAGTAAGTCTTCCCACGAAGCGGGTAGATGGAACAGAGGAGGGAGAAGAAGAATTCGATATCTCTGATCACGAAAGCGAGTCTTCTTCATCGTCCACTTCTGCGCCTGTCCTTGTAGCGGCCGGGACGAGTGCGGATGTCGAAGAGCCCGTACTGAAGAAGCGGAGGACGCGGAGGGCCGGGTAGAAGGTATGGGTATTATGAGTATGTATGGTTAATGATGAATGTTATGCAACTGAGCCTATTCGTATCTATGATACACATATGATAGAATTGTTGAGTATGGTTAATATCGTTTCCATTTGTATTTGCAGTTTTCATCGGAGTTTGGTGAATCGCTTGTGTATGAAGCATTTGTATAGGGATTCAGGTACGGTTTACATTTGGCTATGTATATTTGCGAGACTTAACGATATGATGATATATGTGTAGCAAGATGACACGATCATACACATGTATATTCACTTCTTTTTTGCCTTCCACTGAGTCGGCACATAGCTTTTGTTCGGCTCCTTTTCAGCGCCTTCTAATGGTTTATCTTCTCGCCAGCTCAGGATTCAAAATAATGCTGAAATGAGAAAAAAGAAAGTGTGTCTATGAATTGCGCACGCCATGCTACATACTGCTAAAAAGTGATTAAATAAATTCATCTAATCACCTACTTAAATCCTCTTCTGCAAGTACATGGACTGGATGGAGGAGTGGGACGGGACATAAGAATACCCAAATCACCGCCCTGTAAGCAAGCCCTTCCATTCCTCCCATCTCCCGGCTGCCAACTCAACCAACTCCCTCATCTCCCTCCTCCCAACGCTTAACCCGCCATTCTTCTCCAACTTCAGAATTTTCATACGCCCCCTTGCCTCCTTATCCACTACCACACATACCCTCTCCGCACACAATGACTCCTCAAACCCATCCAAATCAGCCAATATCCACCTCTGCGGCCCTCTGCCACCGCCACCACCACCCTCCTCCCCACACACTTTCGATTTCCCAGAATCGGTCCCGGCCTCCACCTCCGTACCCACCGCCATCGGGATCCTCCACCTCTCCATCTCGTCCGCCTCAAACACTCCAAACGAACTCGCAATCGGCAGTCCCCGGAGTCTCAGCGGCCGTGCCTCAGCTACATCGTCGGAACACAGCACCATTTCACTATCCAAATCCCACCACGCCTTGGGGAGGCGTGTGTCGCGCAGGGCGGCGACTATGGCCCCCCATGCCGCGTCGAAGAGGTTGCCTGCGTGCGAGATTATGAGGACGTCGATGTAGAGCGTCCAGAAGGCCTTTATTTCTGGTTCGCTCTCCGGTTCTGGTCCTTGCGGCTGTTCTCGTGGGGATTTGTCGGAGGTCAATATACCTGTGAGGTCGGGTGGGTGGTGGAGGATGCGGAGATCGGAGGCCCGGACTAGGCGGGTGGTATGGAGGAGGGAGAGAAGTTTGTGCGAGAGCGATTGGGCGAGGGCTGAAGGGGCTGCAGATGAGGTTATGCTGGGGGTACATCCCGTGTTGAGCGAAAGGTTGGGGACGAGGAGATTGAAGGTGTGGATTTCGTCCTCATCTTCATCACCATCTTCGTCCTCGTCTTCCATTGGTTCGTTTTGGTGTTGTTGTCTCTGTTTTCTCTGTTGTAGTTGTTGCTCTGCTCGTATTTCGCCAGCTTTCCTCCGCTTTGGCGTGGTTGAATCTGACGACGACACATTCCATGCAGCTATATCATTCGTCGAGAGAATCTCACCGCGCACACCACATACCGCGACTGTGTCTCCAATGCGAACCACTGCACTGGCATTTGTATGTGTGAGTGAGCCTGTGTTGATGGATACAGGGCGGAATTGGGAGGGTACGCGCCCGTTTACGCGCAGGGGGGTTCTTGAATCTGGAGATAAAGGTGAAAGGTGCGCAAGGAGGTAGGAATGCGGTTGAAGTCTGGCGAATTGGGATGGAGGTAGTGAGAGGGATGGAGGGGTTCCTTGGAAGGGTTTGGTGGAGTCGGGGGTTATAGTTGAGGCCGAGGTTACTGCCGCTGAAGAAGACATTGTTTGCGAAATGTGAGGCATTGCTTTGTTTCTAAGGGAGAAGCGATTCAGGTATACATTTTCTCTAATAGATTGAGACTATTTAGCAGCCAATCTAGGTGTGGAGGTTCTCATCGGTGCTAGTTTGATTTGAGCTTTTGCTCTCTCTTTTTTTTGGTACGGACGACCGATCTGGCAGAATATCTGCAAAGGCGGTGGATAAATGTTCACGTGATATATCCACTGTGTGATGCATCGCTGCATGCCTTACAATATATTGTTATATAATTGGACCTCCGTCTGTTACTAGGGAATAAATTGATTCAGCTAATAGTCTCGAGAGTTCTGTTGGGTCCACTTTAATTCACAGGTTCACAGGCTATAAGATGCTGATTCTCAAAGAGATGCTGGTTCTCGAATGGTTACTGAGAAGTTTCGTATCCGAACTATTACCACCGCGAGCTGACTCGAACTGGGGACATGTGATATTCCGTTTATGTGCTAACAAACGGATGCGAACCACAGCCGCGACAACGTGACATCAATATGAGGCGCCCTAGAATTGATATTATCGGTGAACGACCAAATCGGTTTCATATCATGAAAAAGATAACGGAGCCGCTGGCCTCGGACGGCACTTTGATGTGATCCGTCGTTCCGAAGATGAGCTGAAGGGAGGTTCTGATGTCCTACCTTCTATCGGGCTGGATCATGTCTTTGCGAGCGGTTAGAATCGACCAAAATACACCACACCTGAACAAACGTTTAAATGGCATGACAAATCGTCACCAAAGCAGCAGGCCATTTGAGACAGATCAAGTTTCCAGCTTCATTGATCATAGCTGGTGTCAATTCCATTTCTGTCAAAGCTGCAGGGATCCCTGCTAGACCTTATCAAAACGCACTGAGAGGACAGCCCATGGGAAGATGAATTGGATGATCTCCGCGATCTCCGCGATCTCCGTGATCATTAGGCATCATAAAGTTCTTAGTAGCATGCCAGATGAGTTGCTGACTTCCTATCTTTCAAACCACAATAACAAAAGCATCCATGAAATGGTGTAAGTAAAGCAACCAGGGACGAAGGCACTTAGGAAAATAAAATCGGATCGATAGCCAAATTCAACAGCAACTGGGGCAAAGGTGTATCCTGTATATTTAACCTTATCTTTGCCGAGTGGTTCTGGAAGTACCGGCAGTTCTTGGAGTCAGATTCAGACGCGGGGTACCTGTAGTGACGAACTCGGCATGTACCACAGGTTGACTGGGAAATAAAATGCAATATAGATTGCAACACCAAACCCCGCCACCCACTGCATCACGATCAATAAAATGCAGATTGAAGTAGAGAAGCTTGGGGCGTCTCACTCAGCGTGTAGCAAATAGAGAAGAACGCCATTGTAGTTCGGATGCTTTAGAAGGAGGCATTTGCACGCTTTTCTTTTAACTTGCGATCCCAGATGAGTCCAATTCTGCTAAAATGACGCCAATATTTGTGACACGAGACATCTTCGATCGCGAAGGAATGACAGGGCGGCTATCTGGTATGGCCTTGGACATTAACACAACATCCTTGAACGGATGTCCTCCTGACAACATCGTCAACATCCCGGTAAAGGAGAAGTAACATGGACGAGTCCGGGCGCGAAAACAACCCAATGCTGTCAGCAATTGCGCCCGTTGGAAAGGTGGACTTCGATTTATTATCCCTAGGCGTCATCCTCAAGAAAGGTCGAGGGAAGAATCAATTTATGAATGGAGGAGAGTTTGAGGGCTGGACTGGAGTAGACCAAATTTGTAAGCGAGGCTCCTTCCTGCCCCACCTAATGCGATCACTCCACTGGCTCCTGGCACAGTCAACTTGGGGACGCAAAGGATGATGAGACCAACTCGTCATCTTCCACTGTTGTTCCCAGAACTCTCCTTTCAGGTTCCTCACTGGCCGGGGAGCAACGGCCTCCTGCGACCTCATCACGGACCAAGCACAGCGCTAGACCCGGCTACTGCAGGCTAAAGCGAGTCAGGCTCGGGACGGGCCAGACTGTCCCCCAATCCTATGTCGATTCCAGGGTCTGCTCGTGGTTCGTGAACAAGGGCTGGGAGCGGTAAACACAGATCTATGATTCGCCGGTCTCCTTCGATCTTTTGTGATTGGCGGGGTTAGGTATGAGGGCGTGGAGGTCGTATCGAACATGGTCACGACTGAGATCATGGTTGGACTGATTCTGTGCAAGGCGAATGTCATGTTACAATGTGGTGACATCAATACCGAAGCTGTCGCGCAAGTCAGTCTTTGGTAATTGCCATGTACCCTTCAGAGTATCTGCAGAAACAGGCACATTTCAACCAAGACTTAAGGCGCAGATGGCTGCCGAAAGTATGCACACATGGTTGCTTGTGAACCCGTCGTGGTGGCTCTACAGTTGCATGCAAGATACGGAACAACTGAATTGGAGCGTCCTTTAAGAGTGACTTGAGTTGGGAACGAATTATCTCCCAGCACCTCCCTTTTTGCGAAGCTATATACGCTCTACATGGATGTTTATTAACTTGGCAAGGTATCAAGGCTTTCTGATTGGCTCTGGTGAACAGATGCAAATACAAAAGCTTGATGGATAATCTACATTGTAGCTCGGATGTTTTTTAAGGATGCTATCCTTGGTCATCACAATGTGAGCACTCCACCCTCGCTTCTGATTCGATCAACAAAACGACTCCGCCCTCGGGAAAGCTAATGCAGAGAGATCTTGCTGTCGCTGATAGTTTTGTCTCTGGTGCAGCCCCCGCGGCACTCCCCCATGCTCCCAGCTTTTGTCCTCAAAAGCGCCGGTTGAGCGGCATTTGGATCCTCCAACCTCTGACTTGAACAGAAGAAAATTTGCTCTCAAATCCAAACAGCCGCCGGCTTTACAGACAACAAAACACCATCCTTCAGCCACACTCCACAATTTCATGCATCACGATAAACTGTTGACTGCTGCCAAGTAGCTCTGCGTTTTTAACTTTCTTCTACCGGCACGCTCATCGCATTACCAATTCCAGCCAATTCTCGTCGACGAGCAATCTTGAGTGCCTTTAAAAGCACCCTTTTTCCGAGGAAGTGGAGTAGCTTTTGTCCCACCTGTACACCCATACACTCACCGAGAGGCCGCACAGATTCTTCCCCTCAAACCAACATATATCTACCCATCTGACTCACACTTTGCCGAACACGCCTCCTGTCAAAGAGCTATCAAGCTGCCCGTTGTCTTTAACTTGCATGTTTACATTCATTCGTTTCAATAGATATTTCGCTTTTGCACACCAAGCCTGGCCTGCTGTGGTCTCTACTTTCGTTTTCCTGTCTTACCTTACCCTCCTTAAGGTGTGTTATCGGAACGTCGTGGGATCCAGTTGCACGACCTCTACATATCTGTTAGACTGTCTGAAAAAAAGTACACGTGTGGGTTCCAGGAGCGAGGCCGAATCAACACAAGTCGAAATCGGCAGTTTTTCCCGAATTTCGCCTTTTCGCATGCCGTTGTTTGCCGCTTCAATCGACTCTTCCGCTTTTCTTCTCTAACTCCACCTTTCGTCCTGACAACAGGCGCAGAAGTGGTCAATGCCCACTGGCTCTTAGGCTGCCGCCCTGGCAATTTTAACCTTGTATATTCCGTGGATATCTCACACATTATCGGCTGTTTTGCGCCACAGTTCCTCTCGCAAATAGCCTCGTTGTAAAGGGCGGAGTGGATACTAGGGATTATTGGAAGTAATTTTAGGTGGGCCGTTGGTCGATTACAAGGAGAATGCTTTAGAGCCTGAACGGGCTAGGCAAAGGAATCTTCAAAGTCGGGAAGGTCGACGTATTCTCATGGTATACCATCTGGATCAGGCCTGAGTAGATGATTGCCACAGCGTGATTTGGGCAACGCCTTTGAAATCAACGCAACATGTCACCGCTCAACAAGTTGGAGAACCGCTCAGGGATTTTCCCCAGGAGATTGGAATCACTAGTATCATTGTGGAAACGCATCGCAATTCCGCCGGGGGTCTACCAGTCTCCGATACAAATAGAAGAGAGCAACAGGGATCCATGGATAAAATCAGGTAAATATGCCCTTGGCTGGGTATATTTCTCCATCATTCTGCTTGTTGCGACGACTTTGTTTTATCTTTACAATATTTGGTGTGATAAGATAAGAACAGGCCTCTACAAGGAAGAAATCCGTAATATCAAGATGTCATCGCCGCAGTTGGATATTGAGATGACAAGCCCTGGCACAGCCAACTCTTCGCGCAATTTCTTCCCTACTGAAGAAACGCTTGACTCCGTTTCCGGGCCTAAACGGGAATCTTCCATCTCGAATTTACCATTCATAAACTACCTAACAGCGTTGATAAGGTGGATAGTCTACAGACCAATTCCAGTTATTCGACTATGGAAGGTGGAGATCGTACCCCCGTCTATGGGTGCTAGCGTTGTAGTGACAATGGCTTTAATATTTGTCACGCTCTATTGCTTCGTACCCCAACCCCTTTTTTATAGCAGCATCCGAGCCGGATCTCCCCCCCTAGCTATCCGTGCTGGAATGATCGCTGTTGCGTTGATGCCGTGGATAGTCGCGTTGAGCTCGAAGGCAAATCTCATCTCTCTAATGACCGGCATTGGCCATGAGCGGCTTAATGTCTTGCATCGGTGGGGCGGCTACCTCTGCCTCTTTCTGAGTCTTGTTCACATGATTCCATTTTATATTACCCCTGTCTGGGAGAACGACGGATTGCAAATATATGGGAAGCTTCGCACTGGAAATTTGTATATCTACGCCTCCGGACTGGCAGCATTCGCACCGCTTTGTTTCCTTTGTGTCCATTCCTTACCCGTGCTCCGCAACCGGATGTATGAGCTCTTTGTAACCTTACATGTACCTGTCAGCATCGTGTTCCTTGGAACGCTTTTCTGGCACTGCAAAAATTTCTTGACTTCATGGCATTACCTGTTTTCTACCGTGGGGATCTGGCTGGTGTCATACTTCGCTAGGCTGTTCTTCCTTAATTGGACTAACCCCTTCCGTCTTTCCTGGCTCATCGGGGAAGAGTCTGCAGTCACAATTCTGCCAGAGACTGCGGTTAAAGTCACGATCCCTACGCAGATGAGATGGAAGCCAGGCCAGTACGTCTATTTACGGATGCCAGGTATCTCATTCTTCGAGAATCACCCCTTCACAGTTGCCTCTCTATGTAGTGACGACTTTCCCTCCGAATACGGCGAGGAGTACCGAGATATGATACTTGTCTTTCGGCCATTTGGTGGCTTTACCGGCAAAGTACTTGACACTGCTCTTGAAAAGGGCCCGTACAAGACTTACCGTGCTTTTATTGATGGCCCTTACGGAGGCATGCGACGGGAAATGGCCTCATTCGATGACGTAGTCTTTTTTGCGGGGGGCAGTGGCATTACAGCCATCGCTAGCCAGCTCCTTGATCTAATCAAAAGAATGCGAGACGGCAAGGCCCTCACGCGAACTGTGCGGGTTATCTGGGCCCTCAAGCGCCCGGAAACCATGGAATGGTTCAAAGAAGAATTGCGAATATGTCGTGAATATGCCCCTCCAGGCTCTGTCTTTTGCCAATTCTACCTCACGGCCGCGAAGCGCCACGACGGAACCACCATAACTCGCTCAAGGCCCCATAGCACTGTCTTACACGATCGGATAAATGACGTTTTCCAGGGAGTCGCTAGCAAGCGAAACTCTGCCTTCATCCGTGAGGAAGCTGGCGGGGATGTAGAGCGCGAAAAGGAACTGCGCCGCGAAAACGAGGATGGAATTTCTGCCCTCCCAGCCGCCCTAATCCAGCAACACCACCAAAACTATCATCACTCGCGCTCCCTAGGCCCTGAAATCGTCGCCCCCATTCCCGTCGCGGGTTCCGCACACCCGTTCCCCTCTTTTCCTTTCTCCCAAGAGGATTACTTCAACCAACAACACCAACCACAACAAGCGACGGAAGACCCACGCTCTTTCGACTTCGGTTTCCCCAGCACCCCCACACTTTTCCAAAAGAACCTAATGCGTTTCGCCTTCCTCCCGACGCAAAAACGCGACGGCTGGCGTACCGAATATGGCCGGCCGGATATCCCCTTTATGCTGCGGCAGTTTTCTAAAGATTTCGGCCGGCGTACGTGTGTGTTTGTCTGCGGACCGCCTAGTATGCGGATTGATGTGGCGAATACGGTTGCGCAGTTGCAGAGAGTTGTTATGAAGGATCCGGGGAAGGATGAACTGTATTTGCATACCGAGAATTATGCTATTTGAGAGGCCGAGTTGTGGTTGGCGGGTGGGTGGGATATGTTCGTCTGGGGAGGGCGGTTGACATATAAGTATTGTTCATATTATTTTCTCCAAGCATATACGTACCTTTAGTTTTTTGTTCTTTTCTTATGTATATATTTGGATGGAAGGGGATACCCGGGCTAGGGCTATGATTTATTATCCAACCGGAAAATGGATTCATTGTATGTGGCTAAGGTCCATAAGTTTACCTTGTCCCCATCATTTAATCAAGTCATATCAAATAATATATATATATATATATATATTTACATATCGTTCAAGAGGTGCGGCGGTTTATTCTATCCTAGGGTAATATTACAATTATCGTCTCGCACGCACACAAACACACACACACACACACAAAACACGACATTTCCCTCAACATACATTCCCAAGGGATATTTGAATTGCACATAACTTTAGCAAATCGAGGCAGACGCATGTTACCTCTCGTTTGGGAGAGAGAAATAGCGATGGATATTATAACGCCAAGCACGGACGGAAAATGTGCCAACCTCACGGACGTGTTGTAGTTTGAAATTCTCGGTTTCCTTAACTAATTTCTAAACGGCCACGAGAGAGTAGAAGGAAGCTCTTATGAGATACCGTGAGATTGCAATGTAGGTACAGTGCCTCGCAATAAGTTTGAAACTATTGTGACTTCTCATCAAAATCCACTAGTCCAAAAGTAGTTTAGTACTTGTACTGTTTATTGCAGAACTAGTTCTGATTGATCAAATTACATCTGGAAATCAAATATTTCCACTCAATAAAGAAAACATTTGAGGAAGAAGATAGAAAAAATGAATAAAAAAGTAGAGAATGGTGTAGATGAGTGGAAAAATACAGGTAAATGGATGCATTTGTGACACTATAACTACAACTAATTACTACAAGTTAAACTACTTTTGGACTAGTAGATTTTGATGAGAAGTCACAATAGTTTCAAACTTATTGCGAGGCACTGTATATATAAGGTTGCGGATGGTGAAGGGACGTTTCCGGAGACCGCCCTCAAGACCGGATGGGGTTTGCGGAGCGCTTACATTCCCTGATGCGTTGTTGGCTCGGCTTCTCGAACGCGGTCGTTGACGGATAGAAACGGGAGAGAGAAGGTATATGGATGGATAACGTGGCACCAACCTTCGAAACTCCGCAAGCAGCGTTTAAGTTGTGTTTGTACCCTAGTAGTAATCCATAGTACTCCCCTCCCAAGGTGCATCGAAGGATACCTAAAACGACTTTGGAATGGAGTAAATAAGGATCTTCTTCGCTGGATGGACTCCAATGACAATACTATTCGCAAACGTTCATGCGCTTTTCATCCGTTTCCGGACATATTCTTCCCCGTTGACAGTGTCATATTCTTCCAGTTTTTCTGTCGCGGTAGGGTCGCATTCATCCAGCTCAACCTTCTCCCAATCTTCATCGCCTTCGTCATCCTTGCACCCAGCGTCGTTGAGGGACCCAGGCTTAGTATCTTCGTCATCTTCTTCCCATGCCAGCTTGAGACTGACTATCTTCGCACCACCAGGCTTCAACCGTCTGTAATAACCTTCAACCACACCTCCTTGGATTGTAAATCCGCGTGCCAAGTACCAGAGCAACGCTTCCTCGTTAGTCTCGTGGACATGCGCGGTTACTGTCTGGATATTATAATGCCTAACAATCCCCGATACTGCTCGCATTGGAGTCCCTGGGGGTGAAGCCGAATCATATATCAAAGAGTCTAGTAGAGAAGCTGCTATGCCTCTCCCACGATAAGATGATAGGAGGTGTAGTGTTTGTATATATAAATTCGTTGCCTGCCGCAACGGACACGAAACAGAAAGCTCAGAGGGTGGAGGAAGAGGTTCTAATCGACATCGTATCCCGCCAATAACCTTATCTGAACTCGACAATGACGGTGCTTTGGCCGTTGTGGGGAAGGTAGTTGCCGTTATATCGGTGACAGGATGATCGTGGTAAATGGCAACGCGTGAAATCGAGGCGACAATAGAGTCCGTGATTGTAGCGGTGTAAAACGAGTTTGGATAGCGCACTGGGAGCAAAAGACCTGTGATCCGCATTAATGACGGTATGTGCGCCGTTTTGACTGGTTCGATCGTGACGTTTGGGTGCGGAGTATAAATGGTCTCGAGAGAGCTGGCGTACGGCTTTGGTTCAAAAGCGGGGTCGGTGTTACGAGACTTGCCGATGCGCGCCGAAGTTAAAGACGGCGGAGCTGGGGGTGTTGTTTGGAACAAACTCCCCTTGTTGACATTTGGTCGGTTATTGTTGGCTCTGTTGTTTGCTGTAGTCGGCGGGGAGAATGGGGGAGGAGGGGAGGCTTTGGCCGCTGAACCCCTCGCAAAAAAGGGCAATGCCATAGCTCTGATGCGTTGATGGTGGAGGTGTTTTATAAGCGTGGACTGTCTCTTCCACAAGGAAGTTAGCGGCCGTATACAACGAAAAGTCAAATGGCGAGCTTGAACAATCCAGAATTGGAAGCCTGATGTCCAGCGGCTTAAATAGGGTTTGCGGAGATGAGATAAGATAAGATCTGCTCCTGACATGTAAGCCAACGTGACATATCGCAATAACTAACTCCTCCTTACTAGTAACTAGTTTAGCCAACTGCCGGGGTTTCTCCAAGAAAGACCGCAGCGGAAAGCTTGGAGCTTGCATTTCGACAATTCATCGTGCAGGAGTACCACGGCACCCGCCCTCAGCCTGCTTAATTCACAGCTTAGCCGGCGTTGTTGCCGCTCAGAGGGTAGGTCGACTGCACATTTTTGGGCATTTTTACTTACGCTGAGGTACGCTTTACTCCCCAAGGTCTCACTAATCTTGAGCTGACGTTGTGACCACGGTCTAACTCTATGCCCAGGTGTTGCAGGAAAGCCCCCAAAGAAATACATGTCGCCCCTTACCTATTTTCCCAATAAATGAACGCCTAGGAAGAGGTCCAAGGGGCCCTTCTTTGTATTCCCTTATTTTTGGATAGCCTCCGTCTCTGCCATACAGACAACCGCCGTTGGACCGATCAAAAGTTGCGATTGGGGCTGTCAAGCGACAGAGGAAAGAAAGAAAAAATCACCCGTCGAAGTTTCATCCTTGAGCCATACGCTTTGGGTCTGCTTCTCAACGTTAATGTTGATTTAAATCGCATGGAGACAAACTATACGGCTAGGGCAGAAGGATCTGTGCAGTTAAGGGGCGGGGTTTTGCAGAAGTTGCTTTGAAGTGAACCCGTTGTGTCCATTTTAACCATCAAGTGAGCATCTATTTTGTCCGTTTTTGAAGCCAGCTTTGTGTGCAATTATGGCCTGTACATGCACTCGGAAGTTCCGGAAACCTCTGGCAATTAAGGCTTTCCCTAAGTCAACCCAAGCCCTCTTACACCTCCTTAACATATTTCGATTTGCATCTTGAGTTGTGGGTGGATTGTGTAGCCCTCCATTGTTTCATATAAACTGATTGCAGGTGCAAATGCAGGGGGGCAAAGTTCCCGGCATGGCTGGGATTCCGGAGGCAGAGAGCGATATACCTGCGACTATGTCTAAATTGGTAAGATCCCAAACTGGCTGTTTTCTTGCTTCATGGAATTTTCGGCTGCATGACCTAACTTATACAGGCACGGAGTGTTCTGGATGACACCTTCTACAACATAATACATGACCTTGTTTCAAAAGTTCACCGTGAAGAGAAAATTGCACGTATGAGGTCAGCTGTCGTCTTGGCCAAAAAAATTGGTGAGGAAGAAACAAACCGTCTCCAAAAACAAGAGGGAGCACTTGAGAACGGATCTGCGGAGCTCAGTGCTGCTGCGCCGTCAAACGTGAAACAAAAAGACAGCAACCTCGTTCGGGTCGAGACAGACGGTGCAATTTACGAAAATGGTAAAGTTTACTTGAAAGGGAATCCATTTCAGACGACCAAAGAAATCATATGTCCTAATTGCCGTTTCCCCCGTCTCCTTTATCCGCTCTCCGGCATTGGCTCTAGACCACCACCAGATCCGTATAAAGAATACTGTAAAAAGCACCCCCCGATCATCATGCCTGGCCATGATGTTCATGGTAATCCATTTGCCACAGATAAAATAAACAGGAAAAAAAAGCAACAACCACAGCAGCCAAATAGCTCAAACACACCCGCGTCTAGTCCACCATCAACACCATCAACGCCGTCAAACTCCTTCAAACACGTCGTCGCCGAAAAAATCTCCTTCCCCACCGTGAAATGCCCAAACTGCCCACGCTACTTTGTCGTCACCAGAGTCGCGCAGCACCTTGATAGGTGTCTAGGCCTATCAGGCAGACTAACAAAACGCAATCTCACCCCGATGGAAAGCGGAACTAGTACGCCGGTGCCACTTCCAACGAAACCTTCAATGCTCAAACGAGCCCTCCCCAATGGCGACGACGATACAGCATCTGGATCCATCCCCAAAAAGAAGAAACTGAACACTCCGAAAAAATACGCCAGCAAGAAGCCAACCCCACCAAGCAAGCTGAAAATTGGAACCACACCCGACATGGCAGCTGCCATGGAGTTTCCCGATTCAACACCTACTTCAGCAGGCGGCGGCGGCGATGTTGAACCCGCAAGTGCCACAACAACTACCACTGTCACAACGAGTAAGAAGAAACTTAACCCAACAGAAGGAAAGCCTGGCAAGCTAAAGCGAAATGACATTCAAAGACAGGTAAAAGCATGATTGAGACGACATGATGTTTTTCCCAGGGGTTGGCTCCTGGGGTTCCTATTTTCATCAGTCCTGCATTTCTATACATCCGCCCTACTATCACCTTCAATTGGCTCTCTTCCATCTCTTCTTCGGCTAATATCCGCCTATACCTAACGACACGACACCACGTATTCCCTTAAACTATTCCTTTCCGTTTCATTTTCATCTCAACTGATACATATTAGAAATCATATACATACGGAAAGACATATGCGGCGAAGGTGGAGAAACCATGGGCTTCGGAACGGAGTTTTTGACTCTTTTTCCTTTTTCTTTTCCTTTTCCTTTCCTTTCCTTTCCTTTTTTTTCGGTGGGGGGGAAGGGGAGGTCTCAATTTACTTTCATTTGATTCGAAGTGCCATTCATTCACAGTTGAGTTTTCTTAGGTTAGTAGCTCGTTTGGACCGCTTTATTCTTATTTTAAAATCCAGTTATGCGGGGCTTGTTATGTTCATTGCTTATTTATTTTTATCGCATTCCACATTCACATTTCCTTGTCTCCGTTTTATTTCGCCTTTTGAAATCCGATTTCTTTTGCTCTTTTTTTTTTTTTTTCTCCTTCTTTTCTCGCTCAATGGATCGGCAATTCTAATTCCATTTGTATTTCATTATAGCCCATGTTCTCGTGTGTTGAGGGGTTTGTGAATATAGTTTGTTATTCTGCGCGCTGTCTGTAGGTTCTGCTCCTCATATCGGCGCTGTTTGCTATATATGGAATTAAATCAAAGACTCAAAATCGAATATTCATACCCATCTATTATTTGAGACTATCAGTAACAGGCAATCAAAACGTGAATGTAGCTGAGCATTGACTGCGTATATATATATATTGTCGCTGTATATATTTACACGAGGGGCCATGATTGAAAGGGCTGGTAGGATAATAATAATACAGTAACTGACGCTGGAGCGGAACAACGTTAAATATTTTCGAACAGAAGTAAACAGAGTGATGGAGAACGAACGAGATGGGTCGAGATGTGGTTGCATAGGGAAGAGGAAATGATATGCTAGAAACGTAATGTACAAGGGTCAGCGTTACAGCGTCAAGATTTGTGACTGGAGATGGGCGAAGGAAATAGAAGAGGGACAAATACAAAGAGGAACGGATCAAAGAAGAAATATCAGAAAAAGGGAAAACATTTGAAGGAATGAGACACAATTGAGCATAGCTCGGTTGAGGAGAGAGGATGTTTTACCGAGATTCGGTCATGGACGAGATAGAAGTTGGCTAAAGAAGACAGCAAAAAAACTTCAGAAGCTTGACATTTATTCTTTTGCCTGTTTGACGGATTCGAATTTCATCAGCAAATAGAATGCCTCTACTTCTTGTACCGTGGCAGACATTTAGATATTTGTCCAGGTTCCTTTCTAGCGAGCACGCCTCTAGTTATTATTTCTATTGGCTCATAAACCAAAACATGAACCTGGCCTATGAATGCCCTCTTTCCCGTTTGGTGGCAAACAATCATCCAGGCCATTTGCTTATATAGTTTCGAACCCGTTCTTTAAATCTATCTGGCGGTACCTTTCGCGGTCCTTTTGGTCCTTGAGTACAATCGCGATGCACAGGAGGAGGATAGCATCGATGGCTATGAAAATGCAATTGGTTAGATTTGGGGGAAAGAAATCCCGCTGGGCCGCTTTTTCCCCTCCTCTTCATTATATAATTTATATATTTTCAAGGTTGAACGAACGGAAATCAAATAACTCACCGACAACACCGAAATCCGCCGTGAAAATAACATCAAGAAAGTGATTTGCGTAATTGGAGAAGGGTCCTACGCATCCTGCCTTCTGTGCAGCAACAAGTGGGTTTGGGCATATTCGATCGACTTGGAATGGCGGAGAAGTGCTGTTTAGATAGCCGCAGCAGTCGAACTGAGGATATTTGCATCGTCAGTATACTGTTCTTCTAGCTGATAACTTCTTTTCCACTGCTCTCTTCAACGAAATATAGATGAGATATATCAATATATATCTCTCAACAACGCACCCTTTGCTGAAGCAAACTTTGTATCGCCGCAGGCTGTGCATTCCACATAATCTCTAATTTTGACCGCGTTTTGAGAGTTTCGAACCAGATGCTCAACCCTAAACAAAGGGTGAAAATACCGCTTGCAACGACGAACCAGCCATGGATTTTAAGCCAAACTCGGACCGTTCCTAGCATTATCGCAGGCAACGAGATAATGAAGGTAAAAAAGATGAAACCAGCATTGACGATCGCGGCTAGAACACGTAACAAGATATGTCAGTAAATATAAAGGATGGCCTGACGTATAAATATCAAAAAAAAAAAAAAGAAGAAGAAGAAATAATAGAAAGTTGGTTCAACCAAAGAGGGAAAACGAACGGGTTATAGGGCAGTGTGATAACAGCAAAATGTGCGCGACGTTGTCCAATGTTGCTTCGACACCCAGTTGTGACTTGCTGATGAGCGCAACAGCGAGAATAAGGGCTCCACCTAGGACAAAAAGCCCTTCAGACACAAGGAAAGTGGCAAGAATGCTATTGACCATGTTCTTCGATTTTTCTTTTCCGGTTTTTATCTCAATCCAAACTCGTCAAATTTTTCCCTTAACCCCTAGCCTCTGTCGTAAAGAAAATCTTTCAAAGTGATAGAGGTGCAACTAGCCCTCTCGTTGAAAAAAATTGACAGTTGCGTACACTCTCCGATTTTTCTTCGCTTTTATGATCTCGGCGCTCAGTCCACTCTCCTCTCTCCCTAGTGTACCCTGGCCTCACAGAGAGCAAAAGAGTAGTGTCGACTATCCAAGCCGTGAAGTAGCAAGATCCAAATCCGCTTGAGCCAAGAAGTGAGTGAATAGATCATTGACGACCAGCGTCAATGTCTCTGGATATTATGAAGTAATAATAACAATAGCGATGGCCACAAAGGGTAATTAAAAGTAACTAGAAAACGGTGAGATAGAGTAAAAAGAACAGGAAATGGTGAGAATATGGGTGGGGGGGTTGGAATTCAAAAGTATGATGCACTGCATCTGGATCCACGTACCTCCTCCACTGTCAAGATTCCATTTTGGGGGAAAGGAAGGGAGAAACCGCCCTTACAATGGTGATTCAGCTAGCGAGAAGAAGAAAAAGGATATAAGTCGGGGGGAGAGAGAGGCGTCGCATTCCACTCCATAGATACTTCAGACGAGTTAAATATGCTAGCCGCCAGTTGCCCAAGCATACCAACAGGAGATCAAACACCAAGCTGATACACAAAACGGATATTTTGATACTGATTCTTGTTAACGAGAGAGCAACTGGCGCCGCCAGTCCATTCAGCACGCCACAACTGGGTGGTAGTCGTGGAACCGCGGGCGTTGTCTGATACAGAAGCGCAACCATTGAGGTTTCAGGGTTGGCTTGCCACGTTGTGTGGACCCATTAGAACTGGCGGTTAGAGGATGGTTAAATTTAGTAGGTTCCAAATGCTGTTTATTTGGCAGGTCGAGGTGAGAGATGCCATAATTAGCCTGCAAATGTATTCTCCATTTAATAGAAAGAAAGGGAATTGGGTGCTGCTGAGATACTCATTCAGTCAGTATATGGCTGGCAGGAGGAAAAAGATTAGATGCTGAGGTTGGCCTTGGTATATGCCAAGACGGGGGGCGTCCGCTGTGACTGGGGCTCCAGGATAACTGACGGTTTAGAGACCGAGAATCCAAGCAGGGAACTAGATTAGAGTAATCGCTGGGATGGAGAGTGGTTCCTCAAGGCTGAGTTGCTCTTGATTTCGAAAGTGGGCTCATTCTCAAGATGGCATGAAATACTAAGAAATAGACTTATTAAGAACTCATACAAACCGCAGGATTTTTGCTACCACAGTCTAGAGAATGGAATATTTGAGACTTGCACACAAAATCTAGTCTTGCAAAATTATGCCTCAGATAAGTATATAACCAATCTCACATTCCATCATCACCAATCATAGACATACTGTACATGAGGTGAAGGGCAAAACGGCCGCACATATCCTCTAACACCACCTCCCAGGTCCCTGGGCAGGCACAATCGGCGTCCGACGCCTCCATTATTATATAAGTGTAATATGAAGGCGGATCATACATAAAACAACGTAATACTTCCTTTTTTTTTAAAAAAAAAAAAAGGGGGGGGGGGGGGGAGAGAAACCATAAGAGGACAATAGGATATGACTCCCGCTCTCTGCGTGAGAGATACATTTTTTCGTCCCGCCGCAACTTGGGACGGCACAACACCCTATGACAGCCCAAAGCTGCAACTCTCTAGTTTCTAAAAGTCAACTAATACTGCCAGTTCACCCTTCCCCCTGCCTACCCGATTTTGTGACCATCTTAAACCCCACCCTGAAATTTCAATGGGGCGAAGTAGCCTAAACTCCAGTAACTTCCTTTGGCCAACACAGCCACGGCTGCCACTCCTCTCCGAGCGTCGTTTCAATTTGCTTCACCAGATACCGTGCCCAACCCTTCATAAACCATTGATCATCCAGCCGCTGCAGAAGTGCCGAGTAGTGCGCCAGGATCACCATAGCCTCAGGCTTGCGCTCGCCCAGCAGCTTCAGGTATGTTTGCGGAATAGCTATAGGCCACACGAAAATCACTGGGACAAAATCCTGCTTGCGCTCGGACAGGATGGATACCTGCGTGTAGGAATTGAGCAGCTGGTGGATCGCAAGAGCATATGCATTTGCTGTCTCGCGATCCTGTGCGACACGTTCGCTCGAGCAAAGACGGAGCAAGTCCGTCACCCGTTCTGAGTCGTGAACGTCATGGGACGGGGCGGTTTGCTGTGTCATTGCCTTGTGAAGCAATGGCGCTAGGAAGCTGCGAGATAAAGTCCCCCACTGCGTCTGTAGGACGGAGTTGCAGCCGCGGACCATGTGAAACCAGTCAAGAATCTCCTTCTGGGCGCCTTGGTACCCATCCTGGACGCCCGGCAAGGCTGGGTTCGTGGGCGCGGCAAAAGTGAGCGCGACGAGGATGCAGGAAAATGCGAAGATGGCCACGCAGTTGAATGGGTCAACTCGGTTCAGCACTTCATGGAGGGCCTTGACGGCTATGCTTTGGTGGGTTGATGCTCGAAGAGCTAGTGGCTCCCGCCGCCTCGGGTGTAGGTAGGAGAGGTGCAAAGCAGCAACTGCGAGGATTCCACGCAAGAGGAATTCATGCTGGAATCCTAGCTGGACTACCTGTATCTGCCATATCTCGTGCTGGTCGGAGGTAGCGCCGGATGGAAGTGTTTTGTAGGTGAAGGTAGTGTAGTGGTGGAGGAGTTCGAGGTCGATTACATCCAGGCCTGAGCTTCTTGGAATGGTGGAGGTGTTCGGAGGCGGCCCGATGACAGATGTGGTCGAGGAGTGCGAGGGAGCGGGGTGTGTTGTAGGTGTCGATGGCTGCTGAGACGATGATGCTGCTGTAGAGGAAGATGTTGATCTTGATAAGAGTGCTCGATTTGCTAGGTCACAGGCGATGTTTCTCCGAGCGCAGTTCGAACATTGTGGAGGATGCTCGTCGCACTAGATTTCCCACCTCCCCCAACAGGCAGACACATTTCGTGTCAGTGCTTCCATTTCCCTTGTTTTATACTCAAGACGTACGACAAATAATGAGGTGGACTAAGCTGGTGAAGGGTTTATTGACTTTGATACGCCGTGATTTACACTGAGTGCAACCATTCCGTGATTTCGTATGCGACCTGCGACTACCCATTATTTGTTATCTTTGAGAGAGCGCGGCGACGTCAAATTTATGTCCGGCATGCTATATCGCTTCGGTGATGCCTGAAGATGTATACCGCAATACACCCAGACACCAAGATGAAGCAGAAGATAAGGGGCAATGAATGGTGCTGAACGGAGTAATTTTCTCTGCACTCTTTTCAAACCATTAATGAAGGGATATAAAGTGATACTCAATGAGATTTGCATTTGTTCGTATAACTCTCGCCGGCCGTTGCGCCAGCTTAGACCTCATGAGGTTAGTTGCGGCATGATGATAAATCCGGATGGGCATTACGCATTACGCATTACGCAGCGTATTCCTCTTCTTCACTTTCTTCACGATGTTCCTACTGCGGAAAAGGATGAATAAATGCATTCACCCCAATATATCCCGACGCACGTATGCCTTTTATGCCTTCCCCCCGATCCAAAGATCCTGGATAGCTCTACAAATCTATCATCACGCGAGGACAGTCTCGACAATGTCCAACATCTATACATTGGAGCAGCTATGGTTGCATGACAATCATCTAGCAACCCTTCAGTCAATGCTACAGTTTAGGAAATAAAAAGTGAAAGGGGTTATAATCTTCCTTTACTTTATATGTGGATGGCAGCTGGTATTGCAAGGTGGTGGGTGGGTGAACACTCATTTTCCTGCTTTGTTTTACAAGGATTTGATTGACCCTTCATGGCGCCGACGTTCCTGCACCACCATGATTCCTTCTGAGGAGAGAATGCAATGGAAGCAAGCAGGTAGAATGGCACTGAAATGGGAATTGGGGGTTGCGCGCTTTTGGCGGCGCGAGAACAGGAGCAGCTGGATCAATCGGTAGGAAACCACAAGATCAATGCGTATTATATCTAACAACCCATCTCGAATAACATAAGGAACAGCATGTAGGAGAATCGACGAGAAGGAAAGAAACGGGTTGTACAATCAAGACATGAGGAATCGCACCAGATATATATATATTCAGTTGAAAGGAAAGATCTATCTAGCGGGCGGTGGCGAGGCGGATCTATGCAGGGCAATGCCCGGCGAAAATTTTACCCGCGCCGGATCCCCATTACAGCACCAGCAGGATTTCTCTCATTCGGCCGTGTTGAGATTGTTGTAAACAGAAAAGGTACTGCCTTTCCAATCAAAATTGTCGCTTCAAAAATATCAGAGCACTACAAGCACAACAAGCACAACAAGCACACCCCATACACCATGATTGCAAGCAGCATTTCCAACTCTCTACTGACAATGACACCCTCTCTGCCGGACCATGCTGTGGCATGCGAGATCCCAGATGGATACAACAAACAACCCCTGAGTTGTCAGTCCAAAATCTGATCAGTGTTTGAACAAGAATCCTTGGCAGCAAGCTTCTATGATCTTCAGAGATCACCTAGATCAAGTTCCCCAACTATGAATCAACTTCTGTCACAATTTGTCCACTCAAGTCTTCCTCACTCAGTCATTGATGAATCTGAATCATCATCAGACAACCTGATTGATCTGAATGATAGATCAAATGAAGAACACAATATGAAATCTTTCAGTGAAGACTGAGAAACATCACCCCTTGAAGGTGATGCTGAGCGTGAGTGCGATAGTGAAACTGGTGATGAAAGGAGCAATGAGGCAACATCAATTTAGGACTTGGAAGAGGAATCACAGACACAGCCACATCGGGGTCACGCCCAACAGGACCCGCCCAGCCAGCACCAGAGCCAGAGCCAGAGCCAGAGCCAAAGCCAGAGCCAGAGGCGGTCACTATATGCGAACGTGAGTTCCCCTGATACTGTGGGCTGCAGAGGGCATATATTAATGAATACAGAAAGCCTCAACTGCACTGGCAGCAGCAAGGAGAATGTTGAACCATTGCCACCACAGCCCATCTCCGGTGCACTGCCAGATAACATCTCCAAGAACAGACCCTCAAAGGAAACCCATGCCAGAGTTGATGACTCTTTCGCACACCACCTTGAGCCAGACACAAGCGGCTCCCATATCCTGCTACATCATGAGGCTAGGGAAGGGCATCTTGAATTTTTCCTGTGGAGGCCCATATGGCAGTTGGAGGATGACATTGCAAAGGTCCATCCAGATCAGCTCAAGCAATACAAGGAGAGGTTGGATGTCGGGCCTGCGAGAAGGGCCTCTCAGGCGAGAAAGCAAGCAAGGTCCCCTTTTCCAGAGCCTAGTTTTTTAGCACGACATATACCTTTCTTTGAGAATTGACTCGTCCCACAAAATTTAGCTGAAGTTCCTGCTGTATTGCACCCCTTTTTCTCTTGTATCCGTGCAATTTAAACTCAAGCCTCGTGAAAATTGATTTCTTGCGTAATTATAGGAATCCTCATTAACTAGTTTCAGGTTTTAACCCGGAGTTCCGGGTACTCATCACGCTCCGGGCTATCACGCTCACCCCTTCCCCCCCCACCTTATTTTTTTTTTTTCTTTTTTGCGATTGCTTGTTCAGGGAGATACAGTTCAGCAGACAATGACAATGTCAAAGAGATGCGTTGGGTGACCCAGGATGTCGCTCCTGAAATATTGCTTGGCATGCCGGCAGTGGACGTGATATCTGAAATGTTATCTGTGTGCCTTTGATACACGGTTCTGGTCTCCACAGAGCCAATGTGCCGCGTTAATTGTTTGAATAGGAGAACATGTAACTATTGGTGGAGGGATGAGGTTTACGACTCGGCTGCCTGAGGTAGATTTCTACCGTCAATGGTGGATTGGACTTTACCACCAACATGACTGCGTCAGCTGGTGACACGGACACGATTTGAAATCAGAAGTCATCCCGCCATTGATTTTCTTGGCTCGCTGCCTCACGGCGCAATTTTTAACCCCTTGTGGGATGGCTGAATCTTCTATGAGGAGGAGCTAACTAGGTTATTATTATACTCCATAGGAGATCATGTATGGGCGGAGGTCAACACCCCTGGACACCTAACCTCAACATATGACAACTGCTGAAGCAGGCCTCAACTCCTTATAAATGAGCTGGGCTGCCTCTCAGACACCCGCACGAAGGATACACATTTCCAGACTCTCGTAAAAAGGCAGAGCAGCGAGACAAACCAAATTCCACTATACTCCACCATACCATGCAAGTAGCCATCGCGGGCGTCGGTGCTCTCGGGCACCATATTCTACGCGCAATTCTCGCACAAGGGAAACATTCGGTGACCATCTTGACACGAGGAGAACCCGTCAGTAACTTTTTCTCAATGAAAAATGCCTCTTCTCTCTAAGTTGCAAGACCTCTATAGACACGTTATCCCATGTCCTCAGTGCTCTAGTTATAGTAGCTGCTACCATATCATGTCGCTGACAGTTCACGTACCAGCGCTCTACCGACCCGCGCATCACATGGCGTAAAGTCGACTATAGCGACAAGTCCTCGCTGGAGGCGGCGCTCCGTGGTATCGATACATGTATATCGACCGCAGCAGGCTTCGACGACAAAACATTCGCGGAGGGCCAGATAAGATTAGTCGACGCATGTATTGCAGTAGGTGTTCGCCGGTTCGTGCCATCAGAGTTCGAGCTCGATCCGCACGTCCGCAAAGATCGCTACCCTTCTTCGGTTGCGAAGCGGAAAGTACTATCCCACCTTGCCACGCCGGCAGTTCGAGAGAAGATCCAGTGCACGCTATTTACACAGGGGGTCTTTTATGATTATTACTCGCCGATGACTGAGGATGGGAAGAGGCATGTGAGTAGCGAATGGCTGGCGCCGATTGGGTTTGACATAGTGGTTGATCTGAAGAACTGTCGCGCGGAACTTGTGGATGGGATGGAGGAGAAGAGAATGCGGTGCACGGCGATTGATGATGTTGGGAAGTTTGTGGCCAAGGCTTTGGAGCTGGAGGAGTGGCCGGATCAGTTTACGATATCTGGGGAGAATCTTACTTGCAAGGAACTTATTGGGATTTGTGAGAAGGTGAGAGGTATGTATGAAAGATTCGAATTGCGAGAATCCTGAATCCTTGAGCCCACCACCCTGTGAAGAGAAGTTATTATTAATAATGTATCGCATATTCACGACAATCGAATTAGGAAAACCATTCGAAATCAAACGCATATCAGTTGCAGATATGGAAAGCAAAATAGAGGAGGCAGAGAAAGCGAACGACATGATCGGAACATACATATGGACGACACCCCTTCGTATCCTCGAGGGAGACTTTTGGTGGGACGACAAAACTGCACAGGGAGTAGATATCAAAACCGTTTTTCCAGACGAGAAATTTGAATCCCTGGAAGGATTTTTGTCAAAATGGTGGTGATTTGATTCACATGGCATTACTGTCGCACAGCTTCGAGTCATATTGTTCAGTGATCCTTCGCTTTGATGAATGGACGGGTTTAAAATGCGCGTTTAGCTGCTAGGAACCAAACGATTCAATGGATTCTAGCAACATTTCTGCTATCCAACCTAATGCTAAAAATTCGAACCACAGTATGACAATCGAATTATTTTAACAAGGGAGTAGAATGGATTAAAGGATGTATATTCAAATGTCTAATGTGGAGCCATTCTATTATTGCCTCAGCTCCAATAACCCGCCTTTTTCAAGGTGAATATTTTCCGTTTTTATCTAGATAAGTGTGTAGGAATACAAGTTCAAGTTGTCCGGGCTACTCATGACGGAAGTGTAGCGTCGGATGGTTTGCAAAACTGGGGTGACCTTTGTGAGGAGAAAAGGGAAGGTGAAGCAATGGAAGCAAAGTAGTTAGATGATAACAAACAACGTAAACTTATACAAAATAGCGGCTCTTGGCTGCGTCCTCATTGACGTCAGCGACCGCCCTTAGTCAGTTGTTAGTCATAATATGGATTAGTCACCAGTCAAGCAAGCCGCCTCGCTCCTTCGCTCCTTCCCCCTTCGCTTCGCCTTAAACCCCCCAAACCAAACCTGTTCCGTTCCTTCTCCATCTGGCATCTGTCTCCAACGCGTTACTCGATTCGGCCTGCCCTTCGATCTTCGCAAACATCATTCCTCTTTCGGCCATCCTCTAACCCTATACACTCGATACGTCTTCCAAACTCGACTTCCATCAACTCCTTCGCCAACTCCTGCCCCTTCGCCGCCATGGCTGATATCGCCGCCGCTGTCGCTGACGAGAATCCTTCTCCTCCCCAGGATGACCTCGTCTCCGGAGGCAATGGCGCTGCCACGGCTGCCGCTGCTGCCGCTGCTGCTGCTGCCGCCGCCGCCGCCGCCGAGAATCGCGGTACTAAACGTCCTCGAGTTAGCAATGCTGGCGAGGACGATGACGATGATGAGGATAAACCTGGCCGTGAGCGCCGGAAGATAGAAATCAAGTTCATCCAGGACAAGTCGCGTCGCCATATCACTTTCTCCAAGCGCAAGGCTGGTATAATGAAGAAGGTCGGTTTCTAGATCAACCACCCTTTCAATGACTTAATAAACTTCCGTTTGCTTTCTCCTTGTCGCATTTCTACGGTCGCCTCGTCTTATTATTTACGAGTCTCTACTCTATGGCATGGTAATTGACCTTGTGCTCTTTGTCGTCTAGGCGTACGAGTTATCCGTCCTTACTGGCACCCAAGTCTTACTCCTCGTCGTATCCGAAACGGGTCTCGTTTACACATTCACCACCCCGAAACTCCAACCTCTCGTCACCAAATCTGAAGGGAAGAACCTTATCCAGGTATGTTGTTACCTGTAGGCCACTACCATAGAAAAACAAACATAGAAGCTAATTGCCTCCATCTAGGCCTGTTTAAATGCCCCAGAGCCTACCGCCAGCGAAAATGGCGTCGAGGTCCCCGAAGTACCTCCGGAAGCCCAAGATGATGTCAGCCATGCCAATGTCGCAGGCCAGCAACCCAACATCCCCCGTCCCGGTGGCATACATCCTGGATATATGTCCAGCGAGCACCAGCAACAGATTGCATATTACCAGAACCTCCAACAGCAGCAGCAAGCACAGGCCGGAGGTCAGTATCCAGGTATGCCAGTTGGTGCACGCCTACCACAGCAACATCAACCCGCTGCATAGGTTTCCTATCTCTTTATCCTTTATTATCTTTTTCTTATCATCGCCGCGTTTCCATCTTTGTTTCTTGTTTCTTCAATGGCTGGCGTAAGGATGTGCTGCAAAACTTGGTTTATTTTCTCTCTCTTTCTCTATCTCTTTCTCTATCTCTTTCTCTCTCTCCATTTTCGCTTCTATCCTGTACCTTTTTTCCTAATTCTTTTCTTTTTTCTCCCTTTTGCGTGGATTGCGCCTCGTTTTTTGTTTAATACCCAACTGGCAAAATGTCAGCCATGGCCACATCCACCTCAACCACGCTACGCTTATGGGCTCAATGAGAATGACGAAGGAGAAAAATCTGACAAACGGCATGACGTTTTGTCTTTGCCATTGCCTATATATCACCCCCTCTGATTTTCATCCCTCACTGGTCACACAAACACACCCACGCACACTTGATGATGAATGGCTTCGGTTCAGCCAGCGAAAATAAAATATCTTCAACGAGGGCAAAACAAACACGGACTTGCTCCTTCTCTCTTGCTACTTTCTATCAAAAAATGGTTTTCTTTTTGTTTTGTTTTCTAAACTTGATTTTTTCAGTTCTCAGTTCCCTACGTTTATTGTTGAATTATTTCAAATTTTGGCCCCCAATCCCCACCAAGCCCACATCATTTTTTCCTTCAAATATCCCAGCCAGCCAGCCATCCCGTTTACGTCTACACATTTCACATACTATTGAGCACATGCCCGTATACACACATGACCCCTACACAGACAAAGTCCGTCATGGCCACTAACGTGCCCATGTCAACAGAATAACATGAACACACACAATCAATATAGGGAAAAACATGGAAAGCCATGGAATACGTGGGGTTGGGATATTGATATATGAATATCTGGATATGGATATGGAGAATAGGACAATACCAATGTGGAAGGCAGGAAACTTCTAAATATATATTTAATATATTGCGGTATTGCAAGGTGGGGGAACGAAATACAACGGAAAAATAAAATAAAACTAAAAACTGACGGGAAGTTCTCCTCCACAGACTATGCAGTGAAAAGAAGGAGGAAGGGAGAGGCGTAAGGCCGGACCGAATGGCGTTTTCCATTTTCCATTTTTTTTTTCGTTTTTCATTTTCCAAGGGGCGTTCTTTTGTTATTATTTTTACGGTTATTGTTATGCCACATACATATACGTATATGTGTGTGTGCGCGATTGTACGTGTTTTCGAGTTCGATCCATCCGCACCCTTTGCAATGATTACCGTTTCAACACCGCAACCTGCCGTCCTCGGTCTCCTGCATTCCTCTCCTTCCCTTCCCCTGAACCCTCTCTCTACTTCCGGTTCCATTCGGTGCGGTTCGATACATCGTGTGTATGCCCTCCTTCAGAATGCTCACGGGGAGTTTTCAGGCCCAGAAGGCAACAGGCCGGGGTAGGGCCAAAACAGACTGGCATAGGTGGAAAGGACACCGGACACCGGGCACCGGGTGAGGATGATGCGACAAGGGAAATAATCAGAAGCGGGTGCCTTCCTTTCTTTTGCGGTATGTCTGTTGAAATATTCCAGGAAGCAAATAAGTGCAGGAGTAACTCTTTGTTTTATTTGTTTTATTTGTTCTTTTAATTTATTTTTCCTTTTTACTTCTCTTATTAGCAAAAGGAAGTATCTGAGGGAGCTAGTTGTTGGGATTTGTATTTTTTCCTGTTTTTTTTTTTTTTTTTTTTTTTTTTTTTTTTTTTTTTAGGGGATTGTTTGTGATGGGTCATATTTTATAACTTTTTTTCCTGGCCTGCCTTTTGCTTTGCTTTTTTCCGCTCTTTTACGTATGAGTATCTTTTTCCCTCCCCCTTTCTGTCAATTGTATCTTAGCCAGGTAGGTAGTTAGGATGGGATTTTTTTTCATTTATATGAGTATCTATGAGTATGGTTTTTTTCCCCCTATTCTTTCAATAACTATTAGGTTTTTTTAATTGAATCTCTTGTGTGTATGGGTTCGGATTGTTGGCTACTGTTCATTCTAAATAAATAGAAAGTAAAAAGCGACAGACTTATATTCCACCCTCTTATTTATTTCATTTTGAATTTATTTTGAATCATTCGCCGAAGCTCCTCATTTATTCTGCTTTGGTCAGGCTTGTTTCCTGTAAATATTTCAATCAATGCGAAAAATTTGCATATTTGTTCGAGGATTTTAGTATGTGGCTTCCTGGACTATGTAACTATATCAAGATTGAATTAACTTCCAGGATCGGAATTGCGCAATGAATGAAGAATGAATGAATGAACGAATTGAGGGGCTACTTGGTGATTTTGTATACTACTGTGTTTTTCCTTGGGGGATTCTTTTATCCCGTACGTGTAAGCTGTGCTATGAATCATGTGCTATCTTTCGCCTGCGCATTATATTTTCATGGGCATGTATGGATGGGAATGTGAGATTTTATGCTGTGTTCTGGTAATCATATAGAATGTTCTCTCTCGGAGTATGGGAGAAAGAAACGTACAAAACAATGGTGTATCTTATTTAGAAATAGTAGTGTGTAGCAAACGGTGGTATGCAGACAGGCTCATCATGACAACCAACAGACAACCACCCTCATACATCCCTTACACATGTAGACAACAGTGTAAACGTAACGCGGACATTTCATACGTTGTACGCATCTCAGAAACGAGCAAAATCCAATTAATTCGATCAATGAGTCGACGCCCATCTATACCTATCCTGTCATATTCCCAATCCAATCTATCTATCCGGTGGTTCACCTCTATCGCGATCACCACTCTCATCTCTATTTCCCCGGCCCCCTCTCATGAAGCCTACTAACGCCCCTAGCTAGCGCAATGGGCTAGTGAATTGCGATCGATCTTGAGATCTCTGCTCCTCACTGGAGTTGCCACGGCCACCCGGGCCCGCATTGGTATCAGCTTCAGCACCATCGACGCCACCATAGACACCACCAACACCCGCAGGCGTACTACTATCATCCCTCGGTATCACTGCGTCCCGATAATTGACAACAAGCGGTGACGACAAGAGCCGTTGTTCGCCACTGTTATTGGTATCACGATTACGGAACAGAGGACGCCGAAGGCGCGACGGCGAGCTCCAGGTCCACGATGTGGAACGGAGGGCTCTGCGAACCTGCTGCCCGTGGCCATTCAGCCTTGCTGGAGATGGAGAAGGAGAGGATGGGTCGTTGATACTGATGTTGTTATTGTTCTCGTTGCCGTCGTTGCGGCTGGATGAACGGTATTTATTGCGTGTGATGTTGAAATGGGATGAGATGCCGCTCGTACTGCGGTGTCGTTTGTGTGGAGAAATAATAGTAGGGCTGTAAGGAAGTATGGGGGAGGAGGGCTGTGTGAGGGATTCAAGATCGAGGTTGTCCTCGGAATCGTCGAGCTCAGCCCAGATTTCGGCTGTTTCAAGGCTTGTTCGGGTGTTGCGGCGGATATTGGGGGAGAGATCGGTTAGCGTACGCGTGTGACGGCGGGAAGGCGAAGGGGGTTTCTGTTGTTGCTTTCTAGGTTTTTGCGCTTGCAGTTGTCGTGTTTGGAGAAGAGGTTGACGTTCTCCCAAGGTTGTTTCTTCGTCCTCGGGGTAGTATGTGTATTCTGGAAGGGTGGGCTGCTCCTCGAGTAAACCAAGGCCAGGAGTTAGCGATGGGGGCGGTCCAACTGATACTGTTCCCGGGTGGGGGGTGACGGGCTCCAATCTCCAAGATAAACAGAGAACGCCAGATAAGAGGATTATGGTTCCTAGTGCTATAAGGCCCGCATGAAAGCCCGAAAGTCGCGAGCCTTGATGGAAATATATAAGCCCGTCCAGGATTGCTATAACATTGTATATGCAAAAGACGTATGGGTAAAGAATGCTGGTGCTGCACAGCTTGAGGCCGCAATGCATGTAATACAGTGGTGTTAAAGCAAGCACAACAAGGGTCAGTAGGATGATCCAAGACTGCCATCGGTTGAATTGGTTCATGCGGTCTATTACGGTACGGACTATCAGCTCGACAGCTAATTTCGCGAACAGAAGCGAGTGTGCGGACAGAATGCCGCTGACCGATCCGTACATCATCCCACGAAGCACTTTTATGCGCGGACTATGGTGGCCGTGGAGAGGCGGAGTATATAATATAGGTATACAATATTTCCTAATCCACTCTCGAGTTTGACCCGGGGTAGAGATAAGTCTCAGCATGCGGGCGCCTAGGAGGGTTATTGCTACAAGGACGGCTGTAGCGGCCATCCACAGTATAAATGGGCGGCGACCAAGCAAGACCAGCAGCTGGTCCAGGGTATGTGCAGGCTCTCCAATCGCGCCGAATATGCCGATCATGACAGCTCCGATAGATACAAGGATAGTGCCAAAGATGGAATAACGGGTGAACGGCTCCCCAAGGATCAAGGCTGCGAATATCGTATTAAAGACGAGGCCGGCCTAAAAGAGGCTGTTGTTAAGTTTCTCCCATCTTATATGCGCCCAAGGGATATGGAGTTTAGACCTACCGCTTGTAGAGTGGATAGCACGGGGAGAGGTAGGGTTGTGATCTGGATTGTGCTCCCGATGATATTGGAGATGACGAACATGGACATTCCCACCTAAACTTCTTCTCAGTATATGCTGTCGCAACCAACAATCAAACCCCCGATACACTTTCTCTCACCTGCCATCGTCGCCGTTTGTATGGCGGCCTGCGCAAATCGTAAGGGCTTTTCTCATCTTCGAGCATATGCGACTTGCGCTGCAAGGTAAGCCCAATGGCTTGGAGGCTCGTTGATACTAAACCGACAAGAACTCCAATCTAACCAAGCATTAAAAATGTGTATAAGAAGTAGATTAGGGGGCAGATATCTATATACCACAATGCTTCCACCCGGCGACAAGCCCCCTAACTGGCCCATCTCCTGGTATCGTCATGCACGGGCGGGGATAGGATGGGTGGTCCGTGGCGGGAACATCGACCATGAGGCTATATGTAGAGCAAAAGCATTACTAGAATTGGATGAAAGATATCTATGGAGCATAAAGGAGCTCACACAGATATAGCTGCAGTTGTATAGATGTGAATGAAGGTGTAGATGTAGGGGTGTAACGACTGTGTGTCTTCGAGCGACATCGCTGCTTGGTCCAGGAACAACGCTAGCCGGGGACAGATGATCAGGAGCCGCAGTGCCATCTCACCACCCACTTCCTTGATAGAGCGCGCATGTTCAACAACATCTACAGCTACGCACGACACGATCACAGGCGCACCTACATTGGCCCCGCTTGTTACTTCTGAGGGGGAACTTCAGCTTCTTCTGCCGTACAAACCCTTGGAGAGCTCATAATTACTCCTACTTGCCATTCAATATTTCATATCTGTCAACTACTCCCATCCCCGCATAACGCCAGCTTCAACCATCCACACTCGGTCAAAATGTCACAAAGCCATGCCCTCTCGGATGACCAGGTAGCCCTTTCTGTAAATGATGAAAGCAAGAAAGAATGCAAGAAGAAAGAGAATTCCACGCCTAGCTAACCACGACTTCCCAAACGCCAGGTGGCGGGCGAACTCCGCAAAATGACCGCCTTCATCCGCCAGGAAGCCCTCGAGAAAGCCCGCGAAATCCAACTCAAAGCTGACGAGGAATTCGCCATCGAGAAATCCAAACTTGTCCGTCAAGAGACTGCCGCTATCGACCTGCTCTATGAAAAGAAGTTCAAACAGGCCGCAATGTCCCAGCAAATCACCCGCTCCACCCTCGCCAATAAGACCCGTCTTCGCGTCCTCACGGCCCGCCAAGCATTGCTCGATGAGCTGTTTGACCAGGCCAGGGAGAAGTTAGCGAATGCGGCTACAAATGCGAACGGGATCAGGGGGAGTGGTGGAGACGGGTATCAGGCTACGTTGAAGGGCCTGGTGTTGGAGGGGTTATATGCCTTGAATGAGAAGAAGGTGGAGGTTAGGGCGCGAAAGAAAGATTGCGGAATTGTTAAGAAAGCGATTGAAGATGCGAAGAAGGAGTTTAAAGATCAAGCCGGCAAAGAAGTTGCGGTCGACCTTCTGGAGAATGATCCGCTGCCTGAGGAATCGTAGGTTCCCTTACCTCGTGTTGCGTATGGCGTATTATCTCTGATGGACAATTTCTTTTTTCCCCTACGGAGCAGTTCCGGCTGTTTACATTGTTGCTAACTTCTCTTTTCTAATTTCCAGAGCCGGAGGCGTCTTCATCGTCGGCACGGCGGGCAAAATCGACATCAACAACACCTTCGAAGAAAGGCTGCGGTTGCTTGAAATCGATGCCCTTCCTTCTGTTCGAGAAACGCTGTTCGGCAAGAATAAGAACCGCAAGTTCTATGATTAAACGGCCTAGACCATTTCCTTTGTCTTGTTAAAGACTTTCTTTCTTTTTCCCTCATCTTGGTGCGTCCTTGACGGGTTCTTCTTCCCTGGTTTATGGATGCAATTTTAAATCCAACTTGCCTTTTGATTTAGTATGTTTGCTTCGTTTTCTTACCTGAGCTATTGCAACTTGTTTCATTAATATCTCTTTCTCTGGCGATAGGCGCTATTGTATTCCTGTTCTTTTCAAATTGTCGACGTATACTACTAGTATTTGTAGTGGGGTTTTAGATCGGCCCAAGGCGCTTTCTTCAGTCCTTCCCTCGGCCTGGGCTGGCTCTCAGGGTTTAGGCATGCATCTATATACTTGGTTGTTGTATTTGATGTTCTAGAACTATGTATCACTTCTTGAAGGGTGGTGGGATAATATTTTAATAGTAGTCAAGGAATAGTTACACCCGACTTCTGAACGGGCACATCCCATGTCTTCATCTCTTCGATTTTATGCCCAATACTAGATATTGTTGTCTTATTATCGTTATTCCATATTTCTATCAATAACATTGTTCTCCAAAATGAAAAGGATATAATAGGGACCCTCGGAAAATGACAATCATTCATCTGGAGAAATTCAATGCTGTAGAGCACCTAAAGCACTATTTCCAGCATCCTGAACCACACCGTACTCATGTATCTTCTTTTGATGCTTATCTGCCTCTCCCTTCTCCCCTTCCGTCTTCACAAACCACTGCTTTGGCGGCCTCGGCCTCGTCCGCACCCCATACGTAAGGCGATAATACAACGCTTGTAACCGCTCCCTCGTCTCTGATCTCCGCAAGTGCGACGCCCCCGAATCCCTGATTGCCGAGAAAATGGCCTTGATACAATCCGCCAAATCGTCTATGGCGGCGTTGAATTGATGTTCGGCCCTCCTGTCTACGTCGCCGTTCTTGTTTACGAATGAAGGTATGGTCGTGCCGGAATCGATGGCTATGTCTAGGATGGAAGTCAGCGCGTGTAGTTCCCAGAAATTGAATTGATCGTTGGATCCATTGGAGCGCATGTTTGTGTTGAAGCGTAGGTCGTGTTTGAGGTATTTGGTCAGGCTGGGAAGATCGAAGAGCTGGCTTTTGGGCCTGTCGAGGAAGGAAGGATCGCAATAGAACCACGCCCAGGCGAGGCGGCAGCGGAAGAGGGCAACGCGAGGGCTGGTGGGGAGGATATTGTTTAGGAGTTGGTTTTGGAGTTCGACCTCGTTTATAGTTTTGAAGAGGTGTAGAGAGAGATTTACAAGCTGAGGTAGGTATTTGGTCAATTTGAAAGCATTTTCTAGGGAGGGGTAGTGAGCTAGACGTATATAGCACTTACTGTTTGATCTGGTATTGTAATAGGATTTGCAAGGTTGGTTGTTATGAAGTTTTGTACTTCAACGCATATGAGACAGTCGTTCATGACTGCCTCGTCTATCGCAAGTCGAAGGGTGATTTTAAGAGCATGTTGCCGGGTGTCGTCATTGAACCTGATTCGAAACAGTTAGAGGGCAACCAATATAGATGCGTTGAGTGAGAGAGCTACTTGCTTTTCTGATAGAACACGTAAGAGTTCTAATACTGATAGGAGGTTTCGAGTATCCCGATTCCAGTATTCTATAGAGCAAAGCGTTAGCTATACGAATCGATTATGGTAAAAACGTCGAAGTCTTACCATCAGAGATATGGTGATCGGGTTGTAGACTGAGAGAGACGTCTAATGCAGCCTGTCTTGCTCCGAGCCTTCGAAAAAGCTGATCGATATGGCTTGGGGTTATTAACGACGATATGCGTCCCGCAGATGATTGCTAAAATAGTCAGCGGTATTGCGTTTAGCCAGAATACTTTGCGAAGCATACCTCCAATACTGCGACATTTACCGATTGCATGTAACCATCCTGCCCCGTGGGGACTGCAAACATGTTAATACACAAACTACGATGAAGAAGACAATAGAATCAGGTAAACAGACCAGTTTGTAGCAACCACAGTAACACCTCGTCAGGCAGCATCCTGCTCGATAACCTATTCGAGACAATTCCGGAGATGAATGCTGGACCACGCGTTTCAGGGACTAAGATGCATTAATACAAGTGCGAGGCAAATTTGTAGCGACAGGCAGAAGCTCTCTAACCCTCTAGATTACATTCCCACGACGCAGGCTGTATCCACCCCGAAGGAAACCTCGGATATGGTACAACTGGGGTGTTTTCTTCAAAGAACAACCAGATCTTCCTTGTCGCGAACGTTTCTGTCCGCTCAACCGCATCCTTCAGTCGCTGAATCCCTTTAGTATCCGTCTCATCCTCGACAGCTGCAGCTAGGAGATCAGCACGCAGGACACCACGGCACCTTTCGGGTTGCACTTTTGGCAGCAGGCCCTGCTTTATTTTCGCAACTTTGGCTTCGGTCGCTTTATCATTGGCTGCGTCTGCGACAAGTGTGTCCAGAGAAAATTGATACTTCGGCAAATCTTTGCGGTCATTGAGTTTTAGAGAGCTGCGACCTGAGAGAAGCTGTTGAAGTTTGGTAGGGCGCCCGGCGTCGGTATTGTCCCTACCAGGTCGGGGAGAGTGGGACGATGAGGAAAGAGGCCGCACTGAGGCTGGAGGTTTTAGAAATCGGGCTAATAGATCTTCTGCCGATTCTATATCTGAGAGAGAGTCCGTATCCTCGTCTGAATTTGTCACAATCACTTTACCATCTCTCACAATGCGCTGGGAGAAGGAATTGAAGCTGGTCGTGGTTGTATTTGTTAGTTGATGTTCACCATCCCGAGGTTGGGATGGGTTATTCTGTTGCACATCCCTGCCGGAAGCTGAATCATCGTTCGTATGTTGAGAGACTTGGGACAAGGTTCGGTCGTCCTTTATCTGCGAGGCCCCTTGTCTCAGGGGAATGGGAGAGACAAATGCGTGGGACGACAACGCAGATGACAACGGGGACGATAAACCAGACTGTGAGACCACAGATGTGCTATCATCATCTAATCTGCCACTTGGAGTCCTGGTTCGAAGACAAGCGTTCTGCTGGGAAGGAGAACTATCCTGATGCCGACCGGAGCTGCTGTGGCTGGTTGACATTGTTTGGTGACAAGCTAGCCGGCAGATATCTTGACGTTGCGGCGGTTTTCCATCGTTCAGACGCGTCCAGGCGTTTTTGACATCGCGATATCACGTGATGTAGCTCAAATGCAATATTCCCTTTTCGGGAACATTCCAGCTTCGTCCATGGACTGGATAGTATGGACGGTTTCAAAAAGCTTTGTCTTACGCTAAGAATTCTAAAATCTTTACTCGTATAACAGATCTGTGGTTCGAGAGTAAGGAAACTCATGGATTACACTAATCTTTGCTACCTGTGGACAAGAACTTTCCCAAACTGGTCGCTCGTTATTCCGGCGAGCCCTCAGTTTTCAGATCACGACTGTCCATCTCCCTTTCTTTATATTACCAGAGTACTCTTTACATGTGCTACCAGTAGTAGCCTCATATTTCCACAATAGGGCTTTGAAATCCAGCTTTTTGTCAATATTCTGTGTATGGTCTAGCTACATTCAGCACTTTGGATTTCACAATAGCGATTGGACGAACTTGATGCAGATCCCCCAATTTCAGCCGTCCTATCGGTGATATTAGTATCTATCGATGGCATAGTATCTGCAGATGAGATGGTTATTTTTGTACGTAATGCAATATTTTCACTAACTAGACCTATAAAAATTTAGGGACCGTGCATAAAGTGATGAAGTTTTGCACGAGAGATGAAATTTCTATTTTTGGCTTCCACGACCAGGATGCACGAGCACGCGCCAATGATATCGCGCAGAAAGTCGACCGGACCTCCTCGCTTGAAGCGGCTGAAACAAACATCGAGCCATGACGCATGTGTGATGATGGCTGGCTTGGGAGGCTCCAATGAGAGGACTGTGAGAGCGCCCTTGTATGTTTTGCTCTCAGTTCTGGCGGCTCTTCCGGGGACCTGGTAATAATTTCACGGTAATTCAGCAGGTAACTTGCGTATCAGATTTTATTTTAGTAGCAACTGTAACAGTGAGTAGTTTGGCATTGACATGCTGATCGGCGACTTCAATTCCAACAGGGTATTTTATGAATTTTCTTTTCCATTGCTTATCTGCTCAGACGAGCCTCTCAAGGAGTTCTGATCGGTTATTTTCAGATACTATTCACAACCAAATCGCCATGTTGAGCATGTGCAGAGTGCGAGAGCAGATGTTATCGCTGATCAGTAGGGTGCTTCAGGAGAGCTCGCTAGAACCACCTAAGCTTGCCTTTGGAAGCTCAATATCGACTAGCCATGGCAAGTGTAATGGATAATCCTCATCCACACCCTTGATGGATGCATTTACAAAGAGTGTTCGCGAGCCAGCTTCGACAGAATGGGTATCTCCAGAACAATGACTGGTTGCATAATACGTTTCGGAGCGCTTCCCCGAATCATTATCCCCCTTTCCCGCTTGACTATGTTGTCCATCATGCTCTAATCCCGATCCCCCTCGTAGCGTCGACAAATCTGCCACCAAAACAGACCGCGCTTCATCGATATCAGCGGAATATGATGGGGTCGCGCTCATCTGATCTGCCGGCGCCCATGTAACCAGCTTCGCACCCCAGCCTTCATGGATGTGCCCGAAACAGTGTAGCCGTGGTCGGGCGCGGGCAAGGGCTTCAAAGACGAGTGTGCTGCCCGCACTATCACCTGATAACGTGTGATCCAGGATGCCCTTTGGCGGCCCATGCGTCATGACCAAGTCGACGGTATTGCTGATTTCAAATGTATGTCCCGACCGGAGAGGATATTGAAAAGCCCAGCCTCCTCCTTGTGACGGTGTCAAGGGGCTGGCGAAGACAGTCAGCGATGCGCCGTTTCTGAGGTCAAAGCTATGTGTTCCTTCCTCAAGGAATACGATGCCTGCTGATGTGGCGGCGTCGCTGTTAAAAAGCTGTCTTGCTTCTCCGAAGTCACCGTATGCTCGCTTGATTAGTGCTGCATCAAGATATTTGAGCTGGAGCTCCACTCTCTTCTTGAAGAAAGGGATATCCAGAGTGAAATCATGGTTTCCTGGAATGACAAGCTTGAGGGGTGCTTTGAGCTCTGTTAGGAGTTTGATAGCGGAATGGAATTCCTCCAATGTAGACCCTTCCGTGAGATCACCACAGTGGATTGCAACATCTGCCTCTGTGTCTGTAGTAAATTCTCGGCTGTGAGTATCAGAGAGAATCAGAAATCGCGTTTTGATAGTTGGTAAAGTTACAGATTCGGGAGAATCCATGATCTGCGACAGGGTCTTGCATCGGTACTAGTATCGAGTGAAGCATGATGGAGTTGGATAGGCAGACAGCACAAGTGAACACTAACCCGCATTAGGAAATGATGACATAATCATCAGCAATTGCTTGCAGTGTCTGAGAACTATGATTGATGGATATTCTTTCCTTCAGCTACTTCATCACAAATCTATATAATTAAGAATTGAATACACAGATTAACATGGTATACAGCTATCTCTGAGATGTGTTTTTATATCATATATATGCTAGATTGATGATGAACTTGTATATACTACTAAAATGTAGCCATGAAAAACAATAAGTGCTGTTTATATTCTGATCTACATCATATATATGTAATAATTGATATAGTTGTTTAGTTATTCTCATTCAAAGATATCTTCTCCAAAAAATGTAGCCGCTGTATATCAAACAGGAATCATTCATTCTCAGATGCTTGATGAAGAATTAACATTGTTTTTCAAATAGGACAGTGGCAGATTAGTAGCAGATAATGTGATTCTCTAGTTGGTTGTGTTAAAACGGCGAATTCTTTGTGAAGCGTCTGATATTGATTCCGTGGGACGTCTGGTGGTCGTCCGTTGGATGATAATTCGGTTTGTAATGAGCTGCAGGGGAGCCTTGAAGTGTTGACATGTAGGCAGCAGGGGCGTATATCCGTAATAGGGAGCCTAGGGATAACACGTAGAGATGAAGACTGAAGACCACATAACGTCGCGCCTTCTGGTTGGTGGACAGCCGGTGCCCTGGTGTTCCAAGGTTGAGGATGATATAAAGTCCATGTAAATGGAATCCGTACACAGATAAAACTCCACGCTGTTATCTTTTTTGCCATCGTTGGGGACGCTGGAAGGATGAATCCTTCCACGGGGTTCCGCGCTTACTAACGAACCCACAGTTTCTCGGAAGGACAGGATCTTGATCGACGGTAAAAATACCGTTCTGCGGCACTTGGAGCCCTGTGTAAGTTTACCGACCATTTACGATCGTCATCCGATCCCAATTCCACAGCCAAGGCACGGAATGGAACAAGCGTCAAGCCCGCAGCAGCATATGTTCATACCGAGATGTCTTACTGCGCGGATTCCTTAGATTTAGCGAAAGGAGTTCCAAACTCCTGGGCAAAGCTGAGCTGGATCTCAGCCACCAAAGTGCAGTACATATAAATTGCGAGGCATCCAGGTCACAAGGTTATGCGCGGTGCTAGTGAGCTAAGGGGACAGGCCAGACTCCTCGCTTACTGAATATTTTAAATAACAATCATCCCATGCCGCGAGCCAAGGGGTGCTAAAACTTTTCGTGATCCCGGGTCCGTCCTGCCCTATCAATGCTACCATGTATCGTTATGGATTTACCACGGGGGTTCGCTTCCTTGATATGCCCGACGAAAGTTAAAGTTAAAGGACACATGGGCGCAAGTGGCGCCGAGATCTTGTTGCTGCAATCTCTGTCCATCCAAAAAGTTGACAAAAAATTCCAGAGGCTGATCCAGACACCGCCGGATAGCGGAGTTGACTAAGCCAGCAACTAGGCTGTGTATTGGCCTCGTATTAGAAATCTACCTAGGTAAGGATAGTTACAGGACAAATACGCCAGCTTACCAGATTCATCAACCAACTCGCTCTTCCGGCGGTCGTCCACCTCAGCACCCACGAACTCCTGACTCCCTCCCATCTTCTGTTCTGAACGCTGTGCCCTGGACGACCATTCACGCCGTAGGATATTCTGGCCGTTGTCGCTGTCGATTCTCCGCGTTTCTCTTCCCCGGTTTGCTGACCAATTTCACTCCTTCGATTCATGCCTTACCCCTTCTCCGGACATCCTCTACTTATCCGTCCCACCCACTTTTCAAGCCTTCACAACGTAGACAGTGCCTCCGGTTTACATACCTAGCAAGAATCCGTTCCGCTATATCCAGTCCTCAGATCGCAATCGCATATATTCTTAATTTTGTCCCATTATTCTTCGTCGACCTTTTCCCCCCCTTCCTTCATCTCAAAACCCCTGAATCTTAACCGCGGCCCAACGCATGCGAACACTCTCCTCAGCTTCCTGGGCGGCCTGAATAATTGCAAATGTGCGAATCATCGTCCTAACCCGATCATACCCCTTATTTTATGTTATAAGTGGAATTAAGGAGCCCGGAATGGCCGTGGTACAATTTGGGGCTGAGGATGAGGCCACCATTTCGAAGCCTGTTCAAAGGATGCGATGGGCCACCCAACGCCGAACTGGTGCCGGCGGATCGCGAAAGAGACGGTCTATAATGGATAGACTACACCGTCGCACTAGTTCCAAGGAAGAAAAACGAAAATCGACTACAAGCCCCTTGCCACATCCCGAGGAGTCGGCGGTTGACGAAGCCTCTGTTGACAGCTCGAATATTCGGCGGATATTCTGCAACGTACCACTTCCTGAGGACGTGAAGGACGAGAACGGCCGCCTCATCGCAAATTATTCGAGGAATAAGATAAGAACGGCAAAATATACCCCGTTAAGTTTTATTCCGAAGAATTTGTGGTTTCAGTTTCATAATGTTGCAAATATTTACTTTTTGTTCACTATTATTCTATCTGTAAGTTTGCTTGTCCTTCTATACGGTTTCTATCATATATGTCATGATTTGTTAATGTGTCATTAGATATTTCCTATTTTCGGCGCCACCAGCCCCGGGCTGAGCGCCGTCCCTCTCATTTCGATTTTAACAATTACTGCCATTAAAGATGCCATTGAGGACTGGAGACGAACCATACTGGATACCGAACTAAACAACTCCCCGATTCATCGGTTGGTGGAATGGACCAATGTTAATTCAATTGAAGATAATGTCTCGTTATGGCGGAGGATCAAGAAGGCAACCTCCAGAGCCGTGATGAAATTGTGGCACGTAATCATTGCCTTTAAGAAAGGGGGAAAGCTGGAGGTCCCCGAAGAGGATATCCTCAATGGACAACGACCGTCAATAGATACTAGACGCACAAAGAGAGACTCGACGTATTCATTCAGACAATCGTTCCAGCAAAATACTTACCATTCCCACGAGGAAAACGGTGCCATACAGATGACACCTGTACCATCCCCTAATCCTGACAAACGCAACGCGCAAATGGACGGACAATCATCCGGGATGCTCAGATCTTCAAGTGACTATCTGTCTCCAGAGCCACCCCAGGCGTCGGACCATGCGCATGTGCGTAATGAATACGGGAGCGTGCTGAATAAGTCCAGACAAACTCCCCAAACGGCAAGGTTCAAGCGTGATTACTGGAAGAACGTGCAAGTGGGCGATTTCGTGCGAATTTACAACGAGGAGCCCATTCCTGCCGACGTAGTTGTGTTGTCCACTTCTGACCCCGACGGGGCTTGTTACGTTGAAACGAAAAACCTCGATGGAGAAACTAACTTAAAAGTACGACAAGCGCTTCATTGCACTCGCGACGTAAAGCACGCCAGGGACTGCGAGAAGGCGCAATTTACGATCGAGAGCGAGTCTCCGCACCCGAATCTTTACGAGTATAACGGGGCGATTAAGTGGATGCAACACGACGTGAATACGCCGGATGGACCCGGAAGAGAGATGGTGGAACCCATTACCATCAATAATATTTTACTCCGTGGCTGTAGTATACAGAATACTGAATGGGTTTTGGGAATGGTAGTTTTCACCGGCCTTCAAACGAAGATCATGCTAAATTCTGGCGCTACCCCAACGAAGCGGGCAAGAATTGCCAGGGGCTTGAACTGGAACGTCATTTACAATTTCGTCATCCTTTTCCTTATGTGCCTTGTTTCCGGAATCGTTCAGGGTATCACCTGGGGTCAAGGAAAAAATTCTTTGGATTTATTTGAATTTGGGTCATATGGCGGCTCACCCCCTGTCGACGGGTTTGTTACGTTCTGGGCTGCAGTTATTCTCTATCAGAGTCTCGTCCCGATCTCACTCTATATATCCTTGGAAATTGTTCGAACTGCACAGGCCATCTTCATCCACAGCGACACATTCATGTACTACGACAAACTTGGTTATCCTTGCACGCCCAAGTCATGGAATATATCGGACGACCTGGGCCAGATCGAATACATCTTCTCAGATAAAACGGGAACATTGACCCAGAACGTGATGGAATTTAAGAAATGCACCATTAACGGCGTTTCTTACGGTGAAGCGTACACCGAGGCCATGGCTGGAATGCAACGTCGCGAGGGTATCGACGTGGAAGAAGTCTCCAAAAAGGCAAATGAAGCCATCGCCAAATCTCGCGTTCAAATGCTCCAACAACTACGTTCTATCCATGACAATCCTTATCTCCGCGATGAAAATCTTACCTTTGTTTCCCCCGAATTCGTCTCTCACCTTTCTGGATCTGCTGGAGAGGAACAGAGAGCCGCCAATGAGCATTTCATGCTTGCCTTGGCTTTGTGCCATACAGTTATAACAGAACGTACTCCAGGCGATCCTCCTAAACTTGAGTTCAAAGCTCAGTCTCCCGATGAAGCAGCACTGGTCGCGACCGCACGAGACTGCGGTTTCACCGTGCTGGGAAGATCGGGTGACGACATCCGGTTGAACATTATGGGTGAAGAGCGGTTATACACTGTCCTGAATACTTTGGAATTCAACTCATCAAGAAAGCGAATGAGCGCAATTATCCGCATGCCTGATGGGAGAATCATATTATTCTGCAAAGGTGCCGATAGTATAATTTATTCTCGCCTGACTCGCGGGCAACAGCAGGAACTCAGAAAGTCGACCGCAGGGCATCTTGAAATGTTTGCTAGAGAGGGCCTGCGGACACTGTGTATCGCCGAGCGAGTTCTGAGCGAGGAAGAATACCGAGAATGGAAAAGGTCGCATGATTTGGCTGCGCAGTCGCTTACTGACCGTGACGTTAAGCTCGAAGAAACCTCCAGCGCCATTGAACAAGAGCTTACTCTCCTTGGCGGCACTGCCATTGAGGATAGGTTGCAGGATGGCGTCCCCGATACTATTTCCCTCCTAGCAACCGCTGGAATCAAGCTATGGGTCCTTACAGGGGATAAAGTTGAAACCGCTATTAACATTGGATTTTCGTGTAATCTGCTGTCCAACGAGATGGACCTGATCGTTTTCAATATCGACAAGGATGACCCTGACTCCGCCACATATGAACTCGACACGAATTTGGCGAAGTTTGGTCTTACTGGCTCTGACGAAGAGCTAATCGCTGCTCAAAGCAACCACGAACCGCCGGCTCCGACGCACGCTCTCATTGTAGATGGAGACACGCTCAAGCTCATGCTGTCCCCAGAGTTAAAGCAGAAATTCCTCCTATTATGCAAACAGTGCAAATCCGTGCTGTGCTGCAGAGTTAGCCCTGCTCAGAAGGCCGCTGTTGTACAGATGGTTAAGACAGGATTGAACGTCATGGCTCTTGCTATTGGCGATGGTGCGAACGATGTTGCTATGATCCAGGAAGCGGATGTAGGGGTTGGAATTGCTGGTGAGGAAGGCCGCCAGGCTGTCATGTCGTCAGATTACGCTATTGGCCAGTTCCGATTCCTTCAGCGCCTCGTTCTGGTCCATGGAAGATGGTCTTATCGAAGACTTGGTGAAACTGTTGCCAATTTCTTCTACAAGGTATGCGAAGTACACAAAATTACTTAATTTGGACCCTAATGCTTACGTTTTATGTTACTAACGCATTGGTTAGAATCTTGTATGGACGTTTGCGCTCTTCTGGTACTCGATATACAACAACTTTGATTGTTCCTACCTCTTCGACTTCACGTACATCATCTTAGTCAACTTGGCTTTTACGTCTCTCCCCGTGATATTGATGGGTATCTTGGACCAAGACGTGGACGATAAAGTTTCTCTAGCGGTCCCGCAGCTGTATAAGACTGGTATCGAACAGAAGGAATGGACCCAGAAGAAGTTCTGGTGAGTAATTTTTTCCCTCTTCTAGCCTGACGAAGTATATCACAAGTTTTTCTAACATATTTGCACGCACAGGCTCTACATGCTAGATGGATTCTACCAGTCTCTTATGTGTTTCTTCATGACTTACCTTCTTTATCGCCCCGCTACCGGAGTGACGGATAATGGACTAGACCTAAGCGATCGGAATCGCATGGGGGTGTTTGTGGCTTGTTCCGCCGTGACCGCTAGCAACACATATATTTTATTGAATACCTATCGTTGGGATTGGTTGACCGTTCTCATCAATGCAATCAGCAGCCTTCTCATTTTTTTCTGGACGGGTGTTTACACCTCAGTGGACTCCTCTGGCCAATTTTATAGGGCCGGCCGGGAAGTATTCGGCACGCTTACCTTTTGGGCGTTAACGTTTTTAACAGTGACAATGTGCTTGTGCCCTCGATTTACGATTAAATCGATCCAAAAGATATATTTTCCGAAGGACGTGGACATCGTTCGTGAGCAAGTTGTTGCGGGGAATTTCAAATACTTGGATGAATACGAGGCGTATGTTCCTCCTACTGCTCGGGACTTGTCCCCCGCGTCCACAGACCTTGGGAAAATTGACGTGTCGACGAAGCGACCGAAATCCGTGCCTGAAGACGAACGACCAATCTACCCACCATCTGTTGCGCCTACTGCAACGACCCACAACCCCAGAAGCCAAAACGGAAGCGATGGAACTGGATACACCGCAAGCTTAGAATTCCGACACCACCAGCAGCAATCAATTGATCATGGGACGTCATACGACCGCGTTCGTCGGTCAATGGATCCGGTTCGGAGCAGCTTTGAAGTAACCCGCGATTTCACATCCGCCGCAATGCTTAGTCGCATGGAGTCGACTCACGAAGATTAACACGAACTGCAATACCCAACAACCCAGCTTTCAGATCTCCTCGCCCCATCTAACAATTAAATTCTCTATGTTATCCCGCTGACCCTTGTTTTCACTTTATGTCGACCCAGTTAATGTATAGTTTCTCCGACCGCCACCATGTCCCTAATGACCTTCTTCCCTTGCACACATGTTTCTTTTTTTCCCCTTCGTTACTATTTACTTGCGCCACTTTCAATTATTTCAATTACGCGGATGCATTCTATATTCTGCACCGAAATATCCGCATGAGCGTCAATTCTTATATACTTACTCCAACGCCTCGCTTCTTTTCCAAATTTCTCCTTTTATCCTCACGTTATTACCATTAGAGGCGTTCAACTTGTTGCATGTTTGGCATTTGGCTTTTCAGAGGAGGGAAAATCGCACTTGTTTTTTTGGTATTTTTTTCTTCTGTTGATCGGCGTGTGGAATTGTCAATTTTCCTTCCGGAGATTTATATATATAAAAGCAACTTCTTGTTTTTGCTATCTTCCCTTTGATCCCTCTGCTTTTTTGTTTTCTTGTCTTGAATTCGTAAATATCTATTCTTCTCCATGTTCTGCTTCCAGCCCTGGACCAGGCATGCCTTTTTATTTTATTGTTGGCTCATTCACATTCCGCCCTATCCCTGTCTCCCCTTTTCTCTTCACTTTTTTTTATTTGGTTTTGTTGAACAAGCTTTTTTTCTCCTTCCCCCCCCCCCCTGTATGTCCTTCTGTACAAAATTTACTATACTTCTTTTCAAATGTCACAATGGGAACTCTTCCCCCATGTATGAGAATAATCTGTTGTGATAACCGTTTCCAGACCTCCTTTGTATAGTGGTATGTTGTCAAGACAAGGAGGAGGTGCAAGACCAATATAGGACGCTTTGTGCTCAGAAGTTTTTGATAGACATTGACAAGTGATCTACTGCGTAGATTGTAGGGTCCTGATATGGAAATTTGTAGACGACCATAGTGAACTTAGGTGAGGACACATTGCACAAACATTTCTTTACAGAAACTCAACCCACCATATCCTGTGCAGAGTAAACCATCCTATTTTCATGTTGTCTTTGATTTTATCCTTTTCAATCAAGTTATTATCGAAGCATGGGCTTGGGCCAACTCACCACGGAAAAGTCGCGTGGCTTGCTTGCTTGACCAGCCCTGACTACATTTTGCCGGAGCTCTGGTTAACTATCCTATTCCTGTTGACATACTCACAAGCCTTGTAGATAGCGTCAATAGGGTCGATAGGATTGTTCCTACTTTTACTAGGCTTAACGGTCCTTGCGTGTGTGAAGCCGTGCCTGTGGGCCTAGCTGACTATGGTATGCAACTTGACTGTACCCGCGCCACTCATCAATCACCTTTAAGCGGCTCCATATGAGATTGTCAATTTGCCGTCAGCGTCTTGTAAATTGCTATGCGAAACAACATCAAGTTGCCAAGACATTATGCAGCTACTTTTCCGAGTTCTGGCAGAGCCCATCTCAGCATCCATTCAGACTCCATGACTTCTGTAGAAGTAAGCCTTTCATTCGGCCTAAAGGCCAGCATTCCCCTTAACATAGTAAGTAGGGCATGCGTCTCGGCTTCCCCAACATCCTCCATTGCGCTTTCGCGCCGTGGCTCCTGTATAGAATCAACGAAGCGGTTAACCAATGATCTGCCTGCTCTCTCGGACGTTCTCTTGGCCTCTTCCGTAAACCATCTCCCTCGTGCGTCCCACCGATGCCACCAATCGCACGGCAACTTGCCAAGTGCGTCCACGTGCTCCTTTATCATCCAGTCGCTGGACGGATCAAAACCCTCGAACAGCGGCCTTTGTCCAATGATATCCCAGAGAGTACATGCGAGAGTCCATACATCAGAGGGAAATGACAACGGTTCATGGAGCAAAAAGTAGGTCTCCGGGGGAGCAAGGATGCCGGGTGTATTAGAATAGTTACGTTGAGTAATAGATGGCAGAAATGACTCTCCAAAGTCATTGATAAAAATTTTGGCTTCAGAGAGGGTCACAAGCTCGCTTTCTTTCCCTAGCCAAATGGGCACAACACCGTGAGTAGGAACGCCGTCGGAGAGTGGCTTGCCATCAAGGCGCACAAATGGCTCGATGTTAGGCTGACCGTATTTTTGGTATAATTCTCCAGGGGATAGCTCGTCTATGCTGTTTGGAAAGCGAAACATTATGTTCCCCGTATGGAGGTCTGCAACGAATCCCGTTAACAAGGAACGCCTATAGAGCCGGCCAGATAAATAAAGTCCAATAACAAGTATACATACCGGCATGAACTACCCCTTGGTGATGTAGGAAAGCGACAGCTTGTATGACTTGGGCCATAATGGCCTTCGCGACTGGCAATTTGGAAAGTCTGGTATAGGATGCATCTTTCGCCTCAGCTATAGTCATCATACCAGGCTCCGCAACAAGGCATCTGTGCCTTCCATTAGGCCCATCAAGGGAAAACGTATCCAATACTCGAGGGATTAGAGCTTGTCCAGGATGTCTCTCACCCCTTGGTTCCAAGTGTGCCAGGTTGTTGAGGATTGTACTCTCTTGCATATCTGCTTCGGCAATTGCAATCTTGACGGCTACATACTTTTCCGTATTCCTATCCCTTGCCAACCAAGTTGTCGAGTACGCACCAAAGCCAAGCTTATGAACGACATCGTAACGGCCACTAAGATGGTCCCCAATAGCTATGGGGTGATATCCTCCGGGACGATAACGCCCAGGCTTTTCTATATCCTCAAGGGGCATATATTCAACTGGAGCATATGTTTTGGGGGATGCGTAGGGAGTAATAGAGTCCATTCTACGACGGGTAGTGGCGACGTTTCTCCCAGAGAGTAAATTGGTAGGATATGGCGGAGTAGCAAATAGATGCCATAAATTGGTTGGCTGCCCTCGAACATTGAATAAAGACTGCAAGCGCTTCGTCATGACAAACAACAGATGATAAAAGAAGGAGAAACAAAGAGCATGGCGCCGGTGGTGATCGAGCTCTTTTGCCCCAGTGGCCTAACAATTCTACAAACTCTGGACTAGCACACTGCACATAGGTGTAGGTTTTGTCTATGTGCCGTGCACCGGCTCTGTATGACTAGAGTAAATAGAAATAATACATATCTGTCCTTCTCAATTTAGAAGTATTATATAGTCTGACAGCTTCTAATTGACTGAGTTCACAATTTTGAACTGCTAAAGCTGCTAAAGCAAGTTGATTTATATTCATTATTCTAAATACTATCATGGTATCAAACAGCTATGTCTAAGTGTATGAGATTGAAGTTGTATTCTCTTGATTGGTGTTTCTAACCTTGGAAGCTTTGCTATATCATGTGATTTAGTGCTCCAAGAAGTGGTGAAGTGCTCTAATGAAATCAGCACACCAGTCGCATAGTCAACTTCGCTTTTCCCTTCAACAGCTGCCTTCCGCGTCAAAAAAAAAAAAAAAAAACTCCACTCGAAATATAGTAATAGAGTCTCTTTCTTTTCTTCACTCGTTCTCCACAATCAGCGGACTGTGCCTTTGTGGACTTTAATAAAAAGGGCGGACAACGTTATCAAACGGGGACTAGCCGAATCTTGATGTTCTCAGCGAGTGCAGCGACCACTCTCTACGGGAGCCATGATGGAGAATGCATGAACAGCGGAGTGGTACGGGACATCTCTCACTGCTTGTGAATTCTTTACGACGGATCCGATTCTATGATTTCCCTTATACTCTTTTCATTTTATTGAGCGAATCCCGTCATACCTGCGGGGTAGGTAGCTTGAAACCATGGCGGAGCTGATGGACGTTCTCGAGTGAGTTTTACTAGCAATTCATTTTTGGCGTTACTTTGTACATTGACAGAACTGTGGATCTTTTTCCTTTTGATATATATCTTCTGCTATGGGTCCCGTTACATCTGCGAAGCTACCTGTCATATTGCTAACCGATGATGCACCTGTGGGTCCCAATAGGGAATTGAAAGCCCTCCCAGAACAGCTACATATGCTCTGTCCCCGCCAAAACGATGATGACATGGGACTGTACAATGATGAGCATATCCATTCCCTTGACCCGACCGACCCAGATGTGAAACCCAATGTCGAGAATCTCAATCGTATATCCGAAGCCACCTCGCGAAGACAGAAATTCCTATCCTCCATGCGTCTTCTTGCGTTCAGCGGCGATGAAGTCGAGATCCAGCAGGAATGGATATGGAGGCGACTCGAGCACGACCTGGAGAAATGCGACTTGTGCATTAAGGAATATTATAAGGGAAAGGTGTGGCTGATGGATATGTTGGGCGAGAACTACGATGAGTTAGAGGTCGAGAAGTTTGGCAGAATCATTGATGAACAGGATATTAAGCGGATTGTGAAGAACTTGGATCGGGCGACGGAGATATTGAAGACTGTTGCACCCCAACAGCGAAGTCTTTCGGTCTTGGATCGTGCAGCCTTGTTATCGATTTTCGAAGCCATGAGCTCAAAGGCGATGCTGAACGAGGACGACATACTCCGGGCCCATTTTGACGAACCGTTTACCTTGGTGCAAAGCAACCGGACATTGAAGATGCCCGAATATATACCCGCAACCACTCAGTTTCTTTTTGATGCGAATGATCAACGCCGCCGGTGGGCGTTCACTTCATGGGGAAGAATGAAAGCACCCCCAACCACGCCAGAGTTCGACTGGGCAGTCAAGGAGCCGCTACTTGCAGCTCTTCGCAAGGCGTCTTGCCCTCCTGTTCAACCGGATCTAGTCCGGAGGCTGTGGGAGGGCATCCATGCTATTGTACAACGGCTAGATAAAGAACAAATCACTCACAACCTTAGAGCTTTAGAAATTGACCCTTGTCGATTATCAGTTGACCACCTTGCTGTCCCAACGCTAGGTTTACGCTCACTATTGAACACCGTTCAAATTTTTCTCGAGAAAGCGCCAAGTGATTTCTGGGACGCCATGCAAACCATTTCCCCGCAGGCTATCATTGAACAGATCTTTTATAACCCCCAGTTCGATGCGTTTCTACTTGAGTCGCGCGATGATAGTTCCTTTGAGAAACCTTCACCTTTGCGGGATATGTTGTCATGGATCGAGCCGTTCATGGCTTCTCTTCAAGGCACACACCAGCCTCAAGCATGCAGAGTACTTGTTTTCCAACTTCTCACCAGGCTGCAGGACTCACGCTTTCCAGCAATTTCGAGATATATTTGCTTTCGAAGCGGACTGTCCACCCTCGTTTCTACATTGCGGACCTTCACGGATAACGAGTCAACAAGAGGTTCCGTTGCTAGGGTTGTTCTATCTGACACTCTTGAAGTTACAAGTGATAATATCGGCTATTTCATGGAACCTCCTGAATTTCCAATCGAAGGAAGTAAAAAGGTTATCTCCGGCCTATGCGTGGATGTAATTCGAAACGCCCTTGCTCTAGAATGTCAGTCCTTGAAGTCTGACTACGAGGTTATTCTTCGTCGGAAACCTATGGCACATGGCGTGAGCACGTACTCTGCTAAGATTTGGGATGCTGTTGTCCAGCATCTGCATGAGGATAATCTTGGGCTTTCCAACGCTGCTCTCATGGGTATTTTGCCCCTTGTTGGATTAGAGAAATTCTCCACCAAAGGCGAGAATAGCAAGGAGAAAACGCATTTCAACGTCATCTACGGACACTTGACACACCTTGCTTGTCAGATCCTTGAAAGGCTAGCTGACTTTAAGCCGGAACATTTGGATAATTTATTTAAGAGCCACGACACGAATGGCTCGTTGATTTCGGCCCTTTTCTCCGCCGATCTAAATACCTATCAAGCTGCAGTAGATCTTATCAAAACTATTAGTGGTCAATCTGGCCGCAAGGAGGCAATATCTCACCTTCTACAGTCCTTCTGTGCGACGACGATGTACGGATTCAGCTTCTCATTCCGACGAATATCCAACATGAAGACTTTTGCATCTGCCCCTCGGATGCTAAAAACTGGGACTGATATTATAGATGTTCTTTGCGACTCTGAAACTGGCATCCTTAGAACACGAAAACTTGTTGATCGCGTGGAGGCCTTTTCCCTTCAGAGATTATGGGAGTATCAATGGCAAGCTCTCTCCACTATATTCCAGCAAACGGAGACCTGGCATTTGATGGGAAATGATAGGATGGTTATGCTAGAATTTTGTCGCGATACTATCCAGTTTGCGGATCTTCTTTTCAACCAATTCACTATCTTTGCGAGCAGTATTTCCGAATTTGATCCGTCCGAGTCCCAATCAGCAAAGGAAAACCTGGTCAAAGCCCCTGCGGTGACATTGGACTCGATGGTCAGATGGCTTCGTTTGAAAGATGATTATTTAGCAACCACATTAGTAGGCCTTGTTGCGAAGCTTCTCCGGCGTATGGGAGAATTAGACGTAACCCTTGCTGGAGATACTTTGAAGTATATTGAGGATGTGGCTCGAACTTCTCTCATCAAAACCATATTAACTGCGCAGGAAAAGGCTGAGCTTGTGAGAGCTCTCGAATCATACTATAAAAAGCCATTCGTAACAGTGCAGAATACCACTGTCCAAAAGAAAAAGAAGCAGACTACCATCACCTCATATGCAAAGCCAATCGATCTTACAGGTGTTTCAAGCCCCTCTAAGATATCTGGAAGTGATGAAGATGAATTTGACGACATCCCGGACGAAGTGCTTATGCAACTCTCTGGATCTGTTGAACTCAACAAAGCACGCATCGCTGCTCAAAAACGTCCGGAGAAGTCTGTCATTCCGTCTAAAAGTGCTCCTCGACCCATCAAACACGTCACGAATGTCCTATCCTTCCGTGAGAAACGAGAACGGGAGAAAGAAGAAAAAAAACGACGTGATTTGGCTGAGCTAGCTCGATTGAAAAAGAAGATCCCATCTCAAACTGCCAATCAGGGCTCTGGTTTGCAAGGAATTAATGTTAACATTGATGAACGTGGACCTGTTGAGAGCATGATGGTCTCCGACTCCGATTCGGATGCGGATAGTGAGGATAGTGATGGTGATGATGGAGACGCTCCCGGACGAAAGGCCACATCTAAGCCAGATGCAGTGAAGGCATATGAGGAAAGCAGGAGAAAGCTAATAAGCCAACGTGGTCCTGTTAGGAAAGTTAAACTTGTGCGGTCTGCTAAAGATATGCGAGCGAGGCTCTCGCCAGACCTATCACTGCTCCACAGGACCTTGCTGAGCTGGGAATTCTTCGCGAATGGTGACCTTCCTCCGAATTCTGGCCGTACAGACTATAGCCTTGTTTCAAATACGTTTGCTGATGCGGCGGATTACCAAAAAACTTTCGAACCCCTGTTGATATTAGAATCATGGCAAAGCTTCCAGTCAGCGAAAGAAGAAGGTGGTTTCAAGGCCTTCGAAATCAAGGTTTCAAATCGCATGTCTGTGGATGCCTTTGTTGAGGTTATCACCTTCATGCAACCTACGGAGGCTAAGGATTTGGGATTGGCGGAATCCGATCTCGTTCTGCTATCTAAGTCGAACAATCCAAGCTCTGATGAAAAGGCGCCACATTGTCTCGCAAGAATTTTCCGGTCAGTTAAAAAGAAAGGGATGATGGAAATTTCCTACCGCATAAATCCTTCGAACCCACTCATGTCCTCAATTTTACCAGGAGCTTCACTACATGCTGTCCGGGTCGCGTCTTTAACTCCCGTGGAGCGAGAATACGGAGCCTTGATGGCGCTGAAGTACTACGATCTGAGCGAGGAAATCATCAAAGCCAAGCCATCACCCATATTGAACTATTCGCTGGAGTCTCTTAAGCCCATCATTGATACTTACAAAGTCAACCCTGCACAGGCAAAAGCTGTTAGGTCGGCGATGGATAATGACGCATTCACATTGATTCAGGGGTATGCGTAAAATGATCCCTTACATTTGTTAACTTTCGTAATGCTAATTGTTATTCCCAGCCCTCCGGGTTCGGGCAAAACCAAAACCATTGTCGCCTTGGTGGGTGCCATTTTGACCCCTGTCTTTGCTGAGCAAAAGATCACCCGACCCGGGTCATCGGGCGACTTCAGACCAGCGACACGAGCTACGACCTCCGGGAAACTTCTTGTTTGCGCACCAAGCAATGCAGCTGTTGATGAGTTGGTGATGAGGTTCAAGGAAGGGGTCATCACGTCGAGTGGACAAAAGCATAATATCTCCGTTGTCCGTCTCGGTCGAAGTGATGCGATTAACTCGAATGTCATGGATGTAACTTTGGATGAACTTGTAAATGCAAAGCTTGGGCAAAATGGTCGCAAAAATGGCAGTGAGAAGGACCTCCAAACTTACTATTCGGAACATAAGGGAGCTTGCACCCAGTTCAACGAAATTCGCGAAAGACTTGATCAGTGTCGTGCAAAGGGACAACATGTTCCGTCTGAGCTGGAGCGGGAATTTGATCTGTTGAAGCGGAAGAAAGCGCAACTTAGTCAGGCCATTGATAATGCCAGGGATAGTAACCAGGCAGCTGCCCGTAATGCTGACCTGGCGAGAAAAAAGGTTCAGCAGGAGATCATTAACGGGTCGCATGTCATATGTGCAACTTTGAGCGGAAGCGGTCACGAAATGTTTCAGTCACTGAGCATCGAGTTTGAAACGGTCGTCATCGATGAGGCAGCACAGTCTATTGAGCTTAGCGCTCTTATCCCTCTCAAGTACGGTTGTTCCAAATGTATCCTTGTTGGTGATCCTAAACAACTACCGCCAACGGTTCTCTCAAAAGTTGCGTCGCGCTTCCAATACGAACAGAGCTTGTTCGTCAGAATGCAAGCCAATCACCCCAAAGATGTCCATCTCCTCGATACCCAATACCGAATGCACCCAGAAATCAGCCGTTTCCCAAGCGCCGCATTTTACGATGGTCGACTTAAAGATGGGCCAGATATGGCTAAATTGCGAGTTCGGCCGTGGCATAGTAGCGAACTTCTGGGCCCTTATCGTTTTTTCGACGTGCAAGGACTCCATTCAAGCGCTCCAAAGGGCCATTCATTGGTTAATTTAGCAGAACTCCGCGTGGCGATGAAACTCTACGAACGGTTGACTATTGATTATATGACTTACGACTTTAAGGGCAAGATCGGAATTATCACCCCGTACAAAGGTCAACTTAGAGAAATGAAAAATCAGTTTGCGAACAAGTACGGGAATTCAATTTTTACCACAGTCGAGTTTAACACCACAGACGCATTTCAGGGACGAGAGTGTGAAGTTATAATTTTCTCTTGTGTGCGAGCATCCAATCGTGGGATCGGTTTCTTGGCTGATATCCGCCGGATGAACGTTGGGCTGACTCGTGCAAAATCATCACTTTGGGTGCTTGGGAATTCACAGTCACTCGTCCAAGGCGAATTCTGGAACGGGCTGATTACCGACGCTCAGTCGAGAAACCTGTATACCCAGGGGGATATCCTGAAACTCTTGCAGAGGCCGCAAATCAGCCTAGATATGGAGCTGAAAGATGTGCAGATGATTGACGCTCCGAGCGAGAAGAACTCGCCACTATCAAGAAATGGATCTATGACTCCAGGCTGGAATGGAAGTAGCCGTCCGTCGTCGGCTCTATCAACAGGTCGTGTTTCCAGTACCCATCCTGCATCCTCCAGGGACACACCGGGCCATAGTCCTACACTAGTGCCTTCAACTGGTCCTGAAGGGCCTTCAGGTGGCAAATTCGGTTTGAACGACTTAGCCATGTGTGGATTTTGCGGGAGCTACGAGCACATGACGACAAATTGCGATAACGCGGAGGCCAAAATGGCCAGCCACGGCGCCTGCTGGCGATGTGGAGATGTTTCACACTCTAAGCGTAATTGTAAGGCAGAACGCTGTCTCCGGTGCGGCGCCTTTGGTCACTCAGCACGCCAATGCACATCAACAGCTGTCCTCTCCAAACAGGAGAAGGATAAAATCGCCCGCGACGAACATCACCATGCGCAAGTTCAAAAAGCAAATATCGAGCGACAGCGGCAAAAACAACTTGGCGACCACGATCCAAAAGTGCCAGTTATCCAGGTGCCGTCAAAAGTCGCCTCGAATGCACCGTCATCCGCAGGAATACTTCATCAAGGACAGGACTTGCAGGACTCGCCAAATGCTGATCAGGGAAATTCGGGCAAACGAAAGCGGATGGAAACAGATCTTCCTAGCTCGCGCCCAAACTTGAAAGTTCGAAAACCAAATGCCCAGTTTAACGCTCAGTTTGCGGCGCCTATGAATGCCCCAAAGGGCCCACGGGGAAAGAAATTAGACCCCCATATCGTTGCTCCTCCTACCAGCGTAAGGCTTTGCTCGAATCATTTTCGAAGGAAAATCCCATGTATATTTTAATTAACTAATAAATTTTTGTTTCAAGGACCTGGTGATACCGTCTAAATCTGAACAGGGACATCAGCCAATAGCCTCCAAAGGTCAACAACTTTCACACGCTCGTTCGGGGACTGAACAGGAGAAGCAGACGACAAATGTAAGTTCAGGCAAATTTTTCTCTCCCATCCTCTCCTCGTGATGGAAGTAGTGTCGTAATAACAGCAATCCTCGAAACAGAGCGGGCTCCAACCACTTCCTACGTCACGTCCTAGTAATCCTCGTCCACGTCCAAATGGTGAAAACAGAGGCCCACCACCCATGAGAAAGAAGAAGCCAACCAACATATTTATTCAACCGAAAAGAAGATAGAATTATGCCCTTTTGCTTCTTGTTTTTTGTCTCAAGACTTTGTATTTCTATTTCTTCCCTTTCGCCCGTTTCTTGAGGAACTGCAGCTCGGTTTCGCTTCTGCGTGCATGGTTGTGAATGCACATTGGAGCGCATAGATCTTGTAGCATTATTTTTTTTTATTATTTTCTTTACTTCTTTATGCCATTTTATGACGTTTCTTTTATGTTTTTGTCGTAGTTTTTTCTCATTTTGTTTTATTTTTTTGACGGTAAAGGCATGTTTGTTCCACTTCCCCCTAATTCATGATTCAGGAAAAGACAAATGAGCAAAGAAGCGAGACGAAGAAAGCATCCAGGCGGCGTTTGGTAGACTATTTTTGTTATTATTTTTATGTGTCATGGTTTCCACGTTTCTGCGCAGTCGCTGCATCTCCGCCGTTTCTGTTGAACCATTTTTTGAGGGCATGGATGGTTCTCTGTTCTCAACACACCGACAATGTTGGATATCTATCTGTACATCATCTGGCATTTATTGTTTTTGATGAAACGTTCATTTAGCCACGGGGACAATCAGGCACATCGTAACATTCGTGTCAGATGAATTTTTTGGTTTTTTTTTTTTTTTTTTTTTTTTTTTTTTTTTTTTTTTTTGGTGCTCGCTCCGCTCTTGGGATTGACCTTGAATTGGCCGTAGACTTGTCAATATCCGTCACCGCCACTGAGGTGTTACTTGGAAACTGGCCAGCGTGTTCATGATATGTACACGAATCAATGGGTAACATGTTTTCATAAATATGACTTACTCTACTCGAGGTTCCAGAGCCGTTAAGGCTATTCCAGTTTCCGGAAATCCCACACGAGTGTCGGTGTCAAAATTCTATGCCAAACTGATTACACTCTAGGTCGAGGATGGGGTAATGAATAAATGAATTGATCATTGAAATCTATGCTCGAGAGCATATTAAGAATCAAGCTCACATGCTGGGTATGCATACGGGTGCATATCTACCCTTCTTAGCTGTCGGTGTGGGTGGGTATACATGCACTGAAGATATGTCTGATGTATAAAAAAAAATTAAAAAAAAATTAAAAAAATTAACAGAGTACCAACCCGTTAACAGAGCACCAGATTGCAGATGGTCAGTCACTTCAACGTGTGGATATCCGTCAAATCTGCCTTCGTCCATCGTACCATGTATGTGTTACCATACCATGTACTGGAGCAAGCATGGGGGGATATGGAATGTAATTCTGAACAGGATATAGGATATATCCATCGAAGCCTACGGCTCTGACACCCACAATCTACTTCCGCATATTCCACAGTTGAAATACTGACTAGCTGAGAGCGGGGTATCTCTTTTCCCATCACAGGTTCTAGTGCATGAGAAAAAGGAGAGAGTCGTCTTCCTATAGCTGGCATCTGCTTCGGAATGTATCGTAGATCACAAACGGTGTAAAGGTGTTGATTTCGCTTTTATCACAGGTGCATCGAACTGCGTATAAGGGGACAGAATGACAGAAACTCGTCCCCCGTAGCTGCTTCTTCGATACAAGCTAGCGATGGCGATGTATCAAAGTCAGCTAAGGCGGTCAATGGTAGGGGAATGCGGGCCGAAGGCGACAGAAGCGGGAAGGCGCTCCTAGTCTAAGACAGGTGGTAGCAGGAAGAGGCATATTTCTATTGATGTTCAGTTCTGTTTATAACTAACTAGCCGTCTGTCCGGTAGGATAATGGCAGAATGGGGCCGATGTTCTCCAGCTTGTGTGAGCCGTGGGGAAGAAGTAAACGTATGATTACCCAGAAAGGGCAACAATTAGTTACGCCAGTTGACAGATCATGGCAGGCAGATTAGATTTCTGACTGAAACCATGAGTGGTTATCTTGTTTATTCGTGTGTACTTGGTCATTTCATATTGTTATGAGAAAGTGAAGTTGAAGTGAGCCGTAAAATCAAATTCACGCCTGAAGTCTGCTCTGCTATATCTCATGCTGTTTCTAAAACTCAGCTGAATAATCTTTAGATATAAGGTAGGAGATGTGGATAAATAGATGTTTCATTTCCCAATACGTGAGAGAGAAGGAATAATCGGTTCAATTGGTAGACGTGCATTATTCATTAAAAACGAAACATCGACAGGTCAATAAACCGAATGAGTGGGAAGGAAGACGAAATTCTCAATCCCGAAATTAGGGGAATTGCTCATGTCTCCTTAGACTCCCTTTGATTTGCACGGCGTGATTGGATAGTGGCGTGCTTGATGACAAGTGCGTGCTTGCATAGTTGCGAGAACGGTTTGCCGTCGGGAATGAATGGGTATTGCTGCACCATTGACGTTTGGTGATATTACAGAGCCTCTGTATTTGTCGTTGAGGTTCCAGATCGAGGTCTGAGAAGGTCTCCACAGGCCAGCCCGAGACCATCCATGGTGCACTGACTTCCTCGAAACGGCCTATCAAAATTGGACAACGCGGGTTCCGTTTGCAAGAAACGGTTGACAGCAACAAAGGGGTGCAGGGCGAACTTTATGGGTCGTTCTCGAATATGACGACAATGCCTAATATTCATTAATATCCATACACAAGGATTGAACCGGATGTGATGCTGCAGGAGCTTTCTTCTCGGTGACATCTGCTTGCTGGGAAGAATTAAAATATTGTATATTTATGTCTTTGAGTTGAAAATTGTGAAATTTTCCCGTTGGTGAAGTAAGATATCTGATATACGGTTTCTGATCAATGGAGTGGTTGGTTGGCTGTTGTTCCACTGCTTGCTTGCCATATTGATCGACGTTCGAGGCGTTCATCCTAATTATCTACGCTGCGTATATTCTCTGAGATTCTTCAAGAAGCAGATCAAAATACGGAGTAGAACTCGATCACATCCCGTAGTTTCAGAAGTTAAGCAACAAAATGTTCATGGATAATGCACAGCCTGCAACCACAAGACATTGACATGTAGACAAGAATAGGAGTAAAAATATTGATTTGCACACCGCACAACGGCTAAACGGCTTGTCCTGCTCGATTTGAAACCCGCAAGTTCGAATCACAATCCCGGACTGCACGTTCACACAGCAGGGTCCACTAAAGACCAACGAGGACAAAAAGAGCATCTCTGCGTAGGTCCTGTGCATGCAGTGAAATGGGCTGTCAGGTTATTCTATCATTTTACCCATTTGTTTGGCCAGACGCACCTTTACAACGACATCTTCCTTTGCCACACAGTGTCGGAATAATCTTGTTGGATGGAACGGCGTGCACTCTACGACTGAAAATTCCGTTGATACTAGTGGTTGCTGGCGAGGCGGGGAACTTATCTTGTTGGAATGTGAGAGGTGAAATATTTTCCTTGATATATTTTCATCGACCTTGATTTGAATATTTGGGAGATGTTTTCACAGCCAGCTCGATCCGATGGCTTCAATGCGGTTTTTCTTGCCCTGTTCTATTCGTTTTGGATTCTGATAAGAAGCTTCGGCTAGTGCTATATTTCCTTTTGGCAGCTCAACGCGCGCAGAAAGTTGGTTGACGACACCAAGCCACGGCACAACTTCCTTGTCGGTCCAGCCTGCGATTGGGGTTGTTCGGCAGCATCGACGCAAGAGATATGCGCTTTGGTCGTTTCGTTGCAAGGTTCACGAAGTCGATCGTCTCAAGGCCGAGCTCTTGTTCGCTTGGCCAAGTTGGCCTCGAACCAGCTCCGTGGGTCAGGAATCAACGGGGCTAAGGGTTTGCGCTGGCAGTGGTTCGTGGAGTCTCTGCGTAACCAAGCGGCTCTAATGCGGGGATTGGGGTTGGCTTGACGATGCCAGCGGAAGATCATCAGATCGAGATCTCAGGATGATTGTCGAGGATTTTGGAATGAATTTTGACTCGCGGATTCTTGTTTTTGAAGCTCTATTTGTCCATGTTTGTCCTTATCAAGTTGATAAGTTTCTTTTTCTTTTCCTATGCGCCCCTTTGCTCTTGTCCGCCCCTGCCTTGGAATTGGGCGTGATGAACAGGAGAGATGATTTTCGAGACCGGGCGATCATGCCCGCAGCTTGCGCATATAATTCTCCAGATATCCCGGCCGGATCAGTGAGCTTTATCTCAAGGATAACTATTGTATTATGGCTCCACATCGCTGGACCGCTTAAAAGGGTTGTCGTTTGTTTTGTGAACTTTTTTCCGCATTCTTTCCACAGCGCGGGGGTACTCCCATTGCCTGAAGCGCTTATTGTCCCTTCAAATACTTTCCAATCCGAAAAGAGAGCTTGGGGATAGATGAAAGTGCTAGTTTTCTCTACTTTGAATCACGTCCTGTAGTTTGAGTATCCAGTCGCATCAATTGCCCGCGCTGTTTGAAGTACGAAAAAGGTCTCTCTACTTGTCATTCCAGCCTATATTTTGACCCCATTTGCACTTCTCCTGCTTGTGGTATGTTGCTTTTTGATCTATTTTGTGTTCATGGCTTTCTAAAACCGTCAATGAAAGCATTTGTTGTTGAAATGCAAGATTCCGTTCATGCGGAATTACTATCCCACAGCATATGATGTATATATGCATGGTACAGACAGCTTTACGTCCAGTTTCCTGTTGTGCGCGCTATCCGCTCTATAGAGATCATATAACAAACTGACCCTCTTTATCAAATAGGGAGGTCACCTGGCTGATTTTGTATGACAAGCGAAATCCCAAATACCTCATTCCGCCGCGATCTACCCCATAGATGTTCGTCTGGCTGGCGGCTCGCATAAGATGCAGCGTCCAGACGGCAATTTTGCACGGTCGGGTGTACCCAGCCTTACAGAGTCGATGGGGCGGTCAGAAAACGAGATGATGGAGGTGGACATGAGATTATCAGGCTCTCTACTTGATAAACGACCTCTCAGCCGGGGCAGGCTTATCCAGAATGCTGGTGGAAATATTAGCCAGGACGAATTGAGCAAATGCAGCCCACCATCATCAACGGCAGCAAGTAAACTGGCCAATTGCGGGAATACCCTCGAATTATTGAAGCTCCTTGACGGCCAGCATGAACCAATGCACCGTTCAGCCCCATTCCAGATAGTTGTGAAGTTAGTGGCCTCTGGGAACAAGCGACTACGATTGAACGACAACAACGAACCCAAGCCACGGAGCAAACATGAAGTCGTTGACAGTGACGACCCTCATGGCCAGACAGAGAAGCCCAGATCAAGGATATGGAATTCGATGTCAACAACGAAGCGGAGGAGGCCATGGAAAGGTGATTCCGAATCGCAGCGCAATGAAACAGTTCGTCATGACGACCAAGTTGGCAGCCCGCAACGGCGCAAATGGATGGTGTCTGGGACGCGGAACAGAAAGAACTCCAAGGTGGTCGAGTGCGAGAACCGAGACTTTTTATATCCTGGAGTGGGCAAGCTGCCCTCTCTGCCACTTGAGAACAAGCAAGCTGAAGCAGTCAATTATAAGAGCTGCAACGGGCAGAGCCCGGTTGCGAGCCCCTGCTCACAGGAGCCGCGGTCATTGGAAGACGTTTTTTGGCAGCCAGAGAAAGCCCTCGATAATCTCAATGGCGTCGAAAGGCTCAAAGATTTCACAGCTGCCGCACTTGCAGCGGGTTTAAATAACTTAGGCGAGGAACCAAGCTCTCTAGCGCTGAGTGACTCCGGGACTAAGGGCACCACGCCAACTACGTGGGAGGGCCGCATCGCAGCTACTGGGGATAGCGGCGTTACGAACCTCCCAGAAAATTATAATAGGAATAATCATAAGTCCAACGACACACATTGTCAGAACCAACGCCCATTGCAACAGCATGCCTGTACGGAGAAAACCACAGCGTCTGGTTCACCAAGCATCAGAGCTCACCCTTCACCTCTTCAGGCCAGGAATTGCTTCCCTGCCTCGAATAACACGAGTCCAGCTCCACAACTTCCACGAGTTCCTCCCGACTTAACACCAGAGCTGACTGCATCGAAAGGTACGAAGGCAAAGAAGCCGCTGACTTGTCCGCCCCCTGACACGACTCACATCAATCTTCAGTGTCTGCCTCCCAGGAGTTCTAGCAAGGGAGCTTGCCGGAACGCATCCCTCTTCACTGCGTTCACCGATCATCGACGCCGGAGCTCTCACTCAAAAAGTCCACTGCTCCCTCATAGCTCCTCGGATACCCAGTCGTGGATTTCCCTGTTTCCCCGTCCTGCCCGTTTCCCCCATGCGTCACACTTTGCAGCTTCGATGTCGTCAGTAGAACAAATACATCCATTGCATACTGTGCCAACCTCAACACCAAACCACATTGGGACGGAAAAAAGCAAGGGATATCGAAGATCTGTGTCGAGAGGCTCGCCATTAGCTTCACCACCGCATCGAGAGACATCGCCGGATATGGCAAATCTGAAGGCTGTCGTTTCTACTCCATTCCCACAAATTACGGATAACTCTCAGTACCCGCCTGCACAAGCCAAGACTACAAATCTTCAAGATCACTATATTCTCACTGCCCCCGGAGAGAACCAATGCACTGGAGGGAATGCTGGACGAAGCTTAAGTCCAAGGGGATCTCTTGAGTCGAAAAAGCTACGCTGCTTGGGAATACCTGACCCATCAAAGATGGACACAACAAAGCCACTGGACAAAATGAGTCGAGCCGAGAGAGTCTTTGTTTTACGAATGCGTGATATGTGTCTTGCCCGTGAGAGCCTCAAGAAAGATCACCAGCAATGTATTCCTTCGGAGGGCAGTACATCACAGGAAATTCGGCGCGATTGGGAGCTGCAAACTCAACCCAAGAAAGCGCGTGGTAAACCGACGGATATGCCAACTACCCCCCCAAAAGTCTACCGAAACGATGCTCCAGGCGCTCCTCCGAGTATTCCCTTGCCTGCGGACCCACCAGTGCCGTCGCTGCGATCCTCATCTAATAAGATAGTGTTAAACCCGAATCAACCTACCCTCCAGTCACTGTCTACCATATCGCTGGACGCAGCACTCGCCCACAAATTCGACGCACGCTTGTCTGCAAGTTCAAGCGGAAGTACACATAGAAGTGATAGCAATAACAGCTGGTCGAGTAGAAGCGCTCGTTCAGGTAACGATATCTCTAAGCAAAAGCATGCTACCAATCTAGAGCAGCACACATTCAGCTCCCAGCGTGACGGCCCACGAGAAGAGATCGCAATAGCATTCGACCCTCGTCCTCTGACCCCGCTACCTCCCCCAATGTCCGACGAAGCGCATACTGGCATTTCACCAAATTGTGGAAATTGCGTCTCCTGTCCTCACCTGAGAGCCAACCCAAGTCCGACAAACAAGAACCGCCAAAACACATTCTTCTATAAAGAAAATCGGTCCGAACCCCGCCCGAACAATGCCCCAGTATCACAGTCCCCCCTCCGCGAGTGCTTCCCTCGGGATAGCTCACGTCCATATAGCCCAAGTCTGCAACATTTCAGCAATACCAATACCTACAGCAACAGAACCGGCGCTGGCGCCGGCGCCAGCGCCAGCAACAACACTCACACAACCTCATCCCCACAACCACCATCGACACGGCCCCGGTCACAAGAAATCCCTATGCACCCACAATGCGAAGCCCGCATCGCCTTCCTCGAACGGCAGAACAAAATGCTTCAGGCAGCCCTCATCGCAGCTCTAGATGTTGGCGTCACCTTCGATGCGGACCTCATGCGTACTGTCACCTCCACACCTGTCAGCATCGCCTCTCCAGGAAGTGAAACCAAAAACAAAAATGTCTTTCGTCATTCATACACCAGCACATCTACAACCGGAACAACGAGTACGACTACAAGCGCTCAACGGCTGAGCATGGATGGTCGTCGATCGTACGTTAGTGATAATAGTGTCGAGTCTGCCACCAATGTGGTTAGATGGCGGAGCGTACGGGATGCGCATCCTTGAGACGACTAACTATCAAAATCGTGGAGGGGAGCGAAAGCTGGTTTCCTGTGGGGAGTACCGGAGGACAGAATACAATGCACCATTCTTCCTGTTCACATTCGTGTCGCCACAAGCCTTTGAATGGAATGATTTATCCTTGACTGGATTAGATATGTTTGATATGTCTTTGGTGTTATGGAATTTTGATTTGATTTTATTTTTTGACTCTTTTATTCGCGAGAATGTTTTTTTTATAGCGAATACCAATACACCATATGATGGTTTACTGCTTCAATGAGATCTACGTTGTTCTTTCTAATCATACTTTTTCTGTTCCCTTCCACTTTGATACCCCTGCTTTAGCTTGCTGCACGGTTGAGAATGATCGGAAAGTTGAAACATTAGGGTATACCACTGTAAATCAGTGGAGCTCGTACAATGTCCGTTCACATTGGCGTTGGGTATTGATGTCAGAAATGGAAAGGTAGAAGGCGACTACAATTTCGATTCAACGAAGTTTTCGAACTCACGAAGGAGGGTCAGTGGTCTGTCGCTGAAAATTCGTATACTCAAAACGACAACTTTACATCCCGTAGGCGCCCGCAAGGGCCGAATTCCGTATTCTTTCTTGCTTTTATTTGTAATCTGCAGTTCACTCCCAAGAGAGACTCCAGGTAACTTCGCCCTTTCTGAATGGAACCACATCCGTCTTCTCCGATTTTAACAAGTCCAAAATTTTCCCTTTCTCCTTGGACAACTTAAAAAATTCCTTCTCTTCCTGGGGAACTTCATAAAATTCCCTTCCAAACTTCCCCAGAAACCCTTCTAATATGTCCTTAGAAATGTCCGCCTCCTTCAATGACCCCCTCTCACACCCTTGTTCAAGCGCATCTAGCACATACTGCGTCGCATAGGGCTGCGTAAACACTCCCGCGGCAATCTTATCCCCACCCCTCTTAGATGCCGCAGGATGCGGTGCACTATCTGAGCCAAAAAAGAACTTCTTATTCCCCGACGTCGCTGCCTTCAACAACGCATCCCGATCCGCCACCAGCTTTGCCACAGGCTTGCAGAAGCAGAACGGGTCGCCCAGCGCATTATCTACGATAAGCGACAGATGATGCGCCGTGATGGTACCCACGACGGTAGGACCGCATTTCTTTACGGTTTCGACCGCTGCGGCAGTGCTCAGGTGCTCTACAACAATGCGGAGGCGTGGAAAGCGTGAATGTAGGTCTAATAGTGTGGGAAGGAAGCGTTCTTCGGCGGACATGACGGTGATGTCCCCGTGAGAGGGGCATTCGCCATGTAAGTTCAGAATTAGGTGCTGACGCTCCATCTCGGCAAATACAGGGTAGAAGGCAGCGTAGTCGATGACGCCTGAGTCGGAATTTGTGGTTACGCCTGCCGGGTAAGATTTTACGCCGATTATGCCATTCTTCTTAGCTTCGATTATGGTTTCGGGTGTGATTGAGGGGTGGAGGTAGAGCGACATTAGGTAAGTGACGCGGGGCTCGAGCGCTTGGAGGCGTTTTTTGTAGGAGAGAGCTTGCGCGACGGTGGTTATTGGAGGGACGAGATTGGGCTTTGTATAGAAATTTATTTAGTATGTTGCGTAACATGGGTCAATTTTCTTGTAGGAAACGGGGGAAGAGAGATTACCTTACCATGACATAGACTGTGTTGACCCCTCCTTGTCTGATGGTGGGGACGACAAGCTCCATCATATCACCATCCCGCAGATGTACTGTTTTATTTATCCCATTGGATCGTTGTCATGATTCGATCTTTTGTGGAATGAATGTGCTTCCCGATATATGGTTTCTGGTGGTGGGATAGGTAAGTGACATACCGTGGAAATCCGCGGACGCGGGAAGTTTGACCCCGTCGATCCTGGAGGGAGGCATGGTTTTCTAAATACTAAGGATAATATTGAAACCTACTAGGGAACAAAGGGAAACGGTGGTGGAAGAGAGGGGAGGAAAAGCGGGCTGGAAGATTTTGTTTCGGATCTTTGAAGCAGAAAATGCGGGAGATTGATAAGAACCTAAATTTTGATCCAAGAAATTTTTGACTTCCGGCTATTTGGTTGAGCTAGCTAAAGGAGATCCCGAAATTAATGCCTCCTATGAGCCGAGTCCTACATTGCGAAATTGGGAGCTTTGCACGATATGGATTGGCTTTGTCAATCCCAATATCTCCTTGTGAATTGCTATTGAATTATGAATAAATCGCATCAGTGTCTCTGCTGAACCCGTGCCCTTCGAGTTGATCCTACTCAAAATTATATACATATATCAATGCCTCAAAAAATAAAATAAAATAAAATAAAAATGAAATGGAAAATGAAAATGAAAAAACACTCTGTTGCTGCTGTCATTCTTAAAATTAGTTCTCTCGCGATTCTCGTTGGCTTCTCACTCAAAGTAATGGGTATATGGGCTCAACCCTTTAACAACCTGGACAAAGTGCTGCGCAATGATTCTATCCGTTTGCTCCGAGGGATGTATGGCATCATACCACATATAAGAGTCTCGGCTGGGCTGTTCTACGCAATTCTGTCCTTGGGCATCGCATTGCTTCACCCAGGACTGCACGTTGGGCGGTTCGGTTCCATTGAAGTATTGGGCTGGGTGACCATAGATATTCGTAAGCTAGTTGGGTGATTAATTTGTAAGTGAGAGTTGCGGCAATACGCTCAAACTATGATTGGTGATGGTGCAGATACGGGCTGGAGGAGTTTTTCAGGAGATATTCTTCCTGAGAAAGAAATGGACGTACCAATGAATGAGTATCAAAGAGAGCAACACTCGCCCCCTTATACCGATGCCGCATCGAACCCTCCATCTTCAGCCTTATAATCTCATTCACAGCCACAACAGTTTGTTTCATCCGACATGAAACTTCAGTACTATTCGCTGGCTTATCCGGCCAGAACGTGGATGTCTCCACCCCACCCATCTCCGGCAAAGCATACAGTGGCAACAAATCCAATGGCGGCACATTCAGCTGAAGCTCCAATGTGGTGGAATTCATAGAGCCGTTCGATTGAACGGAAAATGCACTCGACGTAATCCAGGAGTGTCTTGCCAGCCACTTGCGCATCATCTATGAACGCCCCGTTGCCTAGGTCATTTGTGCCAATCCAAATGGCATATACAGTATTGCTCCGGGTGAGAGTTAAGACTGGTTGTCCTGTTTGCGGATCTCGATAGTTCGCATCGGCAAGAAAAGTAGGGATTTCGTATTGGTCAACGGAAGGGAAGATGCCGTTGATGGGGCCAAAGTACCGTGGCGTGATGCAGTTAGAGCACGTTGCCCCACTGACCGCGTAGTTGTAGAGCTCTGCACCTGTATAATCGCTCACATAACGAGCCCAAATGCGGCCACCGCTGGAGGTAACGTCGTTCTATTTTTATCGCAGACACGACTGATAAGTCATTGGTTGTCTTTATGAAGCAGATAAAGAAAAAGAGAATGTGCTCATCAAGAACGGACATCTCGACATTTTTGGCTGGGGCAACTTTCAATAAGTTGAACAAAAGCAATCTTATTTTGGCCTGAAATGGCCAACCCAGCACATCGTTATAAAGGATTAAAGCCAAAAAAGTCAAACTTTCTTAGGGCAGACAAACAATCGAGAAACAAAAGGTAATGTAAGAAGTAGTATTTACCTCTGGCGCTATCCACCCAATGGGAGGAGCCTCCTGATTCAGAACAAAATACAGGAGCCTCGACTCGTCTGTATAACTATTACCAAACGTGACTAATTGGTCCATATGCCTCAGCTTCCATGCAGAATGTCCAATGCCCAAGACACTCTGCGCACCCAACGCAAGAACTAGTCCTAGTCCAGATAGCATCGTGCCGTTCTATCAATCATTCAGTGATCCAAAGAGGTAACTAGGAGAATGGCACAGAGTCGACGGCAAGGGACATATAACGGGCGTGAAAGATGAAGGGGCCCGGAGTGCATCTTCCGACAATTCACCAGCCAGAAGGGATCCTCCACTCAACTTTATAGGCATGGCCTGTGAGAGGAGTTTGAGATATTCCCTCGTCTTCGCATTCCGCATTGAGACGCATACTCATGAACAACGAAACAAGTTCACCGCAAACAGGCGCCAGTGTGTCCTTGCTGCTCCTCAAGCGCCGGGGATATAGATTGACTCCATGGAGTTCAACAGCTCTTCCATCTAGAGCTTCTTCGCATTGCTGGAGGGCACGCCCGAATTTGAAGACGATAGAGCGCCACGATGTTTGCGGCGTTTGGCAGGCTAGGTACGGCCCGCGCCATGAGAGAAATGGAACCGTTGCTCTTTCACTTTTCCTCTTGGCTCGTTTTTGGCACGAAGAGATCAGAACTTATCGTTGGCTAATGGCTTATACTATGATAGCACCCCAAAAGCCACTGTTGTTTGTCTTTGTATTTCTAGCCGACGCGTGAGATGTCTTGGCCACATGAAGTGCAGCACTATAATATTTTCCCGGGTCTTAAAAAAAAGCCCAACTGGCATTTCCTTTGAGGCCAGGAAGAACAGCATCTGTAATAATTTGAATTAGCCCTGGTTAATTATTATTCGAAATAAGCTGGCTTACAGAATAAAGGAAAAACCACAGATTCACGCGACGTAAGGTCTTTCATGGCCGAAAACATCCAGAGAAACAAACGCCGTCGAATTTTATTACTTTAAAATTGGAAACCTTTGAATTCTGCAAAACTGCGTCCGTGCGCCACAACTCCAGGCTATAGATCCTCAAAGCTACTCAAATATAGATTGAAATCAAGGTTGCACTCGATTAAGATATCATATGAAAATTCGCCACACCTGCAACATGTTCCCACACATTTGATTCGGTGAACGAATCAAAAGCCAACAAAGGTGTCACGATTCCAGACATTTGCCCTTCAGACGCTTTTATCTAGGTTTATGCCCTTGTTCGTCGGCTAAGCGTGTCACCGAGCTTTTGATCTACTAAAGAAGCCTTTCTTCAAACCCTGGTAAGAGCTGCCAATCATCGTGCCAAGCGCAAATGTGTCCGAAGCCGTTCGATCGATGGGGTTGTTTGCTACGGGCTGCTCTGAGACGGTCCGATGGCTGTTGGTCGAGAGCCGTCCGAATATGCCCTTGTCGAGTTGTTTATGCGACCTCTCAAAAAGGGCCGTCATCGTCGTTGTGGTTGTTGTGGATGTTACCGCCGTTACCGTGGTTTCTGTGGCCATCGTCGTCTGGGTATAATTATAACAGACATCTTCCGGGTATCGCAATTGTTCGAATTGGGCTCTGAGAAGGAAGACATATTGCTGTAGTTTTGTAATATATTTACATGACTTCACAGAGCTTGAATCGGTGGAACGGCTGCCTAGTATGTCCACACTCTGACAGCTGGTGCAGCACAGCGCATAGCTGTCGCCAGGCGGACTGATTAATACTAAATTCGTATTCTGCGGAGTTTCGCAAGTGTCGCAGTGAACACATGAGCCTTTGCATGTTAAGTGTTGGCGCCGTAGATACCCATCCCAGCTGACGCATTCAGCGCTGATTGGCCTGTTGCAGACGTGGCACAGTTCTACATCACCCCTGTTAAGCTCTGTTTCTGTGAAGCTCATTGTTGGTGGAAGGTCATTTGGGAATTTGTCGAGAGAGTTGAGATATTCGGGGACAGCTGATAGATCAACATCAGCAGCGCCTTCCCCGAGAATCTTGATGACCTTTTTCATAAAATAGGATAAACCTGAGCTTGCCGCATATATCTCCTTCAGGTGGCTTGAAATGGTCCTTGGCTGGTGGCTTTTAGACAGAGACACGGTCATCAAGTCTGTCAGCTTCGCCCGCAGCAGGTCTATCTCGGGGCTGTCGGAAAGGACTAATACGGTTAATCATCTTGCAGTGGCTGAAATTGGTGTATACACACTTACTGGTTTTTCCAGCCTTTCTTCTGATATCGTCCACAATGTCAATTGAGGCAAAGAGAACTCCGAGCGCAATTATCAAAGTTAGGATGCCCTCCGATATCTTCTCATGGGAACCGGATTCGAGGTGCTCGAGATTATCGCTTATACACGACGTAACCGTTGACTCAAAGTTATTTAGGATGCTCTCCATTCTATGACAGGCAGATTCGTCATCCTGTTCTTCCATGACGGGAATGTGGTCCAGCGACGATCCCGGGTTGTGACGTTTATGAGTCTTATAACAGCGTTCATGCCAGACTCGCTTTGTCGGCATATAAACCTTTATATACTGATCCATAATAGCCATTCCGCAACCATAACAGCGGTCTGCATATTTCGCCATGTAGTCGTTCTTGCAATATGCCTTTCCTCGATGTATGTAGTAATTATCCCCAGGGCCGATGACATGCTGACAGGAGTGACAGGTGAAATGATCCATGTGGTATTTGCGCCCAACGGCACTGATATATAAATCTCGCAAGGCACCACCACATTCGCTGCATAGCATATCTAAACGTCGGAAGAGGTCGTTTTCGCAGAGAGGAACTGGGCCGTTTCGCTCTTGGACCGGGAAGAATTCGCGATATATGGGTCTGTGGCAGTCCTGATAAATCAATTCGTTAAAAAGCAGAAGTGATTAACAATGATGTAAAAAGCTTACATGGCACTTAAAACACTGAGGATGATACAAGTCTCCAAAAGCCGAGATGCATTCGCTGGCTATGGTCATTCCACACTTCACACAGCTGTCCAACGCCGTTGGCTTTGAATATGCTGAACCATGACTGTTGGCTCTGGTGTGAAGCCATCCTTTTGTTGCCATATTTTCCTGCCTGCCACAGCCTTAAGAATGGTCATAAATATATTCTTATCAACACAAAAACCCACTTCGAAATTGTTCGTTGAACTGTGATGGGGTCCCTTCCGAGAAGAAGAACCGAGTTGACCTGGATTAGTTATGGGCCACTATTCCAGGATATAATCGTCTCGAGGCGAAGAGCAATTACGATTCCTCTCTGCGGCGGAGCTCTGTGTGCTGAAATATCCCTGAACTGCGCATCCAGAGACTTCCATACCGCCTCGAGCACAAGTCACGATGCGCGTTGACTGCACAAACACTCTGGGCGGACGATCAGGGTTGGACAGGGCCAGAATGTCAATGGCTTCACAAGGAAGACCGGTATTTGTCCGCTTTTTACTGGGTTAAAGTCTCTCGCGGGGTTGGATTCCCTCAAAACCACTGAACCCAACCGTGCAGGAGCGGGTACAATCAACCCGAATCTTGGTATCCTCCAGCTGTTCCCCCCACAGCTCGCAGCCATAAAAATGGAAGCGAGCCAACAGGGCATCCACAATTGAAACCTGGCGGAAGTTCCTCCAATCCAGCTGCTAAATTTGTAACCAAGTTCATCAAATGTGATCTGCGATTTACCTTGTAGTATTGATGGGACCAAGCCATATTTTGGTAAATCTGCCAATGGCCAGCCATAACGGTTGATTCTCGTTGCTCCTCCGTGGGATGATACTGGCCTCCTTCATTCAGTCCAGGGGGCCTGTGCAGCGATCATGCAGCTAACAAGTACTAGCGGCTCGGCGCAGAATCTGGGGTGTTAGCCACATCAGACAAAGGGATCCAAAGACACAGCTCGCCATGCTTGGAAAGAGATGATATTGAATGCATAAGTGAAATATTTAGATGTGTAGCAAGCGGCACATTAGGTACGTACAAATCCCAAAAGGAAAAGCATATAGAAGAGATAGCGAAGGCGAAGCGGGCGCAAATTCACATGCCCGACAATCGCAAGCCGCCACTTGGAGTTAGAGTTCATCCGCCAATATAGTAAAAAGGGCAAGGAAAGAGAGAGGAAACGTGTAGAATTGAGAACAAGTTTATGTGAAATCTATCAGGCTTTCGCGTCAGGGGGTTGGAACAAACAAGCAATAACCTGGGATACGGAGGAGAGAGACATTCATACCATGAAACTGGTTTATGCAGGCATTTGCTTGAGAACCCATCAGAATGTCCAAAAATTTTAAAGTACGAGGATGTGATGGCGCAAGGAGGAAAAAATAAGCCTAGCTCCCATGTATAATGTGCAGAGACGAGAGATAACCTCAAGGAATTCATCAGAAACTGAGGGAGCTGGATGTAATATTTTCTGGGAGGAGATGGCCTGGGTTGTCGATCATCTTCGACTTCATATCATAGAATAAGGAATGTAAAGTTACTATCGAGAGGCAGAGCTGATGGCTGTACTTGCCAGCTCTGGTTCCGCGCTGCTGGTATCAACTCCATCATGGTCCGTCAACTGCGGATGCTGATGCTGCTGCTGCTGCTGCTGTAGCCGCTGCCGCTGCCGCTGCACTTTGTGTTGCTTCTCAAAACCATGAGAATTCTTCGCAATCGGAGGAGTCACCGAAGCAGGCGCAGAAGCCGCAACCCTCTGTCGAAGTCTCTTCAACCTCTCCCCACGAGTCTCACCAGCCAACCCCGTCCAGAGGGGGCCAACAAAATCAGAGCGCCAATCAGTCCGATTAGCCGCACGCCTATCACTCCTGAGCCCCAGGGCGCCAATACTACGGTCATGCAACCCTGCCTCCCCCCACATCCGTACACGCTGCACTTTCCGTAGTTTCATGAGCCCATATGCGCACACGAAGGCGGTAAAGGCGAAACAGACACCGGACACGGCGGTGAAACCTATGTCGGATTCTTCTAGGAAGTTTTTTAAGTTCATGCCATAGAGTGCGGAGCAAAGGGTTCCGGCTGCTAAGCCGAGGGTGCCGATGCTGAATTTGAGATCGAGGAGCATGAGGGAGTTGCGGTTGGCGTCGAGGATTGCTTTCACACTGGGGGAATAGGTAACAATGTTAGCGTTTTTATAGATTGATGTAGTTTGATGGAGATGTGAAGATTGTGGGGCTAAAGTCATACATTTCCTCCGTGTTTCGAATGTTGGTAACTAGATTTCCACTGGCTTGAACGATTTCATCGCAGACTTTGTGATAGGACTCGAGCAGCATTTCAATCTCTTGATGATCGACCTCCTGCCTATGCACGCCTTGCGCTTTTTCTGATAAATACATTGCCGTCAAGTCATCATCAGCTTCCAGCAGATCCTCAATCGCATCGCGCACTAGTCTAGCTTTCTGCTCGAACGTGCCCAACCTCTTGGAGTATATCAGGAGGCGTCGTAACTTGTCTCTGTCTATATCCTCTTCCAGAGCCCGAAGAACACGCACAACAGGCTCCCTTACTCCTTCAAACTCAGCCTCAAGTCCAGTGGTCACGCTGACCAGAACCGCTTCCAGAGCGCGGAATTCGTATGGAAGAGCGCCAGGTGAGGACTGCCGGCCTGCCGCCTCTTTCTGACGTAGTTTGCCTTCTAGATCATACATGAATACCGACTGTGTGTACGAGTCAGTCGAGCCGTACGCATCAAATACCAAAACCCGGTCTGACTTTATCAAAACCCGGAGATGCAGAAGACTGATTAAAATAGCACTGTGGCGGACAAGAATATGTGGAAGGACGGAGGAGTCGATCTTACGAAGATCACGGGGAAGCAGGCCGTACTGTATCCATTCATATCGAACGGAAGTTAGCTCATCCACTTGGCACCCTCCATGGCAATAATAGAATCCGTACCTTAGCAGTCAATTCGCTCTTCTTAAACTCCCCACTAACAAGCGTCACATTTCCATTCTCATCCAGCTCCGTGCATCTCAACCGCGGCTCATTCATAGCTTTCATCGCCAACGACCGCCCTGTCACAAACATGTTCCCTTCATGCCCATCCTCCATCACAGGACCAATAGGCAAATCACTCGGCCACAACTCGCGTCTGTCATCACGTTCAGATACTCGTAGACCAAACAATCGTCGCATAAAACCCTGGCCCCGCCCCTTTCTCCCCGCTGTGCCACTGAAAGCATGCAGATAGCCATATCCCCCACGCCAGTTCAGGCTATTCAGCGCTGCTCGCGGAGCTGCAGCCGATGCAAGAGCTACCGATGATATTGCTGATAATGAGGATGGGTTATCTGTTGACCTTCCTGGCCGCGCGGTGAGGAAAGGGAAGAGAGAAGCTTCGAGGGTTGCGGAGCACGGCTGATTGTGCAGCACATTTGTTTGAATGTTATGCTTATATTCGTCGAGTGACCGTTGTTGAAATGCGGAAAGTGTATATCTTCTTTGGGATTGAGCTTGGGATCGGAAACGCCATGGGCATGCTGGCGGAAGCGAATGCGGATGCGCAACGGGCGGGGTGTTGGGGGAGAAGAAGTAATGGTGTGCAGAGGTTTCGGACTGGGAACGGAGGAACCGGAGCAGATTCGCGGACGGAACTGAGGGCTTGAGGGTAGATGATGGGGCCACCATCTCTCAACCTCATATGAGGATCTTTCTTGTTTGCAAACAAAGTAATAACAGCCCGACCGCCTACTCCCTGCTGCTTATTGTTCAGGAATGGAGGTTCGACCTTGGTTTTTTGTCGGAGGTCGGCTGAATGTTTATCCGCCAGATTTTTTTTTACTCAAAAAAGGGAACATGGTGCTATATAAAAGATGAGATCAATATTTTGTGAGGAAAAACCTGCTGAAGAAGTCATTCATATCATTCTCTTCAGAAATTCTGAATCTTCGGCTCTTGAGATCTGTATTGAATTGAACTTGATCAATTTATACAGCTCTTGGGAAGAGTCCGCTGATAATATCTTCCCAGCAGATGTATATAAATCTCTTAGTTAGAAAGAGATGAACTACATGCAGAAGAGACTGGAAGAATATACAGATGATGTGAGACAGTATATCTGTAAACTAAATGGATTTGACTGTGCAGCAATCCTCACAGACACCAAGACATTTTTGTATTGTATCCCTGGAGTCGACGATCAAAACCCATCTCGGGTGCAGTACAAACCGACAGTGATTAGGCCGATCCACAATCCAATAAGGGAACCATGCAACCCACTTCACTCTTGTCGTCGTTTTTCCCGTCAGATGATTCATGAAGTACTTTATAAAGAGATGACAGGGTTTCAAAGGGTTTGATATACCTATCTTCTCAAGAGTCAATGCTCCTGGGAAATAAGCATAAAACGTGACGCTAAACGCATGCCCAACCACCGCCGAATGGAGCCCCACTTCCATCAGGGATAGCAACCTAAAATCCCCAGCCAAAACAAAGTCGCCTCTGCCAATATCGCCCTTCAGTGTTCTTTATCTCCTATCAGAGTGGCATTGGCCATGCATTCCGCGTGAAACTGGCATAGAAGCTGTCTTGAACCCTACCATATGCCGTCACTCCTGGATTTGCCCGATTTTTTGCTTGAGGAGGTGATTGAAATGGCCATCCGTTCTTTCAACTTCAGTGTTAGCTATCGCAGCACACCCCAGATGGACAGGGTGGTAAATGGACGGTTTTCAGTTTCTCTCGCACTGTTGCTTACCTCCCGCCGCGTAAACGCGCTTACGACTCGTATTCTCCTACTCAGAGGCAACTTTCGCGTCTACACGGTCCGAGACCTTCAGCGATTCTTTGATATGCTTGAGCATGGAAAGCTGAGTTTCGTGAGGCGAATCAATATATCACTAAGCAACATCAATTCGGACAAATATTTCGCTGAAGACACTGTGACGGCTGAAAATGTTTTCGAGCAATGTATCTCGCTGATAAATCGTCTGTCTTCAAATTTACGTGAGCTTCGCCTGCACCGATCACTTTTCGACAATCACTCCTTCTGGGACACGAATCCCGCAGAGTGTAACCGAGTCCATAGAATCTTTGCGGAAGCTTTACAGCGGTTTAGTGACTTAGAGACACTTGTCTTTTCTTTTGACCCCCACTCACTGCCTCTTTTTCTCCTCTTCTCTCCCCACGACCCCATCGTGGAGAGTGGGGCAACTGGTTATGCCTCTATTCCAGAGAGACCAATGTTTCCTAGACTCCAAGCCCTACATTTGTACGGCTGTCTTCCAGCACACACTAGATCTCAGCATCTGATTGAAGTACTCTCAGAGCGAAATTTGCCTGCTCTCTTAGAGCTGAACTTCTGCTATATACTCCACCACCCTCAATCTAATGACGGGTTTGAATGGATTTTGACGCCTGAAGTGATTCTAAATATGCATCCGCTTGTCGAATTTCGTTGGGTTACTGTCTGTGATGCCCCCGGCTTTGGCAACTCTGTCCCCCATCCTCCACCTACAAAAGACCATTTGGTAGCACTGCAGAAAAAACATGGCCGAACTCTACGGTGGTTGATCATGCAGTATGGCTATTGGCTTCACGAAATCGGCGAACCGGCTACTTTTGTGTTCACTGCCGATGATGTTGAAACTTTCCTAAGAGATCTTGATCTTGAAAGAGTGGTCATCACAGTTCCACACATAGATCTATGCCTAGTACGAAGTTGCCCACCACAAAATCGAAGCTGGAAGCACTTCGTTCTGTAGAGATCAACAGGTAGATCTGATGGAAACCAAATCTAGCACAGCTGATCAGACGGCTTCTAGGACACTATATATGTATTCCTCTTGAAGCATCAAGAAAAAAGATACAAGATTCATTTAAGACGTAGTTAATTGCTCATTGCAGAAATTAACACCATTCCTCCTCCCACTTTCTTAGGCCATCCTAATGCTTGCATTTGAGAGACAACCATCATTTTCTTAAATGACAAGCGGAATCTTGTTCATGTTTGCCGGCCACAACCTATGTCCTGTAACTAAGAGTGGACTTGATCGCCAACTTTAAACTTGATCACTACCATCTCCACGCCATCTCCATGCCACAAAGAATAGTACTTTTGGCGCCGTAATTACGCGGGGCAGGCAGGCTGTGGAATGCTATGTATCACCCGTAGATTTCTTAGAATATTCATTAAGCAGCAAGGGAGTTAGATTCTCAACTTCCAACTATGGCGACAGTATAAGATCGGGCAATGATCTAATTTCTTGGGTCTAACAATGACTAGTTAAGTATATGGTTTTTCGAGATACTCTATCGGTTCTCCCATTTAGGCACTGCATTAAAGCCAAGCTGGATGGACCCTTCGACCGTAATTTTCTCGTTGATTATACTCCGTATATATACCAGCATCCAGTCCCTGCGAGTTAATCGTCTCTTGCAGATGCCATACATGATAACTTACTAACAAATTCTGCTGTTGTTCGGTTACCTTTATTCAAAGCCATCTGTGCACAGTCGCGCCACACGCCCCTTCACAGCACTAATCTGCTAGTCAAACTTTGGATAAAAAACTGGATTTGGGTTAAATATGGAAGATTTTTGTGTGTTTTCTGGACAGCTACGTGCGCTCGAACAGAGGAGTACCGTTAAATCTGTCCTTCTGAAGGTTTTCGGTTAAAAATTGACAATGATGAACGTTCTGTCTGACCAGTAGTATTTGAGTCGTATAAGAGTAAATAAATCTTCACTGAATTACATAGCCTCAACGACATGCTTATAGATTCCCTGTCTTAGAGAGTTGCAAAAATCATATATATAGAGAAGCTGCGATGGACAACAGCAGCTACCGTATCGCACATAAATCAAATCAGAAAACTGGATATACACCCCATCTCGCTTCCCCTTACCGCAAATTCTGTTTACAAAACAAGAGCCACGGCTGCCACGGCAGCACCGCCGACAACACCCCAGTTGGCAGCAGCGGTGACCAGAGGCATTGCAGCTGAACCGGCGCTAGTACTGGAGGAGGGCGCATTGGTCCCAGTAGTGGGTGGAGCATTGTCGGTCTGCGTAGCACTTCCAGTCTGCGTGGCTCCTGCACTGGCGGATGGTGCTGGGGTGGCGGAAACGCCTTCCAGCTTCTCCAGGCCTGCTGTAATCGTGACCCTCCAGGTAGTGATAAAGGTGGCCGTGGGGACTTGGGTAGTTGCCGAAGACATGGTGGACCAGCCTCCGTCTGGTTGAGAAGATTTTATGATCTTCGTACAGTCGGCCGATGCACCTGGGATTTTGCATTCGAGGGAATACTGTACCGAGCTGCGCGAAATTATGAGTTATGTTTTTTTCTCTCTCTTTTCTCGTGGGGAGGGGGGAAGTGATGGCGGAATGGGATACGGAATGGAGAGAAGTATGAAGGACTTACCCCTCTTCGTCTTCACCATCACCCTGGAACTCTATTGCCACTATCCTTGGTGGTATATGGGTGTAAGTTATGCTTGGTGCGCCGCACTCGGTTTCGTCGGTTCCTTCGGCACACTGCAGATGGAGTACGGTCTCGGTTTGGTCCTAAAACAAGAGGAAAATAATATTAGCCTTGGGTTCAGTTCTCCCTCTGCTTAGTCCGCCAAAATATATATCCAGGCTACTCCCTACAGTTCATTCATCTTACCGCCTTGACCACAGAGGCCACAATGGGCTGCGGGTCCACTATAGCAGGAAACGTCAGATCCGTCACGATGCTCTTTTTTTGGGCACGGCTCAGGCCAAGAAGGCCGAGCGATATCACAGCCAAGGAGATGTGCATTTTTCCGGGGATGGAGGATTTGAAAATGTGAAGATAGATCCAGGCGCTAGAAGTATCGAACACAAAATCGAAAATGAGCGACGATGGAGTTGGTTCAAAAGAGTGGAAAGTTTGTTCTTCCTCTCTCTCTTTTTTTTCGGTGTTTTAAGGGGAGACCAAAATATATAGGGGGACAAAATGGACTGGTCCCCCCCTGTTGATCTCTTATGATCGAAATCGCATAAATACGAGGCTCACATTAGAATGCTAGAGGTGATGGAGCCTAACATTGAACTCAATCGGGATAGCCGATTGATGGGGGGAAATTGACGCCGGGGCATATTGCTTTGAAGCCCGCTAGAAAATGGTTGAAAACCCTTTAGCCTAAGAAGGCTTAGCAACTGTCCGAACAACAGAGAAATCTCTTCATCAAGGCCCAATTATGCTTTGCCTGTCAACAGCTGTTGCGTTCGAGAGGGTCTTTTGCCTTGGCATCTACTTTGCGGAAATTGCAGATGGCACTCCTGGAAATTACCAGATATCCCGGGGCCGGCTGACTTTTCACTTTCAAATTCCAGGTTGTTGATTATATCTGGTAGGGTGTTGTCCCTCGAATTCTGGCGTTCTACCAATTCTACACACCGTGGAAGTTGAAGGAGAAATGAAGTCAGCACCAGTACCAAGGGGATAAAACGTCAGAGTCAGGTTCGGATAGAGTTATCCGGACCCTTTTTTAAGCTTGGGACCTGTAAAATGAACCGCTCTGATTGGCGCAGCGAGTTTCTCGATCCAGGATGGGTTTGCTACCATAACCCTCCTCCAGCATTAGCGCTTTTGCCCCAGCAGCGGCCTAACATTAGTGATGCCAACAACTAAAGACCATCACGAAGTAAAGACAGCCAAAACCCGTTGTAGGATTCAAATGCAAGGGCAACCCAGAGTGTAAACATTCCACAGCACCGTAAGCAAGAACTGGAACAAGAAAAGGAAAAAAAGAGAAAAAAAAAAAAACCCCTTGATATATGGAGCAACTGCTCTGTATTCGGCTTCGTTTGCAGTTGGATCTTATATCTTCTATGTATCAGTTGGAACCAGCCAAAGTTAGCACCCTCCCTCCCAACGCTAGCCTAGTATTGGATTTATTATTATTGATTTTACAATTTTGGAATCTATTGCTTTTTTTTTTAAATGAAGTGGCATTGTTTATATAACCGACCAACCACTTCGGCTACTTCAACTCCGTTGCAGCATACTCCATAGCTAGGTCAAGCTGCCCTGATCACATAATGCTGGGAAGAAGTCATCTAAGGCTACGAAGTACAAACACTGATCATACGTAAGGGGGTTTCGCCGATGGGTGTGGAGCATGTTATCACTCAGGAAAGGTGATTAGAGCAGCATGACTCCATCGCTAATCCAGGACGAGTGGCAATGAAGCATTTTCGCGAAATCTCTATTTTACCTTGATTGTAAAACCTAATTTAACTCGCCAGTATATGGAATGGCATCCCTTAATCAAGAAGGCTATTTTATCCCTAGGCAAGACAGCGAAAAGAAGGCGCGCAAAAAGGTTACCAAATGCCTGTGCCCCAGGCAGACGGTCTTAACAGTATTGTATGACATTGCTACCGCTGAATCAACAAAACAGGAAGGCTGGCAGCAAATGGATCCATAAGGATGACCATGATGACCAAAACCAGGACCAAAACAAAGATCAAAACCACGCTCACCACTCATCATCGGACTTTTCATCATCTGCAAATTTGTTAGTTTTGTTTTCTGAATCCTTCAGGCGAAGGGATTAGAGGTAGACTGGGGAGTTAAATAAAAAAGGACAAAGAGATAGAAGACATACCACTACCGCTAACTTTCTGTTTCCGCTTATTCAATGCCGCTTGAAGAGACCCCAGCATCGAATTTGGATCTGCGCTCCCTGCGCCTGATGCTGGTGAGGAAGGAGTCTCGCTGCTTGCACCTGGAACCATGGCAGCGCTTCGATCTCGTTTCTCGCTGTCTTTGACTTTTCGAAGACCTGTTCCTGCACGGATTGAAGCTAGAAGATCGTCGTTCCCTGGTGATTTGGGAAGGGACGACGGGCGTGCTGATGACGCTGGCGGTGGCGGCGGAGGACCAGCGCTGTTAGCTGCGGAACCTGGCGGCGGCGGTGGAGGAGGAGGAGGAGGAGCACCTGCAGATGGAGGAGGTGGGGGTGGAGGGGCGCCTCCAGAGGGCGGAGGAGGAGGTGGAGGGACACTATTTGAAGGTGCAGAACGGGGAGGAGGGCGAGGAAGACCAGTAGTCGGAGGCGGGGGCGGGGGCGGGACCGGTCCAGTACTAGCGGGAGCTGGAGCTGGAGGCGGAGGTGGAGGTGGAGGTGGCGTTGGGCTCGATGACGGTACTGGTCCTGGTGCGGGAGCCGGAGGCGGAGGAGGCGGTGCAGGAGCTGATGTGGGCGGCGGTGCAGGACGCACTGGGAGTGGTACTGGGACTGTTTGCGGCGGCAGCAGGTGTTGTGACTGGGGAGTTGAAGTTGGAGAAGCTTGAGGGCGTGGTGGCGGGGGCGGAGGAGTAGCATGGGGAATCTTGGGTGGTAAAGCGGGAGGTAATCCAGGACTAACTTCACGCCGAGGCGGGAGGACTGGGTTTCGACTGGGCAGTTGTGGGGCGGACACTTTTCGTTCTCCTTCCAAAGGAGTTTTTGGTGGCAGCGGCGGGGCTGGTACTCCCGGCCGGGCTGCATTTGAACCTGATGAAGCCCTATGGCTGCCCGGGAGAGCATTGGCGAATTTGCCCGCCTCCGCGATGGGAGGAGGTGCCTTGAAACGTGGTCGAACTGGAGAAGGTTCCCGGGGCGGGGATGGGGGAGAAGGCTCGCGTGCAGGTGGTGGGGAGGGAGCGCGGCCACGTCGTGCTGGTGGCGGAGGAGGAGGTGCACCCCTCTTTCCTGTATTCTGGGGGCTGAGGGCTGCTGCTGGTGGGGCATTTGGTGGCGGAGGCGGAGGTGGAGCTTTCGCTTTCCTCTGGGAATCAGGCGGGGCTTCCTTCGATATACCGTTCAGCTCATCGGCCTGCTTCTGCTCGATATACGCTTTGATAAAATCCGAATTTTCCGCTATTTGGTCCTCTGTAATGCCCATGGCAAGTAGCTCGTCGAGCAGGCCCTTCCATGACGGATCTATCGTATCTAAGGCGGACGTCTGCTTCCGTTGCGGGCTTGTTGGAAGCTCTGTTACTGTCGGAGGAGGGGGCGGGGGCGGGAGGTGGAGTAGGTTGTCTTGGGGGTATAATAGATTCCGCAGGAGCGGGAATGGGTAGGCGCGGAGGAGGATCGATGCCCATGATGGAGGAGGCTACCAAGCCCAAAACGACTATGACTTTTGCCGCCTGTTGTTGGAGGCGGTCCTTGACCCCGGAGCGAGGAAAATGGAGTCGTCTTTGTTTCTTTACTCGCACTCTTCTCTCGCTCTTGAACCTTTTTCAAGAAAGTCTTTGCCTCCTTCTCATCTGCGAACGATAATCCCGCAAGACATTCCTCCAGCTCGAAGGTGTGGAAAAAGGTCCTATCCTGGTTATAGGAGAAGCCATCATAAATTTCCTGGTCCCATACAACGCCTCTACCAGCGGGCTTTATTCGGAGGCATACCACGTTAGTTTATATTCATGTAAACCATTCGAATGTGTGAAGGCATAGGCTCAAAGCAGGCATTGCGTTGCATACCGAAACATCAACCAACTTAATCCAAAATGTATGCCCAACCAAGTCGTTAGCAAGAACCGCAGCTCCTTGTAGTCCAGTGTAGGTCCATTTTTGAGGATTTGGATGTGCTACGTATAATCGCGCAACTGCAACCGCCAGTATCTTGTTGGAGGGTTTGGGGACCGTTCGCCGGACAGTCTCTTTATCCGCATCGGTAAGAATGGATGGCATGATCGGTGGTCTAAGGATAGTATTCGCGGACAGAAAGATGACAACGGTAGTCTCATCAGTTATATTCGATGACCGTGGTGCTCATTGCTGATCTGATATATCCCTTGAGCAGGCAACCGGGTACTTGTATGGGGGCGTGCGGAATGTGTTGAAAATGTCGACCAAGGACTAGCCGCCGTTGTGAAGCTGGGAACCGCCCTGTCCGCTAAGCACCGCCTGAAATATGGCAGAAGAGAGGAGTACCGCAGAAGGAGACTGCTATCAAAGAGTTGTTTATATAGATGTAGGAGAGCGGGAGAATGAATGAATGGGTGAATGCATGGAGTTGGGCTTTGTCCAGCGTTGTGGAATCGGGGAAAGAAGAAGGCGAGAGTGCCAAGCCTTGCCAAGCCCAGGACAGCCTCAGTGGATTACGGTGGATTACGTGAAGGACAGGAAGAAGTGCTTTGGAAGAAGTGCTTTTTGCTTGGGAGTTATGGAGGAAATAGCTATCTACGAGAATCAATTAGTCCGTAATTGCAAATACCTATTGAAATTGATGGAGTGTGCATTCGCTTCTCATTGCATCAGGGAAGTCTAATCCAGCGCATGCTACTGTGTAGCACACAACGAAGTCAGAAACGCAGTTGCATACTATGCTCTGGATCTATGGGTGGCAGATATTCGATGCGTAATGCTATTGCCTGGTATAATGATATGCAGCAAAGATAATTAAGGGTACCTACATGCTAGGTAGATGAAGTTTATCAGGTCGATTCTCATCGACGGCCTGCCATGCTTCTTCCCGGCTTGGTGATGTCATCGGAACCAGGGGCATGCCATGTATAAATCATGCTGCCTGCCCGCAACACCCCAGACTGCTCGACTTCTCGACATCAACCACATCCATCCCTTTCCTTCCCAACGTCCCAAATCGGTCGATTATCCTGTAACAGGCTCAACTAAATTGGAAACAGCTTTCCTAAGACCGTCATTGGCGTCTCCAGCGATTCTGCAACCAACTCAACTTTCACCATCTCTTACACAATCCCATCCATCCTGTCTAGCTAGAAATATGGCTAGCCAATCCAACCAAGGCTCCCAAGTAGGAAATGATCACACGACCGCGTACCAAACGCGAAGCCAGACGCAGGAAAATGCCGGTCCTACAGCTGCTGGTGAACAGATGAAGCCTGACGCACGGTACTTCGTAGCTAAGGGCCCGCAGATCCCAAAAGGTTAGTCTACGTCTTAAATCTAGGTTGTTATATGAAAATACATTCATCCAAGATGTTTAGTCCGTGTTTGGTCGTTGGTGCTGACTTTTTGAGGTAATATTAGAAGGCATGCCGCCAACCATCCCAAGGGAGGAAATTGAAGCTCGGATGAAGGAACTCAATTAGTGAGGCGGGATCCTGTGTAGGAAGGGACTCTTTTGCAGCCCTGCTGGGTATGTGGGGATGGGACGAGTTCGCTGATGACATGGTTGTAATTCCTGCAGAATATTTGTTGAAGGAGGAAAATCTGGTGCGATGCGGTCAGGGAGCTGGCCGTGGATAGCCAGTAGTTATAATGGCTTGGCTGGGTGGGAACACCTGGGACACAGTGGACCAGGAGTACAGGATAGCTCGAATAAGATTCCCGCAAGGCGACCATTTGCCCGCCCTCTGCCATTGGGATAAAATAACTACCCCCAATAAATTGTGTCTGTAGGCAGTTTGTATCCCCCATTGCATTGGGCAAAAGAGCTGTCGGAAGTTGGAAGAAACAGCGCCATAATGCAGCCAGTCCGCTTCCCTTTACCCTATGATGGAGACATGCCATCTTTGCTACGCTCGGCAACATCGCCAGGATTCTTCGCATTTCCCTCGCTTCCACCGATCTTCTGGAGGTAGGCTTCAATCCCGTCAATGAGGATCCCCGCTTCCCGTACGATATCCGTGTATTCTGCGGCTTTGACAGCAAGTCGGAAGTTAATCTCCAAAGTCCCTTTCAAGGCTTCTAATTGCGACAGCGGCCGCCCATCTTGTATCTGTTGCTCATGTTGTTTGATAGCCTGTATCCTTCGCCCAGTCTTGTCGTACCCGCGCTCCTTCAATGCGTCTCTAAATGCGGTCCTCACCCGTCTCGCGCACCATGACCGTATAACACTCCTCTCCGATGTGATGTCTCCGTGGGTTGAAGCAGACCACCAAAGACAACCCTTCTCTCGCATCGCCCACATATATTCGATTTTGGGCCGGAGGGCGTACAGATTGATGTGGCTGTCATTGGAAAATCTCTTTGCACGCAGTGTGGGCGTGTTTTCAGGTGTGTAACGGACTGCGAAATAGCGCTGCCGGGGAGGGACGAACCTGGGCGGTTTTGAGCATTTGGAGGAGACGATTCCGATCGTCGCCGTTGTTTTCGCGCGACTCATCTTGTTTGACATGAATTCATATATGTACTAGTATGTATTATAAAATGTTTGCGCTGTGTGGGGCTGTCGCGTAGGATTGCCAGCTAGCTATGTTTTGATTGAAATACGGAGCTGGAGACGGGGATAGAACGTCGTGGTACATTGGTGACCCCATAAATCTAGCAGTGTCGAAAGTACCTACGTACCCCATGAAAAGTTTTATGGTGGAGTTGAACATTGCCAGATCAGGCATAGCGGCGGAGCTTGTGTGGCGGATTCGGCCAGCAGAAAGAGGAACCCCACCATAAAGCGCAACCGAAGGCGACAACACTCAACCACCACCACCAAATCCACCACATCCACTAAGGTTATCCCACCAGCAGCACGAAGATATCTTGCTACGAACGGATTTGAGAAGCCTTTGCCTTTTAAATCCTTGGACAGTTTAACAACCAGCCAGCATGCCGAAGAATAAGGGAAAAGTATGTTTTATACCCCTCCTTGCCAGTTTTGTGAATCTACCTCACTGACATTCAGGCCTGTGGAAAATAGGGTGGTAAAAATCGACGTCGTGGAAAGAACGAGAATGACAACGAGAAGCGAGAACTGACCTTCAAGGAAGAAGGTCAAGAATATGCCCAGGTTGTCAAGATGTTGGGCAACGGACGATTGGAGGCCCTCTGTTTCGACGGCGAGAAAAGACTTGCACATATCCGTGGCAAACTCCGTAAGAAGGTCTGGATCAACCAGGGAGACATCATCCTGCTATCTCTTCGAGACTATCAAGACGAGAAAGGCGATGTTATCCTCAAGTATAATGCCGATGAGGCTCGAAGTCTGAAAGCCTATGGCGAGTTGCCTGAGAGTGCGAAGATTAACGAGACTGATACGTAAGTTTAGCCTCGCCTTTACAACATTTAAACATATCGGTATCATATATATATATATATATATATCGCTAACTTTATCACTACAGCTATGGCCACGAGGACATTGATGACAACGTCGAGTTCGACGAAGATCGTGATGGCAGCGAGGACGACAAGGACATCGACGTTGATGAGATCTGATATCTCCCCAAAAATTTACCCCGATCCGACGAGGTCGAAAGCCCCTCTATATGCACGTATTTGGCTTCAGCAATCGCAAGGCCGGTGATTCTCTCTATCCCTTGGTGTTGCGTTGTAGAGGACTTCTGTTCCAACCACCGCCATGTTCAAGTAACTGCACCACCACCGTTAACTTGCAGGCAAGCATCGACACTCAGCTGCCTCTCTTCTCACGGGGATAGAAACAGGACATCCTCAACTCAAGAAATTCCGGTCATATATTGCTATCGACTATCTTAGGATCCATCTACCTATAAAGCAGGGTTTTGGCCGGTCGTCGGATGGGCCGTCAGTCGCGACGAGTTTGGGTATTGTCAACCGTGGATCGATCCGATAGTTTCCCCTTCTCTCCCAATCTTGCTCCCCCTCTTGAACGCAGTTTACGATTGGACGGGCTTTGTTTTTGCATCCATTTCCAACCTGACGATTACTAAAAACTTCGGCTTTAGTTATTAGAGTGCCTCTTTATCGACATTTTTTTGTTCCTGCCTCTTTTTTTTTGTTTTCCTATCCTTCTATTGGCTTGCATTTCTTGCCCTACTTTTGTTTTTTCTCCCCCTTGTAGTGGCTTTTACGACGATTCAAATTTGGCAGTTTGAAAGCGTGGCACATAGATGAACTGAAAACTAAAAATGAAGCTCTATGTAATTGATATTTCATTCGTATGTTCGTAGAACCAAGGTATCATAACTGGGGGGGAAATTACACTTAAAAAGCCATTCATGGCCAGGTTCGTCAAATTTCCAATAAGGGTATCACTACAATACACTTCCACGGATACAAAGTAACCAAGCACCAACACACAGATCCCTCCTACTCCCACCAAAAGTAGACTACATTCGGCCTTCTCACGATCGATAAGTCGATCGCATCGTAGTCGAACCAAAGAATCCTCGCCCATTTATTCAATCGACGATCTCTTCATCAAAAAGATTCCTCCGAAAGAACCGCAATATCTGCCTCCCAACCTCTTTCCCAACCAACGGCTCCAGCTCCTCCATCTCCATATTCGCGATCTGCTGCAAATTCTCCGTCTCTAAAATCAGCCGCTCCGCTATCTGGGGCGTCACGCCGGGAATAGCTCGTAACATATCCTGCGGCAGCTGGTTGAAGGTTCGATGCTCGATGCCCGCCGCTGTCATGATGCTGTTGCTAGCACCCGTTGCTGCAGCGGCCATAGCAGGGGATGTGATATCAAAATCTAGCCCGATTTGGACGGCACGGATGGGATCTGGTTCAGGGTTGTTCTTTTTCAGCTCTTCGAATATTTCTGCCGTTTGATAAGGGGCGGAGGACCAGATGATTTTTAACCGCGGGAAGGCGAGTGTGAGTAGTGTGAGGAGGTGCTGGACAGATTTCGGATTTGTGGGGTTTATCAAGTTACTGGATAGGCTTTCTGAGCTATGCGTGTTTGTCGCGGAGGTGAATGCGTCGAAGGTAAAGGATTTGTTCTGGTCAAATTCAATTAGTAGGACTGGGGTTTTGTAATGTTGCAGCATTGTCTCAGCCTGATTATACAACCGGCCGTTTCTCAGCGAGCTGAACAGGTCACGGATCGATTTGCGCTCGACACAGATGTCAGGGGTTAAGATGTAGTCTCCAACTGTCAATTGGCAGGGAACTACAATCATGCTTCGCCCATGGAGAAAGCAAGGGAGAGCGCTGCGAAATTCGCGTACATCCACAACAACGGTAGGCGGGGCTGCCGTTGCGGCGAGTCGGCCCCCACCTGCTATGCGGGTATTTACTGTTCGGAGGAATTGCTCCTGAGGATCTTCTGTGCTTCTGTCATGGGTTATCGTCAGGGCCATGGACTGTAAGGTTTTAAATAGTCAGTTTTCAGATACATATGTAATACTGGCAGGTGGAAATGCATGACACATACCCCTTTTTCTTTGATTAGTTTTGTGAATGCGTCTTTTTCCCTGCGGACCGCACTTAAATATCGCTGCTCTTCAACCGAACCTCCATAATATAAAAAGTAAACCCTGACTTCCCGGTCTGTGTGAGAACTTCGGTAGACCTCTACCCTACGAATGAAAGCTGCGTCCGGTTCGTACATGATTATATATCGTGGCTTGACTTCTTCAAGGACATGGTCGTCCACGTCTCCCTGGTAAGAGTATACCATGAGGAGATCGTTCATATCATAGAGTTGATAGAAATCTTCCGTATCTTTCTGGTCGTCATCCACGATCTCAACCCCGATAGCTTCATCTTGCGGCTCAGCAAGTTTGATTTCCTCTAGAAGCGTTGATACCTGTGCTGACGCCATCGTATCGGGCTGGACACTGTTGCTTGCACTTCTGACTGGTGCCAGACCTGAGCCTCCGCCTCCGCGAACACGTCGTCTCTTGTTCGGTGGCGCTCTTCCTTGATAGCGGGTGGCTGAACCCACGGAATTATACCTTGGCGCCGTGCCTGGCTCCTGTTTTGATTTAGTATCATACATATTGCTGTTAATTTTTGACGAAATGCGTTTCCAATTTAAATAGCTCCGGAGTTTTCTCCGAAGCATAAACTCCCCTGAAGGCTTGTTGTCATCTACTTCTACCTCATCATTCGTCTCGTCATTGGGCGTTTCAACTTTGATGCGCATTGTTTCTAAATATTCTCTGATTTGGTAGCAGGTTTTCCCGTCGCTACACATGATCAATATAGTTCCATTGGAGCCACCCGGGGCAACAGGGTTGGGATATGTACTCCTTTCAATTTCGTCTAGAACATCCGCAAGAACTGACCATTTTGGCTGTTCTTCAAGTACTGGCTCCAGGGCTGTTGGTAAAGAGGCAGTGTCAGATATAAACTCCTGGTTGCTAATTTTGCCGCGATAAACTCTAGACTTTGCAGTTTGAAATAGAACATGAGCTGCATCAAGAAACAGCCAAGGGGAGTAGTTCTGCCTTGTTGATCCCGGCGGTGGCGAGTGCATAGCAATGATCGTGTCAAGGTATTTGATAAAAGAGACTGAATCGTACGTCAGTAATGAGCTGTGGCAGATATATTAGCAGTACTCCCATATTTCTACATGAAATGCTGGTTGCCTAGACTTACTGGAGTATCGACCTCAGGACAGCTAAATCACTAACTATTTGTTTTGTTCTAGAGGTTACACGATGCCACATATGTTCCAACTGCCGCCGGATAGCCACATCAAAATCTTGATGTAAGGCACTATCCACCGTCCAGTCCTCAATGTCGAGGCCGGAATTTGCCTTTTTGAGCTCTCGAATGTTCGCTTCGACACATTCTAGGACCGCGTTTTGGATATCTCGCATTTTGTCTGTCATCGGTATTTCTAGCTCGATGACTTCAGCTTTCTTCCGGCCTTCCAAGGACTCTGCTACTGTAACCTGGAACCTTGGCCAGAGGGACGGCTTCCGAAGAAATAGATTCCGCATTATGTTTGCTAGAGGGCTGAAGCCGATTGTGAAAGGTTCCGGAGAGTCAGAGAAAGCTTTTAAAAAGCCCACTTTGTTGAATTGCCGATATATACGGATAATAAATGCTTCCAACGAGGTGGCAACGATTCTAGAACAAGTTTAATATACCACCGCAACTTTAGCAGGGGTAAATAACTCTTACTTTTCAGCATGGAGAACAATCAAGCCAGTAATGGTTTCAGGATCAAGTAACTCTATTGGTTCTATTAGCAAACTGCTTAACTAGGTGCAGAGGGCAACTCAACTGGATAACAAATCGACAACCAATATCCGCGATGTGACACTCAGGATACCGCCTTGGGCGTACATTTTTTGCCTTATATCACATCATGTCAGAGATAAATAAACAATATCTCTCGGTGTCACAAAGCATACCTCAGAGGAACAGTAGCTCTATCGGTATTGATCACCTTAAGGCCTCTGGCCAGGGGAGTTCTGCTGACCGCATATTGTTCGGCGAGAGCTATGTCAAGCATCAGCATCATTTACTGTGTCAAACACCGTGAGGATACGCACCTTCCCCAATCCATTCATTTTCTCGACTACCAGCACCCACCACTATGATTAGGTTATTGCCGGCTGCATCATATGAATGTAATAGATTCGTCACGACACGCAGCAGGCCAAGGCCCCTTGCAAGAATTACTAGTTCATCCTCGGCTCTGAGTTCTGAGAACAAATCTTGCTGATATTGCTAGACAAGTTTGTTAGATCTTATTGATCTATGACACACAGACATGCGATGCTTACAAGTGGCAGTGATAGCTTCACGACTGGGTTCGCTTGTTCGCCAGACATCAGGATTCCTTGGACCCTATTCGATACACAGGCACATGGCCACGTGATTGATAGAATACGTGATGATTTTTGTAGAGCTATAGCTCATTATAATGAGACATGCAAGCGAAGCAACTGCCGAGCGAATATCTTGACTTCGAACCCCCGTGCTTGTATTGTTGCGCCTACAGGGCTTCGACGACGAAAGCAGGATACCTACCAGAAGCAGACAGTACTCCTGCTGCTATAAGCTAGCGGGTCTGACCCTTAAAAGCAGCGGCACCAACTTCCGTTCAGGGAAAATAGATATTCTGACGTAATCAGCTCATCTTGACAGCTTCGTCTTCACAGTTATGTCGAGATCCTCAGCTTATCTTGTGATAAATCAGACATGTCAATGCTGTTCCCAATATAACACTATCGCCCTTCCTCCCGTCGCCTTTATTCGCTCGCCATGCTGATTTCTCTGACTGTTGGGAAGGTCGATGCTGGCGTCGCTGTCCTCCTGACTGAAGACAATCGACTTGTAAGCTCTATCTATCCCCACCATTTCCTTGCCTACACAGTTCCTATCACTTTCAGTGTTTATGTCACATTCAGCTATGACAGCGGTAGATGACCTTTGAAGCATCACTGTCAATTGGTCCCTTTTGTATCTGCTTCCCATTGCTCCATGAACGCTCTGCTTACATTGTTCACTGTAGATCGAATTTCCGTCTGTTCTCCTGCCAAAAAATATAGCATCAGGCAGCATCGTTGATATAACAGTGTCGCGCAACCTGGCCGCGGAAGCTGCAAGTGTTTCCACTTTCCAATCCCTGCAAAAGCGTATCCTGCAAACCTATGGCATCCATACACCGTCTGCACCTGTCCTCCGCCTCAGAAATGCGACTCAAACATCCCTTGTTCTTGAATGGGACCCAATCAACTTAGCCACCGCATCCCTCAAGTCGCTGTCCTTATACCGCAATGACTCCAAGGCTGGTTCGATTCCAAGACCAAAGGAGATGCTTAGCACCAAAATCAGCGGCCTTGCAATTGACACAGAGTACACTTTCCACCTCGTTCTCCGCACATCTGCGGGCACTTTTAGTTCAGAGAAACTGGTTTGCCGTACGCACAAGATGACCGATTTATCAGGAATCACTATTACTCCCGGCGTTCTACCCCAGAGTTTAAGGACATCGCTGGAAGAGGCTGTTGATCGGATTGGCGCCAAACTCATCGACACAGTGCGCATAGACACCACCCACTTCGTCTGTACGGAAGGCAGAGGTGCAGCCTGGGAAAAGGCTGTTGAAATGAATATTCCAGTTGTCCGACCAGAGTGGGTAGACGGATGCGAGCGAGAAGGTACCATTGTTAGTGTACGCGGGTACTACTTGAACGCGGATCCAAAATTGAGGCAAATAGGGCCGAGCGTGGGTGCGCAACTACATCGCCAACGAACCGTGTCAAACCATAACAACTCCTCCGGTTCCGTTTCACCCGGTCGAATAGACCGCGTAAATTCAGCTTCCCGATCGCAACAACAGCCAACCGAGAAGGAACTCCCAAGCCCGCCGTTGCCCAGTAGTGAGGCAAACGGACCATCGCATGGACAAGAATCAGATACTGAAGATGGAAATCGTGACGCAACTCAGTCTGCGCCACAGCCGCTGGCTAAAGACGAAAAAGAGAACATTAAACCAAGACAAAAAGATGCGGGATCGCCTGTCAATGAAAGGGAAGCGCCTCCTGCATATGGCGACACAGAGGCGGACTATGAGAGTGACACAGCAGAATCCTCAAATGGTGACTTGGCAGATAAGACATATCCTCAATCGCAACGAAATCAGGCTCCTAATGACAAAAAGACGAACGGAGCTGGGGGGGAAGGTGAGCTGGATGAGGTTCCTCTTTGAGTTTTAGCAGGAAAGAAATGGCCGGAGCAATATCACTGCCATTAAACACTGTCTTCCCTGGACCCACGTTTTATTTTCTATGTTCCGCCAGATGCTGTCGAGCGGAGTCTACATGTATGTCAAAGATGAGTTGTGAAACATGGCTTCTTAAATTCGCCCTGCTGTTATTATTATTCTTTCTGAGCAAACTAGCAATGATGCTGATATTTCACATGTGTTATTCATTTGAGTATTTTGAAACCCTTGACTCTTTCCTTGCACGTCCTTGTTTAGCTTATCCCTGTTCCCACTATATATAATTCCTAGAGCTAGCCTTCATGCAAATTTTCTTTTACTCTGTGTTGTTAATTTTATTATAATTTAGCTATCTCCGCAGTCTCTAGCCTTCAATGATATCCGATGGTGAAGGGATGACTGTCCGTGGACAACCAGGCTATGTACATGTACAGATCTGTACAAGCTATTTCCAGAAAAATTTTTTTTTGCTTGGGCTTGACTTCCCTCACCCTGTAGGTATTATTCATTGGGGTAGGTTCCCACTTCATAGCCTTGTGGTGACATTTTGCTGACTTAGACTTGATGCAGACCTTCAGCCGGATAATATTTTGTTTTCAGCTGCTGGAGTTTTGCAAAATGAGCTTCTTTTGCCGCCTCCAGAGTTTAGTTCGGTCAGATGTCTGGAAGGAATGAGCCGAGATAATAGCACACCGGAATATTTGATTCGTTTGCAGAGATTTCGGGGTTTCCTGGATGATGCAGACTTCTGCACACTCTTGGTTAGAATTGGTGATTTGGGCGGAGGTAAGAGGAATTCATTATCGTGCCAGATTAACATACCTAGTGTGAAACTCACATATCCTTACAGTTGTGTGGAATCAGCAATTTGATAAGCGGCCAGTAGCACCGAGAGCATTGTGGGCTCCTGAACTTAAAGACCGAAACGCGTGGGATGCTAGTATTGATATCTGGACTTTGGGTTGTCTGGTATGCCAACCTGGTCCTATCATCTAATTATTTTTTTTTTTCTTGAATAGATCTTTGATTGAGCAACGAATGAGCCCCTCTTTGCCCTAGAAACCCCCTGCCTCACAGCAGAGCAAATCGGCAAAGAACACAATCATCTCATTGATCAGATTTTTGATATCAATGGCCAGATCAATGAGCACTTCACTGAATACCTAAAGGATAGATTACCGTCCGACTTCGGTGCAGAGAACATATCATACCTGGTGTCATTTCTTTCGTTGATACTACAGATATATCCTAACAAGCGACCATCAGCAATCAAGTACTTAAACACCTCCTAGTGGGAGGATTTTAGAGCTGAAGGCCTTGGATGTCGACCACTATTGAGTTTGAGGTGATATCCATCAAATTCTATCACCATTCGCCAATGCCCCGATACCCTTCTACGAGTTCAACCTGCATAAACAATGGTGGAAGAGAAACTGGTCGTCTGTGCATGAGCGAGGGTGATTGAAGGAAAGAGGGGAGCTGGCATCCGTTGGTTCCAATTTCCTCTTGCCCTTGCTTTTATTTTCTTTGAGGCTATGTACGCAATCCTTTACCCGGGCACTCTGTTCCTTCGAGGTCCAATAGTCATCCGTGGCTGCCTCGAGGAAGCACTTCTTCCTATACTCCTCTAAACCAATAGTCTATAGACCCTGGGGGCATTAAAGCGGAAATATCTCCAATGGGCAAAGTAACCCTCGATGACTCGCTCGGAACGCTTCTGCCCTTCGCTCGGTTTAGAGTTGGCAATTTCTTGATATCTTTCACCAGAATCTTCAAGGCATCCTCACTCTTACGCGAAACACCCGTGTTTCCTGTGCGAATCGAGATAGAGCAATTCACTAGATCCTCAAGTGCACCGTCCGTGCATTAAATATTTAGAGTATCGTTCCACGCCTCATACACTGGGTGGTCAGCTCCTACAGCGCCATCCACATACCTCTGGATACCAATATTAGCTGGTTCGAAGCAGGATTTTGCAACAGATGTTGAGTGTGCTGCATATAATATGGTGGGGGGTTAGATTTATCTCCCCTTAAACCCCTTTGGGTTTGGGGGGGTCCGGGGTTTCTTTTTAAATATCTTTTTCAAAAAAAAAAAAAAGGTTTTTTTTTCCAAAAATAACCGGGGGGGGGGGGGGGGGGGGGGGGGGGAGGCGTTACAGGTTTTTCGCACGTACTCTACGATCCCCGTCCCTATCGTCATAAAGCAAGTATGCGTCTGATAAACCGAGAGATGCCAAAGTTTCATGAAGGAGTTCCACAAAAAACCGTGTCAACCCAATTTTTGGTTCTCCTTTAGTCAAGAAAAAACGATATCTTCTCAAATAACTCCAATGGCCATAACCCATCCCTCCCCTTCCCCTTTTCCCCTTGCCTTAGTACTAGTGCTACCAATCAGGTTGAGCAATCCTTAAGGATTCACAGGCGCGACTTAATAGCGCGTTCCTCTCCTTGTGGTTGACTGTTTCCATCGAGCTTTGTATGACCAAGGGCCAGAGTGTCCCTCTGACATCTCTAAATTCCGAAGACAATTTCCGCCTATCCCCTTGTATCATTACAATGGTATACAATTGTTGCCAATGGATAGCGAGCAAAGATCAATGCGATTGAGAGGATGTCCACCCAGTTTTTGTGCTTGCACTTCTTCCATTTCTGATATTTGGGTGTTTTTCACTGTTGCCGGTTGGTCGAGTTGCGCCGCTGAAGATAGACGGACTTCCAGATATTCAAGCCACTTATATCCCCTGCACAGCCGATCACACCAGAAAGCACCACGCATATTAGTAGGCATTATCCTGGGCCAACTCCTAGAGTGGATGGTTGTGGAGCTTCTCGTGTTACGGGAAGAGAGCTCGGGTATGTAGGTGTTCGTCCCGGAGGCCTCGGCAAGATTACAAATCAGACCTCTCGGCGCAGTGCTTGTAAAGGAAACCCCGACAAAGCTGACATCTGCTTCATGCGGTGACGTTTGTGAGTATTCCAAAAAGATTCTATGGCGAGAAAACGTTTGAACAAAGGAAGCCCGGGACATGTACTTCCAGCGGCGCCCGCCGCGACTTATTTCTTAGACTGCCAGTCTAAGTTACCCATTGGCAGCGGTTCCCCAAGAATGCCCAAATTTTACAATCTCGGTATCATACTAATTGCGTTGTCAAAAAGCTACACCAACTCCGCAAACATGGACTCCCAATCACCTCAGAATAGAATGGACAATGACACTGGGGCCTGGCAATGTCCTCAAGCCTAAGTTGTGGAAAGGTGAGATGAGATGATATCTCTCCAGATAGTAACCCCAGTAACTTGAGTGCCATCGTACTACCCAGGAACATCGCGATATCAAGAAGAGTTCACCTTAACATATGGGAGAGAATAAAATCCAAGGACCTATCAGATTCAGGCTGAATGAACAACCCCGATTTGGCATAGAATATGCCGCGTAAGTGACATTCATGCATGCCCTGGTTGATTTATGTCGCCAAACACCGTCTGGATATGTCTATCTTTGCCAGACCTCATCTCCAACCGAGGTCAAGCTACTAAATAAGCTTATCTGCCATCCGCTAAGCCTCGTTTCACTTAGGCAGCCCAGGCGGGAATAAGGTAAGCGGTGGTACTATCGACACAGGGATCCTGCAGTTTCTGCCATCCAACTGCGACTAGAATTTTGAGCCGTGATGATGCAATCTTCTATCCTGCACGATTGATTACCAAGCAATTCATATAGTTAGTTAACTTGGAAGTCTGATGTGCAGTTCATCTCCTCTCAAGCCGCGCTGAAACGCCGTCGTCATGATGAGACACACCTACCCTGTCCTTGTCGCATGCGAAAGAAATGCTCAAGTGGCGTCAGGGTCGAGGAAGTTAATATAATATGAGCTCCACATTTCACCATCGGCATATCTTTTTATGCAGGCTACACAACAACCCACGAGAAACGACGCAATCAGGCATGCATGCACTGGTAGAAGACGGAGGACTGGCACATCAGTGTCATCCCTGTGTGCTTCTCGCTATCAAGGCCAAAGGCCAATTACAGACTCGGAGTTACCCCGTGCAGCAGCAACCAACCTCCCCGGCGAGTGGATGTCCCCTGTCCAAACACTTCTCTGCTGAGCATTGCTTGTTTTTGCGCCGCCTGTACGCCGCTAGGGTTGTGGGATTGTTATGCAGCCCCGGTGTTTACTGTGCATTTCTCGGATTTAACTGTGCAAGTTCTTGTGAGCAACGGGAAGCACGGGACCAAAGTGAGCCGAATCGCGAATACCTAGTTATCGGACCATGCAAACCCCAAACATGCTCTCCGTGCTCTGTTTTCCGTGCAGAGGCAGAGTCCACGGTCAAAAGTTACTTACCTTGGGGCAGTCTCCACAGCATCATAGTGCAGAGTTATGCAAGTTATGCAGGTGAGCTAACCAAGCTAACGGGTTAGTTAGTTGCCAACTTAATCTTGTTCCCTCATGAACCACTACCACCACAAGAAGTTGGGATTGCCATGGATCCTCCACGAGGCCAGCCATTCTGGTCACGCTTAACTATGCAGTCATAGCGCCGGGAACAATTTCGATATGCACAGTCCGGGCATCACAGGAGACCTCCAGCAGCGCCTGGCCAATTGCGGATGATATATACTCTGCGCTCTGGCTGGGTATGATGTTGCCGGATGTCGTTGAAAAGTTTCGGCGCGCGGTCGTCAAGTCGGCCTGGCGGATTTCGTGGTGCAGCCGTCTCTCGAGACGAGGGGTACTGTTTATAGCCGCTTTATCCGATTTCAAGACCGTGTTTGCTGCCCCAGCGGTGAAAAATCAAAGGAAAATAAATATGTCTGCTGCGTATAATTCCATGCACAGACCCACCCTCCCTCCCTGCTAGCTGTCCACGCCAACAGCCAACTGGATATTTTCAAGATGGCGTTAAAGTCCCGAAGCCGTGTTCTAAACCCGCACCAAGTTGCGTGGTTATGAGCAAGGTAGGAGAATGATGATAAACACAACTGCCGAAAGTGCCCACCAAGAACTTACCCAATACGAGATGACTGCTACTCTATGTGGGTTGACTGGCATCCCTCTTAGTGCCGGCCTTCCTCCTGCCGAGATGTTTAGCGGGGGGGAAGCAGAAGGATAAGCTTCTGTCAAGCATCGAGTTTCTTGGTCTGTCCCCTCCGCCATGATATGAAATAATAAATGCTTGCGGTTCCCCCGGCTCTGGGGTCTTGACTTCATGGAATTGCATGCGCCTCACCGTTTGGGCTTATTTCAACCACGCCTCTGTTTCCCGATTCCAGCTTCAAGAAATCTGTTCTTGATTTTTTTTTTCTTTCTTTTTTCTACCTGCGGTTCGATGCCCTGTTGAGTTACTCGGTGCCAGTATTTTGCTCATCAACGACATGGGATTTAACTTTTAACCCCCAGGTACAAGAATACTTTATGTTGAACTTGTCATATCGTTCTCGAACCCATATTTTGATAATCCATTTCCCGCTTTTGCTCTTTAAAAGATAAGGGTGTGTGGAAGCAGAAGAGTGCTCTATGGCTGGACCTGCTTTTGACTCCTCCCATCCGAATTAGAGAATAACTGCTAGATTAACGTCCATACCTACTTGTGACTACCTAACCTCGCCGTTCCAATGGCGGCCAGCGACAGTACGTACCCGTGGACCTCTTTTTATCGCAATCGTCAATGCTAACAGAACTATAAGAAGCGTCAAGGATTCTTGAACCTAACCTCGATGAGGGTGCATCATTGTCGAGCCATTCTACATCCCGGCCACACTCTCCCGAGAATAAACATGCCATGTCCACGAATGCTGCCGATCTAGAAAAAGGATTGAACCTCCACAATGGGGGTGAGGACAAGTCCCGAAACCAGTCCGAACCAGGGGGCGAATCCGCAGAGTCAAACATAGTCGATTGGGATGGACCTGACGACCCCATGAACCCGCACAATTGGCCAAGGACCAAAAAGATAGGCATCGTGGTAGTAATAGCAATGATCACTTTCTTAACGTATGCCACTTCCATTCCTTCGCCGCAGGGACTACTTCCTCGTTTCCTTCGGCTCAACCACGACCAAAAAAAAAAAAAAAAAAAAAAAAAAAAAAAAAATTAACGCTTGTGACTAGGCCTCTTGGATCCTCCATGTTCGCCCCTGCTACTGCGGAGGTCATGAGCGAATTCAACACGTCCAACCCAGAACTTGCCTCCTTCGTCGTTTCCGTCTACCTGCTCGGGTACGCCTTCGGCCCCCTAATCATTGCACCGCTCTCAGAACTCTATGGGCGGATGTATCTCTACCACGTCTGCAATATCCTTTTTATTGTTTTCAACGTTTCTTGTGCCGTTGCCCCCAGCTTAGACTCGCTTATTGTCTTCCGTTTCTTTGCTGGCGCAGCAGGTAGCTGCCCCTTGACCCTTGGTGCAGCGTCGCTGGCGGATATGATCAGGCAAGAAAAAAGAGGGGCGGCTATGGGTGCTTGGGCCCTGGGGCCGCTTGTCGGTCCTGTCGTTGGCCCAATTGCAGGCGGGTACTTGACCGAGGCGATGGGGTGGCGGTGGACGTTCTGGATTCTCGCCATAGCGGTTCGTATATTCAACCCTATCACCTCGCGTGTGGTCATCACGAACTTCTGTCGCTAACTGCTTTCTCCTGGGATGTAGTCTGGCGTTGTCTCCATAAACACCTTCCTCTTCTTGAGTGAATCGTGCCACCCCGTCCTTTTGGAGCGGAAAAGAAAACGCCTTGTCAAAGAAACCGGCAACCACAATCTCAAGTCCGTCCTTGACACGGGCAAAACACCCAAACAACTATTTCTCTTCGCCATTATCCGGCCAACAAAAATGCTCTTCCTATCTCCTATCGTGTTTCTCCTCTCTCTCTTCATGGCCGTCGTCTATGGCTATCTTTACCTCCTCTTCACCACCTTCGCAAACGTGTTCGTTGAAAAATACAATTTCTCGACAGGTATGTCTCTATCTATTATCTATCTATCTTACTTCTTCAAAATATCTCCCATGCCCGCCAGCCCCCACTCCCCGAAGATCTTCAAAATTCATTACGTCAACTAACACCTATTATTAAACAAAATAGGAAGCGTTGGCCTGGCGTTCCTGGGCATTGGCGTGGGCTCGATCATGGGCCTCGCAATCAGCTCAGCATTCTCAGACACCATCCTGCAGCGCCTAGCGAAGCGAAACAACGGCGAGATGAAGCCCGAATACAGAATCCCGCTGATGATTCCGGGCGGCCTCTGCGTCCCCATCGGGCTGTTCTGGTACGGCTGGACGGCTGAGAAGGGCGTGCACTACCTCGCTCCAATCGTCGGCACAAGTTTTGTCGGTGGGGGCATGATCATAATATTCGTACGTCAATTCACTTTTTCCTTTCCTTTCTGTCCTTTTCTTTTCTTTTCTTTTCTTTTTAAGGACCAAATTGATTAATTTGTCCTGTCCGCACCCTTTCAGATGACCGGATCCACCTACCTTGTCGACGCCTTCACGATCCACGCCGCCAGCGCCATGGCGGCCACCACCCTCCTGCGCTCCCTGGGCGGCGCGGTGCTGCCCCTCTGCGGCTTGAAGATGTACAGCACCCTGGGCCTGGGGTGGGGCAACTCGCTGCTGGGATTCATTGCGTTGGCGCTGACGCCAATTCCTTGGGTCTTCTACCAGTTCGGAGAGCGGATGCGGACGAGCAAAAGGTTCCATGTGGAGTTTTAACTAACTAGAAAAATTAATAGATGTGCGAGGGGTTCCTTGGGTTTGGCGTTGGGGAAAATATATATATATATATTTTTCATTTTTCTTTGATTTTTACACTCACTCACGCACTAGAGAAAGGGAGGGAGGTAGAGGAAAAGGGAGCTCGAGGAATGCATACCGACACCACCCTTTCATTTTCCACCATCATCATAATCGTCATCATAACATACACAGGCGTTGAATCTGGTTACAATAGATAATATAGGATATATGTGGAGAGGCGTTGCAAAAATACCACACATAACCCCATTTTCCTCGGAACTATCTTAACTAACTAGTTATATATATTTTATGTAACATCCTTGAGTCATTATGAATCTTATTTTCTTAAACTGATCGGTCCCTTTTTATGATATATATATACAGTTTACTGTAGCAGGCATATGGTTGTATATATTCACGAGTATATATTGAGCTTCTTTTCCCGGCATGGCCTTCACCCTATATTCCTGTGCTTTCTCTTTTCTATTTCTTTTCCCCCCCTCCAACTTCGCTTCGAAGATCTGCACCAGTGACGACGGAAAATAAATCTATTGAATATATATATGCATAAATGGATACCCCATCATGTCAAGAGCTGGTAAAACGCACAGACGGTGCGATGAAGCTCACGATGGATCCGAGAAGCTGTGCCGGAAACGTTTACTGGAGCGAGTAACACCCGTGCCAACCCCCTTTCCCCCCCCCCCCAACACGACGCAATAGAACTGCAGCGGGGTCCTAGCAGGCACTATTATGAGTACATGGACCCGGTTTAGCACATCAGTCGTCAGAATATTGTATGTACATGCACGTGCTGCTCTCGTCGTAATGCCCTGTACAGCAAACACCCACACTTTCATAAGCTATTAGTTGAGCCCCGGGGGGGAAGTGGACGACCGCTCATGCTGGCAGGTAATTCTCTCCCAACACCTAGCTGTTTCACTACTCAGGAGGTCGAAGGGTGCGTTCTTGGTCTCATGTATCATGTATTGCGACTGAAGTGAGCACTCTGCAATGTCACGAGAGGCTCATCTGAGCCATCATTCAGAACATCATTTATTCCAGGCTCAAATCTCTGACGAATACCCGTTTGGAAGAAAAGCTGAATAAACTGATGAAGCACATTTGTTCTGTGTTGTGCAGGTGGAAGTGGGTGGGGGATTGTTTGGCGTTTCCAATTATATACTGAGCACCCTATAGGTCACATGACTATCCCTTCCAGCTTCACATTAAAAGGGCAGCGTTTCTTTCGAGTTCCTGGCAGGCGACAAACCAACTTCCATCTCAGCTGAGACAGGCAGAGACCACAGGAAACGCTTCCGGAGACGATATTCGGCCTTGTCCACACTTGTGCTCGCCAGCTCCCTTCTCTGCCTGGGGACATTAGTCAATCCCCTCCTGTTGCCAATGTCTTCCAGATAGCAGTCATTCCAACCCTATTCTCCGGGAATATGGCACACCGACCGACGTCAAGATTATTTCTTTTTATTGGCCTTGCGCTGTTCTTCGTCCTTACCCTCACATTCCTCCGCCAAAACTCTCCATTAAGTCCCGAAGCGCGTGCGCCGGGCCACGTTGACAGGACGATTCCCAATGTTGAGATCTCGGATAAAATGTTGCACGGGGCGGTGGTAACTTCGAAAATGGGCAATGAGACTGCGAAGTAAGGGATAAATATTGACGCTTTGGAGCCTCGGCGATATCCTTCTTTTAGGCTGCTGTGGCAATTGCTATCCTCTTTTGCGTATGTTGAGTGAGCTAACAAGGGGGGATGTTTACAGAGCGGAACTTGGCAGATCAGCCTGGAGAGTGCTGCATACCATGATGGCGCAGTTTCCGGATAAACCATCAGCAGAGCAACAAGAAACGCTACGGTCATTCATTTACCTATTCTCAAGATTGTATCCTTGGTGCGTTCTTTGTCTCTTGCTGAATCTTATGTAACGAACGAGGCCTAAATATTAATGACCATGGTCCGCTAATCAATACTCTCTTTCCCCTGTTTCAACCATAGTGGTGAATGCGCTTCCCATTTCCAGGCGCATTTGGCGAAGTTTCCCCCGCAAGTGTCATCGCGCTCCGCAGCCGCTGCGTGGGCATGCCATGTTCATAACGAAGTGAACAAAATGCTTCATAAAGATATCTTCGACTGTAGCAAGATTGGTGATTTCTACGACTGCGGCTGCGCGCACGACGAAGGTGATAGCGAAGATGGTGGACAGAGTAGCGTCACGAATCCTGTGAAAAATGCTAATGACCCCCTCTCAGGCAAGGCGGAGATGAGTGGAGGCGCAGTGAAGAAAACGCCGGATGGGAGGCAGATTAATGCTCAATCATTTCCTCCCGTGGAAATCCACCCTGAACCGTAAGTCTCTCTCTTTACTTTCAACCCAAAGTCTTAACTGCGATCATTGGGCTGCGAATCATCTTTCATTCATAACCATTGGTTATATTGACAACGCATTTTAGGGCAACAAATGGTTAACGGTATATTCGGCTTCAAGCGACTGAAATTTTATTGAATCTCTTGGGCAGCAGACCCAAAAACTGTGATGTAATTTTACTTGTTATATACGTGCACTGGCGTTCGGGTTTTGATATCCATGTTTTCACCATTGCTTATTCCTTCTCAAGCATGAAGCATCATGATTTTTACATAAATAATCAAACAGGCATCATTTAAGAAGACAATACCAACAAGCAAAGGCAAGAAAGGCGCACATTCTCCCTCTTGGGTCCGTTTAGCATAGCGAGAAAGGCACAGTGAGAACAAGGACGAGAGAAGTATTTCCATTATCGACTGTAATGGTGTAACCGAACTGCGTGAAGGGATTTTAAGTTTTGATACCAGACCAAAATACAAAGTGATGATTATTCCGTCAATAGCTCGGGCAACACCCGAAGCTAAGTTTATGACAGGATATATATTGCAAAAGCTCGCTACTTCAGAGCATATCTCGCTCTCTATTTTCACCTCACTCCGGAGGATCCTAGCGGAACTAGCTGCCTGGAAGCGGATACTTCAGAACAAGTAATTCTGAAGTGGATGTGGCTCGATGCGTTCGCAACTCGCACGCTCTATTTCATCGAGGAACCCTCCATATGCACAGTATGATTGCCCCAGCCGTCGCATGATGTGCGCCTGGTAGATGACCACGGCATCGAAGGACGTTGAAGTTGAGGATGAACATGTGGAAGGCCCTCAGCGTGTGAGAAGAGCTGGTGTGCAGCCGAGGGGAGGGAGGCATAGGAACAGCACACAGCGACGCATCGACCCGCAGCGGCACGTAGGGGAGTTTTATCGATTTTTACATGTACAGGGATAGGCTTGTTGAGGCTAATTGGGTGGGCTTTGTTCAATGGCCTAGGTGTCGCGGTTGGCGGCTCGAGGCTGCCGCCGTATCTCATGAATGTCAACATCGACGACAAAACGACAGGTCCCTTTTCTCAACATATTATGCCTGTTGGGATTATCCTTCGCTTCTCTGAAGACGTCGTCTTTCCGATGAGGATATGCGAGGCACCACCGGCCACATGAGCATGACATAGCTCTGTCACGTCTTGCTGCTTTTTCCAGTATCACGGACATGTAGCACACGTATATGATTGGAAGGAGTCAGCCATTAAATGCAGACGGTTGGCGGAGAACCAGATCAAGTCTGATGGGATGTATTGGGTACTGCGGACAGAGTAGTAGTATAGACATGGCAAGATTTTTAGGAGGCTACCGCTTGTTGTTGGTGTCGGGCTCGTTCCCTGTATGACCTCACTCGGGGCCGGTGGAATAGCTTGCCTCTTATTCGCAGTTCTCTGGACATCATGGCAGAGAGATATGAAAAGAGATGGGAGGAGGGTGGTTCCATGAGGTGGAAGTTCCCTGTGGACGGGTCTACATTTGAGTTATCTTAACCCTAACTCATCCTGGGTAACCCTAATTATGTATATAAACTTTCTACAACCAACAAGTTTGCTGGCTAGGTAATAAGACATCTCGATTCACATCTCTGTTGAATCTCCAAACATAGAGAGAGACCTTTGGGACTCCGTCTGTCGTCTGTTTTTCCATCTGGCTCATGGGCGTATAGAAACCGATTACAGATTATCTACTGCCTGCCTTCCTGTCACAATGATTGACATGAGTAATATGCAGCTCTCGTCGTAATAAATATACTACAAGGAAGTAGAGATAATACTGCGTAGTGAGCAGAGCGAGTGTGTCTTGCTTGTCCTGCGAAGTATCGAGTTATTGAAGATTCACTAATCAACCTTCTGTGGTCTATCTATATAGAAGCCATTGGGATTTCGTAGCAACTTGATCCACAAACTGGACAGGTTCAAACAGCTGTCAACACTATGGGGCATCCTCAGAGAAACCGCGCTTAGCATTATCTCAGTTCTTAATTCTGCACATAAGCTTCGCCAGCTGCTTGGCGTGATTCTGCATCTCGATCGTGGCATTCGTAGTGCGTTGGCGGCGGCCCCAGCGCGCGAAGATCCAAGAGCCCCCGCTGTCGACAAAGTAGTCGGCTCCGGCGCCGAGAAGACTGACCCGCCTTCCCGACGCCTGTTGTTTTCAAGAACACCATGAGAACTGGTACTCTGTCCATAGGTTGCGTGCATCGTCTCTCGTAGGAGTGGTGGCGATGTTCAAGAATTCGTGGAAGCTTTGGAGCCAGCACCACCGTCTCCAGCCGATCACGCTGGGACTAAGCCGAACCTTGGAAAGTTGACCGCAATCCCCGAAAGTGTTCTGGCCTTGTTCGTTTACGGGGAAGGGCAGTTAGCGCTTCCGCCCCCGTCCCCACCGCAGGGGATGGCTCGGCAGCCGAACAATATATCCTTGCCGCCCAGAGACAAATGAGGCCATTTCTCCACTATTCTAGGATACATCGAAATCTCGCATCACAATCGAAGCTGGGAAGCCCAAACGTGATTATTATTATTCCGTCGTCATGAGTCACCGAAACCCTGGAGCTGCTGCAGACCCTGCTGCAGCCGCCACCCCCCTGCCCGAGCTGCCCGTTATCGACGTGGATGATGATTCTGCAGATTCCACCTTTGGAGACGAGTCTGACGCCTCCGCTTACAGCGCCTCAGTCACCTCCTCAATTCTAAATTACGAGTATGCCAACGGCCGCAGGTACACTGGCTTTAAAAAGGGGGAATATCTTCTCCCCAACGACGAAGCTGAGCAAGACCGTCTGGACCTTGTCCATCACATCTTTCTTCTACTACTCGACGGGAAACTCGTTCTCGCGCCCATCGGCCCCAATCCCCAACGGGCACTGGATCTGGGGACTGGCACTGGCCTCTGGGCTCTGGATTTCGGAGATGAATTCCCTTCCTCCCAGGCCATAGGGGTCGACCTGAGCCCGATCCAGCCGACTTGGGTGTCTCCCAATGTTAAATTTTACGTCGACGACATCGAAACCGAATGGGGGTACAGCCGTGAGGAAGCTTTCGATATCATCCACGCACGCCAGATTGGTGGGAGTATTGGGGATTGGGGCAAGTTGCTATCGCAGTGCATGGAACACTTGAAACCAGGAGGCTGGCTGGAGATTCAGGAGCCCGAGGCGTGGATGTCGTCTGACGACGATACCATGGCCAGAGCCACTGCCGCCTCCGAGGTCCAGATTCTCTGCAATGCTGCGGCGAAGAAGTTCGGGAAAGAAATCAACATGGCACATAAGTTCAAGCAAATGCTTATCGACGCGGGATTTGAGGATGTGCGGGAGGAAATCTTCAAGGTATGTTTCGTTGTTTCTAGGATTTCTGGCTTCCAATTTGCCCTCTGATTACATCTTCCACTCCCCTTTCCTCACCCTTCCGTCTAAACCTAGTTACCCTTATCACTCTACTTACATCGTCTCCAATATATAGGTTCCAATCGGGCCTTGGCCCAAAGACCCGAAACTCAAAGAACTCGGACGCTATTTCCTTGAAAATGTTATTCTGGGTGTTGAAGCGTACGCTTATGGCTTCATTGGCAAAATCCTCGGATGGAGCCAGGCCGAGTGTCAGGTCCTCTGCGCGAAAGTCAAGGCGGAGTTTCGCGACCGGAGAAACCACATGTATATCAAAACCTATATTGTCTATGGGAAGAAGCCCGGCTAAGTGAGACATTACTTGGACAGGACTTTTTCTTATCTATACCTCATTCGCATTTTGCATCTATGCTTTATACCTTCTGTTTATTTTTCTTTATCATGATGACGAAACCCTTCTCGGACATTACCCACCTCCTCTTGATATCAGCGCGCTATGAACTGGCACTGTTTTCCTGTCATCGAGTGTTTCATTTCGTTTAACGGCCCGGAGGCATTCAGCATCTTTATCTCTCTTAATATTCCTAACCCTCATGTATACGTATCTATTCATATATAATCGGTTTCTAGGCATAAGCTGCAAGTGACTGTCTCTCTCCCTGCCTAGTGACTCACGTTTTATATTTTGGTTATTTCGCTCCTTTTGGCTCCTCACTCCCACGACATAGCTTTGTACTGGCAAAGTACTTGAATGGTAGAATTCGCACTCCGCCATGTTGCGCGTCACAATCTCCCGTGGTCAAGAGGTCACCATTATCAGATGTACTGGACTAGGAAAAGATATCATGGCTATTTTACTGGAAAGTGCGGCTAAACAAATTTTGCACTCTCCTTCTCCTCCTCGCAGCAGACCCTCAATCGCCAGGGTCTCAATCTCGCAATGTTAGACCCCAATGGCAATTTGGCCGTTCCAGCGGACGTTCTCTACACGAACCAAAGCTATTTCTATTTCTATTTTTATTTTATTTTATTTTATTTATTTATTTTTTTTTTAAAAAAAAGGCCCTCTAAAAACTACTTCCAAGTCTTTTATTCCGTGTTCAGAGAACAGTCCCCAACCTCCGTGAGGATGACAGCTGTTTCCTTGGACCGTGGAGGAAATATTTGCACCAGTCGCCATGAACTTACTCTAGCGGGATGTGAGCGCAATGAGACCTCACATACCTCACATTGCTAAATATGCGCTTACCAGCCGCTTCAAGAACTTTAACCAGACCATGGTTATGTAAGTTAATTGATTTGTAGAAACAACTATCCAATCCCCTTGCTAACTAGCCAACAGTCGAAAATGCAAACGCTCAGTGATGATGCCAACATGGGCAGGGTTCTTGCTTAGCTTTCTTCCCTCGAGACGACGCGATGAAGGCCGGTCATTTAAGTCAAGTCTTCGAAGCGTTCCGACAAGCGGCCATGGCTCTAGCTGAGAAGTGGGAGAATGAGCTCCCGCACAAACCACCTGGGGTCCAGGCTCCCATCACAGCTTTTGCTGCAAAACATAGGATGCCGTATCCAAAAGTCGCCGGGATATCCACTCGGATGCGAGTGTTACCGGATCGTCTGCTGTCCGCGTTGGGCAAAGCTATTTAAACCACAAAGCTTTGCCTTTATAGCTGCACCAAGATACTCCCAATCGCGAGCTGTTGCCTATTCTCGAGTTTTGTTCGAGAGGGCGAACAACCACTAGCTCGACTTGTCAATCATGGCGGACCCCAACCCTCACGACATGGTCACGTTGGCCCCAGATCCTCGAGAGACGGAGCTTGAATTGGCCACGATCCCAACACTGGCTAATAATGATGTCACCAGCAGCAAAAGCGCAAAGGAATTTGATACGGACCCCTTCCTGGTCATCTTTGACCAACATTACGACGCCGAGAACCCGTTGGACTGGCGCGACGGCCGCAAATGGATGGTGACCGATGTTCTCTCCGCCACTGGCTTCAACCGGATTATGGTGTCGACCATCATGGCCCCCGCCCTTTCCACCATTGCGACCGACTTGGACATGTCTGCCACGGAATCCGCCATGTCGCTATCGATCTATCTCTTGGCTAGTGCCTTTGGCCCGCTAGTCATGAGCCCGTTGTCCGAGATGTATGGTCGACGCGTTATTTTACATTCTAGCAATGTCTGGTTCCTGGTTTGGAATGTAGTTTGCGGTTTCGCTGCGACGAAGGAGGTGCTGATTGCGTCGCGGTTTTTGGCCGGCTTTGGCGCGAGTGGCATATATGCACTTGCAGGTGGCGTGATGGGTGATATCTGGAGACCCGAACAGAGAGGGCGTGGTTTGGGAATATATCTCCTAATTCCGCTCCTAGGTGCGGCGGTTGGTGAGTTGAGTTATTCCGCAATGGCGTCTTTCCTTTCACAGTACTTTCCAGATTGAAACCGTCTCCAAATACTGCCGATGAGCTAATGGACTCTTTCCTAGGGCCCATTATTGGCGGCTTCATTGCTGAGCGCTCACACTGGCGCTGGATATTCTGGTCCACATCCGCATTCCAAGCTGCAATGACCATCATGTCGTTTTTCTGCTTCTACGAGTCGTACGGCCCGCATATCCTCCGAAGGCGTGCCGAACGTCTTCGCAAGGAGACTGGAAACAACAGTTTCCACACAGAAAGCCAAAGGCTTGACGGAGGACGGTCGGCTGCTACGGTTTTCATGCGTGCCATTACAAGACCGCTCCGTTTGCTCATGTTTCACCCCATCATCCAGGTTTCGTCGATCCTTCAGGGCTTCAACTATGGCATCCTGTACATCACCCTTTCAACGTTCTCCACCCTCTGGATCTTTCATTATCACCAATCCCTCGAAATCAGCGGACTACACTACATCGCCTGCTCGCTGGGCGAACTGGCCGGCTCACAGGCTAGTGCTCGGTTAATGGATCATTTTTATAGCCGCAGACAACAAGGTCGAGGATTTTTGCCTGAATCCCGCATCCCGCTGATGATTCCTGGAATCATTGCTGCATGGTCAGGTGCGTTGATCTACGGGTGGACCGCTGAGTATCGAGTGCACTGGCTGGCGGTTGACGTGGGAGTTTTCACCCTGTTGGCTGGAATGCAAATGAGTGATATGTCGAGTAAGTTAATTTTACTCGCTTGTTTAAAGCCCATCCCTAGTTTGGTTGCTGTTTGCCTCCAATCTACAATCGCTTTCATCTCATAATTGCTCATCCCCCGTCTTCCTCTATAGTAATGGCCTATGTCATCGACTCGTATGGGGAACACACCAGCAGCGCCATGGCAGCACAGCAGTTTGTAACGAGTCTAGTAGCTTTCCTGTTCCCTTTGTTTGCCCCTAGTATGTACCATGCGCTCGGGTATGGATGGACCAATTCAGTACTTGCGTTGGCCGGGTTCCTCCTCATGATCATGCTCCCGCTATTTGTGTGGAAATACGGTGCGCGATTGAGGGCCAAAGCAATCTCGACCTATTGAACAGGCTGGTTATTCACCCTATCAACTCCCGTCGATGAACGATCCTAACTGGCCAATGATATTCCACTTGGAATGTCACTTTGAATGTCATGATCTGACATTAACACCGCAAAACCTAACCTACGCGTGAAATTTTATCATCGATCGAAACCTTTCGCAAAAGGATTCTATCTCCTTCCCCACCCCCTCTTCAATCTCGGTCCTCAACAAAAGGCCCATCCGCATGCCGTGTGACTTCCCCACTGCCTCTAAGGGCAGAATAGTGACCTGCCGAATGAACACACCCACCGAGCAAACATGCAGTAGCCATACAATGATAGTCAATCAACCAACCAACCAACCAACCAACCAACCACCTCCAAGCGCATCTCCCATTTTCATTTGCCGCCCAGCAATCCATCCCGGCCCATCCCAGCACAGCGGAGTGTAACTACGCAGTAATATTGCTAGCTGCCGTCTCGTTCTGCTTGGTCCTGTCGTTGAAGCGGCCACTAGTTAGGAGTTACTCTGGCCACGGCTATAACTGTACAGTACGTGTATAAGGTACAAAGTTACATAGTCTGCACTCATCCGGCTCGGTCTCAAGTTTAACAACAACACGATCATAATGATTTTATTGCGTGTTTTTTTTTTTTTTTTTTTTTCCCGTAAATTTTTGATCTTGTTATTATTGCTATTATTATGTTGAGAGGGGAGGGGTCCGTGGCGCCGGCCGATCTGCTCCCCGCCAAAATTCAAACCCTAGGTTCGTCTTTTGCAGATTACGCGGGCGGGCATCCAACATGTTGTTATTATTATGTCAGTAAATAATCACGTCATGGACCAATATGGAAACAGAGGATGCTCGGCAATGACGGGTTGGGTATGAAGTGGTCGCTGGAGGAAGAAAGTGCTGTGGCCTGAGTTACTACGAATAAATAACTAAACTGACAGAAAAGCTAGTACAGATAAGTTACAGATAAGTCTTGCCTGAGATTTTTTTTTTCTTTTTTCTTTTTTCTTTTTCCTCCTTTTTTTACCTGAGACTCTTTGGAGGCGTTCCAAGGCCGTGTTTTGAACGTGGTGGTGTTGGAAGATCCTGGAGGGACAGGGAGGGGAGCCAGGGAAGGAAATCTGAAGTATGCATCCTGATTCGATGCGCATCCCATGTCCGCCCTGCTTTTTTGCTTTTTCTTTCGCTCTGGACTTGGTGGGCTGAGTATTTTGAGATACATGCTGCAGCTGTCGGGAGCGAATCAGCTTCCGCGCGCAAAAGGGGGAGGGGGGAGGGGGGTTGGAATCCTTGCGATTGCTGCTGAAATGTGTGTATACTGTCTATAACAACAAATAAAAATGATGATGGATCGGGATGGGAAGGGGGAAAAACAAATGGAGAGGAGAGAAGAACTATATACGCAGGATTCATTTTCGGTTGAGTAAGAGAGAAATAATAACTATGAATCACCGCCTGCTTAACACTGGCAACTAAGATATGTGAACCTGGACAATATCCATCCACGGGGTTTCATCTAGAATTGCAATTGCGACGGGTTTGACGCCTGTAGGATCCCCACACACACCACACGGGCAAGCCGCACTCGCAACAAGGACACCAGAAGAAGGAGAAGACAAGGGCGGCCATGTTTTGTTTGCCCTTCCCGAGACCAGGGTCACTTCGTGAGCGAGCAAACTGGAGGCGGCGCATGGCTGGCTGGGGGTTCAAAAGGGAGGGGGGAGGGGGAGGGGTGTTTGGGGCAAGGTTATCGATAAGAACAAACCTTCCCTCCCCCTTCGATAGACAACGGCGGCGGCGGATATTCCACGAGACAAGGAGGTGTTCTGGTTGCTGTCTCTGGCTGTCTGGATTAATTGTTGATGTTGACGGGCAGTCCATCCATCAGTTCTAGCTTTGTAGATGGTCCGTCCCGCATGGGATCATCCCTTATCGGCTGGGCTGGACTGGGATGGATCGATGGCGCCCGCTATTTTTTTTATTTTTATTTTTGCTCGCGTCTCCTGACTTGACAGGGGGTTGGCGCAGGAGATGCTCCCATATCCACAACAATAAACAGCTCCATGGCGATGATATCGCTGATCGAGATTAATATCTCCTCGTTGGCCTTGCTGCCGTCATCAGCTCCGAGACAGCCAGAAATACAACAAATTCAAGGCAGCCAAAGCCTGGCAGGATGTCAGTCAGTCAGTAATATTGCAGCGTACATAACATAGCAATCATCATCACCATCATCATCATCGTCATCGTAATAAATAATAGCACATCAGATAAATAGATAAAGGGGGGGTGTCATCCGCGTTGACGACGTGATTGATTTGGCCTTGTTTTTTGTTTTTTTGTTCGACTTCGACCTGCCCCCCGCCCTTCCCTCCCTTCTTCCCGGTTTATTTATCGATTTCATTTGTATCGGCCATTTATTTATTTAGTCGCTGCCGTCCCGCGTGTCTGTCGCCGCCGCCGTGGGCTATGTTGTTGACCTATTCGCTGCGTGATCTCGAGGCTGACGGCTGCATTTTGCAAGTATTCCCCCAGGGCGTATTTCAACAAAGAACAAAGAAATAAAAAACTAGAGAAGAGAGAAGACGAACAGCCGAGACGAAACGAAGCAGAAGGCAAGCAAGCGTCCAGAGAGCGGGACTGTTCGAGTTGTTTATATGTCTAGTTAGCTACTCGTAGTCGTCCTGCTTGTGGTTCTTTTTTTCCCAACTCGTCTCGCCGCCTCACTCTTCTTGTCTCTCGCTCTGCGGTCTGGTCTGCTCACCCTCGCCTCACCGACTCTTCCTTGCGATCTGTCCATCCTGTTAGACGCGGACACCTGTCTGCTGTCTGCCGTCTCCTGGCTGCCTCTCTGCTGGCTGCCTCGCACGCCTAGTTAGTCCCTCTGAACCACGGCATCATGGTCTCGTTCCAATGCGAGGTGAGTTGTCTTTTTCTCGTCGGCTTCTTCCTTTCTTTCTTTTGCGTTTTACTGCTTACTCCCGGGTTCAATTCTAAATTCTACCTCTGGCTTGGTGGTTTGTCCCATCTTATTCCCAGGCTCGGGGTGGAGTTGGGATGACGCCCAATCTATGCCTGCCGATGCCTGAACCACGGACTGTTGTTGACTTTTTTCCCTCTCTCTCTCTCTCTATAGGCGTGCGGCGATGTCTTCACAAAGAAGAAGACCGATTCCCACCGTAATCAGTGTCGCGGCGCCCGTTTCTCCTGTCTAGATTGCTCGGTCGAATTCCCTGGAACCTCCTATAGAGCCCATACGGTACGGTTATTCCTTTTCTCTTTCCTACACCATATTTGTAATTCTTTGCCCCGGAAGTCTCTATTTTCCCATATTATTTTACTGTCACAATACCCTCCTGCTCCCAACACCCTGCCTGAATCCTACCATGAGTACCCGTCTCAACCTCATCAATCATACGCGTCTAGCACTTGATTCTGTTGTTATTGAGGCGGTCGTCGTGTTTGTGTGCGCGTGTGAGTGCGGGCTGCCCTGCATTGTGATGGTGTGCGCGCCAGCCAACCCAGCGGCGATGCGATGGATCGATGATTCGCCTAGCTGATAGGCAGGAATATCTCACCATGTTCCCCCTATTCTCTTACGCTTGCGTTGATTTGGCAGATGGCTTCTCTGGTTGCAAGGGTTGCGGATGGCACCTGTCCATGCCCATTGGGTGGCCATCGGCGAACAACATCATATCGTGTCTTCCCATTCGTACAGTTACACCCTTACTCTCCCTCAAAGCACTTGTGATCACGACTACCATGGGGATTACATGATCCAACTAACATGTTCCGTTTTGGCTTTGTGTTGTTATAGTCATGCATATCAGAAGCCCAAAAGTACCAGGGTGCCCTCTACAAGGAGAAGCCAAACAAGCCCAAGAAATCCAAGTCCGTGACAATAGCCGAACCCCCGACTTCCTCCAAGCCTACTAGGCCCCCTGACCCTTGGGTTGAAGATACTTCAGATGTTGACGATACCAGATCTGCCTCCCATAATTATTCTGCCCCTCCGTCCGCTCCAAGCCCCCCCCAGACCACGCCTCAACAGGAACCCGGAAACGCTTCAACCCTTACCACTACGACCCAGCCTAATGCCCGTGTGAATGTGTTTGATTTTCTTGACACGACAGCCACCCCCAATGCATCGAAAGTTTCCCTGGGGGGATCCAATGCGCCAATGGTTATGCTGAAAAATGCACCCCCGCTTTTCAATGCGCCTAAGGAGCTTGCAAAACTTGACAATGGGAGGGACGACGAGGTAATTTACGATGTGGCATTTGAGGAAAACGGCTTCTCCTATGGCGCGGACACCCTAGAGGCACCACTATACCAAAACGGAGGTGCAAATGGATCCACGGCTTCTTTCAACAGTTTCATGACCCCGGCTCCAAAGCGGAATAAGGACCGGACGTCCCGCCGGGATCGGGATCGGGATCGAGACCGGGACCGCGTCACTTCCCCGGACCAGTACCACACTCCTCATAACAATCTGACTAGCACAGGTGACAAGAAGCGTAAGCGTGGCCACGTTGAAGACATTGATGCCCAGATGGCCAACTCGACCTCACATGGCGGTGGCGACATCCCAATGATCGACGCCCCGCCTTCAAGTTCCATTGCTAACCCATCAACCCCAACACTGAGCCACTCAGGGCTCACCGGTGGCCTTAATCGCATGATGAGAGACATTTCCCCACCTACTCCAGACGCGGCCTATTGCAGCGCCGACGAAGGAGGAGATGATGGGCGCTACCAATTCCAAGACCCAGCATCGCCTATCAAACGCACCCGCAGGGCAGATAGTGACTCTAACCATAACGGCAGCGGCAGTAACAATAACAATAACAGCAACGATAAGAACAGCAATGACTCCGTGAACGAAAACGACACCGCGCTCGCGCTCGCGATCAAGGATCGCGCAGACCACATCATGTCCCTACTCGCCCGCAACGGCAACGTCTTTCCCAAACCCAAACCCAAACAGTACAGCTCGTACCCTGTCTCCATTGAGGCGGGTAAGGATGGCAAGCGCCATAGCCTTGCTGAAGCCATTATCCCCCCCGCCGTGGCTGCCGCGGAGGCGCGGCTGGAGAAGAAGAGACAGCGTGCTGCGCTGGCGCAGCCGGAGCGACGGGTGGGGACGAAGAAGAGGGTGGTGGGCGATGCGGGTGGTAAGAGTTCCGGTGCTGGTGCTGGTGCGGCTACGCGTACCCGCACACGCGCGGGTTCTGGCGCTGGCGCTGGTTCCGGTCGTAGTGGGAAGGATAATAATACCGCCGCCTCACGCCGTCTGAAGGCCATCGAGTATCACCCGGACGACGCGGGCGGGAACGTCGCGGAGAATAATGCTAACCACGACAATCAACTCGTCGTTTACGGTGGCGGGAGTAGTAATGGGGTCAGTGGCGGTTATAGACGGAGTGAGGAGGACGAGCTCGTGGTTCGCGAGCAGGCGGGTATGTTTTTATCGCTTGTGACGAAGGGCCCGGAGTCTGGGAGGGGTTTGTCGGTTCATAAGGCGTTGAAGCGGTTTCATCGGGAGGACGGGCTGGGGGGGATTTTGGAAGGGGACCGTGATAGGGAAAGGGAGAGGGAGAGGGAAAGAGAAAGAGAAAAGGATGGGAGGGAGAAGGGGAGAGGGCGCGGACGGAATAAGGAGGGGAGGGAGAGTAGAGAGCGGGAAAGGGAACGGGGGAGGGAACGGAGGATCGAGGTAGAGAGGGAGCTGTGGCGGGTATTGAGGCTGAAGAGGAATGACCGGGGGGAGATTGTTGTGTTTGTCTAGCTGTGCGTAAGGGTGTGGGGTGTGTGGTGTGGATATGTGTATGGATGTGATAGATGCCATTGTTCTTTTTCTTTTCGTTTCTCTTCTCGTTTTCCTACTTTTCTTTTGGTCTATTGTGTTGGATTTATGCATCTGTCTCTCATCTCATCTCATCTCATCTCATCTCATCTCAGCATCATCATCGTCATCTCATTTTATATCTCCGCATTCTGTTCAAGTCTCACGATTCCCCCTTCAGTTTGCGCACATTTTCTAATAATTTATTTATTTATTGTGCAATGTTTTCCTTTTTTTTTTCTTCAATTCAGTTTCGGGACTTCAAATACATTGCTGGCTCTCAAACGACCAGATTTAGGAACCAGATTCAAAGAGCTAATGAAAAGGGGTGTTTTGTTATGTAGATCTGTTGATCAAGAGGCCAAATGTTCATGTATACTATGTATTCCACAAGTAGTTTTTTCGCTTATATATATACTGCGTATACATACATGTGTGTGTGAGAGTGATAGCTTCTCAAGATGTACGGTGCAAGTGTAAGCGTATCGCATTATCGTCTAGCACGATGCACAAACTCGGTATGTATTAGCACAGAGGTGCTAACAGGGGATGGATTGATAAGAAGGTCTAGGAGAGACGCTTTCTCCTGCCTAATCAATCGAATCAGCTCCCTGTTTCCAACATTCATTGTGCCAACACCCATCACCGGTCAGTCCTCGTTCACACTTCCACTCGCACCCTCAATTTACAATCCCAATTTTCATTCGATCCCGCATCCTCAACCTCCAACGGCACCATTCTCGGATACACCGAGTTGGTCCTTCTCCTCCTTCTCAACCTCCTCTTCCCAATCGTCAACAACATCCTCCGCAAACCCTGCAGGAAACGGCTTCCAACCACCCTCACTCCTACTTTCACTGCCAGAACCAGCCACACCTGCTTTCCCCTTCACCTTCCCTCCAAGCCCAACCCCACTCCTCAACACCAACGTCCGCCCCTTGTCGCCACCCCCAACCTCTCCAAACACAAACGCAGACTCTGGCGGCGCTGCCGTCGGCCGTTTCCTCGACGCAACTTGCGCCCAACCATCGCCTGAGCCCGCGCCAACCGCGGCAGAATCCCCATCCCCACCACCGTCAAGGACCCCCCGACTCCTTTCTGCAGCCGCAGCCGCCTTCCTCGCCTCCCTCGAACGCGTCCTTTCCCTTTCGCGCATCTTCACGCATTCGCCAACACTCAGCCCGCCAATCCCGATCCCAACCTGCGCCACTGCCCCGCCTGCAACCTCAGCGCTAAGGCCACGCGGCGGCACCCAGTGCGCGCCCTTGAAGACAGCGACGTGCCGGTGTGGTTCTGGGTCGTAGGATTCGGATATGAAGCCCCAGTCTGCGGCTAGAGAATGGATGAAGGCGCGGAGTTGTGAGCGGGCGGGCGGGAAGCGGGCACTGCGCTGCGTTTGGCTTGTGGCGAGGGTGTAGAAGGTTGTTTCGTAGGTTTGCAAGGTGGAGAGGGTGGAGGTTGTGGAGAGCGTGAGGTACAGGTCGAGGGTTTCAGGGGAGTAGGGGAGGGTGGCTGTTGCCAAGGAGTCTCCGTCAGTTGTTGCCGAGGTTGTGAGCGGGTCGATGGAGATGTTTAAGGCGGACGCGAGGGAACGGTTGCGTTGGAGACGCGCGCATTCGTCGTCGCATTTTAAGGGACTGGGGGCTTGACTTTGAGTTTGTTGGTGACGGTTTCTGTTGTCTCGGGAAGCGTTGCAGCGCTTTTCTTGTTTTAAACGGCCGCAGGGGCATGTTATTGTGATGAGGGATTGGCACGGGGTTTTCTCCTGGCAGGGAAATGGAGCATGGCAGGGATCAGAACACGGGTGCGAGCAGAGTTTCTTGATCTTGCCACAAGGCTGCTGGCAAGGTTGGGTCAAGTCTTCGCACTCTCCCGGCCGATGACAGAGGTTTTTGCATGTGTGGGAACCGCATTTGAGCTCCTTGTTGCACACAAGGCCGCATCGCGGATCTGCCAGCCAACAGGGTTGATTCTTCAACGTCTTTTTTGCACACAGGCAGCGCTTTTCCGTTAGAAACGGGCATTTGGGACAGCTTTCGTCATCAGTGTGACAATTGTGCGATGTTTGTGGATGTCCACATGATTTCGGCCTCGCGCAATCGTAATGGCAGAGTGGAGGCTGTGTGCCGCATGGTAACGGCGGGTAGAGCACTGATCGGCCACAGTTGCAGGGTATTTCCTCGAATATAGCTTCTCGACACGTACCACAGCTTCCCTTATGGCAGAGTTCCTGGCACATATGTTTTGAACATTTGAGCAACCTCCCACACACTCGTGTGCAGATATGCTCCGCTTCGATGTCGTGGTCATTAGGGCGATTGGCAACATTGAGAGATTTTAGCTTTCGCTTCGTCGCTTGTCGTTCAATTGCCTTGCGCTCACCGGGGCAGCAATGCTCACCGCAGGTGTGTCTCCCACAGTTCATCGTGGCTTTACACACCCGGAAACAATGAGGTGGTTCAATTGACCCTTGATTGCATATTGATTGGAACACACCCTTTCCACATCTACAGGTTATGGATACCTTCAAAAAGCAAGGCGGGCAGGGACCAGCGTGGCAGAGAATGGGGCATTCATGCTGGCATGGAAGCAGCTTCCCACATGGTTCTTTGCAATTTGGGATTGGATCTTGACACGATGTTCGAGCCATGTAACCTGGAATATCTGATAAAGGTGTTTTCCCACAAGAGCAATGGGTTATAACATCGGGAGAACTAGGACAATGTGGCACAGCCGCATCCTGTGGATGGCACCGTTTCTGGCATGTATGTATTCCACAGTCATAAACGCGATCGCAGATTTCTCTGCAATCGAAACAGCCTACCCATTCCTCTACTGTTTCTTCGGACGTGCCCTTGCCATGGGTAAGACAACTGTGCTTTTCCTCCTCCCGATTACTACACATCATTTTCGTCTGAGACTTTCCACAGTAACATGTTGCCTCAATAATCTCCTCACAGGCGCCGCAAAGGCCTTCATGACAAGGACGAGCACATTTATGCTCAAGACAGGGCAATAGCTCGCCGCATGGCTCCCGGCAACTCCACCCATTCTCGTAGTTGGTGTCAGCACATCTCTTTGTCGACTCATGGCGTCCACAAAAACAAAACTGCGTTGGGCCCATGGCCGTGCAGGGCGGACAAGGGCCTGCATGACATACAGAATCGCAGGGATGGGGGCACCCTTTCCTGGCCTTGGAGCACGTCTGCCCACAGGAATGGGGCGGCAATCCAGGCAAGGGTCGCGGATCCGTCTCCTTCTCACACCAACAGCTATACGTCGATGGCAAAATGTCGTGGGGTAAGTTGCATCCCGGACAGCGCCATTGTCGCGGGTGGTCATGGCCATCCTGGCCTTGCTGTTGTCTTGGCCTTGCCATTACCGAACCCTCGTTATTCGACCATTTCTTTATGCAGCTGAGATGGAAAACAGTCCAGCATAACGAGCAGGACCACACTTTCGTCTTCCGACCAAGTTCGCTTGTGCATATGGGGCATTCGTAGACACCGTTGGTGATATCCTCATGTGTGCGAGTGGCAATGTCGCTCGCTGTAGATTTCGCTTTTGGAGGCCTTGGTTGTCTCGTCCTTTCCCGGTTCCGCGTAGGGGTATGAGTCGATGTCGTTGTAGGTGTAGGTGTAGTTGTAGCTACGTGAACTCCAGGTATAAATTCTGGGGCATTAGGTCGTAGTGTAGCCTGCTCCCCTTGCACGAACGATCTATCGCTTCCACCATCGTCGGCTGTCTGTGGTTCTTCCCGTGTCAACTGTCCGCCGAATAATCTTCCCATTCCGGCAACGGTCCTCGTTGTGTTGGACGCGTCACTTCGCAGTCTCCCTCTTCCTCTCCTGGATATTGCGCCTGCTCCTGCTCCCGGTCCCCCGCGACCCGGGTCACCACCCCGTCTCCCGCTTCCGTAAAACAATGTCCGATTGCGAGATGTATTCACATTTCCGCCGCTCCCACTGTTTCCTCCCCTGCCTCGACGTCCTGTTCGCCTGGAACCTGTATCATTTGGATTTATCCTCTCATCCTGAGCGGGAGCTTGATCTAGAGATGGAGTCTGCGCAGTTGAAGACTGTGATCGAGTTGTAGTGGCTGTCATCGCTGGTAGCTGGCCGGCGCGTACAGGCGCGGGGTAGTTGCCCTCCCCGAGAGGATTCACCACTTCCGTCCGGGTTCAGGTGCAGCAGAAGCAATTGAAAAAGATAAAAAAATATCGACGGGAATTTAGCTTCAGCTGTTTGTCGAATGAAAGCCAGAAGGGAAAATCTGGTTTATTTTTGTCTACTCGTAGTCCTCAGTTATATATAGTTGACAGGAAAGAGCGGGAGAAATAAAATGAAAAGGAGGCTTTTAAATAAACAAAAAAAGAAGAGAGCTTCAGGAACTGGATAAAGCAAACGCTAGGAATTACAGAAGTTGAGTGTAGCAAGTGTCTTTTGAATCACTTCAAGCTGCAGCTCCGTATCTTGTCGAAAAATTATTAGTTCTAAGAGTTGTGGAGATGGGACGGTAAAACTGGATTAGTAATCATCCCTGGCCATGACGTCGGGGAGATCGACGCTAAACCCAAGGAGGGAGTTGAGTCATCTAGTTTGTGAGTCAAGGAGCTGTCTTTCCAAATTCGTTCCACATCTACTTTCGTCAAGGCTGCTATATCGGTCAATAGTATAAGACCCACATCCAAAGAACTATCCTAACTACAAATTTATTTCATTGATCTTGCACTTGCCAAAAGCCCCCTCGCGTTGCTTCCAGTATCACGGGCCTGTTACCGATTTTATCCCCTGCCATCAAGAGCTTCTCCAGGCCCAGACACCGTGACTAGCAGATATACATCACTCCACCAGTCGCTGCAATAGTGCTATAATTATAGTTTGGTTTGCTGTTCTTATTTGACTATTCAAGTTATCAGCAAATGCCTAGTCACAACATATCACACTGCCAAAAAAGTATATAGACACCAGTTTTTCACATTTGTGCTTTTCGCAGCAGGCTCTTCAGGTAGCCAATTGAGTATGGATAGGTACTGTTGCCGACAAGAATATTTCTGCTACACCGCACGAAACTAGGATTTCTCTTTTGTTGTGACTGGGCTATGTGAAAGAGCTTTCTGGGGAGGAACACCGAATGAAACGATTTTCAGTGATTCTGTTGCCTGAATTGTATTTCGTTTTGTCAGACTCATCTCTTCTTCAAGGCAGAGGAGGCATCTATGTGCTGTGTGCTAGTCTTCAATAGGCAGCCCCTAAGCCTGCCTACATGTAGAGCCAACGAAGGTTCGTGACACCACCCACTTCAACAATAATGGAAGATTCTGGAGGGAGATGTAGCACCTTTCGAAACCTCTACTCGGGACACCATAACTCGCCCCATGTGGGCCTTTTTTTTTCGTTTGGGCCCAACTCAGGACTACAGAGGTACTTTCTCGAATTCTGCATCAGCACACAGTTGAACGTCCGTCCAGTGCATGGTAAAGTCAATTTCGGCCGGGAAACCTTCGGTGCGGTTTAAAGCCACTTCATTGGACTCCGTACCGTACAGTTGAGGCTCTATAGACCAAACCAAACAGAAGGCTAACTATGTTAAGGTTGACGTTTCTAATGGATCAACTGATTGATACTATCCAAAATATGGCACTCGATGCCATCGCTGATATGACATTCACCCAAGGGCCTATCGTTGTAAGAGGACGATGTTTTCAGGGAGAATTACAGTAATACAGTAACATTTGAAAAGTGTCTACAATCAACAATCATTTTCAAGGTATTGAATACAGATGAATGGACTAGACACGGCGGACGGTAAATCCTCAGTTACTGTGCGATTAGAATATTCCCCGTTTTTCATGTAACCATTGATCATAGAAATCAATTGCTGCTCGAAGTTGATCCTTTGGAGCAGGTTACCATCCCATTGGGCCTTCGGGAGGTCTATCCCGGTGTTCTTGTTTGGTGCCCTAAAATTATAGCGTGGAACCAACCAAAATACTGGGTCCACTCATGCACAGAGTCCCCTTTTGACTATCTACTTTTCCATACAGAATTCTTCCTTTTGTTATGGATATGTGGATGTCGCATATACGCTTGATATGATATGTATATCCCCAACTTTCTGCGCTTAAAAATGTTATCTCTATATCATTATCAAACCCAATCTGATCCCCAATATCTTATGATTAGCTAGTGTGCCACTAACCAAAACACAGCACTTGGGGCGGGAATCGGCAGTCAAAACATGGTTCATCCAAATGTGAAAATGCCCCAACTTCGAACTAAGACCAATCACTCCACATTTTAGGCTGAACCAACTCCCTCAAATGTGATGGTGGAATGTTGGTTCATTGTAACCAATCTAGCTGCTAAATAGGTGTGATCACGTGGTATTATAGCGAGCATTGTGAACTTATCTCGTCCGGTTCTCCAGCACCCGGCGAACACAGCGTGCATTAAACCAGCAAAAGATAACCCACCACAAAAATACTAGTAGTACATTTCTCGAGCAGAAAGGATGGGGACAACGGCCCGTTGATGTCTCTGGGGGAAGATTAAGCCAGATTTAAGGAAGATCTAGGCAGGATGTTCAGCAATTCCCTTGTCGTCGTCGTCTCGGCGACATCGATGATGCTGCTCATTGCGGTTTCCCTCTACTCGTCCCTTACGACATTCTGGGGGAGATTGGACGTGCAGCTGAGCAACGATGCTTCCGCTCCTAGAAATGGCCGTCATGGTCAGTTGGGTGCTGTTGCGTCTGAGAATCGAAACTGTAGCCAGATGGGGGCGGAGATGCTGAAGATGGGTGGAACCGCGGCGGATGCTGTGAGTATTTTGGTTTTTTATCTTTCGCTTTCCTCTCCTATTGTACATTTCTGTGGTGTAATTTACACTGTTGTCCTTGTCGTCACATCATTTCGTATCCTAGATATGATATGTTACCCTTGTAGCACTGTTGGCGGAATCCGTAGTGAGGCTGCCTGGTTTCCTGCTTTGAAATGCTCAGGACATGAACTCATTCGACCTACCACAGATGGTTGCAACTGTATTCTGCATTGGCGTGGTTGGTAGGTTTTTTTTTTTTTTTTTTTTTTTTTTTTCCTTTTAATTGTTCATTTGAAAACACCCTACCCGGGCTCCTTGGCATGTAGAAATGTGCTCCTGCTAAGCGCGTCATTTGTTATTCCAGCAATGTATCATAGCGGCATCTCTGGTGGTGGATTCGCAATTGTACGAACGCCAGAGGGCGGGTACGAGGTCGTCGATTTCAGAGAAATGGCTCCTGCAACAGCGCATAAGGACATGTATAAGGGTAACGTGGAAGGGGCGGTTTTAGGGGGTTTGGCTAGGTAAATGCTAATCTGCTTTCTACACCCTCTCGAGATTTAAATTGTTACTAGCTAACCACACATGGCGGCAGCGCTGTCCCCGGTGAGATTCGAGGGCTGCAATACCTACATGAGAAATATGGTACTTTGCCCTGGTCAACAGTTATGCAACCGGCCATTCGTCTTGCACGGGAAGGATGGCCGGTCAATGTGGACCTGGTCAATTACATGGAGACCGCAACAGCAGGAAAAGAGGATTTTCTATCCAAAGATCCTTCGTGGGCGGTTGACTTTGCCCCCAATGGAACGCGGTTGGGCCTGGGCGATACTATCACTCGTGCACGATATTCTCAAACACTCGAGACAATCGCCAATTACGGGCCCGATGCTTTTTATTCTGGGCCGCTTGCGGATTCCATGATCCGAGCCCTCCAGGCACATAATGGGACTATGACTCTGGACGATTTGAAGAACTATAGCGTTGTGATTCGAAACGCTTCACATATCAACTATCGGGGCTACACTGTGACCAGCACGAGGGCCCCGTCCAGTGGTGTCGTTGCATTGAGTATCTTGAACATTGTCGGTCAATATGATGATTTCTTTGTCAAGGGAAATGTGAACCTGAGCACCCACCATCTTGTTGAGGCAATGAGATTTGCCTATGGACAGGTAGACCCCCCACCTCTTCTCTTAGTTCTGCGTGATAGAGTTCATATTTCTGAATGCTGACCTATGTTTCTTCCGGTCCTTCTTTTCCCCGTAGCGAACGCATTTGGCTGACCCATCCTATTCGGAGGGAATGGATGAATATGAAGATCATATGCTAAATAGCTCCATGGCTGCTATTATCCGAAACAAAATCTCTGATTCGCATACTCTCAATGTCTCTGATTATAACCCCAATGGATTTGAAAGCCTAGAAACGTATGTGCCAGCCCCAAATCCCCAACTCCCCAACTCAAATCCTTGAAACTTCGGTGGAAACGATGGACAAAACAAACAATTGGACCCATTGTGCATTCAGCGCTTCAAAGATCGAAAAGCTGACATCCACACTCACTCATGCACAGTCCGGGAACTTCCCACATCGTCGCCGCCGACTCCAGAGGCCTCACCATCAGCCTCACCACAACCATAAACCTCCTCTTCGGAAGCAAAGTCATGGTTCCCGAAACCGGCATTATCATGAACAACGACATGGATGACTTTTCCATCCCCGGCACCAACAACTCATTCGGCTACATCCCCTCACCTGCCAACTTCATCGAACCGGGCAAGCGCATGCTCTCTTCCATATGCCCGGTGATCGTCACCCATCCCAACGGCACGGTCTATTTCATCACGGGTGCCGCGGGTGGGTCGCGTATCATCACTGGCACCGTGCAAAGTGTCATCAATCTCCTTGACAGGAATATGACCACCTATGACGCGCTCAAGGAACCCCGTGTCCATGACCAGCTTAGCCCGAATGTGTCAGAGTTTGAGTATTCGTTTGATAACAGCACGGTGGCGTTTATGATCAGTAGGAATCATTCGGTGAAATGGGTTCTTCCGGGGGCCAGCAAGGTGCAAGCTATCCGGCTGATGGCGGATGGCATGTATGAAGCGGTTGGGGAGCCTAGACAGGTGGATTCGGGAGGAGCTGTTGCGTGAGTGCGATGTGTGTTAGGTGTATTGGTTTTTTTTTTTTTTTATTTTAGTTGATTTTTGTTTTAATTTTTGCGATCTCTCCGAATAATCTTTTTAGACGGTCATAGAGCCATGTTATCCACTCTTGTATATAAGTTATCGAGGCGAGCGAAGTGTACATTAGGCTAGCGAAATGTGTTGTACATAAATAAGCCCCTTCTATCTATCGTTCGATATGCAGGTTACTCCTTTTTCCTTATCAAATGGGTGTGTCGTAAAGGAGCCCCACTCTATCCGCCAGAACAAGAATACATCGGCATAGTCAGTGCTTGGCAGATCGGGAAGGGAGAAAATATGTTTACGCATCCTTCATCACAATTCTACTGCTCTTGGGGAGTAGCAAGAGGGAACAGGTTCTTGTCCTTTTTTGCGCAGAAATTGTTTCTTTGTCTGGCAACATTTTCTGCAGTTGTTCCATGCTGCGTATTCACTACTGGGGCGCAGAAGTTCTCTCCCACATCAGGGAGGCAGTTGTTGATCTCGCGAGATCCGGCGATCTTGGGATGGAAAACACTAGTGTGCATTGCAGGTCCATTTATATCAATATTAATTTTTTTCTCTCTCTATTATCAGATCTATGTGAAACCAACTACGCTGTAGGGGGACGATGTTGCAGCTGGAACGTCAGCCACTGTGGCACGGTTCGCAGGCCTTTTCAGAATTAGGTTTAGAGTTCCCTCACTCTAAAACTTTAGAGTTTCCCGCGGCGCTTATGCCTGCAAAGGGAAGGAGGCCCTGGCTCGTGAGAGCGTTAGTCCTACGGGTTCCAATGTTTTCTGAGCTTTGGTGCAGCGCAGCCGAACAAAACGGAGTACCGGTTGAATCTGGAACTTTATGCTGGCCACGTGATATGGGCCCCAAATCCAGACCCTTTGAGCCAGAAAGTACGTAGTAAGGTCTGTCTGTCCGAATTTAACAGACAGCCTTGGAATCTCTGAGGAACGATATATGGCCAAACAGCCTAAGAAGTCCCCGTACTTCCCCCAGAAGCGTCGAAATGCCGCCTCTTGTCTCCCATTTCCACCAATATCAGCCCGATCCTTTGGCTTGATCCAAGAGAAGCTCGCTCACAACCCCTTCCGACTGTTGATCGCAACAATCTTCCTTAATCGAACCCGTGGCGAGGTTGCGATACCGGTTCTATACAGCGTTTTTGAGAGATATCCGACTGTCGCGGCCCTCGCAGAAGCGCAGGAAGAGGATGTTGTCGGGATGATCCGTTGTCTGGGTTTCCAGAATGCCCGTGCCCGCAAATGTATTGCCCTCGCAAAGCTCTGGGTTGAAAATCCCCCCGTCAAAGGAAAAAGGTACAGGAAGCTCCATTATCCCAACAAAGGCGATGGGCGTGATATCAAACCTGGAGAATGCGTGGGTGATGATGACACCCGAATCGCCTGGGAGATCGCTCATCTCCCCGGCCTGGGTTCGTATGCCCTTGATAGCTGGAGGATATTTTGTCGTGATGAGCTGAGGGGTCTGGCGAGGGACTGGGAGGGCGTAGAGGCCCCTGATGGATTCGTGCCTGAATGGAAATCAGTGGTTCCCAAGGATAAGGAGCTCCGCGGATTCTTGACCTGGATGTGGCTCAAGGAGGGTTGGGAATGGGAAACGGAGACGGGCCGCAGAAGACGGGCGAGCAAGAAGCTTCGCCGTGCTGCTATGCAGGGAAGCATTGCCATTGAAACAAACGGCAGTTGGATTCTTGAATCTTCGATGGCGGAAACATCAACTTATTTTGAAAAGACTATTCAGGATAAATGATCTCGTCGATAAATTTTTAATTTTTAATTTATTTTTTGGTATATAAAGAAAAGATATCTATATATTTGGATTTACCACCAATCAATCTCTGGAAAGATTAGTATTGATATTTCCTGATTCCTTTTTTTGGGTCATTTGGCTACCTGTAACCAGAACACAAAGATCAATGTCTCAGCGCTGCCTCAACAACTGTACAGGTAAATAAACCGTGTTGGTGTGGTGATGGGAGTGATGTGGTGACCGAATCCGGTAATCAGCACCACCTCATCGATCGATAATCGCCGTCTCAGAGATCAGCATCTACAACACCCTGAGACACGTTTCTTGCAGGCTCCCGATTGGCCCTGCATCCATGCTTGCTGCAGAATCAAGCCGATTGAACCACTCTTTGGGCCATCTCTCTGTCTTCCGTGCAGTCTTCCGTGCAACGCCCACATCGTCTCCGGCTCTCGTCGTCTGTTGCCTGCGTGTATCGGCCATTCAGGTGTTGAGCAATTCACGCTTGGTTCTGCAGCTTGATTCGCTTCTCTCGAAACGAGAGCAAGAATTTGAAGTCAGCGTCTGGACGTTTCATCGACCCACCAACCAAATGCACCGCCTCCGTCATCCACCACATCCTTGTCCCTCACGTTAAACCCAAATGGGGTCTGAATAGAAGCCACACGCAACAAGCATATAGAGGGTTTTGATGTCGAACAGGCCAGTCTCTTACTGGTTGGCATCAGGCTATCAGCAATAAGCTGTGGATTACACGCCACAACCGACGAACGAACTTTCGCCGGAGGACTCCCTTGTCGTTCCCGGCGTGCGTCATGCCTGCGAAGGACGAGGACCGGGATCGCCAACGCAGGAGTCAGAGAGAAAAGGACAGGGAACAACGTCGCCCTCGATATCGCTCCCCACCGTCGTTATTCGAAGGAGATGCTGTTGAGAAGGAAGGCACCAGACATTCTGATACGAGATACGAGAGACGGACTCCGAGGATATTCCATAGGACAAGACCAAGCGAACTCACAACAAGAGAAAGGGATCGAAGGAGAGCTGTCACAGGAGATTATAGGTTGAACTCGTCAAATCTCTCCATGCCCGCCACCGACTCGAATTCCCGCCCCTCCGCTGCCTTTTTTGTGGAGTCGAAGCCCAATTTGCCATATCCGTCATTTTCCAAAGCGCACAGCAAGGAAGCGGTGGGGTTTCTGGGGAGCAGGGAAAACATCGGGCAACCCAAAGTGGATATCTTGACGCCTGAACCAACTGATCTAACTACGGGAGAAGAAACAAATGGCAAGACAAGAGGAGAAGATATCAATCCTACCGAACAGGAGAAGGCATCTAGACGGCATAGCGCTCACCGCTCCCCTCCAAGCCCCCCGTTAACGAACCTTGACCAACAGTCTACAAGGAGAGAGAGCACCACAGGTGGGAACAAAAAATCGGAGGAGAAACGGAGTGCAACGAAGAGTCAGGATGAAAAGAAGAAACATAGGCCCAACCCCATCTCCAAGGAGTCCACCTCAAGCATGCGCCGCAAGTCAGATGAAGGTTCGAAAACGAGCAGCAGAGGGTCAGGACCAAGTACCCCCGGGAAGTTATTGTTTGAATCTCTCCAGTCTCAGCACAACAAGTCTCCAACCAGCGGAAATACATCCAAATCAAGACAACTAGGGAGGAGTGACTCAGCCAAACAATCATCCCGCCGAAAAGCAAAGCCCTCATCTCCAGACCTATCATCAGTAACACAGGTCGAGATCGAAGTTGTACCCTCCACCGTGGACTCAGACGCAACATCTATCGCACCAAATCAGCAACCTACATATCAACGTCCCTCTATCACCATGAGAGCTCCATCTGAGCCCCACAGAATCCCTACACCGAGAAGATCATCCCCAACAAAGCTGAGCCCGCCGTCAGCGCCTCACTCCCCATCTACCGGATTGCCCCCGCCCCCGCCCCCGCCTCCTAATGTACCCATTACGATCCCAAAAGTGGATTATTTACTCAACAATGGTGGGCTCAAATATCATGTCCCTAGAAGTTTCTTTGGAGCTGGAGAGTCTGCAAATATGCCGCAGGATTTCTTCAAACCCGCGGCAGCTGCTTCCAAACTTTTCGAGCCGTACAATAAGTTGCTTGATGACTACGGAGTAGTAATATCGAAATGTGGATCTCTCGCCGTGGCCACAGGGTATAGATCGGTTGCAAGGAGGCTCCTGGACAGGTTGGAAGCCGTTTTTGCGCGGGATATTTCGTCTGAATCATGCCAATGTATAATGTGTTCCCCTACCGAGGTTGCGCCAGAAGGAGTCAGCTGGGGCGAGGTGTTAGAGTTTGTTTCTGGTCGACAGGATCTACCGCCGTGGCCTCCATTTAAAATCGCTGCCAAACCGGGGGCTGCAGATATTACGGATTCAAACAGCGACGAACCGATGCAGAAGATGGATATGGACATTCCCGAAGAGTTTAGGGAACATTTCGTTCGCCAGTCCAGGAAAACGAAGCACGCTGTGGATAAATGGCTTTCTTACAGCAATGACCAAGGCGGCAGCCCGCCTGATGAGATTGACGATGAGACACTGATGTTTGCCATGCTAACTTATCTAGACCAGGAGGAGAGAGAACTCTTCAGTGCGCTATTAGACATTGCAATGACACCCCCAGAGCCAAAGCGTGAAACTCCCAAACCACGAGATCGACCGGATGCCATCGTTCAGTCCGGAGCTGCAATCCAGCGTTTATACAGACTATCCATACCACCTCGTGACCCTGAAACAGCGCTCTATTTGCTGAAGAACCCGGGCATACACCATGTCCTAGCCACACTCGCAGCCATCAGCAGCGATGAATGGGACATTCTCATCTCCGGACGTTTCGATGGATTTCTCCGTAGTGGTGCAGATGATGACCTTCCCCAAACGTTCTCCGCCGCATCCGTCCGGGCCCCTCGGCCTGGATCCACTCGACCGGTTTCGCAAGCTTCTAACGCCAGGCTCCGAAACATCAGCCAGCCGTACGGTGGTCCTTCATATCCATCCCGCACGTCCACTCCAGCCCCTGCCTCATTTGGCGCCCCCATCTACGTCGACGAAGACACCGAAATCGCCGCCCTTGCTGAAATCGAACGGGACATCTACCTCGGCATGGAAGCGCTGGAAGACGCCTTTGAAGTCCTGCATGTCAAAGCGGAAGCGATCCGTGGCGCCCTTCGGGAACGCGGTGCGGGGTTGCAAGTTGCCAATCTAACACGGCGCGGGGGATCCGGGGGTGTTGAAGTGCTCTCGGGCACGCCTGCGGCGGGCATCGGGGGCTACGGTCTGAATGGCAACGGCGGCTGGGAGAGCTCAACGGATGACGGGATTGAAGATGGGGTTTCAGAGATATTGCCCTCCGATTCCGCGAGTAATATTAGCTCGAGTAGGAGGCGGCGGCCGAAGAGACGGAGCGAGAGGCGGACGCCGGTTGTTTTTGAGGAGGAGGAGGAGGGCGAAGAGGATGATATTGTTGCGACCCATGATTACAGGACGAGGAAGAAGCATTAGGCTGCGGAGAGCTGTTGGGGGACGAGTGATTGGGGTGAATCTGGGACGGTGCCGCAGGTTATTGTGTCAGTGAGTGTGGTAAAAAAAAAATATCATGGATCTTTCCCTCATTCCCATTTGTCCTTGCTTTTTCTTCCTCGTTTTCTTTCAGCCCTCTCTCTCTCTCTCTCTCACTCACATTTTTTCTTTTTCTTTTTTTTTTTTTTTTTTTGGCACATCTACTGTTAGTTGATTTTTACGTACCCTGCATGTCTTGCACTTGCTATGCATCATTTTTCGAAAGGAAGTAAAGGGAATTCGAAACGACACTTATGACATTACATGGCTTGATACCTGATACCTGATACCTGAAAACGAACCAGTATGAAATGAGAAGCATGATGATGGAACAAAAGCATCAGCAGGCGGAAAAATGTTGATACTGTGTATCCTTTCCTCCGTTTCCGTTTTTTCTTTTATCTCTTTTATTGGTTTTCATTCCGCCTTTCCCCAGAGCTTTTATGCTCCCGCGTTCTCTCTCTCTCTCTTTCTCCCTAGCATGAGGTTTGTTTTCATAATTTGGGCATATACTATTTCCACTTGTTATCCATCTTCTTACCTCTCTTCCCCATACCATAAGATATACCGCCAAACAGCATTGTCCATCTGAATGTCATTTCATCTCCTTGCACCCCTTAGAACTCGCATTTGGAAAAAAAATACATAAATAAGTAAAGTCCCTCCCACGAAAATCACGTCTTTCCTCTATCGCTGTCCATCACTCATGCATTGCCATTTCATTCATTATATATTTAACCTTATATTATATACTAGTATATATATTGTTTTACGTCCCCCTCTATCGTTTTTCCTTTTTTTGCCTTTTCCTCTTGTTGCTACCCGCCATGTGAAACGGCGCTGTTTGTTGAGTGTATTTCCACGTTGCCATCGGGGTTATCATATCCGCCTTTCTCCCCCTATTTCAGTTGATAAGGAGCGTACCATTGAACGCATTGAGCGCACTGGTACTGCCACATATATGGATGCATGCATTATTACTAGTACCTACTGGAGTTACGGGGTTAGGGTTGTATCAGTTCTGAGTATATATATCTTCATCACTCGGTGGAAGCGAAGGAACGCAATTTCTACCATAAAATAAGTAAGAGTGGAAGCTTGTCAAAATAGTAGTTTGGATGTTTAAGACCTCCTTGATCAGAATCAAAACTTCACACTTGTTCCTTGAGAACCAGATATGTGTTTTTTTCGCGCCCAAATTTAGTTAACTAAATAACTAAGTTAACTAAATACTCCGTAACGATGATCTAATCACAATGCCGTCCCGTCACTAACACAGTCCTCCCTCCTCTCTCTTCCCAACCCCCAGTTTCTGAGAAGCATCAGCCAGCCAGCGGTTGGCGGTCGGGTGGTAGTTAGTGGTTTCTGCATGGACGGCGGGTCTGCGGGTCTGCGAGTCGCTTGCAGGTGCGATTTGGCGGGGCACTGGGCCGACTGGGCGTATTGGCAGCCTCCTTTGCGGCCTATCTACACGGCGGCGACGATGAGGACGACGAACTAACTAACTGCCAAACCAACTAAGTCAACTGCTGGCTAGTCGAGCACGGCGGATTCACTCCGTCCTGCTGGTTCCTGGCCGTTGCCTGTTAGTGAGTTCGTCAGTTCTCATCGGTTGCTGCTGAGTTGGCTGTTCTTTTTTTTTTCCTTCTTTGGCCTTCACATCGCTTGCATCCTCGTTTTTTTCCCTCCACACACCCAGCTTCAACAACAACAACCACCACCACCAAGAAGAAGACCCGCCAGGATCACCACTACTCCACACACGCACACATACACCACGAACACGTTGGCTGTTCATAGATAGACACTCTCGGTCACCACCTTCATTCTCCCGGTCATTACACCTACCCCCTGTCCTGCTGCCCCTCCACTGGCCCCCGGGAGGTCCATATTTATGTAGCTCGCTGCAGCTGTATTATGCCTCTGAGGGGTTGCGACGTGCACGGCTGCTCCAAGTCGGCTGCCCGCAAACATGGCGGCTGTCTGATCTGCTCCAGGAACCATTGCGGCGCCCACATCAAGTCAGCTTCTCACAGATGTCTTTCGGAGGCAAGAGACCAGCCTACACCCAGTCCTGCTTGCTTTTTTGTGTTTGCGTTTGCTTTTTTTTGTTGTTGTTGTTGTTTGTTGTTTTTTTGGCGCTGCTTTGGAATTATCAATTACCTTTTTTGCCGAACGGGAGCTTGCCCCCCGCTAACTTTGACTTTCGTTGATAACTAAAAAGGATACCGATCCAGATGCATACCGCGAGGCCTATCTCTCGTCCCAGCGTGGCCACCTGTTCAAGGTCTTGGACCAGCTCGACGTCTGCGCCCTGATTTCGCTGGCGAGTAATCTTCGTCGTGGCGTCCCTTGCTCGATCCCCGCTCTCACGGCCGACAGAGACACCCAGTGGCGACGCATCTCGAAGCATATGACCAAAACCGATTTCCACGTGGATATAAATTTCCAGGATGGCGTGGTGTGGGATGCACGGATACGGCTGAGGAATGACGCTTTCCCGCCCCTGTCGGTGCAGAAATATATCTTTCTTAGCGAGGTGTTCACGCTCAAATTCCTCGAGAAAACTGCCGTGCCTGCCCCCGGGGTATACTACCACTACTGGGCTGACTCTGCGGATGGCCATGTCGGCGTATCATTCGTCCTTCTGGAGAAGATGGGCGGTCGGAAACTGCAGTGGGACAAAGCCAGCAAATCGAGACAGACGAAGATCATGGAACAGCTGGTGGATATCTCACTCGAGCTGGAGCGCCATTCGTTCGAGATGACCGGGTCAATCGTCCCGTCGGACGATGGAGAAGTCAGCATAGGCGGATATGCACAGCTTCCCCTGTTCCGCGACTCTCTGACTCCAATTGGGCCGTTCTCAAGCCTTAACGCCTCCCTCAGAGCCATCATGCACTTACAGCTAGACATCATCACCGACGGCGAGTTCGCACATCTCTCCCTCTGCCACTTCCTGTCCTACCTCTGGCGCCTGCACACGATCCCGGACCTGGTCGCCTCGACAGAGAGCCGCGAAGGCGGGCCCTTCTACCTCAAGCACTTCTGCGAAACGGACGACCACATCATGGTCGACGACGACGGCAACATCACCGCCATCATCGACTGGTCCTCCTCGTCAATCAAGTCAAAGGAATACGCCTTCAGCTCCCCGGCCATGCTTTGGCCCACCCGCAGCTTCGTCGGCGGCGACAACGCCCTCTCCCCCGCCGAACTGGAGTTTGCAGATATATACCGCCGCCGCGGCAGGCCTGACATGGCAGACATCGTGCTGAAGGGCCGCCGGCTACAGCGGTTTCTGTACTCGTTGGGCGACAGCTGGACGGCCGACCAGTGGGGGTTTGAGGCGTTGTTTTTGGGCCTGCGGAAGGCCTTTATTCGGGAGGGCGATGAGAATTCGGCAGCCGTTGCGCAGGAGTCGTTTGAGTTCTGGAAGAAGAAGCTTATTTCGAAGTACTCGGTTGAGTACCCGCAGTTACAGCGGCTTTTTTGAAGGGAGGCGCCAACGGGAACGGGAGCGGGAACGGAGGACGGGGCTCTAAGAAGTCCCCTTGTTGAAGGATAGGTGTTTCCCAGCTGCTTTTTTTTTTTAGCAACACCTATATTCCGCCTGTTACCTCCCTTCCCTTCCTGTTTCCTCCCTGTCCTGTCGATCGACTTCCAGGTCGTGGTCGTATTGAATGACAACCATCTACTCATATTTTATTCCGCTTCCTCCCCGACTTTTTATTTTTATTTATTCATTTTCATTTTCATTTTTATATCCTCCCCCCCCTCTCCCGCTCCTTTCTGGGCGGAAATGCGATGTTACTTCCTTAACGACAGGTTACGTTTTCTCTACGGTTTTATGAGCTGAAATGAATTTTGTGTCGAAGTCCCCTTTTATGCATATGAGAGACAGAGAGGGAGAGAGAGAGGAGGAGAGCGTGGTGTGTGTGTATGTGTGTCCTTGTGCTGGCATGTGGAATGTGAAGAGGATGAATCCTACCCTTCTCTTCCTTCCGGAATTATATGTGTTAACATCGATCTTATAGGATCCTAAGATCCTGGCAGATGCATGCAGCCCTTCTGTTGCCGCCTATGCAAGGAATGATCTATGCCCTCTTCCTTTTCTCGTTTTTCCTTTCCTTTTCTTTTTCTTTTTCTTGCCTTTTTCCTCGTTTCAGCGGTATCCGTTCTGGTGACATTTACTTTTAAAAATGGGTTTTTTTTTTTTTTTTTTTTTTTCTTTTCTTTTTTCCATCCTCCAGTTCCAGTTCCTGGTTTGCATTTATTCGCATTTATTCTATTATTCCATTTTATTTTCCCGCCGAAGAGAGCGCAAGGCAAAGAAAAAGAAGCATGCGAGCGGTCAGAATATTATTGTTATTTTACTTTTACTTTTTCTTTTATTTATTATAATAGCTAACTAATTTAACTAATTTAGATGTTTAATGCATAACTAGTGAATTAATGTCTAGTATTCCCTTTCTTCTCCCTCCCCTCCTTTTTCTCCTCCGTATCCATCCTCCGGGGGAAGGAAGAAGAGGTTTTCCCAACGCAATTTGCGAGAGAACACACTGTGTACATACCGCAGCTACTACTTCTCCCGTGCAGTGGGCCCGACTTCTGAACGCCTTCGATCTTGCATCTCGCGTGATTCAGCAGCCTCAGGTGGGTGGAAATGTGGCGGTAGCCGGTTCTGAAGAGAGGTATATATATATGTCTTTTCCGCTCCTTTGCGCACACCGATGATACATCCTTCACATCGAGCCGCACACACTGGTCGTCGCGTTGTGTCCAAGGAGTCCGGTTCGGTTATCTTCAAGATCAACCGTGCTCGAGAAATTAGGAGAAGTGTATATTCATTCACTTGTCGTTGGTTGCGGAGGTCTCACAATAATGGCCGACATACATGTGCATGTGTGCGTTGTTTGTTCCGATAGGCACACGCAGAATGGGCAAATCCAGGTGTTTAACGACCGGCGCCATGCCAGATATCGCTGATGTTCGCAGTGTCATGGAGAACTCTCCGAGTTGGGAGGGAGCGCAGCCAGGTAGAGAGGGAGAAAACTCCAATTTTGTGTGATAGACTTTGTCAAGATAAACTAACACCAGCGACTGTGGGCGGCGCCATGACAGGATTTCTTTACGATGGGCCCTTTAGCAGTCAACTATCCGATAGGGTTTGATGTTACAGAGACCAAATCTACGACATACAGCCCCGCCGCCGATCTGAACGGACATGAAAGCTAAGCCCCTTAACTTCTCACCCCTTACGAAGCAGTCAAACTCCTCGAGTGCTCCTTATCTCTCACAGTATACCTAGGAGGTAAACAGTTGCCCGGAAACGCGGCCACTCCGAATCTGAGCATCCCCAACCACAACAGATGACCGTTCCCAGACAGCACCTCCTGCGACAATAGCTTGCTAGTGCTACCGCTGAATATTAGTTTTGATCACTGGATATCTAGCTCACTCACCTCACGGACTCCACGCTGATGGAAAATGGACAAAGTATATTATATACGACATGGCCGAAGCGATATGCCCTCATGAGCAATTGCTTATCGCCTGGGAACTTCTTGCCATTTGCTGCATCTGCCGTAGTTAACTGAGCCAACAGTATTGGTGGAATTTGAAAGACTTGGAATAGATTCTTCGTGGTTCTGCATGTCATCTCGGTGGTAGGGGTGGAAAAAAGTTAGAGGCCTGTTTCTGCGGTAATTGCAGGGACCTCCGAATATTAATGTCGGTCCCAGGGACGAGGCTTCACTGCCCTTTTTTTTTTTCATATCTATTTCGACATTAGCTTGCACCAAATCGCGACATGTGCAGTGATAGAAGCCTCCTGCGACCAATTGTCGTCTGTGGGAAGCCCGGAACAAGCATCCAGGGCAGGACGCAGCCTCACCTACAACGGAAAAAAACCCAGCATACTGACAACCTGCTGCCTACAATCGATCCTCGAATGCTTCGCGTAATGCTCTACCGTATTATTACTCCTTCTCTTCCAACTTGCGTTCAAGAAAATCATATGTATCAAACGTCCAGTAGCGCATTGTGATTAACCAGAATGATTCTTCATCTATATGAGTCTTAGAGAGCTTCGGTTGGATGTAGTCGTAAAAGATCGAGAACAGTGCTGTTTGGACTCTTAAGTGCGGTAGAGCGCACCAAAATGTCCCTCTCTCCCAACCCTGCTGCAAAATTGGATGTAGCTGGAATGGTGACCGGTTGCAACCCAGATGTAATCTTCTGTTCCTCCTCCTCAAAGACTTTGATGAATTCTGCATGAAGACTTTCATAGTCTTCGAGCGTGACCGTATCAATAGATTGGTTTGACAACCGATATGGCGGGTGGATTATTTCCGAAGGACGCGAGCAGGCTCATTCAATGGTCGATGATGCACTTCATGTTCCATTCATCATCCACCAGAATGCTGCTCTGGTGGAGGTCAGTAAGGTCCAGAAAGAAGGGACCTCGAAAAGATCATGGCGAAAGAAACAAGGCCAGACACTTCTCATAACCATCAACGCAGATACATTCCTGATAGAAGTCATCCTGGAGACCATTGACTGTATTGGGCTGCTATAGCAAAAGGCTCTCGTGGCATGCAAGGGTGTCATTGATATAGGAATCAACGGTGGAATAATTTCGCGGAACATCAACTGGGATATTTTCGTTTTCCAATTGTTGATATTGAATAGTAAAAGGCCTGTTACTCAAACTCAAGTAGCCTTTGTCATCCAAAACAAAGGAACCGATCATTGGTAGAGGGGTGCGAGCAAAAGACAGGATACGATGCGGGATATACCATGGAAGAGATTTGCTCGCAACTTTACATCATGACGTCTTTCCTGCTATGTATTGGAAAGCATTTCTCCTCTCGACGATTTAATATCTTCGATCAACAGATAGTCCGTATTAAAAGTATGTACGTCTATCCCAGCTTTGGTGTTGAATATAGCGAGAGGGAATTGGATATACCAAGAACTTTAACAAGCGGCAGCGCAAAGCTTGGATAGAACGGGGTATAAATGGCAGGTTGACAAGAACGGTGAACTAGAATTTGTTAGGTGATGAGTGTTCCCAGCAGGCTGGCTCAGGGGAGCTACATACGGTCTGACCAGTGGAGAGTCCAAATCCATACAAACGAGGACTGGGCACATCTGGACAGTTCTGCTGGATCCATGCATACGTGCTGGCTTCGCACCGGATCTTCTCATCTGCGTTCCTGAGCAAGGCGCCTCTCCAACACGGCATGGCAGGGGAAATCGGATCATCAATTTATTGTTTCCTCCATCGTCCTTCCAGCCATTGACATCAACTCGCATGCAGGCGTTGAAGCTTCCATGTATCCATTTTTCGGTATCAGCAAGTTGGCAAGAGTCTGCCGAAGCTAGGCCGAGGTGGTGCGCCACGATTTCTGCAATTTGCTTGCGGTTCCGGTGCAGATGATTAAAATATCGAGTTCTCTGATCCCAGCAGCCCAGTTCATGAAGGATATTGGCATCTTAGTTTTTGCGGCAAGAGTATGTGATCTCGCCCCGAAGCAGGCTGCGAGGTTTCGGTGTGATTTCTGGGGGGGGGGAATGACCCTGGGACACGTTCTCTGGCAGCTCAGATAAAACAATTCGAGTCTCGTTTGAGATTAAGTCGCAGCGAGACATGGAGTGGAAGCCATCCGAATTTTGAGAGTTGACAGTTTGCTCTTTGCAGATATTATTTTTGTTTATTTCTTTTCTTGAAACGACTTGGTTGTTGGCTGGGGATATCTTGATTTAGATACCTAGTAGCCAGATTCGCACCTGCATTTCAATATATATATGGACAGTACAACGAACTTCAGTTGGCGTGTGGGACCTGGGATATCCATACTGGTGATCGACAGCGGATAATTATCTCCCGTTCGAACCCAGAATCTCTTTCATGGCGGGCGTCTGAAGAGGTCGCAATGCGTTTTAGAGTGAAATCATTCCCTGGAATTGAATAATGCGACGCCACAGCAACTCATACGTTCACAACGCATGATCCTGGTGCTTCGGAACAGCTCCTTTCGGTTAGGCTTCTATATAACTCTCCGCTTCACCTGGCCCCAGTTTGGGGCATGGGAGATACTATGTCGCGATACGCTTCCCCTTCCAGACTGCGCAGAGCCCCCTGGGGCGGGCAGTCGTATGCAGCACGGAGCATAATGCTTGATAGCTTGATATCGAGGAAGTTGATCGAGACATGGAAGAAGATTCGCTTCGACAAACTCCACACCAGATGCCAAGTGCGGGGATCCCATCGCGCTAAGCCCGACGTCAAGAGCTGGCGGAAGCATCGGTCGGACAGACAGCCCCAGCCATGGAGAATTCCAAGCTTAACAGTTGGATGAATGAACAGCGGCATTACGCATAGAAAGGTTCTTGATTCAATGCCCGCAATGATGCTTGCTACCCCCACAGACTCGTCTCACGCCGCTGCTGGAGGGAGCCAATCTGAGCAACTCCCTTTCAGATCCGCCACCGCAGTACGGCCCAAGCGCAAGCAGGTCGCGAGGGCCTGTGACTGGTGCCGTGGGCACCGCATCAGATGTGACAATGAACGCCCATGTGCAAACTGTCGTAGTCGAGGAGGGAAATGTACCAGCAATGGGGAGAGCGAATTGCGGACGCTGCCTCACGCTCTCAGGTTAGTCTTCTACAGTCTCCCGTTCTTTTTCTCTCTGACCGAGACGGCCGTGGTGGATTATCCGGTTGACAATCTGTTAGGGAAATCGAGAAACTAAAAAAGCGTATTAAGGACTTGGAGTTGCAGCTTAAAGATGCTGAGCAACCCGAAGTTGAGCATGTTGTACACCCTTCAAAGCCTCCACGGCCCTTATCTGTGTACGCGCCTGAGGGACTCGATCCGCTTAATCCAGACCGGCCCAACAGGAGGAATTGGGAGGGCATCCATGCAAGAATGGCCAAGTCTCACCAGACCCAATTCTATGGCCCGTCGTCTCTATGCTACTTCGTCGGTCGCCTAAGTTCTTACTTAGCTACGGTTCTCCAGCAGCCGCACTTAGAACATCATTTTCACCCTAATTCCGCGAGCAGGTCGTTCTCGTGTCCCACCAGCTCAAAGAACGGAAGCATTGAAGAGAATCTCATGTCCGCTGACATACCGATAGATGGAGACTACCTTACAGGAACACAGGAAGACTATTTCTTGAACCTGTTTTGGCAGTCGTATCACTGCACTCTGCCAATTCTGGATGAAAGGGAGTTTAAAGAATATTACAAGTCGCTGTGGGATACGCCAGGGAAGCCTCGAAAACCATCTGCCTTAGTTGATATTGTCCTTGCTCTGACCATGCAATATGGCATCTCAGTTTTGCCACGGTCTGATGCAAACACCGCGTCAAAAGCGGATGTCGATAGCAACGATGCGACCATCGCCGGCCGCTGGTTTTATAAGCGATCCCAAGCTTTATTGGCGATTGAGCTTGAAAGTCCGTCGATATCTACTCTACAGTGCCACATTTTCACGCTCATCTTTCTTTGCAATGCATCATTCCAGAACATGGCTCATAGTACTTTGGCTGTTGCTGTTCGGACAGCCCATATCCTAGGCATCCACTTAGAGCCCCCAGAGGACATGCCCCGATCGCAGCGGGAGTTAAGGAAACGGATGTGGTGGATGTTGTATGCCACAGAGAGCAAAACATGCATGAAGCTTGGACGGCCTTTTTATGCCCAACTATCCCAGGTTACTGCCAGTTTGCCGGCTGATGACCATGAATTGGCATTGCATTCGGGCTCTAACTTTGGCTCTTTCGGCGAAGATATCACATGGCTTACTCACGGTCTACATCACATTAAACTACTGATAACAGCCCGCAATATCTACACGGCATTCTATGATCACTGCTCTGAAATTCTTGGTAGGAATGGTGGGAAGAGCCTATACAATGATCCGGAAGGTCTGGAGAACGCTGCAGAATTTCTTTCGTTAAATATGAGCGCTCTCCAGACGTGGCTTTCCAACGTGCCAGCGGCGTTGAGAATGAAACGCCAAGGAACTGGAGAACGTTTCTCCACCGACAGGTCACCGTTAGAGGTGGAGCGATTTGCACCCCACTGGTTGAAGAGGCAGCAGGTGCTCCTAGAACTCCTGTACCACAATCTTTCAATGAATCTCTATCGACCTTTTATCTGCTTTTCTTCAATTCTCGAACCAAAGACTAAAAGCAACGCAATTTCCTGTGTTAATCATGCGATGGCAATCACCTATATCATGCATCAAATCCTCGACGAATCCGACATTCTCCCGGGCTGGCATGAGGCGTATCAGTGGCAATGGAACGCCTCTATCAGCCTGATGGGATTCATATTGGGCCAGCCGAACTCTCCTCTAACACCCCTCGCACGAAACGCCATTAGCATGGCCATCACCGTCTTTGAAACTTTTGGCAACCACTTCGCCATCGCCGCGAGCGCCGCGAACGTTACCCGTACCGTCGTCGATAAGATCGATGTATTTCTGAACCACACCCAAGGGGACAGCCACCATAGCCCCGCCTCTTCTCATGCATCTGAGATCGCCAGTGCAAACCCTCAGACGTACAGCATCGGCGCCCAATTTATCGGCGGTGGCAGTAACAGCGCCTGTAGTCAGGCCGATGACCAGACGATGCAGGATTCCATTGCCAATTCCCTCGGCATTGCCTTCACAATGGATTCGCTAAATAGCTTTGAGCCTTTTTGGGATAACGAGGGTGTCATGGATTATTGGACCTACACGCAGGATTAGCTCGCTTCTAGATATGGCCACTCGTGGAACATATTACTAATTGTTGGATAGTATGGATATTGTTTAAACATTGACAAATAAAATGAAACCGGTTCGGGGGGCTTCAGTCATTGATTAACTTCCGAGTTACTTTTCTCTTCTCCCCCCAACACCAAAATAAAAGTTCGAACAGTTAAATTTCAGTTACACCCTTTTTTTTTGTTCGCGTTTCCCATGCAGATATCTATTATCTGGTATTATTCGGATTTCCGCAGATCTTTTCGGAAATTGGACTCCAGTTGCAAGAGCTGCTGTTATCCGCCAACCCTCAAGACCCTTTCCCCGCGGATCTAAGTGGAACAGCCGTCACTGTGAATGGAAGGTGATATCGAAACACGATGATGACCTTATCTATTTCGATAACTTACACGTCAAAATTTCAGAAACCGTTCCGTTTGTTGCTAATTCATCAACCTTTTTTTTTTTTTTTTTCCTTTGAGATTCTACAAAACTTTGCGCTGATATGCAAGCATCCGCGTTGTTCATTCCCATGATTTCCGACATGAATTGCCAAGGGAAATTTCACATAGGCCATTCTTTTGTTACTCCTTATTGAAATCAAACTCAAACCCGCCGACAATATTACCACGAATCTAGTAGAAAGCAGCGGAAACTACAAAGCACACCCGTAACACGTCAGGGAATCCATTTCTAGGGGAGAAGGGCTAACCATTGAGTTCAGAGTATTGAGAACGATAAACGTGGACAACCCTCATGTCATTGAGGATTGCCCGGCGATCGCTAGCAGCTTTGTTTCCTGTATCTCCATGAGATTGTTTTAATTTGTGATATCAGTGACTCTGCCATGGCGACCCAGTACCCTGCCCAGGTGGGAAAAAATTTCGTCGTGTAAATTATCGTCATTTCATTTAGCAGTTTCTTGCTTTTCAAAATTATTTTGGTGGGGGGGGAGGATGGGATGCAGGATGTGGTATATCTTAATTTATCTGGCCTGATCCTTATTACAGCTCAAATATTAAGACACAATTACAACTACGCCAAACAAGAAGATATAACTTTGCTAACGACATATGTGTAATGGACTTTTGTGCTGTATATAGCAGACACTCATATCTTACCTAAGTCCCCATATTATCTCTCGCACACCAACTCCCCACGACGCTGCAAAGGAAAAAAATGATTCTCTCAGAAATCCGCAAAGGCCTCCAAGGATGGGGGGTCCCATCGCAAGCACTCATGGTGAGTCCCGCACATTATTAACAGAGGGTTGAGTAATAACTTCAAGACATGGGATGCCTAAGTTGTTGTTGGGGGGGTTGATTTCTTAACTCTCCATAGTACAGGCCGGCGGCGACATATCAACCATACATTCAATTCAGAGTTAGACTTGTTGAAACTCCAAAACCTCCTTGAGAGGCGGTGGCTGATATCTTATTTTATATTTCAACAAGCAGGCAGGAATTGCCTTGGGACAACTCCCTCCCGGGAGGAAAGCCTCCTTCGCGAGGGGCAATGAATCTGTTAGTGCTGAATCCTTGATCTTATTGCATGGTGATATCACAGAGCTTCATGCGCGGTAAGCGCAGGGTGGTTAGCCAAGACGAGGGTTCTGATGGGATATCTGCCAATGGTACTGAGACTTTCAATATAAGTTGTTTCGAATCCTGGCGTAGTCGCATTTTAAATACACTCTTACGCAAGAGCCAATCTCTTGTTCTTTGTTCCTGGATTCTCATCCCCCCGTTCTTCCTTGAGTCCAAGGATTCGTACAGTCATGGTCAGCCCTGCTCGAATAGAATGTTTCGTCCTCTAGTATAACCATGCTAATGGCTTGCAAGCGGGAGCGTGTCAGAGGGGGAGTGTAAATATTTCCTGTTTGATCCTTTTTTATACTATACATAGTAGCTAGTTGCCGGAGTACAACCTTCGTTGGCTGAGCGATTCAGCTTGTCGGTCTTTATGACAGAGTCAGTGAGTGGTTGTAGACACTCCCTGTATGCTTGCTGCATGGTGTCGCTCGGCGAGGAGGGACTCCTGGTCAGGGGAACATCGCAATAGGGGGTAATAATCAAGCATTAGCTAGTCGATTTCGATATCTCTGGGCGGCGAATATCTCAAGGCATAAACTCAGCGAGCTCTGGGGCTTCCTTGAGGGCCGGTGACTGAGCTTCATTGGCTGGCCCTGCTTGCCAGCTCGCAACGAATAAGGCAATACTTGCTATTCGCAAGCCGAAATTCTGGGTTTGGAGTTACGTGTTGACTGACTGACCTCAACGATGCCTGCACATCACAGCTTAGCAGAGCTGATTTTGTGCCCCTGAGTTAATGTCGCGAGTCGTGGTAGCATACACTGGCAGCCTGTTGTATGTATGCTGCATATCACCCGTGGCGATCGTGTGCACATCCCTACCCCGTCCCGGGATTGAATATGAGAACGGCAAAAGTGAAGAACTTCCTCGTTCTGAGGGTCTGTCGAAATTCAAGTCATCCGAAATGCCCTTGTGGCTGGCACCCGTTTGACTTCGCGCGTTTCGCACAATATGTGGACAGAGCTGTAATTTCTGGTTGGTAAACGCTCTCACCCTCCACTTCTAAGATTCTCCCTCCCCAAGTGGACTTTTAAGTCATGGCGATATCGCTCAATGGTGGAGCGGTATCTTTTCCAGGAGTTGTTGTTTGGCCGTTACAACCAACCTTTTCAACGTCAGCACTAACTGGGAACACACAGTCTCATTTCTGGGGAAAATTGCTAGGCATTCAGCCGCCGCCTGCGAGGCCGTCTTGTTTTATGGCGACGTCAGCGTTCAATCATCCAGGTGTACATAAGTCTCCGGTGATGGAAGAGCAGCGGATATCTGTTTGACGAGGCGCAATTTTTCTGATACTGAGATATTGCCCAGTCGAGCTAGACGCGAGTCGGTTGGCATCTATTCACAATGACCTTCGAACTTATCAAGCTTCCAAACAAAGTTACGAATTATTTTCAGCATGCGGATACTGACAAACACCGCTCTACAATATCTGAGATCTTCGTGACCAGAGTCGAAGTTGTTACGTACCGCGCAACGTCGAGCAGAGAGTTGCTGATGCAAGAACTAAGCTCACTAACTCCTCCTTCCAACGAGTGAGAGCGAAGTCTCGGAGGCTGAGAGGGGGTCACATCAAGCCGACCTCGGCAAGGTCGTCGAATACGAGGTGGGATTCGACTAGCATCTGGAAGCATGTTGATTGGCAGTGCTGCTGGCACTATCTTCCTTAAGAGGAGATTGACCCCGCCGGAAGATGAAGATCGGTATTCGAGAGTCCTCCCTACAGGGGAGATCGAGTTGTCCTAACTCGACATGGCATGGGCTGGCGTCCAGCCCTTTCTCTGGAGATTCTCAAGCCTTCCTTGGAAAAAATCCCAGCTCGTGCGCCGTGGAGGCTGAAAAACTCCGGAGCGAATTTTTCGGTTGCTCATGTTCCCCTCGGCACTGTTTCTGTGGAAAGTGGAAAATGTCAACCCCCACATTTTCTTCTCCACTCTCTTAGGGCGTTGGTAAGCTATCAGTGGCAGATCTGGGGCTTAAAGTGGCTGGGTTGGTGAGAACAAATCATTGTTTGAAAAACCCTAGGTGCTAGTTCAGCATCCTTGTTGACCATGCGACTCCAACCCTTGCATCCAGGGGTGCTTACGATGTAGCGATTGGTGCCGAGAATATCTTGTCAATGGAGAGATTTCTTCGGGATTAAGTTGGGTTCTCATGTGTTTCTCTCAAAATCAAGAGTGTTGACCACCGTTTCATCTGGAGAGGCGAATTCATCCTCCAGTATCATACTTGATAAACTCCAAGATTATGCGTTTCATACCAGGGCTAGACTTTTAGTCCCATGGCATCGCAACCACCGGCTTGGTTACTTCCCGCTTCATGATCGCACCCATGGATCCTCTCAGATGTGGAGCGAACGGCTCCATAAAAGCACTGTGCGCATTTGAGCCTTAGAGCGCGTGAAAACCAGCCTGTCGTGAACTTTACATCTGCTTTCCACAATCGAAGATCTCGGATCTAAGAACAAATCGTTGTAGTTCCTGGATAGGACTATTTTTTTAATGTCAATATTGATCATCGGGCTCCATCGCTAATGCTGGTTTTGGAACTGCGCGATGTCAAATCATATGAAGATAGGGCTTCTGTCTATTTGATGTTCCTCACAAAGTATAATGCCCCAGAGTGGGTCAATCAGGAGAGAATAACTGTAGCCTACTCCGTACAGTTGAGCTAATTGATCCCACAGTTTGCTGAGCCGTGTGGGGAATTGGTCCCTGAATGAACGATATCATGTTGCATATGAATTCGACCAATGTGGTGTTCATACTTCCAGGGCTTAAACAGTTCCAGATATTACGCACATGCTCTTCCTCCAGGCGATTGAAATACCTACCCTACCGTATTTCAATGGCCCTGATACAAAGAATAAATATCACTCAGCATGCAAGTGATAACACCTGTTGAATTCCATTCTGTGCATGGGCTGATCGATTCAGTAATTTCCCTCGTGCATGTTCCGTTCTCTGCTCGCCGTTATACTAAGGCAATATCATTTCGGATCTGTACACCGATGTATCACCAGCTGATCTCGCCGGACGTCCTTAATTTGGGCCTAACTCTCAGTTGTATTGTTACTATTCGACGTTGGTCAGGCTAACAAACAGTAACTCCGCGAGCATTTCTTCAACTCTTTTGACTAACATCAACGGAGATAAATTTTGTTTTTCTTCTTTGGAACTGGTGCGTGAGCATCGAGAGGGCCCAAGCACACCGGCATTGGGCTGGGCTGAAGATTTTCATCATTTTCTCACCTACGCGCTCGGCTGTTCAAGGAAGCCGTCCACATTCAGCCGCGGTAAATGGGATATGAGTGTCAAGAGGGAATCCTGCGTACACAAGAGAAATTCCCAGTGGAAGGTGAAGCAGGTAACTTCAAATCCTCCACAGAGCCATGTTCTTGAGAACTCCGGAATCTTCAGGGTCTTTGAATCCAGGAAGTTTTAAACGTCAAATTTTCAAACGCAACCGAGTACTCGGTACTGACCAACAAATGCCACAACAGATAACATACCAAGACATTTGGGATATTTTCATCTCTTGCGATAATTTGCCATGAGCAAACGCACTATTCCGTGTCTTGCATGAAAGAATGTCTCCGTCAGTAGCGCTAGCTGTTCACCAACGACAACCCCTGCAAGAAGCATTGCCGAACCCACCGAACTTAACACTAGTCGTGGACAGGGTACGCAACTTCGTCGCGCGAGGGATGGCTTGCCATCGATGCACTTGGACATCCGCTTACCGGAGAAAATGTCCAGGACCGAATTATTGATGGAGGCAAAACGGCCGTCAACTGGAGTACCTGGAAGGACAAAGAATGGAGCTTATTTAGTTCGCAAATCCCTGTCTGACCTTACTCCACTCCCTTTGGCTCTGTGGTCTTTGGCCATGGCCGTTGTTGGAATTGAACAAAACGAACAGATGCCCCAGATTTTCTGATTATCATTCCGTAACTTCAAGCTTTTGCTGACCCCCCCAGCAGGTTTATCTTCATGCCATTATTGTCACTATTGAAACTTTATCCTCACACAGATGCCGGCCGGAAGATCTTATATATCACTTAGAAGTCCTCTTTGAACCTCCTGCCTTCAAAAGCATCCACAAGGACGGATGTGAATAGAGTGAGAGAAGAGCAAACCATTGAGACTACAACCGGAACAATCAATAGCTATTGGAAACCAACATGGATCTGGCTGCTGCGATGTGGGGAGGATACGGCCCCTTAGATGCGAATTCCTTCGAGGCAAGATCGCTTGCACCACGAAGAGTCACTCCCCTCATCATCGATCCTCTACCGGTGGAACACCGACGAGGTCTCATAGGTGTTGCCATTACCTCCATTCTTTCAACGATTTCTACGGGTGTCCTCTTTATAGTATTTACCTACCGCTTGATCTATTGGCGAAAATACTACCCAACATATCTCGGCTATAATCAATTCCTCATCTTGATTTACAACTTGCTATTAGCGGATTTTCAACAAGCGATTGGGTTTTTCCTCTCAATACACTGGGTCATCACAGACCAAATATCTTACCGCTCACGTATGTGCTTCGCGCAGGGGTGGCTACTCCAGATCGGTGATCCGGCCAGCGGACTTTTTGTTCTCTCAATTGCTGTCCACACGTTTGCCATGGTGCTTATGGGGAGGAAGCTCTCTCATCGTTGGTTCATAACTTGCGTGTGTGGTGTTTGGGCTTTTGCTGTGACCATAACACTTATTCCTACATTACGATTTAGGAATCATACTTACGTTCCATCTGGCGCATGGGTGTGTAAAAATCAATACCCTTCTCCGAAAATTGCAGTGGCTAACTTACGAAATTCCATTTCTCTAGTGTTGGATTGATGAAAATTTCGACAACTATAGACTGTGGACACATTACCTGTGGATCTTTGTTTCGGAGTTTGGATCCGTCGTGCTGTATGCGCTCCTATTTTTCCACCTCCGCCACCAGGTTGCACAATCCGCACTTCTAGGACGAGGACAAAAAGAGCATCTCCGCCGCCTCCGAAGAGTAATTGGGTACATGGTTCTGTATCCGATTGCCTACATTGTCTTATCGCTGCCACTTGCAGCGGGCCGCATGATGACCGCCAGAGGGGGGAAACTAAGTGTCACTTACTTTTGCACTGCTGGCGCTGTTATTGCCAGTTCTGGATTCGTGGATGTTGTAATGTACACCCTAACGCGAAGAGCGCTCCTTCTCGACTCTGATCTTTCCAACGGCGACCGCTTCTATCATTCTCAACGTGTTGGACATAGCCACACCACAACTGTCACTACGGAGAATAAACAGTCCCGCTTGGACAACAGCATTCTTCACCGGCGGGAGGTGACGGAAACGGACACCCGGGTAGATCGTGACGGGTCGACGGATAATATTGTGCAACCTATCGAGCTCAACGAACTGGGCAAAGTTTACCAGAAAACGACAATTGAGATCACGACGGAACCGGCTGAAGATACCAGCACGTCGCCTGACAGCTCTGTGAATGAGACGCGGATGCCTCCGCCATCCCGTACTTGGCACAGACGATGACAGCAATGATATTTGGGGTTTCAGGCATTGGAGTTGAGACTGGATTTTTTTTTTCTTTTTCTTTTCTTATTTCCTACATGTATGGCTATATGGTTACCCTTTCTTCTTTCGTCTCCTCAGACAATTTCCCTACAAGCCTTTAATTCCACCCCTTTTGCGATATTTTGCCATGCAAAGGCTACAAATCAATCCCTGACCTATACATTTGAATTCGACATATTTTTTCCACCTTTCTGTTATCAACCTTTACTTGGCATTTCTTCTACATGACACGACATCTATTCCCTATGCGTTCCCCGTTTAGCCTGCAGGGAAACCCTCAAGGTGGTACCGCGCAGCCCGTTGGCTCCCTTCCTTATTTCGGTCGCCCAACCTTGAGGCCGCTGTTCCTCGGTCAGGGCAGCTAATCTGCGGAACCACAGAAAGACATATCCTACTTCCATCGTCTACTATTCCATTCATGTATACCCACCTTCACATCTGAAAGAAAGCTCTAGGGGCCACCCGAAACCCTTCTCGCAGCTATTATTTGATTTCTTCTCCCGTGGCAATAACAATTTTCTATATGCCCATGTAATTTTATATATGTTTGGTCTTGTGTCCTCTACTCCTCGTTAATTGCTTTGCGGGCATGAAGCAACCATCAAGGGAGAAGGACAAGACAAGATATATCAACATGTCCGAGCACAGTCAACACATTAGGATAGACAAATTAATTGTAGATAATAACAGTTTGTCCATCACACTACGTCGATTTGCTTATAACCTCGGCTAGCCCCTGAGACAAAAGAAAAAGAAATGTAGTTAAGAAACAGGGAGCTTGCACACAAACTTAGACCTTGATCTATACATACATATTCTTCGTTTTCCTTTAAATGGAACAAAGGGATAGTAAAGAATGACAGATATTGGAAGTGGAGGGGGTCAGGAGGTACTAAACGGGCGGCATTCAATTTCGTGGCACTTAAAATCCTACTACTTAGACATTAATGACCCTGTTACATTATTACACTAACGGGTACAAGAAACAAATATCTGGAAGCAAATTATTTTTGTTCGTTTTGGCTCTTCTCCGCCGTTTCGCCGTGGGGGGTACGGTGCAGCGACCATGTCGTGATGTAGAGAATGTCATACTGCATGTGTATGCGAATAGAGCGAAGCGCGATATCACCGACTCTTCCTCCCCGCGTCCTCTGTTAAATCCAGCTTCTCCGGCTCTGTTCATTTTTTTTTTTTTTTAATGTCCGGTGCAAACCCCAGAAAGGGGGAGTGACGATATCCTTGATCCAACAGACTTTTTGATCCCACCGCCATTCCTTGTTTGTCATTGTGCCGTGGAGATTTCTAGTATGTCATGGATTCAGCCATGGGCTTTTGAATTGAATGATCGTCCTCGGGCCTGAGTTAAGCATTTCGCTTGTCTCCAACCTATAACTAGATAGACCCTGGAAATTGACTTTTTTTTTTTCTTATTATCTGCCGTCTTTTCCAGATCTCCATGCAAATCAGCACAAGCAGATCCTCTTCACTGTGGTGACAATGCTTGAAAGCTCGGGATCTCATGAATGGCGTTCTGGTCATGTATCAGTAATACTAGAAGCTGACCGTTGATCGGCTCAAGCGCCAATCGTCTTTGTCCAAGCATCTGAGAGACTGATGTCCCGCACCCCCGCAGATTGGCATAAAATTAGCGCTGGCCACCAGCGCCACAGAACTGCGATTTGTAACCATGGCCCAGGGCCGGCTTCTAACATTCGAGAACGTTGTTCGCCAAGCTGACTTCACGCGAATCGAGAGTCACATCGTGGATGGAATCATCGTGTCGACTCATTGTTGAAGGCATGTCAGACTCGAGCAGCCAGAACGACGAAGTAGAATTTGAGTTTTAAGCCCCATCTCAGCGCCCTGATTATATCTCAAGGATCTTTTTTTTTTTTTTTTTTTTTTTCCCCTTCTAGTTCAGTTTCATGGTTGGTCGAAAATCAAATCCACAATTTGCTCCCACTGGACCAGGCTGATGAATGCTCGGCAGAGTTTGATCTATCTTCCCCCAGTCAGCACTAAACCTCGCGTACTTGTAGTAACTTCCGGGGTGGCGCATCAGGCTTTGACTTTGTCCTTCGAGGCACATATTAGCCCAATCGTCAGCTGGACGTTGATCCTCTGCCATCATTTCCCTTCCCCTTTGGCTTGCAGAAGATCACCATGATGCTGAGTTATCCCAACTTCCCAAGTCACAGTTTTCTGACTGGCGTCCGTAGTTCTACTGCTTGGGCGTCCGTCAGCAGTTGGTCATGGGAGTCTTGATGCGCCATCTGGGCGTCCTCGACTCGGTGCGTTCAATGTTTCCTCGGACTCCGGCGCCCATATGGCTTGTAACGCTGAGTTAACTCCGAGCGCAGGAGTTAACCATCAGTTCGCCATTCATGTCATCGACTTTTCCATTTGCTCCTCCTCTCCAAATGTGGCTATTGGACGGCTCCTGAAGCTGGTTTTAAACCCGGTTTCTCCTCTTTTCTTGACCAGCGACTACTGGTAACAGTAGTTCAGTTGGTTCCCCACTACCGCCTATCATGCTTATGGTTGTTCTTCGGGGCGTCTATCTCGAGGCCTGACAAGAAGAGAGCTGACATCTGATAGATGGAGTTCGCTCGGCTTCGCCCTCTCCACCTTGTGTCAACTTGACAGGTGGAAGCCCGTTTTTCAGCGGGCGACTGAGTGGACGAAGACGCAATCCACGTGTGGTTTGCATAACGCCCACGTTTCCCTGCCAAAAATGCGTGGAGCTCACCGTTGAAGGATCCGCTAAATCCTGCTTTTCTTTTCTTTTCTTTTTCGTCGCCTTTCTTTGCTTTTTGTGCGTTTCTTTCTTTGCTTTTTTCAAACTTTCAGAACGGGAAGGGCTGATCCTCGAAACAAATAATTCTGAATTTCCTCGGACACAGGTGACAGCGGGCGAAGAATGCCCATCGATTTCATCCGTCCTGGAGTGACCACGCAGCATTCCCTCCGTTGTGCTCAGCGCCATACAGAGTACGCCTCAGCCAGTTTGTATGTTTCGCAATCGTCCTGCCTGGCAGCTTATGGGTCCTTGTTGCAGCTGGGTCTTGAAGTCCTCCTGATGAATAGCAATCCTCAGCTCACTTACGGGATCGACGCCTCATCCCTTGACGTGAGGATGCCCGTCGTGAGGGTTGGGATCTTGGAATAGTCTATGATCTGAGTGAATAGATGGACGGCAATTCGTCTAATTATTGCGGCTTCACGCGCGCGTATCTATCTAGATAGATGTGTACACGCATGTTGCGTAATTATGTTCAGAGAGGGCAAATACCTTGCTCTCTTTTTGCCCTCCTTCTGGAACATATAAAGCCCAATGGCAGCTATGAGGTGCCGACAGATTACGCATCATGAAAGGGGCCATGAATTTACAGTCAGGTCGCAGTTTGGACTCTCGCGGGGTTGACGTTGGAACGACCTCACTGTCACAAGAGCCACGAGGTTGAACCATATATATATATATATATATATATATATATTTGAGTTCACGCCAGGAAACTGATGTCGCTGGCAACAAACCTGAATTTTTAGCAGCCATATCTGCACTGGCAAATCCAGTTATCCCTCACTGAGGGTGATGGAAGCTTACATTTCACCTCAATGGAGGCAGTTTGACAAGTTGGCATTGCTCAAAGGAAATGACAAGCTAAGTTGGTTGGAGCAAGTATGCAAGTATACAAGTATACGATCTAATACGTCAAGACATATCTATACATTTAGAACTCTTGGGTGGCCAAAGTGGAGAGCGAATACCGCCACCACGATCATCCTGTGTCGTGCAAAATGTCAGAAAACAGAGTGAAATTTATATCCTCTGCCGGCAAAAGGTTCATGGCCATGGGCAGCCTGGGGCTGCTAAGGGGAAAGGAGGTGATGTTGTGGGATAAGGGTGGTGGGGAGAAACTTACACTCCTTCAAGCGCAATAAACGGGCCTTCCTTCGTGATTAATTTCCCATTAAATCCATGAAGCAACTCCGCAACCCGGTATATACATCGAATAAAAATCAACAAGATTGCCAACGAAAACGCAGGGAAAAAAATATACAAGCGCCCGAGCGCCGTACAAGCGGGCCCACCAACACTAACTCTACCCGCCTTTATCTCATAGCCATTAACCTCCTTCCACAGATACCCTCGTCGGTAAACCCTGGTAAACAACTCCAGAAGCAACAAAATAAATACGAATAAACTCAACACCTGAAATACCAACCCTGCAACCATGACATCAATACCCGCAAGCCGATTCTGCCTCTTTAGCATCGCATTACTCGCGATTCCACCTCCTAGGCCTTGCAATAAAAGACTAATAAAATCGCAAGGGATGAATATCCACGCATACTGCCTCGGATCCAACCGCGACGTGCCCTCACACCCAAACAGCCGAGCGATATCTGTCATGCAGAAATAGATCGCCGCGGTGAAGAGCGCCGGCGCGATCGTGAGGGCGCATATCTGTATCAGGAAGCCGTTGAGGCTGAACGGGTCCCTATTTAGCATGAGTCGTCCAGCGTAGCCGATTATCTCGCCCACGCAACCTAGGAGGATTGGCGCTGTGAATATAGCATGGCTTCGCCAGATGGAGAACTGGATGAGGTGGATTAGGGCGGATACGGCGAAGAGGCTGATGAAGAGTGCGTTTGCAGTCAGGGAGGGGCGGTATTCGTATATGCTTGCTTCAATCGGGCAGCTGGATCTGGAGCACCCATAATAACCCATGTCGGTTCACTGTCGTCTTCAGTCCAGGACTTGAAAAGTTGGAGAATGCTCCGTTCAGTGGGTGCGTGTGGCATTGGAAATCGGCCGCACGGTTGGAAAGCAATCACCGGTGTTTGGAGATATGATACAAAGCCGAGCCTGGCAAGCTGGAGAAAGCAGGAGACCGTGTGTAACAGTCAGTATGGTCTCTTCATTTTCACCCCTTCATAAGTGTGGCACATCAGCGCATCCTGCGCGAGTGGGCAACCACCAATGTTGTAATATAAGGCCCGCCACAAAGCAAAGCTAAATTATGTAGGCACAACCCGCCTGAACAATATAAAAAAGAACGTGCACTGCCACATGGAGGTTCCTTGGTGGGTTTCGCGCGCCAAGGACAAAAGCCATTTATTTATGGACTCGATATCCGCGAGCGTGCAGCGTGGGCGAAGTCAGGACTGACTCACTGAAAGTTTCGTTCCGAACATTCGCCTCTTCCCCGCCCCCCTTGGTAGCCATGGTCTGGAAAGGTCAGGCAGAAGCTGGGATAAAAATGGTCTGACTACAACCCGTTGGTGCTTCGCATCATTGTGGAGTTTTCTCAATTGTTGAGAATCGCTGAGCTAGATTATATATTCATCCCCTTCCCTTCCAAAACCCATTTGCGGAAGCCAATTTCACCTGTGGCAATCTGATAAGCATAGACTGCGTCTTGTCCCCTATGTTTGACTTATAGCCGACCCGGTATAGTGGCTGAAGCGAGCGGTGTTCCAAGGATGGCTTTGCTACTTTCGCTGGGTTCCATGCCACTTCAACCCGCCACAGAGCGCTGCCCGAACCCACCAACGCCATAATAGTAATAATAGCATACGTTTCCTCGTTGTAGATGAATGGGAGGGACAGTGTTATGCCACGTGAAGGGAGCAAGAACTACGCGTGAGGTTGAATATCTCTGAAAAAAGTATGCATGTTGCTAAAAAAAAAGGAAACCCCGAAGTTTAATATTGTATATTGTATGGTAGAAGGGGCAACTAACTAATTCGAAAAAAAAAAAAAACGAGAGATACGATACTAAACAATCCAAGTTGAGAAAAAGGAAATGAAATATCAAATATCAAATATCAGATATGGAAATGATGATGGTCATGAAGATGGAGATCCAAGGATGAGAAAAATTTTATCTGAGGCAGAACTCTCATTCAACGACGGCATGGTCTTCCCTTATCGGGACCCCTTTTCTTCCGCGTCCAGTAAACCTATATCGACGACGATTCATCCATGAGCTCCCTTCAGAAATACGATAGAAATAAATAACATATAAAACCCCACAAATAATATCCAGGAAAATGATGAACGAACAAAATGCCCAGGGCCAGGCCCACGCCCAAACGAATAATAGCGACGAAAGGATATAAAGAGAAGAATCCAAAAAAGGAAAAAAAAAAAAAAAAATGAAAATAAAAGAATATAAAAGGACAACATCCTTCTATCGAATCACCCAAATCGGCCCATCCCTATCTGTTCGGTTCCAAATCCATTCCGTGAAATTGTTGTATCCGCTCGCCTGTTGCTGGATTTTCAATATCTCCCCCCCCCCGCCTCTTCCCCCTTCCTCCCGCGCCAACCAGCAAAGGCAATGCTACGGCTATACAAATAACTCCCGGATACGTGCTGGGACACAAAGCGATTGCTTTGGTTAGTATCACCAACGTCGTTTCCCACGAGATTTCTAACCTCCATAATTAGAGTTCTCATCACCGGCACCATAACCATCGCTAGTCGTCATTACCACCGTCCCCATCACTGTGATCGTCATCGCTATCGACATCGCCGTTCCAATCACCATAATTAGAATCCTCATCACCGGCACCATAACCATCGCTACAGTCGTCATCGCCATCGACATTGCCGTTCCAATCACCCTCGACAACATCGGGTATAGGCACGCGCTCCCAAGCCACCAATTCTCCAGTTCCACAGGAAAATGCCGGGCTCGGCACGTACGTCGGCCGCGGCGTGGCGACCGTAGATGCGCCGTCTGAATCGCAATGGCTCTCTTCCGCATAAAATTGGGGGGCTGATGAAGTGTCTATCGGAACGAGGATGGGGGTTGGGGCATCGTCGCCGTCTAATTGTGGCTGGGAGAACAGCAGGTGATCTTCCCTCTGATCCTCTGTTGCGGGATGGACATAGACTTCGCCAGTGAGTAGCGGGGTTTGGGCGTACCGTTCCATATCTTGTTGCATGACCGCGGCTACGAACTCGTCGAGTTCGTCCCGGTTTATCGCGAGGCGTTGTGCTTCTGTGAGGATGCCTACATCGCTAGGTGCGTCGGCACATTGTGAGCCAATCTGCGGAGTGTATATCTGGGACATGGCGGGAGGCTTTACCGGCATGTTTGCCTGGTTGACAGTATGTTGTCCTAGCTCTTGGGTGATCTCGGGCTGTAGGAACCCCGGCGCAGCCAATTGGTCCTCAAAGGAACCTTCTACTTGGGAGGCGTAGGCTTCTTCTCCGCTGTCAGGTCCAAGATATTTAACGCACGTATTGTATGCCGAGCAGTCGGTGTCCTGCTCGAAACTGATGGAAGTCTCTGAGTTATATTCATCTGGAATCTCTTGGAACCTCGCGTCGCCAAAATAATTACAGGAGTTTGGCTCTGTAAGCTCATATCCCCGTGAAGGCATTATTCCACAATTAACTGGATCCATCAACATACGGCCTGGCATATGGGGCGTTTCTAGTACATTGCCATAGTATTGATATCCGAATGTATCGGGAATGGGAGCAGTTGTGATCGGGTAATTGCCTTGCACGTCAATTTCATTCGATGTTAAGGCACCGTCAGAATTGCTCAGCGGAGATGTGAGTTGTGGATGGTGACTGCATCCATGTGGGTTGCAGCAGCCATAGCAAAATGTTATATTTAGCGACGGACTTTGAGCAGCGTAAGCCATCGGGGGCATGTGAGGTGGGTGGCGATTCGGCTGTCCTGCTAGCAATATATCCTTTTTGTTTTGCTTCAATCTGGTCTGGTTTGGTTGGAATGCAGGGAGTGGAAATAAACAGAGCGGAGTATATGCGACTTGTTTGAGACCCTATAGCGGAAATTCCTTTTCATCAGTATGGAGGTAACGGAGGCCTTCGCATTTCACGTTGAAGATGAAAATACACTCACACCTACTACCCGCCCTCTAGAGACCTCCCCAAAAAAGGATCAGCAAATCAGCTAGCTTCAGCCGAAATACTCAGCTGATAGGCCCTTGATCGAAGCAGACGTAAAACGAGAATTTAAGCAGAGAAAGAAGCTGGTGGCACATATTCGACAATAACATGGTAATGTAGGAGGCATGTTATATAGTTATCTATCCCCCGCCCTACCGAGTTGTCTCTTGAGCGTAGGGCGCTGTTCGGAAATATCAACTATCCGCCAGGGTGAGGCGGGATGTAAGTGTTATTCCATTATTGTAGCGTATTATTGCTATTAGCACTGCCACGGAAAGTGAAAACAGTGCGCCTAGATGGCCACATGGATAGATGAGAGAGGATGGTTTAATCCGCGAGCATCAGTGCACGGTTGCCTGCAGCGTTGCTTCTCATTGCTGGGATTGAACAAAGTCCAGAAGTGTCAGGAAAACCAGGATCCGGGGTAACTCAAGGCATAATACGCCTGATTCCGATAGCCGCGAATGTGGATGTCATCGCTAGAAGGAGGAAAAGGTTGAGGCGCGTAATGGAAAACAAAATTGGGTTATGCCGCGCGCATCATGGAATGGAATGCCTGTCTAGGTTCATCTGGAACGTCTGGGAAAAAGTAAAGAGAAAAAGGGAGAAGGAAAAAAGAAAAAGAAAAAGAAAAGAAAAAGAAAGCGTGGATTAAGAAAGAAAGTGAATAGCCGGTAAAAGTTTCTCGATCAACGATTGAAGCTGCTTGGCTGTTACTACGGAGGAACGAGGGATTTCGTCGTGTCTTCCCTCTTTGCCGAGATTTTTGTCTCTCTTGAGGCATTGTTCTCGATCGTGTAGTTGCAAGGCTTTGTATTTGTTTGTGCATTGGACACTGAAACACACCAGAATGAAGGAAACACGAATAAAGAATACATAAAAGGGTCCAAAAATCATGAAAGAAAAATAGAAGAAACGCTGTCACAGCAACTTCAACTTCATCAAAGATGGAAATTTCCACGGCATAATTGCATGCATAGGTTGGTCACTTAGCACTCGGAGATTCATGTACCGTTTCACCAACCTAGCCTTCAACAATCGGGATGCAGCCCGGAAATAACCAAGGGCGGTCAAAGACCCAACACGGAACATACCTCGGCGTTCATATCAAGTTTATAAAACATCTCTGTCTGCCTCGTATGATTCATGGCCAATCGCATTTCAGGCATTTATCCCTCAAAACCGGGGCGCATGGAAGTGTTTGATACTGCACAAACATAGCCTCCCATGTTTTTTCATTTGATGAATAGGAATACTCTTTCCTTTGCAGATCGTGGCATATCATGCCGCACACACCGGGAAGTCGTCAAACGCCATGGAAACGCAAGGCTGCAACCCATATCCTTTGGTAATACGACTTCCTCCCTGCGAGTTGATTTTTAAGTGCAACAACGGAAATCCGGCCGTCAGCGGGGTGCGATATGTGTAGTGAGATTTTGAATATCTTGCGCCGGGATTGTCTGAGTATCCCCGCGAATAGAGAGACAACACATTTTCTGAGCTGCGGTACTCGTGATGAGGAGGTATGAAAAGTGTCAGGACCCATTGCAGGCGAGAGTAAAAGAGGCCTTATTGGAAACGAAAACGAAGGTTCGGGGAAAATGAAAAAGGTAATTTTTATTGAAAGTGACCATGCGAAACGGGCACTCGGAACGAGAAATAGGGGTTATCGTTTGAGATAAACAAACAGGAAGAATATAGATGTATGTACTGTTTAATCAAGAAAACAACCAATTTACAATCCAATCGCTGTACAATTAGACACAACGGTGCATGGTTTCTTCCAACAGCCAAAAAGGAATACGTTAAGAACATTAGAAACAAGGAAAACATGTGAAAGGGTTGGTTTTGTGGGGCCATGGGCGGTGGGGTGAAGGGGGGTGGGAAGAAAAACACACATCATGCATAACGGAGGGATATGGGCAAGAGATCAAGAAAATATCAAAACAAATCTAAAGAAGTGACAGGAATATAGCAACCCGAGCGCGTTCCCCAATCGCAACAATGTCCGCCCGCACAGAAGGGAATTTGTCGTTCCTAACCCAATCCAAAATCACCAACCTCGACACGGATCTCCACACGATTGGAAATGGATGGTGAGGGCTCGAATTATAGCTTGGCTCCCTACATCGAAATACCGAGACAGGAGCTGGTCACCGGCCAAAGGTTTCCAAGATGTGGTATTGGGGAATTGGGTTTGGCAAAAGATAGCGATATCTTGGTCGTCTCAGAGACCTTTTCTTTAAGGCCACCTCCGGGCACGCATGTGCAAGCATCTTCCGGCCTCAGTTAGCTTCCACGTGTATGTCATTTCATCAACATTAAAACCACCGTTAAATAACGCACGTCCCCCACACCCCCCCTCCCCCTCTCCCCCTCCACCGCTCCCCCGCTCCCCCGCTCCCCCGGGGTTGGGAACTGGCCTCCACCTGGCCAGATAAAATTCGCTATTTAATGGCCTCCACGAGCGGCCTTGCGCCGTAGATTCCATCGGTAGAGGGCAAGAATAAGCAGGCCAGAGGCGATGATGAAGATAATGCAGAAAACCAACATGACACCGACGTTTCGACTGGGCCAGTTGTCTCTTCTGGCGAGTTGATGATAAACGGCCTCATCTCGGGGGATCAAGCTGAGAGCAGGCATTGTGATTGATTTATTTTGTTTTTCCTTTTGTGTAGTCGAATGGCGGATCACTAGGAGGGTAAATATATTCGGATATGTTAGTTAGTACCTGCTTAAGATCCAATTCATGTATTCGTGCGGGTCTTCCGGGTCTGCGCCAGCTGATGTTTCTCGAACTGCCGTTCGCGCAGAGTCGAAATGGAGGAGCTCCCCGAACCAATGCTTACAGGAAGTTGTATCGCTGGAAGGAATTGGAAAGAAATAACCCGTCCGCTCTGAATTTCTAATCAGGCGGCTCAACTGCACCGATACATGAGTTAGCTGGATGCGGTCAAGGTTAAACGAATGCGACAAATGGAAATTGAAAAAGGAAGTAAAAACGAATGACATTTCCAAGAACAAGGCTCAATGATTTAGATGATGGTGGAATCGCGATTGATTGGCGAAGTGAGCGCTGGTGGTGGAAAAGGGCTTGCTGCTCGCGGAAATGGCGGGAGCTGAGCATCGGGGATGACGGAGAGAAGCAGTACAGATTACTTACAAGTCAAAGCACAATTGAAGCAGGAGGACTGAGGGTCGTGTCGACAGCAGAGAGGAGAGGGATTGGAAGAGGGATTGGCGGAGGGAGCAAGATGTACGAAGAGGAGAGCAGAACAAGTGGAAGAGATTTCGGTGAGGAAGGTGGAGGAAGGTGGAGGAGAGGAGAGGAGGTTGGCCGGTATGGTATGGTATTGGTGTTACGGACAATTCCCCTCGTAGTGACAGCGTGACCTGACCCTTTGCCAAGAGATAAAATACACTAATAGGGGTTGAGATCACATCATTATTAACCACTAGTTGTATATTATAAGTATATAGTTGCTCGTTGACCAGTTATCAAGAACTTATATTATTTAAATGGTATAAGATTAGTCTCTCTACTCGTATATATAGCATTGCGGGTTCGATTTTCCTTCCTCATGTATAATATATATATATATATATATATATATATATTATTTCAACCTGGATTCAGATTCAACTCAACTACGACAATCATCATCATTGACGCCCACGCCACACAGTTAAAAAGGACTAGTATTATGGTACATCCACCGTTGCCAGGACACGGGGAAATATCGGGCGCATCCATTGACAGCCCGTAATAAATACCAATTTACAGACAATTCCTCCGGGGGATTGATTGAAAGGAGAATGGGGGGGAAAAAAAGAAAGAAAGAAAAAAAAAAGAAACTCAGTTTAAATCCCGCACTCCTCGGGACCATCGGCACGCCAACCACGGTCAATGGGGGCTCGTTTTCACAAGAAGAGGTTGGAAATTTGGGGCAAAGAAAGGCAAAACAACCCTGCGAGGAACGTAAAAAAGATGTTCCAGAGAGAATGGGAGAAAAAGAAAAGGGTGAGCAAGGATCAGCTTTTTCTTTTTTCTACTTTCCCATGACAACAAACTCTATTCAAATTTAAACTCACCTCCTCTCAATTGAAGTATTTTGTCATTATTAAGCAACTCCGGATGTTGTTCGTTCGCCCGCTAACTTCTGATCTGCATATGTAATTACAGTACAACAGATTGTATGTATTGCCTGTATGGTATGGTACAGTGCTATCGGGACCACGAATGATGTCATCGCTCACTGAGTCGAAATATAGGCTTTGTCAACGCTGTTGATGCGGAGTAATGAGTATTAGTGCTATCCACCACAGGATAACTCGCTCCGCTTCGAGGAGCTGGCTGGTTATAAAAATGGCACTCTTGGACCCGCTACAATGCAATATCACATGACGGGGCGAGAACGAGTGCTCCGTACTCCTAAGCCCGTTTGACCCATCTGCGAAGACAGATAACAGATACGGCATGTGGAGGATCAAGCTTTGTCTTGGCAGGGCTTGGCCAGCCGGGACTAGCATCTCTGGGCATCTCTGGGCATCCATTCCATCTCCCATCTCCATCTCCATTCCATCTCCATCTCCATCTCCATCTCCGTCTCCGTCTTGCAAGTCATGTCATCCCGCCCTTTTAACCCACTGCCTGTATGCCCCATCCCCATTCAGTGGGATGTGCCAGAACGTATTGCAGAGCTGCAGGCCATTATTGATGATCCTGCCACCAGTGAAGCTCAGAAGACAAATCTCCAGGCTGTAATCAAACTCTATCATGACAAAGTGTTCCCAGGACCATTGAAATGGATCCAGGATGGCAAAGTTGTTCTTCTTAAGGATATCAATTTTGACCGACCATACTGGTCTGAGGTACTTTCCTTCATCCCCACCCCCAAAATGATCTGTCAGGTCCTGTGCTCACCTTCTGTTTCAACCCAGGGTTTTGCCCAGCAGCTATCCGCACAAACTATGATTCCAGCAATTTGAGAAAGACGTATCTTCTGCACGAAGCTGACACTATTTCCGGGCGTTTCTACATAAAGAATGCCACTGCATATATCCCCCAACCGATCTTGATAGGTCTGGGTACAACTGGTCGGGTATGGTAGCTTTTGGTTGCGTGGTTGAAACAAGAATGTTCTTTGTTGTTGTTGTTGTTCATATTTTTTCTGGGGCTATCTATGCAGTCTGAGACTATGACAACTTTCACCTCATTAGCCTACCCTGATGTTCAGCTGCTCTCTAGTTACATTTCTCTAGTTAAATTTTGCTATTCAGAACTGAGTCATTCTTAATGGAGATACTTCACTACATCATTCTGGATCTAGTCCTCAAGGGTGGCCTTGCCCCCACAATTGCTCACACAATACCTCTGTTCCCTTCTCAATGACGAGGGTGTGGGAGACGGATTTCGCCCAATGCGTCAATTCAACTCAGATAGGAAGAAATCCTATGACCATTGGATCCCATCTTATCTCATATGATTTCAACACGACAGCTCATTATTAACTAACAGTTACACCTGATCTCATCAGGTCTTCCCAGAGATGGGATCCTGTGAGCGTCCTCACGAGTCAGGGGCTCAAGTTTCTGCTGTTGCTGTTTGCTTCGAAGAATGGCTATCAAACCAAGCCAGGCCAGGCCAGGATAAGGTACAATACATACACACACACACCCACGCCAGCAGACAACCCCACGATCCTCCTCTCCATGCGGCTGCAACATCGGGTTCGGCTCTACCAGACCTTACCCCGTGGAACCCCAGTTCGAGATGGGAAAAATCAATCGGGTGCGCAACGTGTTGTTTTTCCTAACTGCGCGGTTGTTGAGATCGTGGCTGGCATTGGAATTCAATCCGCCATTCTCCCTATCCAAGATCATCCACCCGTCTATCCAGCCATCCAGCTATCCATCTATCGATGCTCCTTTGCCTGGGAATTGAAATGCCACAAAACGTCAATCTCGCAGAGAGATTATGCTACTCATTTATTCATGTGATTATTTATTTATTTATTTATTTATTCATTTTTACTTAATGCCTTTCAGCTGTGGATAAAGATGCGTGCCGAATCGGGGATATTCCCCCTGCCCGCACCGCCAGAATACTACGGCTCGGCTTGAATTGAAATCCGACCCTAGGCGGGGTGTCATTCATTCTCTGTCCCTTAGTGCTTCGAGATTTGCAAGTACGCCGCTTCCTCTCAATTCTTCATTGGCTGGTAAGCGGTATCCACGATCTCTGGTCATATTTCTCCGAAATGAATGGAATGGGCCCTGGGAGAAGATATATATTTTTAGTTCCGGAGTTACTCAATTCCCGAGGAACGCTTCATGTAGCCATTTTCTATTGGAAGGCCAAGCGTTTTGCCGAATTCAACTGCAGATTTGTATGGTCGTTACGGACGTAAAGTGGTTTATTTGGGGATGCTAAGCATTTAGAGTTTCGTCAGGGTCCCTACGCCGGGGTGGACCCTTTCTTCGTACATATCAGGAAGATGTCTATGGCAGCCTTCGGAACAAAAGAAACAACAGAACCCATGCCTACCATTGCAGTATGGACTTCTTTGGATCATGACATCCAATTTGCCGCGCTGCTTATGGATGACCTTCCATGCAATAACGAAAAAACCCGGACCCATATGAGATGGTCTATATATGCCACAGCACCCAAGCGGCCCCTCTCCGCTTCCAACAAAATAGCGAAATAACAAAAGTAAGCCCAAAGGACAAAAAGGACAGAAAAATATAAAAAAAAAATAAAAATAAATACAACGGAACAGAAAGAAACCCAAACATGTCCAACCCCACCAACAACCACTCATCCCGCTTCGAAATCCGCCAACTACGCCCAGAGCACATCGAGTGGGCCAAAGCCGTGCACTCCCACAGCAACAGCTTCTTCTCCCCCATCTGGCCAAAACTGTACCCCAACCTTCCACCATGGCGCATCCACGAGTTTTTCTCCGCCTTCGACCACCTGGTACGCCACCAGATCGAGTCCGGCCTGTCCTACGGCGTCTTCGACACAGAATATAAATTCAAGGACCCCGAGTCCGCAAAGACGGGCGGGAGGCTATACTGGGAACAGCCCACCACAGATATCGAAAAGGAGGCGACGACACAGCAATCCCTCCTCGACCAGATGGACTTCCCGCTCGTCTCGATCGCTCTCTCCTTTGACCCCTTCAACCCCTTCGAGATGGAAAAGATGATGTCCCTATTCGCCCTGGCCCCGGAGTTCGCCTTCATCAACGCCCAGATCAACGAGAGGGACACACGCGATCCGGCCATGCTGGAGGACCCCAGCGCTCCCGGCCAGATCCTGCGACGCAACTCCACCGCCACGCGCGCGGACTATATGGGCCTCGGGCTGATGAAGATGCTCTCGCATCATCTCATGAATGAGGCTGCGGGCAAAGGGTTTAGAGAGATCAAGATCGAGACCTTTAGCGATGCTGTGTTCCATGTGTGGACGAACCCGCCGTCGCCATACAAGGCGGAGGTGGTGTGTGAGTTGAATTTGAAGGAGTTTGCGGGCGAGGTGGAGGTGTTTGGACAGACGTTACCCTTTGAGTATGTCGATCAGGTGGTTGCGAGGGTTTATGTGAAGTTTAAATGATGGATGGATGGATGGATGGATGGATGGGGGTAGAATCGGCTGGTTTTTTTCGACTTCTTTGCCCCAAACCTTTTTTTTCTTCATCCTGCTTGCGACGTGGCTAAGACAGTCAAAATAAAATGCATTATTTGTTTTTACTTTGCTCCTTTCCTTCCTTTGGGCTGTGGTGGAAAATATGAGAGACACTGCTCGGTGTATTCTCGACAAAGATGCCTTCGCAGCTTTATTTATTCTGAACGGTTGATATCGCAGCTCTAACTAATCGACTTGATCCATAACTAACCAACTCGCCATTGGGATGATTAAAATGATTTTATCCGGGGATGAGCGGGAAACTAATTAACTCTATGGACCAATTATGAGCAGGGCACCCTGGCGGAACGGAAACTTAACGTTTGCGAAGCAGTCTCTTGATTATGTTGAACAATTGAACAATCCGACTTTGCTAATCCATACATATAGTCTCAGCGCTCGATCAAGATCCCGCAATTTGAACTTATTTTATTTTTCTGCCGTTGAATCCAAGCTGGATGTGGCTTTTCTTCTCGTTCTACAGCTCCCCGTGACTGTTTTCGAATGTGGCTTGACGCCCACGGATCGATATCAAGGTCTTACTCGCCTGTAACAACATCCGTCTGGGGTCGGGGAGGGGCTGAGGGTGATTCGTACTTTCTGAGTCACTCCAGCGCCTTCAACGAGTCACAGTGCTGAATGCTGATGCTGACTCCTCGCTCGACACAGATATAAAATGGCGGTCACATCTCGTGGGGAAGAAATTGTTCTTCTACAGTTTAGAGTCTTGTATTTCTCTTCACATATTCTTCTTGCGTGTCGGGGAAGCTGAACTATCATCAACGTGCACACACACACACACACACACACACACACACACACACCCGCCCTTCACCAAGGACTTCAACAGTGAAAAACATACGTTGTTGAACTCGATACCCTGACTTCAATCATGGATGATGAATGGGTGGATATTACCCCTACTAAGAAACCTGTTCTCCCCGCTTACCTAGACGAGATCCCGGTTCGGAAAAAGGAGACCCGCATCGACCCAAAGCCCCTATACCAGCGGATGGCGAAACGCGCAGTTGATGTTCTGAACTCGCGTCCCACCGCACCGATTTTTCATGTCAACATGAAAAATTCTACTATCAAGATGAACACAGTCTTCGAATATGCTTTCGCGCCCGAGCACCGCGCAGAAGTTAGGTGCAATACTTGTGCTCACTTCATAAATCGCTACGGAGACCTCTGCATCGTCGATGACTCGACGGGGAAACTAATCCCGCTATTCTGGAGCGAGGATAAGTCTCTCCCAGTCCTCTTCCGAGCTCCCGTCAGCGCCATGTGCAAACTCTTTGAAGATGGAACAGTAGGCAAGGAATATAGAATCACCAGCAATAAACGCCGGTCCCTCGGATTCAAGAAGAAAGGAGGCTACAGGCACATGGCGTTTGAGATCCCATGTGCTCGGCGGGTGATTCCACCGGCCTTGGCGCGCACCATGTCTCCCACAAACGAGCAAAGGGAGATGCTGCAGCGGATCCTGGAAGATTACAACACGGAAACCGTCCGTAAAGCAGCAGCCATGCTACAGGAGAACCGCCTGCCATACGCTGATGCCCACAAGGGTGCCATTGGCTGGCTTCTTGATGTGCAGAAGTCCCGCGGAGTATTGCTAAAGTCCAGCGCTGTTAGCGACACAAAGCGACACAACATCCAGACTCATATCGCAGCGTCTGCCTTCATTGGATGTCTGAAACAGTTGCGCTCGGGCGCGCTTTCGAAGCTTCTCGATGGGGTTAAAGAGGGCAAGGAGTTCAAAGAGCTGGACCGACAGTGGAGAGAACTGTGCGATCCCAAAATTTATCTGCGTCCACAGAAACCCCCGAAAGCGGGCAATATCGCTGTCGCGGAGAAGTTGTTCGAGGAACTCGGCCTGACTAAGGGTGATATGGCTAGAAAGTACGTGGTGACAAGTGATATTCCTAAAGAAGTCTATATCTTCCGAGATCTCCAGGTGGAGAAGAAGACTTCAAAGCAGGAACCGAAGAAGCAAGAAGGAATTTTTGCAGATGTAATTCCGAGATCTGTTCCAAAATTCAACCCGAAGACCCAAAGAGAGTCGGGCGAGTTAGATCCCCCGAAATCCATATCCTTCTCCAACTTCGTCCACACCGTCTTGCCTACTGTCAAGGAGGTCGAAGTTAAGCTCCAGCAGAGAGAATATCTCTACTTCTTGATTAGCGGCTATCCTGGCTCTAAGCCCCTGATGCAATGGCACACTAAAGTCAACCTCGTCAGCCCATTCACCTTCACCAGCCCAGTATCCACATCCAAATACAATCTGTACACAGGTTGGAACCGAGTTACCGCCGTGGTGCCATTCCCTCACCTCTGGGATGCTGCGCCAGCAGCGAAGACCTTCCCGTTGCTGCCAGCCGATGCCTCTGAGTTCCAGCATTACCACCGTAAACACGGGTTCAGGTACCTCGTTTGTCTTGACGGCATTGAGGAAAAGACAAAGAAGGTCGGCCTCTGCTTGTTCCCGGCGATGCTCAAGTCGCAACTCCACCCTGTGCGCGCGACCATCGAGGCGTATAGTGCTGCAGGCACGATTGAGGAGCCTGCAGGAAATTATGTAGGGGGTATCTCTGTGAGTCGCTCGAGCAACGAACACACTAAGCGTTTGTATAGGGTGACAGATGAGGATGGGGATAGGAAGTTGTATGAGACAGTGATTTTCGAGTAAACGGTTTGAGGTTTTGAATCTCAGAGGACGAGTATAGGCAGGTTCGAGTGGAACCAGACTTGGTGTCTCAGGAGGGCAGGCAGTCGGCAAAGTTTAGGCTACTAGTATGCATGTGTATAACTTGCCGTGGAGTTCTAAATTCTTTGAAGGCGAACACCGGAGAAACTGGGGAAGGGGGAAGAGGGAAGAGGGAAGGAGTTATTTGGCGGAAATATTAGGATGGCTTTGTACTGTGCCTTAAGTATGTTGGTGTGAGAAGCTCACTGTTGAAAGGAGATACGTTATTGGTAAAGGAAATGCAGGAGTGTTCATGGAGACAATGGCCCCAATGCGGTTCAGACTTTTTTTTTTTTTTTTTTTTTTTTTTCAACCGTGCCAACAGTATATCCATTCCCATCCCCTGTAAGAGTTGCTCGATCATGGTGCGCTCGCCCTTGGACCCCATCAGAGACGGCGACATCAACCGTCCCATCGGTTCGCCCGTTGCTTTTCTCTTCCCCAGAAATTAAGGCATCAGTTTTGGATTCAGAAACAGACTTTGACAAAAAGAGTTGAGCCTAGCAACTAGTATCCAAGACTGCCTCGATCAACACCCCCCAAGGTACTAAGTGTTGAGGACAGTCCGATTCTACTCCCTCCCAACTGACCAAGCTTGGCGAAAAGCTTCTGTGAATGGGGCTTAATTCTTGAAGGATGGTGGTACCCTAAGAAGGACTTTTGGTGCTCTGCAGAGCATCTACGGAGGCGTGGAACAAGGTCCCAGCACATGGTAGAAACTCAAATGGAGATCTCCATGCCGGAGCGGAATGTCTGGAGTTAAGGGGGCGGGACGCCTAAACTTCACGGCCAAGTTTTAAAGCGAAATGCCCCTAAACCAGCCCCAAATATAATTTTTGGAGCTTGGTCAACGGGGATGTTTAGAGGTTTGCTTGAACAAATAGCTCAAGCCTGGAAGCCCTTTCAAGTTTTGACACCTCCAGTACTTTATCCCGGCCATCATCCTTCTCACCACCATTTTTCGGATTAGGCATCACTAAACAAGATTATAAATGGGTTGTCCGCAGTTTGAATATCAATCCCTTTGTTCACGAAAATCAATCAGACAGAACCAACACATTCCTGCTCCTTTCCATTTTTTTTTTTGGCCATGAAACTCCATCCAGAGACCCAACCGCCGAGCCAAGCGTCACATCAACATCACTGCCCCGGCCAAGATACTAGCGGAGCCGAGAGGGAAAGGATCTTCCCAAGGTTTGATAGACTGGTGATATGGAGCAATAATCGAGGGCATTTTTGAGGTTCCAACGCGGTCGGTCCCCACAAGGCTGACCCATTCTCAAGCAAGCGCAAAAAGAATACGATCTGGTGCTTGGTGGGTACAAGCCGTTCAAAGAATGCTGTTGGATATCTAAATCGTTTAAAGCTCCCCCCCCCCCCCCCCCAAAAGATGATCGGACCTTGTG